CCCGCATGGCTGGACGTCCGTCAACCAGTTCACAAGCGCATGGGGTCCTCCTTCTTGACAAGTGGGATGCGGTGCTTGCGGACATAACTTTCGTCGATGAAGCACGACATCGCACCGGTGTCGAGTAGTGCTGAAAGCTGAACTGGAGCTCGCTGGCGATATCTGCAGGGTAACAGGGTTACTCGAATGGTGAGGATGGGCCCCAAAGTCCGCATGGGTGAGGGTATCTCAGATAGGAGATTGACATTGTTGGTGGTCAGGAGAAGGGTGTGTGCTGGAGATGCCAGGATCGGAGCACGGTTTTGTGGCTTCTCCCTTGGCAGTACTTGCGTGGTGAGAAGGCCAGGACAGGTGTTGCCCAGCTGCTCGGCCTGTACTGCAGCTGGACTTGGGCAAAATCCTGGATGGGTGCAGGTTCCTTACCGCGACATTCGCCGTGCGTATCTTGTTCGGGGAGCAGAGTTTGGCTATGTGGCCGGGTTTACCATAGTAGAGGCAAAGTTTGTTTGTGATGCGGTGTTGGCGCTCTAGCGGTGTGAGGGGTCCTCCCGGACGAGCAGCGTCAATGATCATAGGGTCGTCTGGGCGGTTGTCGGGGCTCATGAGGGTGGGGCTAGTGGTAACTGGCACATATGGCTGTCGGTTCCTGCTTCGCTCTAGAGGGCGCTCAAACAATCGGTTGTCACATTGGATGGCCTGTTCCATCACGGTGTCAATTGAGGCGGTAGGGGGCATCGTGAGCATTAAGTCCTTGACGTCTTCTTTGAGGCCGCGACGGAAGGTGGCAATCAATGCCTGGTCATTCCACGACACATCGCATTGCAGCTGTCGGAATTCAGCTACATACTCTGTTGCTGCACGGGTTTGTTGAAGGTTCTGGAGCTTGTTTTTGGATGTGCGGATCCTGTCGCTGTCTCCAAAGACTGCTTGCATTTGCTGGATGAAATCATCCAGGTTCGTAAGGGAATGATGGTCTTGTTCGACAAGGGGCGCCAGCCAGGCCTGGGCGGTGCCAGTGAGGTAGGTGCCAATAGTTCGTATCTTGGTCTGATCGTTGGGGTAGCGCCTGGGTTGGAGGGCGAACATGAGCCGGATCTGGTTGAGGAACCCACGGAACTTGCTTCGGGTGCCATCAAATTTGTCTGGGAGACTGATTTTGGGTTCGGGGCGTGGGTGGCAGGGGCAGTGGTCTGGGTTTGCGCTAGTTCGGCTTGTAGGGTGGTATTCTGTGCTCGAAGTTCGTCAATCGCATTGCACATGGCTTGCCAGGCTTCGGCCGTGAGGGGAAGGGCGTCGGACATGGTGATTTGGCGTGGAGGTACAGCGGCTGGGGGTTGTTGAGCAGATCAAACTGTTATGAATGGGCGGAGCCGATGGAAATAGAGGCGACTTGTGGTGCAGGTTGTTGACAGGTAATGGTATTCAGACCAAAACAAGAACTAGAACAAGACTAGGAAGAACTGGTGTTGATCTGCTGGGGGATCAGGAAGTGGGGAGCTCAGGGGAGGCGGCTATTTATGTTTTTCTGGGAAGGCTGGGGAAGCGTGGGGAAGCAGAAGGGTACGGAATGAGAGGGAAGCCAAGAGAAGCGCCAAGGGTGGGGAAGCATAGAAACAGAAGACTGGGGATGGGGTGGCTACGCTGAGGCTGTGGGCGGGTACGTGGGGAAGTATGGAGAAGGGTTTGTAAGCGCCGAGTGTTGGGAGGTGTGGCTACGTGCGGCTGCGTGGAGAAATGAAGGCAGTGGCAGGTGTGGGGTAGCGCGGCTGCGTGCGGCTGCGAGGTTTGGCAGATGTCAGGTTTTGACAGGGAATTGACATTGACTGACTGTTGGGATGCTGTCATGAGGTAAGCGCATGGTATGGACGCGTCGTCCATAACAGTGTCCATCAATTCACAAAGTACGCAACATTTGAAGAGTACCCAACCGAAGAGGAGTTTGGCCGCCTCACACGACTTGAGCGGACCGTCCTCGACGAGTTATGGGCTCTGTTTCCTCCCCAGGATGAGCCGCTTGCATACAGCCTTGCGGTGGATGCAATGCCATTTTTAGGTGAGTTGCATCCTGTATATTCTACACCCCCCCCCACCCCCCCCCCCCAGCTTGTGCGGTGGCTGCGCAGCAACGCGAGCAAGCGCCTCGCTTGGTACACTGACCTGGCTGATTGGCTGCGCGCTGGGACCCCGGCCGACGTGGTTTGTGATGCGCTGTTGCCATCGCCGACAACGCGTTCGCCGCGCGCCAAACATACACACCCACATCGCGCAGCAGCGGGCATACAGCGGTGGGCATACAGCAGCACTGGGACTTTGCGCGGAGTTTGCGCCGGTCCCCACTAGGCGACCGGGGAGCAGCATGCTCGGCATGTTGACCGACAGGAAGCGAACCCCACCCCCCCCCCCCCCCCCCTGCGGATTCCTCTTTTGTCTAAACTTGGTCTGCACCTGCCTCATCACAGGTGCCTATTGTGAGCTCTCACACCTTTATGAGCGCCGTGGAATGCGGCTGTTTTCCGCTATCCCGCTGCGCAAATCTCGAATCCAGTCATCTGTTCGGATCGACACGCTGATCCTAGGCACTCATATCCTGGATGTCGGCCGACGTCGCATGGGGAAACTCACTGATGAACGCAAGCAGGAGCTGTGGGGGCAGTTTATCAACATGAATGTAAGTCCTTATCCTTATGCGCTTATTTCAATCAGATTATGTCGCTGAATGACGGATTACAGAACAAGGTCTTCAAACATCGAAAGAAGCTGGGTCTCAAATTTGATGGGTCAATCGGCACCAACGGGTATTCCGTTACCATCCACTTCAAGAAGCCAGGGCTCAAGTATGGGTATCGTGCCCGGAAGCGCAGCAAAGCCCAAATGCGGGAAGAAGTCAAGCAGCTGTATTTTGAGCACCACATTGACGAATTAAGGGAGGCTCCAAACATCGTCTGCATTGATCCGGGCAAGCGTGACCTCCTGTTCTGTCAAGACAACAAGAAGGAGCGGCCATTTCGGTACGTTTTAGTTCATTACTGCTTTTGACATTCCGTTGCAGTGTCCTCACAATGCACCATCCCATACCATACCAGATACACATCCAATCAACGGGCGGTCGAGACAAAATCTCGGTTCTTTCAAAGCGACATGAGAGAGCAAAAGATCAATGCCGGCATCGCCAAGATGGAATCACATATTCCATCGCACAAGAGCATGAACATCGAGGCGTTCTCAGCGTTCATTGTGGATCACGTACATGCGGGTATAATGTTCTACTTCAATTTTGATTTTCAAATTTAGTAATACATGGGCTGACATCCCTATCCCAGATCCCGCCCTGGATGAGTTTTACCGGGATGAGATTCACGTGGCTCGCAGATTCAAGGCGTTCTCACTGCGGCAAAAGTCTGAGAGCAAGCTCATTAAGAACATCCGACGCCGGTATGGAAAGCATTTTTCGGTCATCTTGGGTGATTGGAGCGATGCTGGGAAAACGATGCGCTTTCAGGAGTCATCGAAGACCAAGGGGTGAGTGACCATCATTGTTTTTTATGTACTATAATATGCTAACTCATCATGGAAATTAGATTCCGCACACTCTTTGCAAGAAACAGCATTCCATGCTACTTGCTAGATGAGTATCGAACGTCGTCCGTGTGCCCCCACTGCCACGGTCGTGTGAGGAAAAACATCCGACGATGGCTATCACCTCGGCCGTGGCAAGCTAGAAAGGGAAGAAAGGAGTTCGTCCATGGATTGGTGGGTTGCCCCAACCCCGAATGTATCAACCAAGACTGGACGCCATTTGGGATTCCTGGAAGACGACCACTACGACTACGGATGAAAGTGCACAATCGGGACGTCCTAAGTACCAAGAATTTCCTCTCGATTGTGCGTTCGGTGGTGCTTGGCAATGGCCGCAGACCAGATGCATTCTCCCGGTAGTCTAGAGTTTTCACCCCATCCCATTTTCCGTGGTGGTTATCTGCCATCCACATCATTGTACCTCTGCCGGAGGCATCGCCGATGATGGCAACTTGTAACATAGAATGGCGGGTAGGGAGGCAGGGCGAGGCAGGCATGCGGGATGCAGTTTAGCTCGATTCGCGAACGGAAGCTCAGAACAACGGAAAACGGCGTATCAGTTTGTTCCCGTAATTGCTTGCGCGGCGTTCGGAGAACGGAATAGAGAGATGAGACCGTCCGAACAATCCTATGCTAGCAAGAATGCCCAAAAACGTGTGACACGCCTGAAATGGGATTCACAGCCCGCAGAGGGGACGCATGTGAAGCGCCCGGGCACATGTCGTCCGTCTATCAGGAGCGATTTTGTCTGTGCAACTCCTTCATTGTATTCATAATTCATATCGCTCCTTTCAGCGAACTCAACAAGAGGGCTGAGAGGAGCGGTGTGAACATGCTTAAACGCTGTGCTTGTGGCATTCCAGCGGGCTTGCAAACATGTTGCCATAGGATCGGTAAGGGGAACCCCGCCCATGACTGTCGCCAACCATCTGGAGAAATCCTGGCGACCTCGGCCCCGTTTTGCGAGCAATCTAATCTATGTGGCGGATTGGAGATTGGAAAGGCGTAGGGGCCTTACTGTTGTGTAACGCTCTCTTTTGTTTGTCCGGCCTGGATGCATGGTCCATGCCGGAATACGTGTCTCCTGCATCCCCTGCCCAGTCTCCAACGTTCCTCTTCTGCATATTCGCATCAACATAATTCGGCAATCAGCCAGGCGTTGAAGCCGGAATGCCGAACCGCTTCCTCCGCAAGCCCTTTTCTCAAACCGCCCGACTGGTACCTGCCAAACATCTGCGAAGTGAGTGGTCGCGGACAGCACACCGTGAGACCGGTCATCCGTTCTTCGGTTCAGTCCACAAGGCAGGCCTTTCCCTCTTCCAGTTCGCAAGTACGGCGTTGGTGTAGATGGAGGTGCAATTACCCCGTACCACCGGGTTATTGCGCGCGTGGAGTGCCAGACGAAAGCGTCTCCTGCCAACCTGACAGCCGTGAAGCGAGTCGTCGGTGATTGCGACACGTATACTCCACTTCGAGCTTGCGCGGGCTTTCCGTGTATGATACTGCATCCGTAAAACCAGAGTCCGTTTCCGAGGTCCGTCGTCGTAGGACCTCGTTTGGGAGTGGCTTCCGGATGAATCGGCGTCCGGCGTCGATCCACAAGTGGGACATTATCTCCTGGTGTTTCTTCAAAGAAGCCTATTGAAGACTCTCGACTCCCCCGTTCGCATGCATCGGATCCTTTATACCTATCCGAGCCTGTTCGGGTTTACGAGCGGCCGTTGTGAAGTTGCAAGTTGATATCCAGTACGTACGCTGCCGATGGAGCGGAAAGAACGAAAAGAACGAAATGGAAAAAACGCGCGCGGTCACGAGGGAACTTCCGACGTCGTATTTCAACCCTCGTCGCTCGCACACACACAACGGACGACGATCTCTCAAGCGCTCATCCCCTGTCGACGCAGTCCAAATTCGCAGCTATGGTAGGTTGCTGCTGAAGCGTGCTCTCGCTTGGTTTGAAGTAGTGTCTAGCGTCCCTTTATTGGTGTGGCTTTCCCTCACACTCGGCGAAAATAGCGAGGATTTCGGACTGGGTGCTACGGGAAGGAGTCAGCGAAGGCGGAAATAGTTTTCGGCGCGGAGGAAGCTGGTTACGCCGGGGGGGTCGGGGACACCTTTGCGGTAGTCCTTCTCGTCGTCATGTGAACCCGTCGGGCAGGATGGGGGGGACGGAAGTGATCTGGGCAGTCGAAACAAACAGAAACGCCGAAGAACGAAAAAATCAGCATACTGATGGAAAGCTTGCCTCTTGTTTTTAACAGTCCACCTTCAAGCAAGCCAGCAAGATCATCCCTCTCTTCGACCGCGTGCTCATCCAGCGGATCAAGGCTCCTGAGGTATGCTCGAAACGAACACCCACTTGTTCCCGGCGCTCTCTCCCCTCTAAACCCCACTAATCCTCCATCTCCCCGCCTCAACAGCGCACAGCTTCTGGCCTCTTCATCCCCGAGAAAGCACAAGAAACCCTCAACGAAGGCATCGTCGTCGCGGTCGGGCCCGGCGCACCCGCAAAGGACTCTTCGTCCGTAAGACCGATGAGCATCAAGGAGGGCGAGCGTGTACTGCTGCCGCCGTATGGGGGAAACCAGGTTAAGGTTGGGGAGAAGGAGATGTTTTTGTATAGGGAGGAGGAGATTCTGGGCAAGTTGGAGTAAAGCGGTGCACCGCAAAACCGCGAGGGAGTCGATACTTCTCCCTGCCCGACGCTATCCGCCAAACCACCACCACCACCTCCACCACCACACTTTATTTACGCACCGGCCCGATACGTGAGCTCGGTGTTCACGTTTACGTAGGCCCAAGAGGCACGCAGGATCTCAAGATTAGATAGGCTTAGAACCCCCTTGCCTCCATATATAAAACATCGCACCCATCCCACCATATTTCTGCATAGTTGTACAAAGCTTCTCGAAAAATCCATGTTCTCATCATATTCATTATAACGCACGAAGACCAGAAAGTTTGATGGCTTTGAGGATCAATTGAGCTGAGGGGCAGAGGTGAGGTATATATGGGAGGGCAAGCTCCTAACGTCCAAGGGCATTCTGAGTTTTTGTCCAGCAACGCGCACCAGCCAAAGCGTGAGTTCGATAACTCCAGCTTTTTCGCACTTTTTTGTTGCAGATCTTTGCTGGCTTTGCCATTCCCGTTAGAACGCACACCCGCACAGCACATACACACCTACCGGGACGGGACACTCACAGGGAGCCAAAACCGCCAGTGACTTCCACATTGCTTCAAGATCTCTCAGTCCGCCGTCGCTAAGCAAATTCTCACTCAATCCCCATTCGCCAACCCAACCACCATGCCGCTCACCCGCCACATCCCCCGCTCCACCCGGCCCCTCACCCGCCTCCACTCCACCACCACCGCAGCAGCAGCCCTACCCCTCCCAACGACACTGACGTCCCACTTCGCCGCATTAACAGCCCCGGCACAAACGGTATCAACATCACCAACCCTCACCTCCCTCACCGGCGCCGCCCTCGGCTGGCTGTCCGGGATGCTGTGGGCTGTGCCGAAGAAGAAGACGACCCATCGGAAGAAGGTAAGAACCTTCCCATCACATTTTCAATCACTATGGTTATTTGTAGGAGCTGATGGGTGATTTTTTGAATTGTCTATTGTTAGCGGATGAGGATGGCGACAAAGTGGCTCAAACCGCTCCGCAACATCTCGTCGTGCCCGTTCTGTGGACAGCCGACGTTGATACATCATTTGTGTAGGACGTGCACTAAGGAGGTTTTGAAGGAGTGAATTTCGTAGGTGGTAGAGGGGAGAGGGGGGTGGGGATGGGAGGGGAAGGAAGGACGGGAGAGGATAGTGGGATGAGAGGGTGGGAAGTTAGATTTGGGAGGCATGGGTCATGGATCATGGGAATGCTGGGTGGAGGGAGCTGGAGGGTGAGATTGCGGAGGTGGTCTTAGGGTGCCAAGTCTCGTCTCGGTAGGATGGGATGAGCTCGTACCGACGATCAATGCTGCCGTTTTTCTCATCGAAAGCGGACGACTGTCCAGATCCATCGCCGCGAGAAGTGGGTGTGGCGGCCGTTATGGGAAGAAAGCCACCACGACCGCTTTCCATCCCATTGCATCTCTTGTACTGATGATGTGATGGGAATGCGGGGATGCGCTTAGGGGTAATCGCATTCAATGCATCTTGATGGGAGGGCATATCCATAGACATACAGACACAGGCTTCAATTTACAATGATGGTTTACTAATCTGTGCATATGATAAATGAAACATGCGATACTATTGTCTGTGCGGATTATGTACATGTTATACAACATGCCCTCATCACGTCAACTGCATCTTCCCGTCATTACTGCACAGCAACCTTCCCCTTCCCCTTCCCAATCCTGACCTCCCACCTCACATCATCCACCAAAAACTCATAATAAAACCTCACCAGCGGTATCGTCGCGGCATGCCACAGCGCATGCGCATCCAGCACCCACATCCACGGCGGGAAATCCAGAACCTCCAACGCCATCGCCGCCGTGATTGCCACCACCATCACCACAATCTTCCACGCGTACGGCCGCGTTCTCCAGTTGCGCACCGCCCAGCTCACCCATGCGAGATTCGCCACCGCGCCGACGACGATGCCGGCTTTCATGTTGTACCCGTAGTCGAACGGCCAGAATGTTAGGTAGGAGACGTGCGCAGCGTAGAATGCTAGCATCGCGTAGGCTAGCCCCCGGCGGGTGGGTGTGGATGTCGCGGGGTCGCGGTACAGCTCGAACGCGCGAGTGAGGGCGAGGTAGCTGCCCATCAGCAGCGACCCAATCGCGGAGAAGTAATCGAGTTTCTCGGTGATGGGGAAATCCCGGGCGTGGAAGACCGTCGACCAGATCCATGCGTTCACGCCCAGTAATGCGTTCAGGAGCAGGACCCGGCGCATGGGGTACCATCTTGGAGACAGCGTCCTCAGTTTCCGGTATCCCCGGAAGTGCATCCACCCATTCAATACCGAGAACAGCACGCTAGCTGGTTCCTGTACCCCCCACAGTCTAATGAACGGCCATTTGCCGTGGAATTGCTGCACGCGCTCGCCGGTTTGCACGTTGAGGGAAGTGAGATCGTGCATGCATTCGTATTGGCAGTTTTGCGGACAAGTCCATTGGAGGAGGCGGAGGGAGAGTGGGAGGGATTCGTCGGCTGCGGGTTGGTTGCGGCAGGATGTGAAGCGGCATTTTTGAACGCAGTTGGTGTAGATTGAATCCCGGTCGCCGGAGGAGGCGGTGGCTGTAGTGGCGAGGATCAGGAGCAATAATGAAACTGAGAGGGCGGCAGTTCGCCAGCGGCCTGGATGGAAGCGATAAGTGGGTCGGCGGCCGTCCATAGTACGTAGCAGTGAATAAGTCGGTTGGCTACGGCTTCGTTTGCACTCACTGACGAGTTGGTGGCTTTGGGGAAGAGCAGACGACGGCCTCACTGACAGCGCAAGATGTCACTTGGAGTGGACATATCACGTGGATTCTTTAAATGCACCGTTTAAACCGCCGTGTCCGACAATCAACTCCATCGAGCGCAATCCCCCACAGAAACTGCCAAAGACCCCTCTGCAATAGCCCACTCAAACCAGACCCTCAACGCCCATCATACCAACCTCGTTCCCACCAACCCTACAAAACTACAAAGTAACAATGACCGACAACCAAGAACCCCAAGAAAACAAGGTACGTCACGGTCTCCAAGTGCCTTTCCAGCGTCTTTGCACATCACGGGGTTCGCGACTCTCAGCCGGTCTATGCAAAGAGGGGGGGCAAGCTAGATCGTGTTGGGACCGACGGCGCTGGCAGCCCGGGATCCGGCTTGCAGCCTCTTTCAAACACGCCTTCTCACCTCACCCAATCTTTTTTGTTATGTAGCCTGAGACCGTGCAGCACATTAACTTGAAAGTAATAAGCAACGATGGAGCTGAGATAGGTACGAGTCACCGAATCCACCTGCGCTCTTCCCACACCCTCTCGCTGCCAAACGGGCACTCCCGACGAGGGAGGGTGCGTTGCATAGTCAATGGACGTGCGACTGGGTGCTAACATGTTCTGGGCGCACTCTGCCGTCTTGTGCGATTCTTACAGCATTCAAGATCAAGCGAACAACTCCGTTGGAACGTCTTATCGGTGCATACGTGCAAAAAGCTGGCCAGGTGAGGATTTGGTGAACAGCGGAGGGGGTTCCCGGGGCATTGCTTTTGTGTGTTTCCGTGGGGTCATGCAGGTTGCCTCGGAAAGTATAAATGCTCACGTAGTCGAGCCGAAGGGCGAAGTGCGGAAGAACGCGGTGGATCGGTTCCTAGAGTACTAATGTATACTCCCTTCCCCTTTACCTCACAGGACCGCCGGTCCGTCCGATTCCTGTACGAAGGCGCACGAATTGAAGGCCATGAGACACCCGATGAGATGGAAATGGAAGACAACGACATCATCCAAGTCATGGTCGAGCAAGTCGGTGGATGCTGCTAAAACACGGTCATCATCCGGCGCATCATGTGAAAGAAAACACGATAACCAGGAACAATCTCTGTCCCCTCATAACCGATCAACAATTGCCCCAACGGAGACGGGCAAGATTGCGATTTTGATTGTAGGCAGCGGCTCCTTTTTTTTGCGTATTGGCGAGCCGATCTGATCTTTCGGATCAGGGATGTGTGGATGTGGTGGCGTGCCGTTAGGATGTATATACTCCTTGAGGCTGTAACTTGCTCACATCGTGGCTGCTCGCCTTCGCCTCCCGCCCTTTTCGCTATCCCCTCTTGGGCCTAGTCTCTTCCCCTCCCCTTTTAATGTATTTTTCTCCTTTTTATTGTACTGTGTTGTCCATACCAAATGACGCAAAATGCCATTTGCTGGCGGTGTTGAAGAAAGAGGAGTGGGTTGTCTAAGTTTTGCGCAGAATCCGCGAAAAGCTTCCGAACGCATGGAGTGCGCCCTCGCGGCTCGGAGGATGGGTATCCCGATTCTCATACAGTACACCAAACAAAACAAAAAACAACAACAGGAAGGACTAAAGGCAGTCCGTTCTTGAACACGCAACGAACGGAGAGGGCACACACACGCTGTAAACTCGCACGCCACGTCCAGGGATACCACCGCAGCTCAACGAAACGGAACTGGCGAGGGCGTAACAGACCTCCGACCTCGCTGCGCACTCGGGGACCGGGACCTACTCTTGAAGGGAGGTGGCGTGGGACGCCTGGCGGTTTTCTCACGCGCAGGGGAAGGGGACGCGCTACGCCTGCCGTTCTTTTCATCCACACGGACGGGAAGAGCGGATTTGGGCGCTGCGGCTTTCTGGTCATGCCATTTTGGGGCGTTCTGTGTGTATGTGCGAAAATGAGTTGAGGGGTTTCTTTTGGAGTGTATGGGAAGGCGAATGGGGGTTCCGGAACGATTACCTGCGTGACGGTCAAAGTCCTTCCCTCATGCTCGGAGTTGTTGAACTTGGAGATGGCTTCCTCGACGTCCGCTTCGCATGTAAATTCCACCCTCCTGGGGACGGGTTGGGGAGGATGGGACGGGTTGCGTGGCTTAACATGAGGGCTTATATCGCAGCGGTTGCGCCAATTGATAAAAGTCACTCACCCTGTCCCGGGACGCTCAATGTCCGCGTAAGCGACTTCTCCAACTTTACGCATGAGGTCTTTCAGGTCCTGCCCGAGTGGAGGAGCAGATGAGTGGTGAGACGATGGAAGCTTCGGCGCGATGTAGGAGGAGGAGAAGGAGGCGGGTGACCCCCAGACGTGTCATGTCATCCAGCGTATAAAGTAGATAGTAGCAGCTTCAGGGACCCTCCCGTCCGGTTGAATGCAGCAGCAGCCAGTAGAGTAGTAGCGCACGTAGCATGCGGAAGAAGTGTGATTCCCACCAGGGAGCGCTGACAGGTGCGCAGAGTAGAAGTTTGTAGGGTTCCCATGAAGGAAAACGTTCGCCGTTAGGTGTAAGCTCAAACATTCCCCGCTTCTCGCCCGTCATTTCTCCGAATCCGATTCTCCACCGCTCAAAGTCCAGCATTTTTCACCAACACTTGGCCATCCGTACCTGCCAACTCGCACTCTCAGGCAGTCCAGTGACAGTAACGCTGTCAAAACACGTCAAAAATGTGAGGTCGTGACTGTGCCGGAGCTGCCGAAACACCACGAAAACCCGTTTTTTTTGCCCTTCCAAACCTGTAGTCGTTGCGCTTGGGCGGAATGTAAATATCTGGAGAACGGCGACGAGGAGGTTCCCTGGGAGGAGCTCTTTCTTGAAGGCGAGCGGGTTCGACTTGCAGTCTAAATTGAAGAAACCGTGGGAAACGTTAGCATAAGTGCGTTTGGAAGTCGAGAAAAGACACACAAAGACCGGAGGATCCGGATGTTCAAAGAAACGACAAACGACCCACCTCTCTCCAGCGAACCGTACACCGTCCAAATCCCTCACACAATCCCTCGCGTCCGCGCTATAGTCAAACTCGACGAACGCGAACCCGGACAGGCAGTGGATATCCTCGACTGGACCGTAGCGGCGCGTGAGCTTGCGGATTTCATGTCTGGTAACGTCCCGCGGGAGCCGACCTATTGTGGAAATGGCCGGTTGGTTAGTTTTGGATGTGTGGGGAAATGGGCTGGAAATGGGGGAATGGCGGTAGGGACGTTTTTGACAGCTTCCAGGCCATGGTCTCTTGGCTTACCGATGAAGACCCGGTGGTAGCCCATTGGTGCCAGCACGTAGACGGGACAGAGAGCAGGAGTCTATATAAACAGAGAAGAGCCCCTGGGTGGGAGTGGGGACTGTCTATGGGAATGCCCGTCCGTGGGAAGATGCCCAGTTCGGCAGCCGAACCCGCTGTCTGAGAGAGGGACTGAGCCTTGCCTTGAAAACACACGCGTTTCTCTCAAAGCTGCTTTCCGCGTAGGAATTTCCCTATAAGGCTCAGCGTCGCTCAGAGGCCCTCCTGGACCGAGAACGTTCATCCTTACGTACCAGAATGTGCATTGGGTTTGCAGATACACATGAATACATTGAATACATACAATGCAACAGACTCCAGACCTCCTGTCTCACATCCTCTGCCATCGGATCGGCGCAACTGCCTCTTGGTGTGCAAAGCATGGAGCGTCGCACTCTCCAGTCGGAAACCGTTACTCGTCAAATACAACTTCTACGGAACCGAGGGACTTTCCGATGGAGACATCTATAACCTGAACGGTGCTGGGGGTACTATAGTTTCAAGCTTGGATTGCGGCATCGAGACGATAGGTTGCATTTGTGTGTAACACATAGTTCATCAATGATGATCAAGGAATAGGGAAGTCCTATATAAATATAGACCGCCAAGAAAAGTTTACCGAGCAGCAGTTGTCGATGCTCCAGCAGCCGGCTGAGCCACCGATGACGACGGCGGCGCGGTCGCTCCCACTGTAGCAGCAGTCTTCCCACTGTTCCGGAGGAGGTATACTGCAAGGTATTCACATGGGTTTGGTGGTCTATGAAGCCGAGGCGCAGATCAGTACATGAAGCGATATTGATAGATGTCGCGGATGTTGGGATATGCACCTCTCTTTAGCAAGCGCCTTCAACCCCTCAATCAGCACCGGCACGACCGTTTGATCCAAGTAGCTGCGTAATGGCAGGCTGTTGACGTGGTCTGGGTCCGTAGATGTCACACGTTGTCGGCCTGCATCAATGGCTTCCTGAAGAGAAATCCATAAATGTGATCAACAACTTCACAGCATATTTGCGAAGTGCATAGACATTTACCAGTAACTCCTTGGTCAACCCAAACGACTCATGTGGATTAACCCCGTTGTTTGCTTGGTGCGTGTCACCTATTGTGGGTCCCTCACCGTCCCCTGATGCTGCCACCAAGCCCCCCATGCTCCCGCTCGCTGCTGAGAGGCTAGTAGTGACCAGGTCAGTGATTGGGCTGGAGGATTGGGCTGGGGGTGGTGTTCCTGAATTGGTGTGGATGGTATTAGCTTTAATATGGATGCAAGCGGGATGAATAGTACCTTGCTTGTCTGCCATGATTGCGAGAGACCTCTTGTTTGCAAAAGTATCGGACGACGTTGGCGGACGTTGACCTGGGGTTGCTTTGTGTGTTGTTTTTCCAGATGGAAAGGCTTCGGCGGCGACGCGTTAACATGGAAGGCGCGTTTTCCGGTCGTGCATGTGCAGGTTGTCAGGAACGTCACATTCGTCGCTCATTCCGAGCACTCCGGCCATTGTTATAATAATGGACTGAAGTCGCACCACGCGTTTATCGCGCGTTCCGACTCCCGAGGTTCCGCAACATATGCAGCGCAGAGGAGGGTACACACATGCAGGCAATGGGCAAGATCCGCCTGGACCGCCCAAATATTCATCATAGCGCATGCAGATTATCGATGAATCCTTTTTTCTATCCACATCAATCTACATGAACGTGCCTAACCTACAAAACAGGAACCAATACGCCGCCCCCTCACCCCTCCATCAAAACCCGCGAAACATAACCCCTTCAACCACTTCCCCCACCCCCAACACCCCATCCCCCGCCGGCAGTTTCAACAAAGCATTAGCGCCACGCATACTCAGCATCCGGCTCGAGCGCTGTGAGCCCGTGCTGTGGGCTACGATGCGTGTCCGCGTGCGTGGTGAACCGTCGCTGTTGGTAGCGGACGTGGCAGTGTTGTCGACGGCGATGGAGAGGTAGGCGCGGTGGAACTCGGGGCGGGCGGGGTCGAGGGTTACGGGGGATGAAAGCTAGGTTAGAAAGAATCGTCAACGTCAGAATCCTGGTTGTCCGATGGAGTGCGTAGTAGCAGAGGGCACATTTGCCTTACCTCAGCCTTCACACTAGGCAGATACGGATGCTCATACCCCGCCATCTTGCGCAACGCGGGCAGGACGAAGAGGTAGAACGTGACCGACGCCGAGACAGGGTTGCCGGGGAGTGCGAAGATCAATTTGGGTGTCGCGGTTGGGTCGGTCGGGAGGGTTAGTGTTGCGAACGTCGTTGGTTTGCTGTTTCAGAGATAGACCTGGATGAGTCCATCGGAACTTGCATACCGCACCATAACCCGCAAGAGGAAGATACAATACCCCGGCTTCAACATAACACGCCCGAAATGGATCTTCGCACCCAGTCCTTTCTCCAATACCGGTTTGAGCAGGTCGAGTTCGCCCATTGAGACGCCGCCGGTTGTGACGAGCACGTCGCATTCGGTGAGAGCGGTGCGTATGCTTGTTTCTAGGTCGGCGGTCCTGCGTGGGGTACGAAAGGGAGACGGTAAATTATCAGCAACAATGATGCGCGAACGGAGACTTCCAGCTTTACCCACAACGCAGCATCAGACCTACATACCGATCTCGAACAGTCCCATAATCCCTCCCCGCAAACCCAGCTTCCGCAACCGCCGAAAGCAGCATGGGCCGATTCGAGTCCCTAATACACCCATAATAAAGCTCCTTTGCATCCGCCTCGAGCACCTCGTTCCCCGTCGACATGACCGCGACCCTTGGTTTGCGGATGACCCGCACGGCCACCTCGCCCACCGATGTAAGTAGACCGATCTCCGCGGGTGTGATTATAGACCCCTTGGCGAGAACCAGGTCACCCAGCGCGACATCCGATCCGATCTCGCGGATGTTATCGTTAAGGCGTTGTTTGACGTGGATTTGGACTAGTTCTTCCGTGTGGTTATCGGCGGAGGCTTTGATGAGAGTTGTGTCTTCGACCATGACGACGGCGGTGGCGCCGGGGGGAAGTGGGGCGCCGGTGGCGATTCGGGCGATTTGACCGGGGTGGAGGGTCGGGACGGTGGAGGTGCCGGCGGTCGAGGCGGTTAGGACTGGGTAGGTGCCGGGGCCGTCCGTGACTAGTTCGGGACGATGGGGTGTCAGTCCGCTGCTTCGTTCTTCTGCTTCAAGTAATGGGACAAGGGGCACGTGATGCGCAACACACCTACCACCGCATACCCATCCACAATCGATGCCCTATAGTTCGGCACGGCCTCTCTAGATCTTACATCCTCCGCCAATATCGAACCCACGACATTCGGACTTGTGATGAAAGTCTGTTCCGCAACCAACAGCGGTGCCTGCGCAACGACCGTTGCCAACGCGTCTTCGAAGGAGACCATCGGGTACTGGGATGTCCGCGGCCGCCGTGCGACGGGTATATTCCCGTCGTCTGTCCCTGCTCCTGTCGCCGGTGGGCGGTCTCCATGCGCAGGGTTGTGGTGATGCCCATGATGGGGATGATGGTGGTGATGATGGTGATGACAGTGATGCTCTCGCCGGCCTCCCTCTGAATGCCCCCCCACACTCTCAGCCCCTACCTCGGCCCCACTCATCCCCTTATGCGTCTGTTCCGCAGCTCCCACATCCCCCTTCGCCAAGTCCACCGCGTGCGGCAAAACGTCCAACACACTCTCCAGATTCTCCGTGCTGCCCTTCACACTCCCGGGAAGCGTGATGATGACCGATTTGCCTTTCGTGCCGCATACGGGCCGCGAGAGCGCTGCCATGGGCGTTTTTTCGAGGGAGGTGGTTATCATGGCGACCACGAGGCCGGGTGCTTGACGCTCGAGGAGGGGAGCAATGGCCTTTTTGCGGGATAGATATACGGTTAGGTAAAAAGGTATCTAAAGCGTCTGGCCGCTTATCTCATCGCTTACCTCGGGAGTAACATCCCTTGGCGAGAAGCCCGTCCCACCCGTCGTGACAATCAAATCAACGCCATTCTCCACAAGCCGTTCCACGACGGACTGTATATTGGCGCTCTCGTCGGGCACTGTCTGCCGCTCCACTACCTCCCATTGCGCGTTCGTGAGCAGCTGTGCTAAAGCTGGACCGCTGCGGTCCTCCGCTGTTCCGGCGGATACTCGGTCGCTGACTGCAGGAGTGTGGTTGGTCAAGATGGCAAACTGGAGAAAGAGTCTGCATACGTATGCTTACCTGTGACTATCGCGCAAGTCCTCTGCCCCATGGTTAGGTAAGAGAAGTAGCTGTTGGGGAGTGAATTGGATTGGATTGGTACGTTGTGCTGCACGCAAGTCCTAATAGGAAGGCGAGAAGGCGAGAAAGGCAAGCCACGCGCGGGTCACAAAGCGCCAGCCTCAACAGGAAGTCGCACGTCACCCCCGGCCCGCTTTCTCCCGCATCGCACACACACAGTCTGCACAGTAGCCGTCACGGGGCCAGCAACTCCAACGACCAAGGAAGAGGAAGGCAGTCAGGTAGGCTTTACCGCCCGTCCAACACTCAACCTCCATCTGTTCGCGCATTTAAATATTCAACACTATTCCAGAACACCAGAATACCACTCAACACACGAAAAGCAGTCCCAAGATGGGTTTACGATTGGGAGACGAGGCGCCGAACTTCAGAAGCGAAACTACACAGGGCGAGATTGAGTTCCAAAAATGGAAGGAGGGGGTTTGGGCTATCTTGTTTTCTCACCCTGAGGATTTCAGTAAGTGTCAGAAGAAGATAGAAGGGCCGCGTTTTCTGTTGGCCTGCCGGTTATGCAGACGTTGGCGTTATCATGAAAGCTAATGAATCACTTTGAACCTCTGCAAATCTCCAGCACCAGTTTGCACAACTGAACTTGGGCAGGTCGCGAAATTGAGGGGCGAGTGGGAGAAGCGTCATGTCAAGGTTATTGGGCTATCCTGCAACGACCTCAGGAGCCACGACAAATGGATCAGCGACATCGATACAACCCAGGTATGTTACCGGTGGGGAGCACTGATGTGCATTCGGAAAGTAGGTGAACTCAAATTGATGGGCTTTGACTACAGGGGTGCACGGTAGACTTCCCCATCATCGCCGACCCCGAACGCAAAGTAGCCACCCTCTACGACATGCTGGACTACCAAGACCCCTCCAACGTCGACAAAAAAGGCCTGCCCTTAACCGTCCGCTCCGTATTCATCATCGACCCCTACAACAAGATCCGTCTGACAATGACCTACCCCGCCGTAACCGGCCGCAACTTCACAGAGATCCTGCGTACAGTCGACTCGCTGCAGTTGGGTGACAAGCGACGCGTGGCGACACCGGCTGGGTGGAGCGGGTTGAGCGACGAGGTGATTATTCATAATGGGGTTAGTGATGAGGAGGCGTCGAAGCTGTTTCCCGGGTTCAAGACCGTGTTGCCGTACCTTCGCACTACGAAGATTGCGGAATGATGACGGTGCTGGATTATGGATCACGTTTTATGATAGGGTTTCTTGAGGGAGTTTGGACGCATCTTCAGCTCTTTGGCTCATGTCCACGCTGGGTGCGTTGTCTTTTGGTTTATTACTTCATGTAAATACATCAATGTATTCCATCGCAAGACTATCTGTCCTACGGTGCCGATCAACCAGTACGTGCGGGACCAGAGCTGAGAAGTGTGTCCGTACGGTCGTTTCATCTACATCCCCAAAAGGTATTACTAAACGTGCCTGGGGTTCCCACAAGAGCGTTCAACCGCATCTCTACATCAACTGTACACCGCCCGAGAACCCCGCAAAGTGTCAGTCGGCCCTATTCTTAGAGTTCAGTCACGTTCCGATCGCATTCTCATACGCAGTTGGGCAGCTGGAACGGTGAACGCCGCGCCACTGTCGCTTTGGTCCGCCGCGCATGTTCGCTGCGGTCAGCCGGGCTGAATCTCAATGTCTCCCGGGCAACTTTTCGGCCCTGACCCGTGCTAAAGGATACCGTGCTCATCGCTGGCATTTCCACATTCGACTCGACCGCTGCCACCAGCGCCTGCCCCACCAATCCGACCCAGAAGGGAACAAAAACCCGTTCACTGGCCTCTATCCATTCTTCTGCAAAATACCCGTCGTACTCCCCAATCCAGCCAGCAGTTCATCTAAACCACATGCGTCAGTCCTCATCATGCCGTATCACCCTCATCCAACACCCACCGCAACGCACCAGCTTCCATAATAGCCTCCTCCAGCTCCGCATCAGCGGCGCTATTCGCCCTATCGAGCTCGCGTAATCGCGCTAGCTGTGCTTGTTCGGAGAGCTCGATGCCGGGGAGGTTGTCTACGAGAAGGGTGAGATTTTGGATCGATTGGAAAAAGGAGTGGGATGTGGATTGAATGACGGCTTCGTGGGGGGCAAGGTCGCATTAGGGCACAATGTGATCGAGAATACGACTGGGGACGGCGGTATATCAACGAACCTGGCCTAGCCTGCCCTGGTTTCTCTTCTGAAAGAAAATAGAGAGGAAGTAAGCGCTTCCGAACGCTCACGAAAACCGTAAGTACGGCTAATCAACATTAATTCGCTCCTGCCTTACCTTCTTCAGCTTTTGGTGGCACCTCGTTTGACAAAGCTAATATGGCTTGTGCAAAGTCTGCCACCGTCTATGAGAGAAGGACGCCCTGGCTTAGCATAGTGCCCAGATGTTCGAATGCGTGACGGAGCGGAAGAGACAAGCACCTTGTCGAGAGCTTCCTGTAGCTGTGTGACCCTGTCCATGCCTGAGGTGGTTGCTGCCAATATGTTAATTAGGTCGTTGGAGGCAGTTGAGTGCGACTTGAGAACGGGAGATGGCCGAATGCAACGAGCCTTGAATGCACCGCGTCGGATTACCGCAAGCTTGCCTCCACGTTGACTGACATTCTGCTCGTCAGGTCTCAACTCATCCCGCACGGCAAAGGCCCCTGGTAGCACCCTAGAACATCCTCCTGGGATCACTTGACAGGGCTTCGTCTCGCAACCTCGGTTTCATCTTCTCCTACGCTAGTCCAAAAGAAGCTCTCAATGTACTCCGCCCTCCAACGCCTAAATGCGCTCTCAGCCTTTTTCGTAACAGTGGTCTTCTGCGTGTTAGGCGCCGTTGCCCTCTCAGGACCCATCCTCAACCACTCGGCTGTGCAGAAAGTCGAGGCGCCGGTCATTGGCGTGCAGAGTGTCGTTACGTATGTCTATTGATGTGTACATGATCTTGGTTTGGCACGTCGGGGTTTGACTTACGATCGTGTCTTCCTTTCTTGCCGGCTGAATAGGAAGTTGGGCCGACAGGGGTATTACTATGACTATAGTCAGCCGAAGACGGAGATTGGGTTTGTGCATTTCAACGTTACGGCTGGTGCGTTTTACTTGCTGGGCTGGAGATCATCGTACTGAGAACAGCCGACCGAGGACTGACCGCTGCCTACCGATCTTATGACAGATCTGTCCCCGATATGGAACTGGAACACCAAGCAATTGTTTGTATACCTGGTCGCCGAGTACGAGACGCCATCGCACGTAAGCCACCAAACGTGTACGATATGCTGAGCTCAATTCTGATCCTCTCGGTCGTCTGTTTCACCACAGAGCACGAACCAAATAATGCTATGGGACGACATCATCCTCACAAAGGAAGACACCATCATCGAGTTGACGGATCAGCTCGCGGAGTATCGCGCGACGGATATACAGAATAAGCTGGCGTACGTTCCCTGACGGATATGAGAAGATATGCGAGGGGCTTGCTGTTACTTGATGTGTGGAATACTCACGCATTTTTATGCCTTTCTTAGGGGGGTACAAGCGAAGCTGTCTTTGCATTGGAATGTTATTCCACATGTGGGGATTTTGCTGACGGACGCGGCAGGCTCTGCGCCGTTGACGTTCCCCAAAGTAACCAAATAACGGGGGGGAGTCATCGAAAGGTGCGGTAGATGACTTAGAGTGTATGAAAGGAGCTCTACTCAACAGTCCTCGAACGTCCATCCTTACGCACTTTGCGTTCAACAGCACAAATATACATGTCACAGTCGTGAACGCTTATGTCAGATCAACACCAAAACCTTGCACGTACACCGTTTCTCCCGCTTCACTCCAGCGGGCCTTTGCATATCACCCCTCGCGTCACATTCTGTTCGAAATCCCACCAGTAACAGCATTAGCACCAGCTCCACCCACCCTCAAAACCCTCGCCACACAGCAGCTCCATCCCACCACTTACCTTCAAAAACGCCTCAACATCAATCACCGCCCTACTTTTCACCTCTACTCCCTCATCCGCATTCCCAAACCCGCGCGACACCAACCGATCTACATCCGCTTTGGGTTTACTCGGATCGAATCGCGATATCCCGCGCTGGTAATCTGCGGCTGTGAGGCGGAACTTGTCAGTTGCGGGTGTTAGTGCCTTAGTGGGGGAGGGTGCGCGGTTCCGCCAGGGCTCGGAGCGCATTGTTGAGCAGAGGTGGTTCTGGGAGGGATGGGAGTCGGGGAACGAGCGGTGTTAGTGGAGGTCGTTGGTGAGGATCGGCGCAACGGTAGGGAGGGAACAGGCAGGGTAGATGGTCGAGTTTCGACGTCTGTTCTTCGCCTTACTTCGCCTTAAGGCCTTTCCTTCGATTCCTTACCGTTAGGCCCGCGATGTAGATCTCGCGCATTTCCATCTCTTGCTCTTGTACGATGTCCTGTGCGTATGTAATTTGTGTATGCAAAATGAGAAAAGATGCCCTAGCACGGATTCTTGCTCGAATGGTTGGAGAAGGGACAGAGACCGTCCGTCAGGACAGAGAAGAACCCACGGCGAGGCGATCCCTTACCAGAAACATGCAATCAGAATCCGTCTGGAACAACCACCGATACGTCAGGTTCGGCCCAGGCTGGTCAGCGTCCATAGCCTAAAGTGAACCGCAACTGGCATTTAGGGGGATCTCAAACGGACACCCTGATTTCGCCGCTCCAGGAATCCCTCCGCTCGCCACTCACGTGCCGCAACTGCTCCAGCTGCTTCTGCGTCTTCTCCGGCCAATAACTCCTCAGTCCCTCGATAGCGTTCTCCTTGGGCACGATACCCCTCGCTTTGCCTTCGTGCAGGTCGACGTCGTGGCGGTAGAAGTGGTTCTTGAGCCGCTCCATTTGCCGCGTTTGGTGGTGGTGCACGTCTTCGTTCAGTTGTTCTGTGGGTTGTGGGAGTAGGAGGATGTGGGAAAGTGATGAATATGGTATGGGATGTCGATCCGTTGGGTTCCACACCGAGGGCTCGATGACAACGTTTGGTCACAATATGGCATACCTGTAAGGATATCGTAGAACAACAAACACTCAACACTCTGGAACCGATGCTTCTTACACGCTTCATGGATGTTATACCCAAACTCGGCGACGATATCTTGCGATCCGAACCGTTTCTTTAGGTACGCGTACAGGAAATCTGCCAGCTGCAGAGTCGGGATGTGTGAGTTCGGAGGGTTTCAGCGGGCATGTGACATGCGGAGGTTTGAACGTTACCGTAGACCGCACGGCCCCACGCTTTGATTTGGCGGCGTTGGTGGCATCGTACACGGCTTTGGCGGTCCAGACGTCGCGGAGGAGGAGGCAGAGGTTTTTGCGGGAGAGTTGGCGGTTGCGGATCTTGCCTTTGTACCTACGAGGAAATGCCAAGCGTGATTGAGTTTTTTGTTTTCCGCCAGGGTATAAAGCTCATAGCGGATGAGGTTCCATCATGGAAGATGGAGACTGTCGGGGATCTTACCGCAGGTGTTTGGGCACGGATGCGTTTAGGCCGAGTCCGACGAAGAAGCGGGGTTCCGTCTCTGTAAATCTGATCTCGTCGAATGATAGTGAGTAGTTGGCCGCCATGTCGCTCAGTAATGGATTCGAGTAGTATGCACGGGGCAAAGACCGTCGTAACAACTCACCCCATCTGCCCGGAATCCGCAACCCTTGCTGCAGGTTGTGACGACTTCAACTGCAGGCGAATAGAAGTCCATTAGTTGCAATGTCCTTGCTCTTGCGAATGGTGAAAGGGCTCCGCTCACTCTAAGTATCTCCCGTATCAAAAGTATGATCGAATCATTGTAGTCCTTGTCCTTGCAGGTAAGCTCGTACTGACGGATGCCGGCGGGACACATTGATTCGATGTACTGCCAGTCGGGATACTGTTGGGGAGAGAAGGATTTGAGCGTCACTGCTTTAGAGATGTGTTTTTCCCGGCTGGAATCTCACCTTGTCCTCCTCCTTCCGTTTCAGCGTCTGCTGCAGCTTCGTGATCTCATCTCGCAGGCCGCCCATTTGGATGTCCTGCATGAAGCGAACAATCAGCGACATGTACAATGGATGACGTGCATCGACGTGGAACTCACCTTGCGACCCAACTCCAACCGGACAGCATCGCAGTCTTCGAGCGCTTTGTCACGCTGTTTGATGACAGCCCCATGCACGGCCTGCGTGACGGAACCCAGTTGTGTGATTTGGAGCGCCTCTAGGGCTTTTGTCGCTTTCTGTCCATCTTCCTGTGCTGCGAGCTCTCATCAGCAACAGTCCTACACCCTCTTGTACAGTCGTCTCTTGTCGCGCTCTTCCCAGGTACCTTTTCTCAAAGCCCTGGTCAGTTCCGCACACCGTGTCTCCTTAACCCTTAGCTCTTCCTGCCGTTGTCGATCCAGAGTCTGCATCTCCTCGCGCATCTCGGCGATTTTAATGGATATGTATTCCTATACTGAGGGCTGAGCGTCAGTCTTGCTGGCGTCACCTTTTGCATACAGCAACGATGATCAATGAGGCGCCCGTCCTACGCACTTCGCTGCGGGCATCTCGCCGTCGCACCTCCTCACTGAGTTTGTCGTGCTGATGTCGCAGGCTTTCGAGTTGTGAGTCGAGGAATACGCATTTGCGATGCAGATCGTGGTTCGCTTGCCTATAAAGCGCCAAAAAGGTCAACACGAGTCAACCTTACGTAGAGAGGCAAAGCCGTTCATAATCAATCGCTTACAATTGCGCCTCAAGTTGCCGCTGCCCTTCCGCCCTTGCCGCCTCAAGCTCGCGCGTAGCCATGTACTGCTGCACAGCCAACTGGCTTTCCAGCGGCTGCACCTTGTCCGCAAGAGACTGTTGTCGTTGGAGAGCCATGTCGTATTCGAGCTTGACGTTGCTCAGTAAGGGCTGGTAGGTTGTGAACTCCTCGATGAAGCGTTCTAGAGGCGTAGAAGTGTTAGTGAGTATCGGTAGCCTCACGTTTGATGAGCCACTGGACAGGACACCTACCGAACACCTCGCCGTAGACTTGCAGCCTTCTGGGATCCCCGGGCGCCGCACTACCAGCACCGATGAAGAATGACGATGAGGACGGCCATCAACGCTTGACGAATTGAGTCCGCGCAGGCCAAAAACTGCGTTGACATCGGCCATCATACCTCTCCGCCCCCAACTCCCTGATCTCCGTCTTCAAATACTGCAGCATATCCACCAACACCCTCGGCCTCGTCTTATCCCCCGGATACAATATCCGCTGTGCGGCGCCCGTCGGGGTAGCCGTCTTTGCCCGCGACGGCGGTCTCGATCCAATCCCTTTCCTCCCTTCTACAATATCTGCCGCCCACCCGACTTTGCGCGGTCCTGAGAGCGGGTAGTCGCGGGAAGTGCCGAGCGCGCTCTCGGCGGCCTGCGGCATTAGCTTGGACACATCGTTGACGGTTACTTTGGAGAGGTCGGCGTCAAAGGAGAGTTGGTCTTGGGTGCTTTTATGGAGAGACAGGAGCGCATTAATCGTGGATTCTCTCTGCTCGGCTAGAGGAAATGAAGCGATTGCAAGAAGCATTCGGGAGCTTATCACTTACGAGTGAGACTCGACGTATCTGAAGCCGTCTCCATCGTTGTTGGAAAGGGCGGACTCGGGTCTTGCGTAGGCTGCCATGCTTTGAAAAAGCGATTCTCAACAATTGACTACTTGAGCCAAGACCGGAGAAAGATGGAAGACAGGACGAGTCCGCCTGTATATGTATAATTGTATGTCTATCTAGACCTGAGTTCAACCCAGAACCGCAGGACGACAGAAAAGAGACGAGAGCGAAACTGACGCGTTTCCTTCCATTATGAGCAGCAAGACGCGCGAGACTACGCGTTTCTTTGCACATGCATCGCCAGCGTCATGAGCTATTGCCCAACACCACAACAAACCTGTGTGGGTTGATGTTCATGCTTTCATGTTCATATCGAGACTGTATTCACTCAGCGCTCTGTTTCGGTTCCACCAATCATTGCAGAGGATGGGCTTCAAGCGTATGCCCTGGAAACATGTCCCTCTTCATTCTATCGCCATACAGAGTTATCGATGCATCCAGGTCGTCGCACCCAACGATAATGTACATCATGCAGCCCCACACCTCTCCAAAAACAGCCCCTCCCCTAATGCAACAACGACCTAGCGACCTGCTCCTGAGCCTTCTGGAACATCTGCGACAACGAGGGCTCCGCTTCCGTCTCGTTCTTCTTTGTTACCCTTGAGGCTGTGATGCTTGGTTCTGATTCCAGTATTATTCTGACAAGTGAAGGTAAAAGAAGCTATGGATGAGTGCATGTTCACACGGCCAGGAGTAGTGACATGATGGGAAACCGACCCGCCGTCAACAGTCTCATCCAGTGCTAGCGCGACGAGATCGTAGTTTTCCAGGATAGTCCGCTTTTCGACTAAGCCCCTGCTTGTACACAAGTGAATGAAGCACGATGGTTAACAACCACTCCCACCTCTCGCGGACCATCTTTTCATAAAGGTTCCTTACTTGAGTAGGATAGACAGCGTCTCGTAGAACGAGTTCAGCAAATGGCTTAATATCAGCTCGTTCTCCTCTGCTGACCCCAGTACATAGATGAGCAAGTCGATAGAGTTCTTGTAGACGACGATCTGGTTGTCGAAGAGAATGATCTCGCCTGTGTGTGATGACAATCACAAGTAGAAACCAGTGTTAGCAGAAGCAGGGATATCGTTCCCCGCGCCGAGTTCCAGCCCTCCAGCAGTATGCCACCCCGCCATACGTAACTATTAGTCTTCTTCGTCTTATCGAACAACGACTTTTCAAACACCCGCTGCTCCTTCAGTGTTGGGTATTCAGCCTGGTAGTATTTGGCCAAGATGCGTTTGCCTTCGCTGTCCAGGATGATGACCGCTTTCGTCGTGTACAAGGTCTGCAAACAGGTGTATTGACCGGAATTAGAGACAGACTAGATAGGTGAAGTTTTCAGAGCCATTGTTCTGCTTACCGTGAGGTGAGGTCTTGCTACCATTGTGATACTAGCGTGTGTGTCGATAAGGCGGCGGGAGTGGGCCTGCATGTGCAAAGGCGAAGGAGGGTCGGTCGGTCAGTCGCGCCGTAGGGGCCATTACGATGCACCGTCGGTATCCGCGGACAGAGCACACTTACGTTTCGTGGACGGAAGATTGCTTTTTAAGCGACTATCCGGCTTTGGGATGTGTCGGGACGCCCGGCGGTGAGTTGCTGTGAATTGACTGAAGTCGATGAAGATCCTGCGGCGAGGAAAGCGCGTGGCAGTCTTGAGCTTTCCAAGCTTTCGTGTTCTTCCTTCACCGCAATCATTTCAACAATCCCACAGCAACAGCGAACAGACTTCTCCCCACACCCGGTCTCCGATCAGTGCGTAGAGCAGCGCAATTGAGATGACCAGCGGTAAGGGTAGCTTGTAGGACTTTCTATCAACGAGCACAACCCCAGCCCCGCCAATGGGCTAGTTGGATGTGGTTCCTATCCCGGTTGGCGGCCGCCAATATAAAGTCAGCTCAAGGAAAAGCGAGTCTTCTCACAATTCTCTCAACCCTAACTACAGCACCTACTCAACCAACTATCATAGTATCTCAGACCATTAAGCTCAGAGTTCTGAGTGTCCTGAGTGTTCTAAGCGGCCGGCGCTCATACGATACATCTTTTACCTTGCCACTTCCTTTGACGCCCGTCCTGCGTCAAGACTAGCCTTTCTCCCAATACGGCTTTCCTTTGCTAAAATCATAATCTAGCCCTAGATCATATTTCCAAGAGCATATCTATCTATCAGCAGCCTTCCGCTGTGATCTCCCTGCACAGAAAAATTCGCCTTACTGCTTCTTCGCCCCCAGCACTTCACCGACCACGGCCATTACTTCATCATGTATCCTGCCGTTCGTCGCCACAACACCCTTGTTACGTATCAGATTACGCCCTTGTGAGAAATCCAGCGGCTTGCCGTGGGCGTCGGAGACTTTGCCGCCCGCTTCGTGTACGAGGAGGGAGCCGCCGGCGTGGTCCTGGTTAGGTGTTCAGGAGAGATTACGTTAGTTCATGTTTAGGGAAGTGCATATCCCTTAAAACAACAGATGACGAGCCCAGTCCACGTCCAAGGCAGGGCTTTGCTCTCACAGTGCACAAGCAGAATCCGCAACTTACCCAGATATTCTCGACATACTCCTTATTGGCCGGTAACCTCAGATAAATCCCCGCATCCCCTCTCGCAATAACGCCATACTTGCACTGACTATCCATCCGCGTCGACGGCTTCGTGATGCCCAGCTTCCTCGCAATGTCGATAGCGTCACCGTGCGACGCGTGTGCAGCTTCGACGGACTCGCAAAAGGTTGTGGCGGAGGCAGTGCTGGCTGTGGAGACGTGGATGCGTGTGAAGGCTTCTGGTGATGTGAATGTGCTCTGCAAATGGGGCGTCAGGAATCAGCTCGGAAAAAGGGGACGGAAGGGAATGTACACGACGCGATTGCTTACTTGGAAGGCACCCTCGCCTTTCACTGCCGTGAAGAGACAACCGCGCTCTCCATCGGGGTTCGACAAGTCGACGGGCAGATTGGGGCTGCCCATGACCCCAAGCTTCACGTCACCATCCTCAATCAACGCCAGACACACTGCGAACTGTTCGCCTCTCAGGAAACCTTTTGTGCCGTCTATCGGATCTAATGTCCAGAATCGCCCCTTGGCTCCTCCCGCGTACGTGCCCAGATCGATCGCGGTTATGACCTTCATTCGACGGACAGGTCAGATAAACGCATCTCCACCTTTCCAGTACACCAAAGCCGCCTTCCTACCTCTTCATCAGAAAGTTTCCGATCTACCACCGAGTTCGCTAACTCCACCACCTTCCGTTTGACGTCCTCGTTCTTCTTGAGCTCCGCCGAATCTTCCTCACCGACTATAGGATCGTTTGGGAACGCGGCGTGAAGGATGGAGTTGACCACTGCTTGTGCTCCAAAGTCTGCGACTGAAGATCATGCATGATATACGCATCAGATTTCCGCCGCACGGTAGGGAAAGCATGCCGTAGCAGCTCTTACTCGTTACAGGGCTCTTATCCTGCTTGCTAATCGCCTGCGTCGACACCAGATTGTGGAACACCGTTTGACAAAGCTTCGACGCGCGGAGCACCGCGTCGATTGCGACCTTCCGTTCGTGTGCAAGACCTATATTTCGAAAATCGAACACCAGCGTGAGAAAGAGCTGCAAGGAGTGGGCAATGTAAGAAGAGTGTGGGTCAGCCTTACTTGCTGACATTGTGATGTAAGTACGAGGTCCTCGAACTTGAATTGATTTGCTGCGTCGGAGTATTGATAGTGTCGGCGGTCTATTCAGCAAACCGACGATCATATGGCGGAACACTACAGCCTGGTGCAAGATGTCAGTCAGCCCAGCCCGTTGGTTCCAAGGATGACCTAGTGCGCCATCCAGTCTGTTCGTTTACGTGTCCCTGGTATCTGTCCGCTCCATCGCTACCCACACGTCCAACCTGTAGCCTTCTGAGCGTCCATACCTCAAATTTCTCCTTCTGATCTTCGCCATGCGACTGGCTCTTTTGTCGTGCTGCCGCTTGTGATGGTGCCAAAGGGTGTGTTGGGCGGATGAGGAGTGTGCCCCAGCTGTTGACGTTTCCCCTGTCCGTGCGGCAAGTGGCGCAGTCACGGTCTGGTTCAAAATGTTGCTGTCCAGTTCCCGCTGTTTTGCGCCGTTCGACTTCTTCGCTGGTGTGGAACTTCCCGATACAAAGACGAGACGACGACCTCTCGCTCGCACCGACAGCTTACCGTCGTCCCACGGCTACACTCCGGCACTCCCTCCAAGCGCTCGCAATGACTTCAAAGCGCTCGCAATCCGGAGGTCTCCTCCTCACAGCCCTCACCGCCCTCACCCTCTTCAGCCACCAGCCCGTCCACGCCTTCGACCCAATCCCCGCCCCCAAAGCCTTAACCCCCAACACAACCTACACCATCCCCGCCCTCTCGTGCTCAGTCTTCACCTACACCGTCCCCCTCAACAGCTCCCTCACCCTCGCCGTCAGCGTCGCCCCCGCCATCCTCGCCCTCGGATACTCCCCGGTGGCGCCAACAGGAACGGAATGCCTGACTCCCGACAGCGGAAATGTGAACTACGTCAAACTACTGGACACGACGGGCGCGGCCAGCACTCTACCACCGCTGACGAACGGGTTATATCAGCTGCGGAACGTGACGCAGGAGAAATGCTGGACGAGGCCGGTCACGCTGTACTTTTACGCGGCGACGGGGTGGAGTGGGGCGTATGGGAAGGATGGGAGTGATGCGGTTAAGAACTTCACTGTTGGGGATGTTGTTACGCCGTTTGCGGTTAATAGGACTTGCTCGGCTATTGATCCTTCCGCGGTGCCGAAACCTAATACGACGACTGGTGGAGGAGGGGCTGGGGGACCGGCGATGCCGACGTGGACGTTGTTACCGCCGCCGCCGGATGCAAAGATCGTTACGGCAGGTGCGGTGGACAGCTTGCGTGCTTCGTCGGGTCTGCTGGGAGCTGTACTGGCTGGTCTTGGGTTCCTCGTCGTCTTGTAGCATAGGATATTCGGGCTTCCGTTTTGGTAATAGCAAGTGTAGAGCGCCTTAGACTAGACTCCTCGATTGCGGCGTAATCCTTTTGGTATGCAGTGAAACCCATTTTTGTGCCGTTCTTCCATCCTTCATGAATCAATATCCTATAATCAGTACTTCTAACGGATGATGGTCGACAAACGACCGATACTTTTCAAGAGGGCCGACGAGGCGGTAGAGGACTGAGAGAAGCTCAGAATGGAAGGTGAAGAAGAAGTACACCGCTCGACGGATGGTTTACCTCTTTCCTCTTTACCGCTGACAGTGTTTAGTTACTTATATACATACAGAAAAACGTGACAGCAAAAAAGGGAGAAGTCTATCAAGCAAAACCCGAACATAAAACAAAAGTGTTCAAAGTGTCACAGAGGGGTACTGTATATCGCTCTAGCCTCAGCAAAACCGGGAAACAGACGAGGGAACGGAGGAAGAGTCCCGGTGATTTGTTCTATATTTACAATGACTGGTCCCCAAAAGGGTGCTGGGGTTTGTCCTTTTACGCCGTCTAATGTGTCCGGTCTTTTAACCGCAGATGGCGCGGTTGACCAGGTACGCCGTTGCTCCCAAGAAGCGGACGAAGGAGATGCCCAGGACGGAGTAGAATGTGAACTAATGAAGATGATAAATTGGATATTTAGTGATTCGATCGCCGAGGGAGGAAGAGTGTTGATAAATCTCACCTTCAAAAACGGGTTGAAGTCCTCCTGCCGCTGAGTAACGCCTAACCCCGTCATCACCTTGCCCGCCAGCGCGGGCGTAGTCAACACGATAATAACCAACGCATTGCTAAACATCCACGACAGCAGTAAATTCGTTCGGTACTGCTTAAAATGATCCTCCTGCTTCGTCTTTGCGTCACGCTTCTGCTTGCCGTCTGGCCGCGGCTGCGCGAGCGATTTGAGAAACTTGTCGTAGGATGCGTTGATGTCGGTGCGTTCGCTGGGCATCTCGACGGAAACCACGTGCGTGCCGTCTTTGGATTTGGAGGAGGTTACGGCGCCGAGATCTGTGGCTGCGGAATTGTCGCCTTTGGTTCCCCAGGACACGTCGTGCAGGTTGGCGACTATTGACGAATAAGAGAAGGCGGTCAGCATTCCCCCAAAGACTCAACGAGTGGGGCGAAGACCGGAAGACTTACATGCATAGATCATCAGAATGTTGATGAAACTGGGCATAAGCGCAAGGTACTGCAAGAACGACGTGACCAGATGCCACGGCTCCAAAAACATGCAACTGGAGATCAGGTACAGGCCATACGTCGCGGCCAGCGACAAGGCGATATCCCTCAATCGCGGAATCATCAGGACCCCCTTGATGTCAGTCCACCCCTTTACAGTGCGTGACGCGAATGCACTATCCACTGCAGTGTAGACGCTGTATCCACAGAAGAAGAGCATGATGCCCATGATGAGAGCAAACAGGACCATGCATCCGATGTAAATCCAACGTGAGCCTTGTGGCCGGTTGCCCATGGCTGAGATGAAGCAGGTGACGATGGCGGCGATGTAGACTTGGCGGAGGATAGCGAAGATGTCGGTCCCGTAACATCCGAAAAGTCCGTCACAGTTTTTCTGCCCGGAGGTGGTTTCGGTGGGTTGGGTGGTTTGCGCCAGGAAGTAGAAGGTGAGGTAGAAGAATGACTGCATAGGAAAAGAGCGTTAGAACCAACGACAACCGCCGTCAGTCGAAACCTGAGCATATCAACAGAACAGCGATGACTCACCAAACCGAACCAGTTGAAGAGGGTCATAATAGCATTGTACTGGAACTCGAGCAACAGCAGCATTTTGCGTCCGATATTGTGACCACTCTTGAAGATGTGGTACCAATGCTGCAGCGCGTGCACACCAGCAAAGAAACTCCCGTTCAACCAACGACGACGTTGGGAGATAAACTCGGGAACATTGTCGGGAACGTCCGTTTCGGCCTTGGCCGACTTGACGTACTTCAGCACCCACGCCTGATCCTTTTTTGTCACGAGCTCAAAACATAGGATACGATCCTCCGCCAAGTACATGTTGGCGGTCGACACGGAAGCTCCGCCGTGCATCGTCTCGCCCTTGAAGTACTGCGACAAGGGTTTGCCTTGAAGAGCAATGTACCGATATGCAGAGAAAGCTCCGGGAAGCACCGAAATGTAACCGCAGACGGATTCGAGAGGCTTGTCGAGGATGTTGGACATCTTGTACTCGAAGTTCTGCGCGGCGACCAGGGGGTTGAGAAGATTGCTGCAGCCGGTGCCGAGCTCGGCGTAGATTTCACCGCAAGCCCCTGCCACGGAGGGGTTTCGGTCGAATGCCTTCCACAGGTGGTATAAAGAGGTTTCCTGGGGCTTTGTTCCGACGTCGATAAGCATGCAGATGTTGGGCTTGATGAGCGGTCCGAAGGCGCTGAAGAACCACCTGTGCGAGTTGATCTAAAGGGGTTTGAAGAGATTAGCTGATTGTCACCGATGTTCATAACTGCTGAATCACTGGGACCTACCTTCTTGGCGTTCTTCTCCTTCAAGCAAAACAGAATCTGGACCGGCACAAAACCCTTGTCGTAACCCTTAATATTCAGCTGCGGATCCACAGCAACCTGCGTGGTGTACTCAAACAAATGAGCCGTGACAGGCTTCTCGTTGACGTGATCCTTCATGACTCCATCCTGGTAGACTCCCATGAGACCTAGCACATCCAACACACGTCGGTTGACCTTTGTACGACCATCCGACACAATGCAGACCACGACCTTCTTCCAGCCCTCGTTTCCCCAAGTCTTGGACCGGGAACGAGTGCACAAGTGGGCAATGTTCTTCATAATCGCCTGCATGGACTTGCAGAAAAGGAAATCATCCTCGTTGTACATGGTAACGACGATAAAAATTTCCGTGTGACGGCCGTATTCTTGCTGACGCAGGCTGTAACCCTTGGTGGAAAACTCATCTGCCGTGCAGGTCACGGCAGTGTATCGCATGTGGGAAAACTCCTCCTCTTGGCGGTGTTTGCCATTGCTCAACACTTTGTCCGAGACGGGAATGTCCACCACCAAGTTTCCTTGTGGAGTCAGTGGGATCTTGCGCACGGTTTTCTTACGTGGCAGATAGTCGATCGGGGCATAGCCGCCCATGCCGGGAGCATTTGGGTTCTGACCGAGGAACCCATTGGGAGATCCGAATGCGCGAGGATCTGTGCAGGCGATAAGGTAATCAGAATCATAGGGCAAGAGTGTTCTTACCCCAAACGAAGCTCACCATTGTAGGCCGGTCCGGCCTGCGGCGGCACATGAGGGCTAAGAGGGTGCGCAGAGCCTGCTTGACTCCGGCCGGAAGCCGAAGCCGAACCAGTGTATGACCGCTCGCTCCCACCGTAAGGGCGTGGAGACGGAAATTGCGCTTGCGGCGGGGGGCTCGGTTGCATTTGATACGGCTGGGAGTTGCTCCGCGCGGGAACTTGCGGCATTTGCTGCCGTGGCGGTTGCTGAGCATACTGCTGGTTGTTCCGGTATCCACCCGCACTGGACGACCCAGAAGTCCCCTGCGTGTAGCTGCGAGGAGGAGCCGAAGGTGCGCCCCGCCCGTATTGCTGGTCGTAGGACATTGTGGCGGGAAGAAATGCGCCACTCTAGACGAAGTCACCGAAAGTCTAAGGACGGTTTTGTATGATACAGTCGTATATACAGTCGTTCGATGGGCCGGCCAATCGAGAGCGACTTCCAATCACTTGAACCGTCCAGAAGTAATCTCCAAAACGCTTGCAGGAGGTAAGATGTTCGGATGACTCGAGAATGCGTACAAAATCCCGAACAAGCTGGTCGGTCGTAATGTCGAGCAGAAGTAATATGGCAGCTGGCGACGAGTACAACCCCCGACGCAACAATAGTGCTGCCCGCAGGAGCCTTCGAGATGGGAGTCCGTCTATTTTGAACCTGCAACGGCAGGTGAAACGGGCCGGGAACAACCAAAGCGGAGTCCGTGCTTGTTTGGAATCAAATATGGGGACGATCAGCAATTTTGTTGATTAGCGGCCCTGGTCTGTTGTGGTTCAAAAAGGGGGGATGGAATGCTGGCGGCCCACCACGCCGATTTGGGGGGGATCACAAAGCCCATCCCAGCTGCGGCCGCTTTCCGCGATATGAAACAGTTGAGGGGCAATGCGCGATATCAATTGGTGTTTGTTTCCAAGCATCACGTACCGGCGTTACCGTTTCCCAGAGCCAGCCCACAACAGCTGCGAGAGCGCCGAGAACCCAGGCTTGAGCCTTGTGCTGTCGTGGGACAAGCCGACTCGAATCTTGAGGCCTTAATGCGACCTCACGGTTCTGCTCACGGTCGATATTTTGATTGAACCGGATGTCGCTGCCGAGCACCGACTTGACATACTGTTCTATCGATGCATACACATGACAGGCCGGGCAATGGGTTATAAATTGAAGGCATCGAAGGCGTTTTCTCAGCTTTTCTGAGCGTTGGCGGAATATGAGGGACGACGGAACGTCGAGCGTTACGGGTTAGGGTTAGCAAGGGTAGGGTTACGCGTGGTTTTAAATTGAAAATGTCCAACGCGATGCTGCCTTCAAGTCGTCATCACCAAGGAAATTTCTGGAGCGTTGGAGAACGACCGCCGCGTTCGGAACTTGATATCCCCCCCCACATTAGGCGCAATATATATGACCTGCCATCACCGGGAGAGAGGTGCAGCAGTGAAGGGAGTGAAGGATAAGATCAAGTGAACCTTGTTCAGGACAACACTTTGAATAGTCAGAAAATAGGCGACACCACCGCACTGGTCAACCTTGGAATTCCGAAACAAGAGTATCAAGATGCTCAAACCGCTTCGACTGAACTGCATCAAACAAGCAAGAGCCCTACGGCTCCTGGAACCACAGGCAGCTCTTGCGAGAGCGCCAGCCTCCTTGCTGTTGCGAAGTGCGGTTGTCATTCACCCTGTGGGAAGTGCTTTCGTTCCACATGTTAGACACCAACATGGGCCAGGTGATCTACCCACATCTTGAAAATGCAGGTGATACTTCTGACGCGATACTGACCGAGCGTATTGCTGGCAGGTGGTGGAAACATGGGCGGAATGCCTTTCCGCATGAACATGAACCCGAATCAGGCGCCTGAGAAAGGAGCCGCGTTGAAGCAGTTTGGGGTCGATTTGACGGAGCTTGCCGCGCACGGGAAGTTGGATCCTGTCATTGGAAGAGGTAAGGGGAATAGATCGCGGGAGAATGCTTTTACAAGGTATTGGAGAAGATGTCCAATACGATTAATCCCGCTCTCTCCGAATGCAGATGAGGAAATTAGGCGTACAATACAAGTGTAAGTGCATTGTTTTGCATCATTGCCCTTACCAACGCACAGGATATTGATGCACCATACAACAGATTGTGTCGCCGAACAAAGAACAACCCAGTGCTCATAGGCGAAGCCGGAGCGGGGAAGACCGCCATCATCGAAGGTTTAGCGCAGCGCGTTGTCAAAGGGGAAGTGCCGGAAAGCATGAAGGGCAAAAGGGTGATTGCGCTTGATCTAGGGCAGCTTGTTGCCGGGAGCAAGTATCGGTAAGCTTTCAGTTAGGAGAGCGTGCGGGAGGCGGGTGAAGCTGAGATATTGAGGCAATGCGGCCGTTCTAGAGGTGAATTTGAAGAACGACTGAAAGCGGTGTTGACCGACGTGCAGGCTGAAGAGGGCAAGATTGTGCTCTTCATTGATGGTAAGTCCCCGTCTGAGAGGACTCGAACCTACTCTGTCACTCACCGCCCCCTCTTCCCACAGAGCTCCACACCCTCTTCGGCCTCGGTAAAGGCGAAGGCGGCATGGACGCCAGCAACATGCTCAAACCAGCGCTGGCTCGCGGCACGTTGCACTGCGCGGGCGCCACCACCATCAACGAGTATCGAAAGTACATCGAGAAGGATGCGGCATTGGCGAGGCGGTTTCAGTCGGTTCTTGTGAGGGAGCCGACTGTTGAGGAGACGATTTCGATCTTGCGTGGATGTAAGTGTTTTTTGTTTGTTGTACAATTGCCGTCATTTAGTTTGAAAGGTGGACACTGACTCTACTGTTGCTCAAACCAGTGAAAGAGAAATATGAAGTCCATCACGGAGTGCGGGTTGCCGACAGCGCATTAGTCATGGCCGCCCAGTACTCGCATCGCTACATCACGTAAGTGCTTTTGCCTCGTTTTGCCTCTTGCACCATGGCGCCTCTGCGATGCGTCCCGGTGGTTTACATGTTCTTGTCCTTTCAGCGACCGGTTCTTACCGGACAAAGCCATTGACCTCGTCGACGAAGCCTGCTCGGCGCTTCGTCTGGCGCAGGAGAGTAAGCCAGAAGCGCTGGAGAACCTGGAGCGGCAAATCTTGACGACGGAGATCGAACTCGAGTCTCTGAAGAATGTAAGCCACCTAATTGCCTGTGCAGAGCGACGTGTCAATGCACCTACCACTATTAACATGATCCTCTGCAGGAACGAGACGCAGTCTCCCAAGAACGCCGCGAGAAACTCGAAAACGAGCTATCAGACAAAAAACGCCAACAAGACGAGCTCACCAAAATCTGGGAGACCGAGCGGGCCCGCATCAACGAGATCAAAACCATCAAACAAAGGCTCGAACAAGCGCGCGTCGACTTCGAAAAAGCTCAACGCGACGGCGACCTCACCCGGGCCTCCCAACTCCTCTATCAAGAAATCCCAGCGCTAGAACGTCAGATCCCTCAAGACACTGAGGAAACCGAAGGCCCTGAACGTCTCCTCCACGAACGCGTTACGGCTAACGATATCGCGAAAGTGGTCGCGAAAGCTACGGGGATCCCCGTGCAGACGCTGATGAAAGGCGAGCGGGAGAAGTTGTTGCATATGCAGGAGGCTTTGAAGCAGAGGGTGGTTGGGCAAAATGAGGCGATTGAGGCTGTGACGGAGGCTGTAAGGTTGAGTAGGGCGGGGTTGCAGTCGCAGACTAGGCCGGTTGCGTCGTTTATGTTTTTGGGACCCACGGGAGTGGGAAAGACGGAGCTGTGCAAAGCGTTGGCACAGTTTTTGTTTGATACGGAGTCGGCCATTGTCCGGATTGATATGAGGTGAGGGTCAAGTTGAACGTAAAACTTTGTTGGAGAAGTGTACTAAACATGACAAACATTTTCCCAGCGAATACATGGAGAAGTTCTCCGTGTCAAGGCTCATCGGCGCGCCCCCGGGCTATGTCGGGTACGAGGAAGGCGGCGAGTTGACGGAAGCCGTACGCCGAAAACCGTATTCGGTCGTGCTACTGGATGAGATAGAGAAGGCGCATCGGGAGGTGAACAATATCCTTCTGCAAGGTAGGCTTCATCACTGTTTCTATTGGCTAGATTGTATTAGTGATCACATTCACTGACTGTTTCCATTGCCTCATCATTCCTGCGATCGTACAAACGATAGTCCTAGACGACGGCTTTTTAACCGACTCGCAAGGCCGCAAGGTCGACTTCCGCAACACCATCATCATCATGACGTCGAACCTAGGTATGTTACTTTCATAGCTCAGTGGGAACGCCCAGACTGAGAAATTAACATAATCCGCTTTCTAGGTGCCGACTACCTGACCCTCCAACCCGAAGGCGAGCTGACCACCCAAGCCAAAGCGCAAGTTCTCGGCGCAGTCCGTGAACACTTCCCTCCGGAATTCATCAACAGGCAAGTCCCCTTCCATTCGTCCACATCACACTTCCTCATACTGATCATAAAACAACTCTCCTTTTCCGCACTACCAGAGTGGACGAACTAGTAGTCTTCAACCGCCTCTCCCGCGCCCGCATCCGCGACATCGTGGACGTGCGCATCAAAGACGTTGCTAAACGCGTGCAGGACCATAAACTGACGCTGGATGTGGACGATGCGGCGAAGGAGTGGTTGGCGGAGGAGGGGTATGATCCTGCTTATGGTATGTTGGTCGTCTCTGATGGCCAGGCGCGGAATGCGTTCGGAGTTCTTGCATTGAGACTGACAAAATCCCTCTTGATAGGCGCACGACCGCTCAACCGAGTCATACAGAAGCGGCTCATGAGTCCCCTGGCCGAGGCCCTCATCGGTAAGTCCAATAATCACTCCACATCACAAGCCGCATGTTCAACCTGCTCATTATCATCTATCTACTTCACGTGCACAGAGGGCTCCATCCGCGACGGCGAAACAGTGAAAGTAACTACGCAAACGCTGCCCAACGGCCAGGGCACGTTGCTCATTGTTAAAAACCATGTGCCAAATGTGGCATGAAGGAAAGGTTGCCGTAGGTCGCATATGTATATTAGTATATTGTAGTGAAGGCGATGGAGCGTTATTTTCTTTTTGGAGGGGGGGGGTTCCGGAATGCGAAGTGGGAGGAAGTGGTTTGTTTATCTGATACGTGAAATTTGTATGTCTTCGTAATTATTTTGGGAAGTCGAGCGGGCTACGCACATACGATTTACATACAACAGATATGGAAGTAAATCACGATTCGCAACGCCAAACCGCCAGGAAGCGTAGCATGTGCCGAATGTGGCGTAAAATGGTTTCCAACGACATCGCTTTTGCTTCAAGATTTGGCATCGGACAGGAAGATGGCCTGATTTAGGAAGGAAAGCGATCTTCCTTATTGTCGGGAGAAGAGGGCGGTGAACAGCACTAACGCTGAACAGACGAAGTTTCCGAGGGACATCAGCATATTACGCAGGCTAACGTTGCTCTACTTATGCCAATCCTTTGAGCTTCCTAGGTATGCTTACACGATTGGCGTAAGTCAAAGCAATGAAGTTTCCTTCCCCACACTTTCTCTTCCTTCCCGATATTCCTGCTGGGAAATGGAAAAACACCGTTTTTTGTTGCATAGTGCTTCTAATGCATTGATTCAAGGTACCATATCAAATATATGAAGGCTGTGAAGCGCAGATTGCGAACGAATGTATATGTAAAAGAAAAGGTCCTGGAGGTCGTTGAAATTGTGAGGGCAGGTACCCTCTTTCCTCTCCCTGATGCTTTCCCGCATGGCCCTCTAAAAGATACCTCCGTTCTGTGAAGGCTCAATATGATGCTGGCTGATCTGTTGCCTGTTGCTGATAGAATTAGAAGGTTAAGATCGCCGACACGCTCGCTCTGCATCTTTCTGCATTGCGAAACCTCTCTCGTTTCTCAGGACCACCTTTGGACTGAAGAAGTCCGTGCGCTTTGCTCGCACACCTCTGAAACTGCTACGGGCGATATGCGCATGTAAATCAGCTCACCCATTTGTATGGCAGGTGTTTAGCACACTGCAGAGACTTGTTGCCAACTGGAACCTCCGCCCTCCTCATCAGCCTAGCTCATCCGCCCCATCGTTTTGCGGAACTAAGGGCGCAAGACTGAGGGGTTTCTAGAGGTAATATGCTCACGTCACGATTGAGCGCGGGAGTAAACAAACCCGCGCAGAAGCCTTACGAAAGCTGCTCGCGAGCTTACGGTTAGACATTCTGCGTCCGAGAGGCGGGATCCAGAGTTTCGTGAGGGACGGCAGAGAGATCTGTGTAGAGTATGTATATACCGAAGGGGTTCTGGGAGGTGGCGGTCAAGCGTCTCACGGACTTGCCTGGAGCAAATGGACGAATGGCAGGTGAATGGCAGGCTTGGAACGTTCAACTTCGCTTCCCCACAGCTCCCCCATCCTCCATCCAGTGTTGACTGTTCACACTGGAAAGGTTTTGGCTTCCGAGTGGCCCGCAAACCCACTTGCATGCAGCTGCAGCTGGATACGGTATGACCACAAATGGCCGCATCTCGACCGCAGAAAACTCAAATTTTTCCTGTGCACGCACTTTAAATTTACGATGGACTTAGACGAGGTATTATTACGAGCCGGAAAAGGAAGTGGGCTTGCACTATGAGAGACGCTTTGACGCCTCAATGTCCATATCGGCCGCCCCACGGTGCAGGGCTGGCCTATATGTAATAGATCGTCTCGGCCTTTTCGCAACGTGATGTTGCGCTCCAACCTCTGTCCGCTCGTTGTCTGCTCTCCGTTGCCTTCTCATTCGCCCGCCTTCCGCCATCAGCCCCGCCGACGATGACCGTCGCCGCAGTCGCACCCTGGCGACATAGGAAGTTTGTCCGGCTGGCCGCGACCGTCCTGCTCCTCACCGCAACCGGGTATTCATACTACTACACTGCTTCAAGCGTCTTTGCAAGAAGGACTTCGGCGGTCGCAACGGCAGCGATACCGGTGCTCACCGTCCCGGAGAAGTTGCAGCGAGCTCCATCGGCACACGCTTCTGCATCGAACCCCAGACACGCTGCCCCCGGTCCACCACCAGCAGTGCTCACTGTTCCCACTGTTCCCAAGAAATTGGACCGAACTCCCAGCGGTCCGCCACCAGCAGTTCTCACTGTTCCCACTGTTCCCCAGAACTTGGATCGAGCTCCCACCGCAACTGCATCGAGTCTGAAGGCCGTCGCCCCTTCGTCAAAAATTAACCCCTCGGCGCTTTCCCGGACCCGCGTCGTCCCCGCAGAGGGTCGTAAAGTGGAACGGCGGCCGTACCTGGACCTACCGGATGAGTACAAGTCGAAGGACGACGAGCTCTGCCAGTCGTTCTTCACAGACGACTACGTGTACAACATCGCAAACAGTTCGGAAACGCTATGTGACGGCGGCTCTCGGGTGCACGGATTCGCCGTCCAGACGCACCCGCACCATAGGAAACTCACTGGCGCCACGCCCGTCTATCTGCTGCAGGGCGTGACCTTCAACCAGACCGAGCGCAAGTTCCACGCACAATGCACTGGTCCCCAGGTGAAGCGGCCTGTCATTTATGGGACCCCTATTCCGGAAGTCAGCTACGGAGCCATGTTGGAGGGCAATAGCACGCTCCGGTGTGACAAAAATACCAGCAAGAGGCAGCTGATCATCTATCCGGCGCTGAAGGAGCATAATGACAATGTATGGCATAGGCTGATGGAGCTTTGGCAGAACAAGCTGTCATACGACGCGATGCGCATCGCCATCGATCCCGCTACGGGAAATCCGCTCTTGACGGAGGAGCAAATCAAAAAGGCGCTGGTGGTTTTCCCCGACAATCGCAAAGGGCCATGGGATGCGGAATGGAAGATGCTGACCGGCCGAACGCCCTTGCGCTACTCCCAGCTCTCGCCAGACACCTGTTACGACGTGGTCATCGGGACAGTCGGCTGGGCCAGCCCGTTCTGGTCGGCCCTGCTCAGCGCCACGTACGAGACGTGCCGGCGCGAGACGCTGCTGTCGACATTCGTGCGCTGGATCTTCAAGTTCTACGGATTGAAGGAGCGCTCAGCGGCCGACATCCATCGCCAGCCGACGATCACAGTGATTCAGCGGGCCAAGACGCGCAAGTTCCGCCACATCGACCAACTGGTCGAATCGATACGTGCGCAGCACCCGGGGTTTCAGGTCAACGTTGTCGACTTGGGCACCATGTCCAAGAAGGAACAGGTCCGGCTCATCCACGCTTCGGACGTGCTGGTCGGCCACCACGGCGCCGGCATGAGCTTCACGATGGTGATGCGGCCAGACTCGGCGGTCGTGGAGATCCTTCCACCCGTGTTCGGGTCCCGAGGGTTCCGCCGGATGTCCCGCATGCGCGGCCTCGTGCACTTCATTGGGAAAGCGATGTGGAAGGAGGAGTATGAGAAAAAATACCGTGGGAAACCCGTCCCGAAAGGCTGGCGTCCCGCAAAGCAAGGCGACGGCGACGCACGGGGCTGGCAGAACGAGGAGTGGATCTGGATCCCGCACGAAGAAGTCCTGGGGCTGGTGGATGCTGCCGTTAAGAGCCAGCTGAACGGGATAAACGACGGATAGGCACAACTATCGCTTTGCATTGGAAGCTTATCATAACTTGACTCGGGCGAATCCTGTCTTATCATAATGTAGATTCAATGTAGGTATATCGTTTAGACATATATATAGATACCTTTGACGAATCACCAGTGATTTTGGTTTTTCTGATCCAATCGAATGATATACCTGTGCGATGGCCGCAGGATGGAAAGGCCGGGCTGTTGGCGTGGTGTGCATGATGAGCCAAAAGAGATTGACAGCTGAACGTATGCTGTCATGCTGTCAAGAAGCTGGCCAATTACGGGTTCTCTGGTGATGCCAATGCGTTTGGGTGATGAGTAACCAAAAGGAGTAAATGACTGTAAGAGGCTTCCTGCCCCTTTAGGTTACCCGCTCCGTAAGGGCACCTTTCTCCATTACTCCACATACAGGGTCTTTGGGTGAGGTTTCCCACTACCTTTGCAAGATCATCAATCATCAAGTATCAGTTCTGCTTAGTTTGGCAACTAGGCTAAACTTACTCGCATGTCCAATCTTACTGTCAATCGTATTTTTGAAGCGAGTTGGGTTACCATGGCCTTGCTCATGGCCCCGGCACTGGTGTCTACTTCTGGGTGACGCCAAAGCTCTCACGAGCATCTACAAAATAAGGGAACAAAGCATGGGATTGTTTGCCAAATGGGTTACAGCACGTTGAAATACGAAGGAACAACCGTGCTCGGCAACCACATTAAAGAACGTTATCACCAATGTACTTACCCGATTGTGAGTCGGATGACCAATGCGCCTCACGAACTGACTTGGACGGGAAGTTGACACCAAACGCATCACCGAAAAGTATCTCAACGCCACTAATGAGCTTCCACACTTACATTTAATGTCGCTTTTGCTGATCTTGCGGCTACGCTGGTGGCATGCTAGTATCCCGCCAGACGCTATACTGGTCAAAACCGGCTCGCAAGACGCTTCGATCCATATTCGCCTTTTACGGAACTGACTTTGAAGATGAATGTATGCTAAGTGGATTTCGCGGGCTAGCCGGAGTCGGTCGCCTTGCTCCGGTTCTGCTCTCTCGAATGAGCACCATCTTTTGCAGAACTAATGAATATCCGAGCTCGGTCCATGTTTAGGGGGGGTTAAGTCAACCGTCCTTGTATAGATTTTGAAGCCCGAGGAGCGTCCAAGTTCTGAGGCGTGCATCTGCTCACGTCACGACTTGTGAACGCGAGAGGCGCTCACCCGCGCAGCAGCTTGTTTACTCCCGTTGCACCCCCATTTTCACCCAAGCTCCTTTTTTTTCGCAATACACTCTTTCACAATTACAAGAGACCTACCCGAACGCATTAGCAACCACCAAGCCATCTTACGGAGCAGATACACATAATGCACACCACGTGGTACGTCAAAGTTTTCTGGACATTTGTCCTCGTCATCTTCGCCGTCGTCGACTTCTTCACTGCGCCAGTGAAAGTAAGTGCCCTCCTCCTTCTACCCTCTCCTCATCATCCACCCCAGTTAACCCCTGCCGCCTCCTTCTTAAGGCCTCAGACCAACACCCACTCCAACCACCCCCCTCCCACCTCGGCGGCGGCCTCCCGCATCTCAGCCGTCGTTCCGGCGGCTCCGGCCACGAACACATCCCGGATTTCATCATCCACCCGCGCCTCGCGACCGGTCGATCTGGCCCGCGCACTTATCCCGTTGTTGGACCCCGCTCGGTGGATGATTCGACTGTTACGGCGCCCGAGAGTGATGTGCGTTTGGAGGAGGAGAAGAAGTTTAGGTTTAAGAGGGCTGTTGATGATGAGTTGTAGGGTGGGATGAGAGAGGGATATGGATTTTGGGGTGTTGATTGGTGGTATATGGATGCCCTGCCTTTTTTTTGCTTTTTGGAGTGGGACGATATGGACGCCGTCTCGGAACGTTATTTGTGGGAGCTGTAATCTATACCTTTGTCCGTAAACAATGTTCTGAGGTTTCTTGTGTTTGAATTCTGAATTTAGTTGAGAACGAAACAGCCATGTAATGAATTTGAGGTGATGCTTTTGCTGCATGCTTGGTGTATCTTCTGGAAAGGGTCAAATTGGCCCGTGCTTTCGTCCGCATCCTCGGTCTGTCTGGGTTCAGTTTGCATTCCATGTGAACTGAGATTGAGCGATACATAGTTTTCTGTACAGTGATGGGGCCTCAAAAGAAGTATACAGAAAGAATCCAAGCGGGGAGAGGTGATACAAGAGGATTGAGCAGGAGAAGGGAGGGTGCGAGTCGGGCGATGGGAAGACTCAAAAGCAACGAGCGAGTCCGAGTCGAAGGCACCGACTTGATTGCTCGCACAAGCCTAAATCCCATAACCAAAACTACCAATTCTCAAAACACGGCCGATTCCTCGCGAACGTCTCAAACCGCTGCTTCACCTTCCTCACAAACCTCTTGCCACCCCCAACCTGCCTCTCCACAAAACTCCGTCTCCGGCCCGGCCGCATCCCCATCGCCGGGCCACCCACCATTCCCTCCAGCTCCGGCTCATCCAAATCATCCGTCTCATCCTCATACACACTAACCACCGGCCTTCGCACAAGGCCCCATGGAGAACCACCTAGGGACCCGGTCTCAGACCGTCGGAGGCATTCAACGAGGTTGTATCCCTCCCCACGGACAACCGCGCGCTGTTTGCGCCACATGCGTTCAGAGAAATCCGCGTCGATGCGGAACAGGCGTTCGAGGCCGTCCATCGTCTCGCGCCACCAGGAGGGGGAGGTGAGGAGGTGCAGGACGTGCATGCGTGTTTCGGACGAGAAGGGGATGCGCGAGGCGGGGAGGTAGGACCAGCCGAAGGGGTAGGAGCGCCAGCGGTCCGGGTGCTTGTAGGGGAAGGCGAGGCCGTTGTCGATCGCGGCAACTTGGATGATGGGGGGTTGGGAGTCGGGGGAGGTGAGGCCGGTGTGGTGGGGGGATGCGGCGGGGGTGTCGACGACGATTGAGGAATCTCCGGAAGCTGAGACGTCATGGGACGCCTGATCGGGAACCCGGGAGTGGAGCTTGTCGGCAGTCGAGGATATCGCGTCAGCCACACCATTGATCAGCGGCGCACTATCGTCATCGTGACCAGAATCGAAAGCCGGGTCCGCGATATCGATTGTGGTTGACAATGGCGGTACCGTCGGAGCTTCTGCACCTCGAGGCCCCTGCATCGCACCTTCCAAATCCGCCAACTTTTCCGCTTCATCACGCGCCTCGTCGTATTTGACCATCCAATTATCCAGTCCTCTATCAGTGTTCCGTATCAGGTAATCGAGCACCGCAAGCCTCTCAAAGCCCCATTGGAACTCCATTCGCGCGCGCTCGCTCCATTCGTAAGGTGAGTTTGCGTTGGCCTGATTGCCTGACGACCGAAACTGTCGCGGCAGGTTCTCCGCCGACGCGCGGTTCGATGCAGGAAGAGACGTGGAGTTGGATCTCCGCATCTTCTCATATCCTTCGCGGAAAAACCGGGTAGCGTCCTTGTATCCTTTCAAGAACACTTGGAAGGACCCAACCTTCTCGGGAAGCTCGCCTCCCTTCGTGTACGCCTTCCAATCTTTTCGCGAGTAGTAGAACGTTGGGCTGGCCAAGTAGATGACTTCCGTCCGTGGCACGACGCGGAGTTCCAAACGACGGTCGATGAAGCTCGCGGCGGCTTCACTGATGTAGCCGAGATTAGGTATTATGCAGCTCCTTCCGAAACAACACGGGAACAAATTCTTATGGATCCATTTGGTCCATTTCGGGTTGAGGTGTCCATATGGCTCTTCGTTCTTCGGCTTGAACACGCCGACGATCTCTCCTGCTCGGTTCTTGCAGAAATAGGAACCGCTCGAGCCTTGCGAGATAAGGGTTGGGTATATGCCTTCAGCAATGGCAGCTCGCACTTCTGCAACGATGGCGAGGAACTCTGTCGCGGTCAGAGGTGTGACTGGGGCGACTGGGTTCGTGTAGTTGGCGGGTGGATTGACCAGAGAGTCCGCATAAAGTAACCGCCCGCCGTGTTCAGTGGACGGCTCTTCCAACCCGTCCATGATGCTCGGCGCGTGAGACACGACTGCTCCCCCAGTATTTCTGGATGCATTCCTATTCCGCCTCCCCTTCTTCTTTCCCCGTGACGACCTTTTGTCTCCTTGTATCAACGACTTGGCGGACTCCGCCCCACTCTGTTGCGTCCCATGACCAGAATCCGACTCGGAATCCGAGTCATGTCCGTGTGCAAGATCCCGATTATGCGAGCTGCTGGGATGCTGCTTATAGACGAACAAACAGCGTGAGAATTCGGAAGTATGACCAGACTGGAGGTGACACAGATGGCAAGGCAGCACAGCACTGATTCCCCACTCACTCACCGGGCTGACGTCACTCATTAGAAAGTCGTTCGTCGTTTCGTCGTCTTCGTCGACCAGCGTGTATTTCGCGTTGCCAGACGGTGCAGAGTGGCTGCTGGTGCCTTTTCGAGCCTTGTCTCTGCTTCGTGGGGAGTTGCTTACACGAGGGCCGGCGGATTTGCTGGTCGTGGGAACAGGACGCGGTGAGGAGGATGTGGAAGATGAGGTGTGGGCCGCCGGGCGAGGGGTCGGCATAAAGGGCTAACTAGGGTGCGGGAGAACGAAACGGGGCAGTCGCATATAGATAGACGGACAGAACGGAGGGCAGCCAAGCGGAGGGTGTTGCGAAGATCGTCGTGGGAACGTGTCCTTGGGGAACTAGTTGTCTTTTGGCAAGCAAGCGTTGGGAAAGCGGAGGAGTGGGCGACTGGACTTACAGCCACTAATCGCATGTGGATCTGTGCGGATGCCACGTTTTACCCTCTTTACACTGAGTTGACCCCTTCGCGATTCCTGCGACATCTTCAACTGCGGGCCATCTTGCCCCATCACAGACCACCAGCTATTCAAGTTTTAAGCTCAACCCTAAACTGCCTGCCTAGCGTCACCTGTTTGGATAGCTTGTCGTGCGACTGACCTCCGTAATGTGACAAACAAGAAGTCCGAGGCTCATGCCTCGTTTGCTGATAAGAACTGGTCATTTTCGGTTCATTCCGGTCTCATTTCGGAATAAAACCACGACGCAGTTTGTGACTATCGCACGAAACTCATCCAGCAAAATCCACCTCATCATGGAAGACAAAGCACTAGAAGAGCTTATCCGCCAGCGCGGCAAAGAAGCAGAGCTCCGGCACGAACTTCAAGAGCTGGAAAAAACGTTCACGACTATCGGAGAAAAGGTCGGTTAGCGTTGTCAATATCTCCCGGTGCCTATCTGCCCCCGACCCCTCCATCCTCTAACGCCGCTATCACTCTCCAGAACAACCACATCAAACGCAGCTCTGACCAAATACACGGTCTCGAAGACCTCAATCTGAACCTCAAGCAGATGAAAAACGAACTGGCGCGCAGGGAGTCCCAGTACGACGAGCTGATCGCCTCGCATCTCGCCAAGGTGTCCAGCTCGCGAAGAGGGTCGACGGTGACCGCTGGGAGTGGTTCGAGTGCTAGTGAAAAGAGGAGGTCGGACGGGGAGATTCATGCGGTGCCTAGCAGCGGAAGGATTTTTTGAGCGATCTGTAGCATATTTTACAAGCAGATGTTGCACATCAGGAAAAAAACGTGAAAGGAAAGTGTGATGGATGGTCCATATGGCAATCTTCATAGTTGATCAAGCCGTTACAAGACATGGGACCTCAGTCCCTTGAATACAGACAAATAAGAAATGAATACTATACAAAAACACAGCGATGGCTAAACTATAGAGAAAAAACTCTACGCCATATTCGTTTCCCGCCCCAGCTACCAAACCCCACCCTCTACTCCTGCATCTTATCATCATCATCCTCCTCCTCATCCGACGACGACCCCTCGGCCCCTTCCTCAACCTGCACCTCAAACGCATACTCCTGATCCACACCCACGTAAGAATCACACATGAAGTAGAGCGCACAGTCCAATTTGCCCGTCTTATGCTCCGGCGCCGCAAACTCCACCGCCACGGTAGCGCGTTTCTGGATCGTCACGCGCTTGATGGCAAGCAGGGTCTTATCCGCCACATCGCCGACGACCAACCACCACCCTTCGTCTTTCGTCACGGGGTAGAACGGCGCAATGACGGGTCCCAGGGCCGTAGGAGCGCCCGAAGACGACATGGCGTCCTCGTCCTCATCAACCTCACGTTCCAGTGTGACTTTAACTGTGACGGGCTCGCCCTGCCGCACGGCGGTGACGTCGACCTTGAACGCAACGTCGATGTTGGGGTACCTGTTGACGAACTTGGCCACATCGGCCATTTGTTGGGGTTTCAGCTGCAACGCCTTCTCACGCGCGTCGTCCTCCATCTCCATGATATCAAACACGCCTTCGACTCCCAGCGCGTTGAGACGCTTGATGATGTCGTTGGTGAAATGGGGCACCTGGCGTAAGGCCGAGTCGCGGTCCCACATGGCTTGCACGACCATCTGGCAGAGATCCATGGCGGCCATGCAGGGTGCGAGCCAGCCGTTGGAGGAGATGACGTCGACACAGGCGTGGATGAGACGCACGGCTTTGGCGAGGACGGCTTTCTGGTCGCTTTCGAGATCTGCGGGTAAGCCCACGCGGCTGAAATGAGCTTGCAGGAGGATGTTGGTTTTGAAATGCGGGTCGTTGAAGTTGGGCGTATCGACCTTGACCGGCACCCTGTCGTAAATCCGCTTCAGGACTTGATCTTCGTGGTGCCGAATGGGGACGTTCTCGAATTCGGCCGCCGCGGCGACGATCTGCAGCAGGCCTCGGATCTTGGTCTTGGCGTTGAGGGACATGGAGAAGACCTCGATGGTCACGTAGTTGATGTAGTAGTACGCAGCGATCATGCCCAAGTTGAGCGGAGAGACATCTTCGTCTTCAACCGCGATACACTTGCTGGTGGCCAACTCCTCCAACGTCGTCTCGACCAGATCAGAAAGGTGATCCGACAAGTGACGGTGAGTCACACCTTGCAGGTTGTAGTAGTTGGGGTTCAACGACATTCTCCGGTATAGGAACGTCCAGGTGAGGTAATCGACGGCATCCTGCTTGTTTTCAATCGTCTTGGTAACAATCTCAGCGTTGAAGTGGTCATGCAAGAAATGGTCCAGGTGCGATTCGACAGGGAGGGCTTCGTAGAGGAATTTCTTGTAGAAGTCCTTCTTGACGCCCTGACACATCAAAACACATCGCCCGCTTTCTCCGAGTGTCGGGCGGGTAGCGCGGCCCATCATTTGCAACACATCGGTGATGGGAGAATCAGCGTACCGATGTTCCTTGCCCTCGTAGTACTGCGTTCCCATGATCACAACGAGGTGGGACCGGAGGCTCATGCTCCAGCAAGTGTCCTTGCTGGCGACAACAACTTGAACGGCGCCGTTATTGAAGAGTGTCTCGACGATGCGTCTGTCGTTCTTGCTGAGCGCCTCGTGGTAGTAAGCTACCCCGGTGTGCAAGAGCTCCCGAAGGGTTTGATCTTGCACCTTTTCCGCCCAGGGCTCAAGGTCCTCCTCCGAACAATGCAAGAACTTCTTCTCATCACCCTCCGCCATCGCATACGTGGAGATATCAACCGCTGTCAGACGAGCTTGCTTCCTGCTGGGAACAAACACGATAGCCGGCCGTGCAGCACCAGAAGCGAATTGCTTTATGGCGAGGTACGTTGGTTTCGTCATGGCGATCATCATGGACGCAAAGTGCGGGACTGAGTATCCCTGGATGTGGATCTCAAGCGGGATGGGGCGCACATTCGGTTTGAAGTTGAAGATGCTCTGACTGGTTGCGCCGATCCATTCTCCCAGATCCCTAGCATTAGCGAGCGATGTGCCGAGTGCGACGATTCGGATCTTGTTCTCGGTCTGCGCACTTATGTAACGCATGCGAGAGACGATGACTTCCAAGGTCGGACCAATGTCGCCTCCGATCAGATGGATTTCGTCAGCGATGAACAGGCCGATGGTCTGCACATTCTTGCGTTGCTTCCACCTTCGTGAGAGCATGTCCCACTTCTGAGGGGTGGCAAAGACGACGTCACCGGTCTCGAGTAGTTTGAGGTCCGCCGTGGTCTCTCCAGTCAACGTGACGATGTTCTTTCCACCGAGCAGATCACCAAATTTGGCTTTCCACTCGTTCATCTTCAACTCAGCAACCTCGTCGAAAGGAGCAATGTACACACACCGCGCTTTGGGGTTGATCGTCCATAGTCGCAGCAACGCGAACTCGGCGCATATCGTCTTTCCGGAGCCCGCAGGAGCTCCAATGAAGACATTGTCGTCGGTTTGGTATAAGGTGTTGAAGACCTGCGTCTGGATCGGGTTGAAGTGACGGGAGCCAGAGTACACACTTTCGTACTCTTTGTTCTTGAGAGCGGACACTGGCAACGGGTGCAGATCGAGAAGTTCCGTGTGGGGAGGGTACTTTTCGGGAAGGATGAGATGCTTGAAAGAGACAGGAAGGCGTGTCTCAGAGTGCAGCCATCGATCGCTGACAACGGAAACGAAGTAGTTCGGTGGCAAAGGTTCAAACAACGGAACAGTGAAGCTCAGGTGATGGTCCTCCTCGCCGTAGCGCTGCTTCAACACGAACATGTCGTGGTGGATAATAACCTCGCTGTCAACATCCTCAACCAGGATCCAGAAACCTTCCGCACCTCCGGGCGACACCTTCTCGTCGAACTGGAAATCGGGGGTGATGGTCAACTCCATCCGGAGCATCGATCGCGTGATGGGCTGAACCTGCGCTTGGACTTCTACTTTCGGGAACTGATGTACAGCCTTATGGATCAGCTTGCCGGCCTTCGGCACACCAGCGAGCTCACCCAGCTCTTGAGGGTTAAGGTCATAGTAGCGGTCCCAGGGGAACTCCTTGCGCTCGAGTCTCTTGATCACGTCGAACGGAAAACCGCGAATCTGGCGCAGAGGGCTCATCGAGAGCCACATCTTCTTGTCCACCATCTTGCAGAGGTCAAGGGCTTTGCGGGACAACTGCGCCCATCCACGCTTTAGGCAGATCTCAAAGATCGCACGAAGAATACGCCCTGCACTCTGAGTGACGTACACCATGTCACTCATCAAAGCAAAACCTTCCAGCTTCAGCTGCGAGATGTAAGCTTGTAAGAGCACGTTGATTTTGGCGGTCGGTTCTTCCAAGCTTTCTTTCACAGGTATCGGCACTCGTTCGAGCATCTTCGCTAGCTCCAGCTTCTCTTCCTCCCTGACGGGGATGAACTTGAATTCGTCGGACAAGGCAAAGGCGCGGAACAAGTCGATAAGAGTCATAGTCGGCTTGAGGTGTTGATTGTACGTGGCCATCGAGTGGTGGCTGATGTAGTAGTGAGAAGCAATCCTGCCTAACTCCGTGACCTGGAACTTCCCCGTTTTCTTGTCGTACTTGATCAAGTTGCATTTGTCAAGAATGGTTGCAGCGGCGTGAATGAGATCCACACGTTTTTGCACGAGGTACGGATCTGCCTCCAACTCGTCACCTCCCACTCCGTACAATGGCCCATTCCTGAGCATCCGGACGTATAGGTACGTGTACCCCAACCACTGAACTGCATCATCACGATTGCGAATAGTCCCCAACACGATTTCGGCATTGAGATTGTCGGCCATCTTCTTGATGAACTGCGACTCGATCGGAAGTTGCTGGTTGAGCAACGAAAGGTAGTAGAGAAGTTCCGAATGGGTTGTGATGATGATTCCCTCTCCGTTCGTGTCGAACTGGGGACGACCGGCACGTCCCAACATTTGCAGCACGTCCTGCGGGGAAAGCTCGACCCACCGACCCTTCTCCGGATTGTACACTTGTGTTCCTTTGATGATGACCGTATGGGCGGGAAGATTGACACCCCAGGCTAACGTGGCGGTGGAAACCAGGACCTTGACGTGACCGTCACCGAAAAGATCTTCTACGGACGTACGATCGGCACGCGTCATTCCAGCGTGGTGGATGGCGAAACCGTAAGGCAGCATGTCCTGCAGATCAGCGTTCTTAACGGTGGCAGCCTCAGTGCTCAAAACTTCTCGGCTCCCCGAGTCTTGGCTGAGGATTTGACCGATTGTATCTCTCTCCATGGCCATGTCGCGAATCGCTTTGGCAGTCTTCGCTGTCTCCTTACGGGAGTGGCAGAAAACAAGAACCTGATTCTTCCCGGCTTCTTCCATGATCTTCTCATACACGATCTCGTTCATAAGCTGGAACCGTTTGATGGCCTTCTTCTCGGTAATGCCGATGTATTGCTGCTTGAGCGGGCACGGACGGTAGCTGTTGTCGAAGAAAAACAGTCCCTTCTCGGAGTCTACTCGCATGAAGTGTGCGACATCCTGATAATTGGGCAGCGTGGCAGAAAGACCGACCAATCGTACCATCTCTTGGTTTTCCTGGATTCCGCGGATGGTCCTACTGATGATGCTCTCCAACACGGGACCTCGATCGTCGTGCAACAAGTGCACCTCGTCAATAATGAGTAAGCGGACGAGTTTCGTGTAAGACCGGTCGGTCGCCTTACGGGTGGTTATATCCCACTTCTCTGGTGTTGTGACAATGATTTGCGTCTCGGCGATTTGCTGCTTGTTCAGCTGGCGATCACCGGTCAATTCCGCCACCTTGATGCCATACTTCTCCAGACGGCTGGAGAAGTTCCCAACCATTTCCGCTACAAGCGCCTTCATCGGAGCAATGTAGATGATTTTGAATTCGTCCAAGGCAATCTCCCCAGCCGGTTTGCGATACTTGCCAATCTCACGAAGGATAGTGAGCATTGCACAGTTCGTCTTTCCCGCACCGGTAGGAGCGCAAATCAGGAGGTTCTCGTCTGATTCGAAAGCTGCGGGATACAGTCGAGACTGAACTCGATTCAGAGATCGTGCACCCGCAAACCCGCCCTGCGCCCATTCCGGAAGCTCAGAGATAGACACAAGCCTCTCGTTCTCCTTCATCGGGGAAGCCTTGGGTGCTGGGACGTGTACCTCCTGGTATCCTTTCTTTTCGCGCTTGAAGGTGCCCTGTGGCAGGTCACACTTTTTGTTCGACATCAGATGGCCTCCCTGCTGGAACGCCAACTCATCGAGGTTTATCGTCGCTCGTGGAACGGTAGCAGAAGATCCTGGCGTTGCCTTCTTCAAGTCCATTTGAATAGGGCCTCCGGCTACAGTCTGTTGTCCGTCGTGCCCGATTTCAACCACACCACGACGGTTCCTGTCCACGTCTCTCCTGGTAGGTGCTACGCTAAGTTGCGCAAGGATATCGGCATTGCCGCTTTGTTCGATCTCTGCTTCGATGGCGGTGCGATCGGCTGGAGTTGCCGCCCGGGCAAGCTTTGTGCACCAAACGATAACCTCGCGATTTCTCGTCAGTAGCTTGACAAGGTCAAACTTATCATAGTCAAACAAAGCCATGAGCTCGTTTTCGCAGTCCCTAGTGTTTGTTGCAGACGACAACGTGTTGAAAGCCGCAGCTGCTTTGCCTTGCGCTGTAAGCGCATCCGAGTAGTGGGTGGCAATCGTGCGTTGGAGCCAGAATGCATCCACATCGTGAGGTTTTATGACACCCGCCGCATCGCCGCCTGCTGCCGGTGCAGTTGCGGTCGCGCCGGCACTCGCTTTCCCCGAATTGAAAGTAGAGCCTTCGTCTGGTCGAAGAATCTCTGTGAATTCATCCATATCGTCCTTGGTCTCGTCTTCGTCAATGACTCCAACTGGTTTCAGGACATTTTCGAACTCGGCTTCCTCGCCAGCGTCATCATCATCGGACTCGTCTTCTTTGACCTCGTACTCGTCGTCATCAGAACCTTCTTCATCGTCATCCTCTTCGTCGAAAACAACGGCCACACCATGCTCCTCATCTAAACCTTCGTCGCGGGCGAGACCATTCCCGTTGCCCTCCTGCGCGTCATCATCCGCGCCAGACCGGAAATCCGTAATACGCTTCCCTAGGTTAACCAGTTGTGCGAATCGGTCTGATGATAGTTGTGCTTGGACAATCATCTCCAACTCCTTTTTCTTATCGAAGTCCTTCATATCGTCCTGCTTCAATATCTTAAGCGCTTCGTTCGCAGCGCCTCGTAACACATCCTGCTGGATGTCTCCGAGTAGCTGCTGCAGGAATGATAATATGAGTTCGAAGGTTTGGCGGGTCTCCTTCGTCCGGGGTCTATACCCTTGACCTTCGAAATCATCGGTAGCAGCCAGAATGTTGTCCGGACCATATCCGCCCAAATCCCTCTCGCGTTTGGCACGCTTGTTTCCGCTCCTCTCCGCACCCGCCTGCTTCCTACGGTCCGCTTTCTCCTTCCGCTTTTTTTCCCTCTGCTCTTTCTTCTCTTGGAAGCTACTCTGAGCCCGGTCGCCCATCCGTTTAGGGTCTATTCGGCCTGCCAGCGATACCGGCTCTCCCGAAGGCTCCTGGTCTCGTCTAGGGCCGGTTCGTTCAGCCTGCAGCACCAAGTTACTGTTTTGGGCATACTGGTATTGTTGCGCACGTTGCACGTTTTCAGCCATGTTGAGCGATCTGCACCCAGTGCGCTGCAGTCAGGAAGAATGTTCTGCAGGGTGCCTGTTATAGGAGCACAGGAGGGATCAATACGGGGTTTCCCTGGTCGACAAGCAGCGTAGAAGCGCACTTATGAAGCGCACTTATGAAGCGATGGCGAAGGTTCCCACGTAAAAGTACGCAACACCTATGGATTCGTACTGACCAAGAGTGAGCCGTACAGCCGCTGAACGAAAACTTCAGGCTGCGAAACAATCTTCGTCGTTATTGCAGGTTTCTCAAAGCGAAGATCACGAGACGTGTTATATAGCGAAAGCGAGGTAGGTGGGGCACGGTGATCTGAATATACAGTACTTGACTGGGATGCGGAAACGCTCTCGGACTGGAGTGGGAAAGCTCTGGAATTGTAATGCGGTCACGTGGATGACCGCATAAGATTTCGATTCGTATGGTGACAATTCCGGACGCGAAACGAGCGCGTCCATATTGCTTGCAACTTCCAGCTTCAACTCCCTTGGAAAATGGAGACGTTCCAATGCGAAACCCCACGGGAAAACGAAGGACATCCGAAACAGTCCTCGTACTGCATAATTTCAATTCGTTTGCCATCCTAAGTTAATATCGCAACATTCGTGGTAGATAGGTCTGATCGCATCCCTCTGAAAACGGGCTAGCAGCTGATAATGGAATGTCTGAAACAATACCATGATTTGGCGCTGCTGTCGGAACGGCTACAGGTGCCTTTTCTCACCCATTTCTACGCACGATTCGATCCCGCAAAGTCCAAAGCCTTGGCCTCCTCAATAGCAAACTTTCATCTGCGTGATCTTGAAAGCGCCGACTATCGTTCGGCGTATCATATGCTATGTGATTGGTTCTATGGATGGAATGTCACTGATGGAGACGATGCAGGCGTCGGCGCTGGCGCCGCTGATACTTCAGCAACCCAAGGTGCGGCAGCGAAAGGGAGGGGAACTTCCCCGCCATCAGGCGCTGCTGGTACTGGGGGAGCGGGAGGCGCCGGCCCGAATGCGGGAGAGTTCTTTCGCATGCGACGGGTCCCGCGAGATATCGATATTCGTGAAGAAGGGGAGAGGGTTGAATGTGATCGAATATGCAAGACGTATGAAACCCTACTAGCTCTTAGTCGACGCATTTTGAAACGGTACTACCTCGACATTGAGGAACTACTGCCTAAAATCGGGGACAAGCATGAGATTGGTCCGGACGGACAGAAAGCCTTCCGCGATGAAGGAGATGGGAACGTGGATCTAGATAAAGTGTGGAATTATACAAGATCGAACGCCGATGACGATGATCCCAATGGCATGGGCCGGAGTCGTGAAGGAAGCTCTGATTCGCTCGACAAGGAGATGGAAGACCTGTTGAACATGTCAAGGGCGCCTGGGATGGTTGTGCGCAAGAAAAACCTTACGGGATCGAAACGTGATCTTGCTGGGGGGAGCAGGAGAGCTTCCGTAATGCGAAAACTTGGGTCGAGTGCCGATGTGTTGGGTGGAGGCTCGCAAAAAGCCAGTACCAACGACTTGGCATCTTCAACCCAGCAATTGAACGAAGGGGATTCATCGAACCGACGGCAAGCGGTGCGGGATGCGTCAAGCAAATTAGATTCAGCTGCCGAAGAACCGCCAGGAGGTTCGCGAGGAGGTACAGTCAGTACTGCCGCATCTGCTCCAGTGACCGCTCAGGACACTGCCGGTGGTCCAAGTGTGAGGAAAGGAGTTCTGCATGAGGCGCTGGGGGAGGAAGACGTGCGGAGAGGGATCCAGCGGGACATCAACCATGTCTACGTTCAGTTAGACAAATCTACCGACTACACACTGGTCTGCTTATCCACCGCCTTTTGCATACTGACGTTTTCCCAAATGCTTGGGAATCAGGAGGTGTTCTTGAAGTATTCGGCGCAAGCGCAGGAGCTCTCCATGGACTTTGTTTCGAACACTCTGAAGGTTGTCTGGGATCTCCTCAACCGTGAACTACCGAACGAGCTCTCCTTGCAAGATCTCCGGCATCCGGAACTTTTGCGAATACAGTTCGAGAAGATCATTGAGCTCCGTAGACAGTTCGCTGCTCGCCCAACAGCGGGAGGTCAAGCTCCGCCAGCACCGAGATACCGTTGGAGAAAACTATACCGCAAGTTCGCGCTTCTACATGAGATCTTCACCAGCGTCGATGCGCACCTCTTCCCAAACTTTCTGGTGGCGCACAAGGATGGAGTCAAGGCCGCCAAGTACTCCGCGTTCGATTCTTGTCTGTGGCTCACGGCCGGATATGACTGCATCATACGCATCCATGACATTCGTCCTCCAGCAGTCATGCCGATCGTGGCAGCTGCGCGGGCGGCGGCGGTCGCAGGAATAGCGATAGAAGGGTCACAAGCGGCAGTTAATGTCGTCGCAGGGGCCGATGGCGATGGGTCAAAACCACCTGGAACAGCCGCGCCGACGACCGCATCGCTAGCCGGGCCAGCAGGCGGCACGACAGGACACACATGTCTAGCACAATACGTAGGCCACAAGTCAATCGTGACCGACGTCCACTTCACACGCGACGACACCCACATCGTCTCCTCCTCCTTCGACCGAACAGTTAAAATCTGGAACGCCCAGTCCGCATCATGCGAGCGCACATTACGAGGACACCTGGACGCCGTGACAACATGCGATGTCTCCGCCGACGGCCGGCACGTTGCGTCCGGATCCACCGACTGTACCATCCGCTTGTGGGATATCACCACGGGCGACTGCATCGCAGTCATCAAGAAACACTCCCGGTGGGTTAAAGTGGTACGGTTCTCCCACGACGGCCGGTTTTTGATCACGGCCGGGTTAGATAAACGCATCTATGTCTGGGATCTGAAAATTCTCATCAACTCCAAAGCGATCTCGCATACTCGATGCATCGAGGCGCATACGGATTACATCCTTGACATGGCGACCGCGCGGCCGTCACTGTTGGCCACCACATCTCGGGATTCTACCGTTCGGTTATTCGACTATGTTACGGGACAAGAGCTCGCCGTATTTGATCTGCAGCCGAGCTGGGCGTGCACCATTTGCTTCTCGGACGACGGGCAATATCTTGCTACGGGGTCGTTTGACAATAACGTGGTTATCTTCCGAGTGAAAGATGCTAGCCGCGTGCGCCAGATAAGGGTGCTCAATTTGGGAATATTCTGTGTCCGGTTTCCGAGGGATTTGAGCTATATAGTGGTTGGCAGCACGGAGGGGTTTTTGCAGCAGATTCCGCTGTAATTGGAGAGTTGGATGCTGGTGGGCTCTTTAGCCTTCGACTTTCTCAGAATCTCATTCGTATCATATATTGCAATACTCAACATCGACACTTCATGAGGCATTTTGCACGTTGTTGTGTCTTTTCACAGTCTTCTGGGAGGCTCCTCAAAACGCCTGGTAGCGTCTGTGTGAGCTCCGTCGACGGAGTATATATTGCTATGATAGATACAAGTACACTGCCCAGTCTTAACACCTAAGTTTCAAAAAAGACCTCGTGGGAGACGGATGTTGGAGGCTTCACAATAATCCCACGCGACCGATTTGGGTAGAACAGCGCAACGCCGCTTTCACTTGTCTGTATGCTGACCGCGGGGAGGGGAAGGTATCCCGTTCGCGTTGGGACAACCGTGAACTCGAAAATGCTCGATGTTTTCGCCTAAGCGTTATCCTCTTTCAGCCTCTCTACCGCAAGTGCCACGAGTATTGACATTCACTTACATCGAGAGAAAGAGATTCCTTCTTCTTTCCCGCGAACATCCATGACTCGTAGTCGGCTGAAACCTCATAGTGACCTGTGATGGTCGATAACGAACTGTCCCACTTTGATGTTTCGATGATGAGCTGACATTGCATTGCCTCGCCGACAGTGAGTGACTTGTTCCCATTCCCAGCGATGGCAGGCACGACTTTCGCTCCGACGAGGATCTGCGATGGGGTGCTGTTAGTCTGATTTGATTCCGAGGAAAGCGCGTTGTAGGATTAAGACCAACCTTGCATAAGTTGATCTCAGCGTTATGCAGGAGCTTCCGAACGGACCCTGACGCGCGCTCTCGCACATCTTGACCGGAAATAGCTTGCAAAGCCTAAGTGCCGCTGAGCACGTCAGTTCCTAGTGGCCGCAATAGAATGCAAAGCAACCAACCTCATGATATCCTTTCATGAAACTGACAAGCTGCTTCGCAATTTCAGGCCTCTCGCAGGGTAAAAGTGTCTGCAGCGCTTCCGCATCCAGTGCAGGAATCGCAACGGTGTCGTGTACCGCATAATGAATAAAATCCAACTTAGGAAGGACGGTTTCTCGCACATAATAGTTTAGGCAACCGGAATAGCGGTTCATGCCGGCTGTGGTGAGCATTTCGTCCATTCGGGATAGGAGATACGCTTCCATCTCTGGTGACAAGGTGCGAGTCAGAAGTCTCCTAACTTTGAAAGGCGGAAATGGACCATACCTTCAGATAGATAGCAGTAGGATATCGTCAATTGCGCCTTTTTGTCGACCGCTTCATTGAACGATCCTTGTCTCCCTGCTTTGAAAAGTAAGAACAATCTCCACCACTGCTACCGATGTAAAGCACCGTACGTACCTTCTGGCACCACTCCTGTCTGCAGCTTGTAGACAAGAGGAACCTCTTGCTGCTCAAAGACCAGCTACCGGGCCGCCAACCATATGTCACTATGAGGTCGTTGGAGGGAAAGTGAACAACTACTCACCCTCTCGTCTTTACTGAAGCACGATTCCGCTCTCATAAGCGAACTACTGCTGAGACCAACATCCAACAGCCGTATTGGCGAGTTATTGCGACCAGTCAGGGTATACTGCAACAGAGCGCTGTGACACAAGTCAGGTGACGAAAAGCTGGTACGATCTTTTCCCAAGGAGCGTTTGAAACGTACCTCACGGGATTATGACTAACTTCGTGGGAAATCGATAGCGGCAACTTGAGTTTGGGCGTTTCTAAGAGAGAGGCGAGGTAATGCTTTCCATCTTGGCTTGTATAATCTATCACGAATTTGATCTGAAATCAGGTAAGATGTATGCTTACGTCTGGCAACTAGGGAGCTGGTGAGCTTACCGCATGGTCTAGGGACTGTCCGCTTAGTTGATCATTGTACGGTATCAGAAACGTGATGACCTCATGGGCGCCCGTGGCTGGCAGCACGATCTTGTTATCTAAGGCATCGATCGAGCACTCTTTGTTGTGCGACTGTCCATCTGGAAAGCAGGTTTGAGCGACCTCGTGTCCATGCGTTTCTGACATTGGTCTACATACCGGTATCCGACGTAATCCGGAACGACACGGTCTTGACTGCCGGAAACGTCAACAGCGTCGGAGAGCTAATCGAGAGCGTTCCTTGCTGTATCGAGTGACTGGATGTAAACACTTTTACTTGCAAGTTGCTCCGACTGTCGCCGATGGACGCTTGAGAGGTGTATCAGCCTTCTAGGATCATTGTCTTCCCGTTGAGCCCGGTTCTCACCTTGGTCTGCTAAGCCGGCGGTGACACGGAGCGGTAAGGGGCTTCCGGATATGTTGAACGCCCCCAGATTGTCATAAACAAGATCTAGCTTGCCTAGACGCAGGGCCAGCCGCGTTGCGGAGTAGGTACCGGACATTGAAATCTTCTGAAAATTGACGACTAATCAGCAACTGGTACGACGTGGATACAGGGAACTCATCGCGTACCTCGCCGGCAAGAGCAATGACCGCTGAATCTGGACCAATCGCTACTCCACGATTTGTGAAAATGTAGTCCTTTCCCTCGGTGCTTGTTAAGCGCATGGTTACATCGTCCAGGGCAAACTCCTGTTTGAACGCGGATTAAGGTGAGATCAATGGAGGGGAGCATGCTACAAAAAGGAACATACCTGCTCCAGGCCATTTTGCAAGGAGATCTCGGCTGTTGCTCCCTCGTCATCAGCCACGCTGTTGACGATGATCATAACTTTGACTCCTAAGATGGTACAGTTCCGGACAATGAAGGCTATGGCGAAGGAGTTAGCTTTAAATGCCAAGGGAGCGTCGCCATACGCGCGTACCTTGAGTGAGAGCCTTGACGGTTACAAGCAATTCCGTTGAATAATGCTGCTTCCTTTCTGCAGACATAGTGCGAGAGTTGCTGAGAAGATATATGCATGACTGCAAATACTTTTCATGATTTTGTAACTTTTGCCAGCACGTCGCCATCTTGCTTGTAAACAGATCATCGATAAGTGGCCAGTTCTCATCCGTGGGACGGCCCGTCAAGGACTCCCAGAGGCTGGCAGCTTCCGGGATACGACCTCGAGAGCTATGAATCAGGTCAATGCTTTATCTTGTAGCAACATCTGGGTCGAGAGGCGCGTAACTTACTAATGGATGTGTGCGAGTTCTGCTTTCAGCATCCTGTTGATGCGATACCGTCCACGGTTCTCGCAGCTGCTGATGATACGTGCGATCATTTTCTGCGTGGGCTTTTTAGCCAAAGAAACATTCCGAGACAAGGTTTCATTCCAAGACTCACCAAATATAGCTCGTCAAACGCAACTGTTGAGGACAGAGCATTTTGCAGTTCGGCATTTGACAACGCCGATACCAACGCGGTGGTGTCACCAACGGGTGCAGCTGCAGCGTCTTCCGTTGGAACAAACATTTCTTCGTACACGCCGCACGCGGCGCCAAGAGCTTGGAGCTACGTGCTGTCAGCACAGATGAAGTGAAGTACGCTCACGCAATCTGAAAGTACCTGTGTTCGAGCAATCTCCAGCAGATCCGCTTTCACCCCATCATAAGCGGCCATTGCATCAGCAGTTTGCGAAAGCATCGCCATCACTTCGTCGCAATGGCGAACTACGCTGATGCATGCAAAATATACCCATACTTTGCGGAAATATGGGTACAAGGAAACCTGGGAATCGAGATCAGTACAAACCTCATCAGCAAAAGTCAAGTGCTCGACATAGGCGCACCTCGTTTTCCCTCAGCGATTTCGCCATCTGTACAATGAAGGCTTTCGCGCGCTCTCCAACGGCGTTCGCGTTGCGTAACCGGAACAGCAACTGACATTGTCGAGCGAAAAGGTATATCCGGAAATCAAAGATCGAGACGGTGTTCTGCATAATCCTGTCTCTATAGGGCTTCCTTTGCAGGTTCAGGATGTCTCCGCTATCGTCTCCGGCCTCGGTTCCACCGATGTTTGCAAACCATGGAGCACCCTGCTCTGCGACGAGCTGCAGCGTCAGAAGGAGTCACCTGAAGAGAATGATAGCCAATCCTTACCAGAAAGTGTTTGAAAGAAGGAAGCCTCCAATTCATCGTATTGAACGAGCGCCTCATCTAAGAGATTCATGAACTCGAAGGTGTAAGCAAGACCTTCCTGCACATACTTTCGTTAGTCTTAGATCTATTGTCGATCGGGATTCGTCCACCTCCCAACCTTCATAACAAAGTAATTGCAATAGTTCCACCCTGGAATCAATCTCTGCTGGTCTATTCTGCGGGTATCCTCGTCGTATTGCACGATCTGTTGGTTCAAACTGCTGAGAATCCCCTCTTTCAGATGGTTTTGCATTTCCGCCCACGCCTCGGTGTCCCTCTGGGGGTCGTTGTATAACTTCATTCGGATGCAGCTGGCGAATTGTCAGTGTGAGCCAGAGGACCCGTATTCAGAGTTCGGTGGAGCTTCACCTACCGTTCCTTCTTGAAGTTGAAATCGGATTTGATCTTATCATACACCGTTGTCGCTCCCACACCAAGGAAACGAGCAGATTTGCCTTTCGCATCAGGGTTGTTCAGATATACAATCAGCCACTCTTGGTTTTTCTTATTGGCAACAACATTCAGCCATTCTTGTATCGATTTTCTGATATTCGCCTTATATGCCTCAGTCTCCTGTTTGAGCAATACGGCATTTGAGCAACCCGAACTCCCAACGTCATATATTGACAGTGCGAGACGCTTTTACATACATCTGTCGCCACTAGATACAAGTGAAGGAAATAAGGGCTATGATAAAGCGTTCCCGGCATTACGCGTGGGAACATATCCGCATGATATCGTTTGACGTCGATCTCCAAAGCATCAATGACCCTTGGCGGCCTCGTTGCCCCTCTGCCGAGCGGGTTCTGCCAGCCTACATTGCGAAGCGGTAGCTTTGACTGAAGCTCATCCACAAAGGCAATAGCCGCCGTCGTCTCGTCGGCATCCGCTCCGTGGGAATATGTCACAGTGACCCTCTTGCTCTCGGCCATGGTGATCGTTAGAAGATGGCGGAGAGCCTAGTTTGCCGCTCGTGCAGGAAGTCTGAAATCGTTCCCAGAGCGAAGTCGCACCAAACCAGCCAGCGCGTCTGTGACATAGCGAAAACGACAGCGCAACTCGCTTTGGACTAACAGCATTCCGCCAATCGAAGATCAAGAGCAATAGGAGGAGGGAGAGGTCGAATCAAGAGTCTGCCTACCACATGATGATAAATCGATTTTCAGCGTGCAAAGCATCGATCGCCTGTTGATTTCAAGAAGGAATTTGCCGTGTCTTAGCATCGCCGTTTCCATCCGTCATGAACGCAAGTCGGAGTTCGCTTCGGAAAAGCAAAACCCTGAAGAGTGAAGCACCCTCCCCATACTCGTCTCGGGGCAGTCTGTCTCCACCAAAGGCGGATTTAGCTACCCCACCACCAGCGGAGATCATATATAAGCTATCGAAAAAGATCGCTCAATTGACGAAAGTGATCTACTATCTTAACACGAAGAATGAAGATCAGACCGTCGAAATACATAGTTTGGCCGAAGCTTATGAGGATGAGATCCAGGAGGTGCGTTTTGCGTTCGTTACCATCAAGGATGAATGCTCAAGTATGCTGTTCTAGGTGATATCCGACGGCCGAACTAGGATAAGCAATGTAACTCTCTTGTTGGAAGACAGCGAAACTCGGGTGAAGGCAAAGGACGAGATCATCGAAGTATGTGATATGTGCATCATAGCAATGCTGGCGAGCGTCTGACACGCATGTTGCTGTATAGGGGAATGAGACAAAGGTGACGAAGCTGCTGGCCGAGCTGGAGGATCAAAAACATCATGCGGAGTCGCTCGAAGCAGAAGTTGCCCTCCTTGCAGAGTGAGTCTCATCGCAGACTGATGAGCAGAGGAGAATAGGCTCTTTACTCAGTTTTATTGAAGGAAGAAGCAAGGAGACATTGGCGATATGCAAAAGGAAATGCGAACAATGGCTCAGACGATAGCGGCGCAGAAGAAATCGATAGCCGAACTCACCGCAGCGAAAGATGAGATCAAGAGGAGATCTGAAGAACAAGGCACAGAGCTGCAAAACAAACTCACAAGCGTCAAGCGTGATGCTTTGCATGCGGTAAGGAGCATTGTGCACGTCATTCGGATACTCATGCGATTGACGCTATATTATGGTATCCAGTCGCAAGAGTTGTCAAATTTCCAGGAAGAAAGTAAAAACACCTTTGAGAAGGAGCGAGCGGCGTTCCAGCAGGAGTTGGAAGCGGCAGCCGCGGCTGCGAAGGCTGAGGTGAGTACTGCTAGATCCGAGCGGTCGGCGGTTCCGAGCCTTACACCTAAAGCCCACCGCGTCCAGGCAGAGCAACAAGCGGAGCAGTTCCATCAAGAGATGGAAGCACTCAAATCCCAATTGCGCGACGTCGAGGAGCAGTTCAAAGTGCAACTTGATACCACTCAGTCTACGCTTGCGTCACAGTTCGAGGCGGTATGTAGTGCTCTGGCTTCAACAGCCTACCACAAGCCATGCTAATCGCCTTACCCTCAGGAACATGCTCGACTGGTAGAGTGCCAGCGCGATCTTTCTAATGCCACCGCCAACTTGCAAAGGTAGTCCAACGGTGTCGGTAACCTCGTATGGAAGCCTGATGCTCAACATATCATATCCAGGAAGACAGAGCAATGTGCTGAGCTGCAGCGCAATCATGATCGGACTGTAGAAATGCTTAAAGGGAGTGAAACGGCGGTGGATCAGTCGAAAGAGCAGATCGCACTCCTGAATCAAGTAAATCAGACCTCTGCCATGACGATACAAGGGTCAATACTCAGATGCCTCTCCTTACAATATCTCCGCACGCATTCAGGAAGTATTAGATCTGCAAAAGAAGCTGAAGATCTCAGGTTGGTGTTGTTGCATATGATACCACGATGTTACATGTCGATCTGACTGAAACACCTGTTTGTTTCGCAGATGATCAAATGAAAGCCCTCAATGACTCGGTCGGCCTTCAAGCGAAAGACTTGCGAGATCAGACAACGGCCACAGCACAACTACTCATGGAGCGCAGTGCGCTAGCGGACCGGCTTCAGGAGACCACCACGTACGTATGCATGTGGCGCGCCATTATCGAAGTTGTGATACTCACCAAATATTGGCAGTGCCCTCGATGACGCTAAGGCAACAATCCAAATGCTGGAGGAGCAGTATGGCGAATGCGAAGAAGCCCGTGGGAAGCTAGGTGTGTACAATGGTGTCCTTGAACTGTTCACAATGTTCCCTTCATTTGCTGATCACTTCTAGACCAGCTCGCAACCTTGCTGAAGCCAAGCAGCAGATGTTTGAGGCGAGCGTACTTCACAAGGAGGTGAGTCGGAGTGTTCGTTTGGAATCGGAGAGTCATATCACTGATCTTTTTTGCGCTTCGTTCTGTGATCGGCAGACGCTGGCATCGTCGCTCGCCGACCAGAAAGCGGAGATGGATGCTCAACGACATATGGAGATTACGGCTTTGCAGTCGGAAATGATCAAATTCGAGCGGGAGACGAGCTTGGCAAGAGAACAGGTTAGGGCATCCTCGCATGAGCTTTCCCTCTAGCGACATTCTGACTCCCGCGACCTTGAATGCAGGAAAGGACCGCCTTCCGGAAACAGCTTGACGAGCAGCAAGCTTTGATGGCTCAGAAAGAGGAGGAATGGGAGGCAGCTAAGAAATCTCTTCAGGTGGGTTACCCTTTCACAGCAATTCCATGGAAACAGTGATTCATATTAGGCCTTCAATCACTAGTCAACAATTGCGGAGCATACCCAGACCATCACTATTCTCGAAATCAAGCTTGCAGATCTGGCCGCCCAATTCGAAGCCAAGAAGGTGGAATGCGAGAAGCAGACTGACAAGATAGAGGTATGGGCATACGAGTAAGCATCAAGTCGCCCAACGCTAATGTGGCATCTTTCTTCCGTCACCATACAGCAACTCGACAACAACATTTGCAAGCTCGAAATCGACAAAGCAGACCTGATACAGAAGATGCAGCATCTAGAAAAAACGGTGGTGACGGAGATGCAGAACAAACATGAGAAGGATCTTGCGGATGCCCATGATGAGTGGTACGAGTGAGATGCAGTGGGTACCTCACCATGGTGTCAGTTTGGAGCTCACAACATGTTGAAGGCAGGACAAACTAGCGAGAGATTTGCAAATGACCTCAGACAACCTCGCCGAAGACCACGATAGGGTGTTAAAGGTGAGGATCGCTCTGCAATATTCTTCGCAGCGCTGGCTGCACACCACCCTAGACGGCTGTGCTGACACATACCTTGCTTTAGGCCGTCCTAGCAAGACGAGAAGCCGAGTATGAATCCCAAGTACAAGCCATCCGCATCACGCATCAGAAAGAGATCGCCAAGCTGCAAAAGCTGATCAGCGCCGGGGAGAAGGAAGCGAAAGTGCTGAATGCAGAGAAAGATGATCTTCTAGCTCAATTGGAGGAGAAGCAACGGGTACGATATCATATGCGATCATCCGGACGTCCACCCTTGCCCTGACTTACCGTGTCTCGAAAACTAGGAACACGACGCAGAACTCAAAAACCTCGCCAACCACACGCACACCAGTATCGAAGAAGCGCGCAAACAATGGCAAGCTGAAACCACAGCGCGCGAGACGCAGCTCAAAGTGGCATCCACCATCGCCATGTCCCAGCTGGAGAAAAAGATGCAGACAGAGAAGCAGGAGATGAATGCGGCGCATCAGAAGCGGATGGACGATTTGAGAACGTTTTTCTCGAAGTCTTCTGTTACTGCCAAAAAGGTAGGATCATATTTGAAAACAAACAATACTAGCTCCTGATAGGCTGATGCTTCCTTCCTGAACTAGGAAGCAGAAGCAGCAGGCGCGGCCGCCCTCGCGCAACTCCGGGCCGAAACAGACACACGCTACGCCGAGCTTGATCACAAGCTACGAGCGCAGAAAGCCGAGGCGCTGAAAATAATGAAGGAAGCCCACGATGCTGAAGTCGATAAAATGATTAAGGAGCATGATGCGGATGTCAAAGAGACGAACGCGCTCATCGAGAAACTTGTGGTGGAGGTCAATGGCTTGAAGGTGACGAGATGTTTGCTTTACTCCTGTTGCGGGGTTTGGATCACACTCACCTCACTCAAACGTGTGGACAGACACGCCAGGAGGAGATGGAACTGCAAATAACGGATCTTGAAACGATCAAAGCCGAGCTGGAAGAGTCCCTCAAAGACAAAATCGACGAGATCTCCGCTCTACGGTTCGTTCAAGCCAGTCTCCCCCATTTCCTTGTTCCCATCTCCAACTCACCCATGCACGAACAGAGACGAAATGATAACCCGCCTCGAGATTCTCAAGCGCGATCTGCTGGATCAAGCCAAACAAGACTTGGACGCTAACAACGCCACCCACCTCGAGGAACAACGGCAGATGCTGGGAGATTTTGAGGAGGCGCAGGCGTTTTTCAAGCGGCAACTGGCTGCTCAGGCGAAAAAGTACGTGTATCTTGTTCCCCTCGCTAGTGGTCCTTAGTTCTGCGATGCTCATTGATTTGCCGTCAGACTGGACGATGCAGATATCAAATACATCAACCGCGAACCGCGAGATGTTGATTTGAAGCAGATAAACGAGCTAGAGGAGCGGCTTGATCAGGGAAAGCAAATTATTGCTGCTCTGATGGTGGGGCACCGTTTTGCTTCTGTGGTTCATGCGCCACATCGTGCTCAAGCATTTCTGTGTTGTGTAGGAGGAAGTGGATTACTTCAAGTTGGAGCTAAACAACCGCGAAGCCAACTTCAACAAGATATTCAATAAAACACCGATAGTGGGGTTCATGCAACCATTCAACAAGGTGCGGGCGCCTACTGCACAAGGGAGATGTTACAGGGTTGCATAGTGAACTGATGCTTTTCTCCTTCGTTTCAGCAATCCAAAAGTTCGAAATCGTTTTCAAATCTAAGTACAGGCAAATTACCGCCATTACCGTTATCAGCGCCGACGGCAACACCGCCATAAAACGAGCCGAGAGCGGGGTGCGAGCCACCACCCGCCGGTCCCACTTGTACATAACTTAATATGCTCTACATACCCTACAGTTCATTACGTGGTGCAAACTATCTAATGCGCTACGCTATAAGCCGCTGTTCACTCCTTCAATTGCTCCTGTTTTCCAGCTTCATGGCTGTATCCGCGTGCGATCCCACTCCTCCCCTCCACAGCCTTGGAGACCTTGGTGTTTCCGATTTCGGGCTCCAGGCCGCGGAATGTCCGTTTCTCGTTCAGGTAGTTTGCTCCGGCAGAATTGGAGGAGAGCGTCGCTAGCGTGGAGTCCCCGTTCCGTAAGGTCAATTGACCGAGAGAGTTACCCAGGCCTGAGTCGCCTTCGTCTGCCCGTGCTCCCGCACCAGCGCGCCCCTTCTGCTTGTATGTTCCCGTGACGAGCGAGAAGTAAGGCTCGTCATCGCTGTCTTCTCCTGCCTCGTTTCCATCCGCGGCTTCTCCCGATGTTCCACTGAGCTCATTTGCCCCTTCCAACAGCCTCGGGGCGATGACGGAGAGATTTGTCTCGTACGCGCCTGTCCACTCTCGCGAACTGACCAGGGCCAGCTCCAGCTCGTATGGCGTCACAATAGGGCGCAAAAACTCCCGCGAATCCAATAACGAATTTTCTGGGCACGCTACTAGGACGAAACAATCAATCTCCAAAAAGTTGGCAAGCTTGGCGATGTTGGGCTTGCCAACGGCGAGGATGTACGGCTTTTTGCCGGCGGCGATAATCAGTCGCTTGATGTGACCGATCACGGAGAGGTAATGCGCTGTAAACCCAGGACGTAAGAACTTCCCCAAGCAACGAGATAGGCATGATACCTCACTTACCAACTCCTAGCGTTCCCACAACGATCCCGATCACTTCCGCATCTTTGGCCTTTTGCACCATGAAGTATCGTCGCATAAGCAGGCGTCGAGATTGAGAGGCTTCATCACACGACGAGTTTGTGGCCGGATCGTATGAAATGATCTAAGAGAGCGAATAGGGTGAGGCGACATGTCGACTGCAACTGGACCCAACCGGGACTTACCTTGTTGCTTTGGTGCGTCAGGACGAGGTTGGTGAGAGTAAGACTTTCTGGGCCAACATAGAATATGGAGTAATCCTCAATCTTCGTTCCTTCCTTCAGGTGTATTTGGCGTCCTGATATCTCATGTATTTTAGACAACCGTGCAGGTGTCGGAAGCGGTCGTCTCTGTGGGGCTTGGCATGACGCCGACGTCCCACAACATGAGCCAGTCCCGACCGCCGGTGATGAGCATGCATCCGTTGACGTGCAACAGGACGTGCTATCGGCTGCACAGGTTTCTTCGACAGTAGCTGGGGGAATGTCTCCTTCCAGTGCTGCACTCTCCCGTTGCACATCCTCGGCTATTGTTGCCTGCGTAACGAATTGGAATCCAGCCCTTTGGCAACGCTCGCTGATGTCGTCTAGAGAAATACCGTGAGCCCTAGATCGTAGTTGCTATACATGTGACCTACTTTTTTCTTACCGAGAGAGTGCTGATACATGACATCAGCAACCAACAGGACCGGTTGGGCTTTGTCTGCACCGAACTGCTCTTCGAAACGCGAAACACAGTTCGACACATCTATGGTGCCTTTCGGGAACACGTAGAACACAGGTATCCTCGAAGTTCTGTGACAAAAAAAGTGTCAAGAAACAGAGCATCTAGGCCGGAGTCGTGGGAGTTTCACTTACGGGCTCAAGCAGGTACGACCATAGTGAACGACGAGGTCGGAGTACACGTGCTCCGCCGCAATTTCGTCCACACAGCAGCTACGTAGGAACCCAAGGCGTTAGTGGAGTCCCGTCTTGCTGGGAGTTTCAAAGACTGTGGCACCAACCTTCCGAAGGTGGTGTCAGCCAGAACATAGAAGGTTCGACCTGTGACACTTTCCAGTTGTGAAGCGACGCGGGAGGAGTCGGCCAGCAGTTCGTCCGGGAATTGCAGCGCTATCTAGTATGGGACAAGGGGACGCCCTAAGTTGCCGTTCCCCCGGTGGCTGTCAAGTAGCAGAAGCCAACGATAGATACCTTCTGGTAGTTGTTCTTCACAATGTACTCCGCTGTCCGGTCGATATCGTAGTTGTTCGCAAAGCTGGCGTCGTCCGTCGAAGGGATGGACAGCAACGCGGCGACGGCGGCGGAGGCCCCCGGCAGGTCCAGAGTCCGCTCCAGAACGTCCCTGCCGTCGTTGGAGAAGTTTGTAGGGCCCTCGAGACTTGAGGTCGTCATTGTACGTTTCGTGCGTGTTCTTGGTCAGAAGAGGAGGAAGAGCGAGAAAAGCCAGAGACCCCTCGCGTGAGTAATAAACCGGCGATTCAACGCGTTAGGACTTTTTCTCGCCTGAGCGGGACTGGGACTTGCAGGACAGTTGCTGTAACAAGCAGACGCTGCATATATCATACGGGTCCAAAAGGTAGTTGCCTGGGGTGTATATACTGTACATTCCTCTGGGTTCCTTCTGAGTTTTCTATTCGCTGTACCTTTCCATGTTTGGGATTTAAGTTAGATTCGGATCAGACCCAAAAATGTGTGTTCTTCGTTCATGCAACATCGTGTTCCCCTCCGTATATGGATGCTACGGCTCTATTCTACTCTACGAAGTACGCCTACTGATTATTCGTCATCAGACTCGTTGTCCGTCTCCACTCTCCGGTTCGTATTGACGAACAGATCGTCGTCGTTGTCCGAGTCTTCCGAACCACTCTGTACCTCCCTGCTTGCTTCTACCGCCGTCGGAGATCCAGAAGCGTGTCCATTTGCCATAAACTCTGACGGCCTGGAAGATGAAAGGTCAGACCCCATAAAACATTATTTCCGACTATGCGGCCCCCATATCGTAGTACGCTACCATAGCCCCTGATTTTTGATATGCTTGACCTGGTCAGGCATCAAAACGTGAAGAATCTCCCCATCGACTCTCGCAGCTCTCGACTCTTCTCCTCCCAACTCCACCAGCACATAACTCCCTAAGAGTCGAACATGTCATGTTATTTCAAGGGAACGAAATGAACTCTCGTACCGGGTATGTACCACAGCTTACCCCGCTTGACCCAGACGACGTTACGGAACTTTTGAGGCATGGAGACTGTTGCAGAGTGGACTGTGTTGGGTAATGCGACTTCGTAGTTCCCTCCCCCCTTGTTGTTGAGTATCTTTGCGACCAGCGCGCTGGGTCCGGGGAGGGGTAATGCTTCCAAAGCTGCCTGCGATGTCTGTTTCCGGCCCATGGTGCGTCCTGCTGTTGTGATAGAGCTACCTCAGACTCTATCCGTCGGTTGTCCGTCCCTATCGAATTGCTTTTTCGCAGACAGGCAAGTGCAGACGAGGAAGGCGCGTCGATTTGACGACCGCAAGTGGAGAACGTCTTTGTCACTTTCGTCCAGCCACGTTCCAGCGGTCGTCCCACGTCTCTAAACAAGTCGTCTCTCAAACGAAACAGGTATCGTGGCTACACCTAGGTATTGCGCTCGCAAGGACAGGCTGTCTCGCAGTAGGGTCGGAGCGCCATCTTCTCCCCCCGCTCTATATGAAATGAGTAGCCGTTTCGACTCGGGCTCGCTCTTATCACGCAGTCGAGCAGGGGCTGACATGTCCCGTGGTGGCAACGACGCCGTTCCGCTACTGCCGCGGACGTCGGAGGGGAACCTATTCCCGGAACGAACGGACGGCCGACCGGCGGTCACAATCGCCCGGAGAGCGAAAGCAGCGCCACCGCCGCCAAGATGGCTGTCGCTGGAGTTCGTCGCGTACTATGCGGTTATCATCGTCGGTTTGCCGGCTCTATTTAGGTGCGCTTGGGGATTCAGTGATGGTACGGCATGTCGTCTGGGCGAGAGAGAGCTAGTCCTCGCTGGTTATGCATCCTTCGGCCAACCTGTAATGCGGGCCCGTCGGCACTTTGTCCTGACCCAAACATCCTCGTGCAGAGAGCCACCCCTCATATGCCAAATACAGCCGCAAATTGTCCAAAGGATGGATGCTGGGTCGCAAAGTGGTAAGAACTCGAAAGCATACCTCTCAAAAATGCGTTAGTATCATTTATGCGGTATCCGGTTGCTCGACAGGACAACAGCGATTCCCAATATGCCTCTTTTCGTAACAACATGGTGTTACTGGCGCAAGTGGCAGTAGGATACCTCATTCTGTCGCATGCGGTTCAGAGGAGGGGACCGCGATTCCGGCCGCTTTTCAGCCTCGCGTTCTCGTTGATCTTTCTTGGAGCGATCCACGGGTCCTCCCTGCTGAAGATTCTGGCAATCACCGGTGTCAACTTTCTTATCACGTCGACGATCGGGCACCTACGTCTTGGAGTAGCTTTGACGTGGATTTGGAGTGTGGGCATCTTGTTTGCCAACCAAGAGTTCAAAGGGTATCGCTATGGATCACTCTCTCCGTCTTTGGCTTGGCTGGTGAGCTGCGGGTACATACGACGCACGCACGTCAGCGGCCTGGGCTGCCCTTACATCGCTGACGCGGGTCGGGCTGTGTTTAGGACCAAGTCCAGGGTTTCAACATGCGGTGGTGGGTGACGTTCAACTTCACGACACTACGGATGATATCTTATAGCATGGACTACTATGCGCTCACGTCGGAAACGCGCGACAAATCGAAAGCCGAGGTGTGTGTTGATCCTCTTCGTCGCGGCAATGGAGATAAGCACTGAAACACGTCCTGCTTAGTTCCATCGCCAAACATGTTCAGAGTGTTCCTCAGCAGTTCATCCAGGAGAGCAATGCTCCCGGGCGCGCGTGCAGGGTCCCCTCCGAGCGGCAGAATACTCCCTCGTAAACTATTTCTGCTATCTGCTCTACGTACCGCTGTATCTCGCAGGGCCCATCATCACATACAACGATTTCATTGCGCAACTGCGGTATCCACCGCGGGGGATCACATTCAAGGGCACGGCCCTGTACGCTGTGCGGTGGATGGCAGCTACATTGTTAATGGAGTGGATGCTGCATACTATCTATGTGGTGGCCATTAAGGACACCAAGGCGTGGGAGGGATTCAGTCCGTTCCAAATGAGTATGGTCGGGTACTTCAATTTGAAGCTGATATGGCTGAAGGTATGCGGCATACTTGTTTTTCAGTCCGTTTTATTCGGCTTGTTGGTCCAACTCACTGCTGCTCATCCAGCTTCTCATAATCTGGCGCTTCTTCCGCCTCTGGGGCATGGCCGATCGGGTCGAAACAACCGAAAACATGACCCGCTGCATGTCCGACAACTACTCCGCAATGGAGTTCTGGCGGTCCTGGCATCGCTCCTTCAACCGCTGGCTGATCCGCTACATGTACGTCCCCCTCGGCGGGTCGCGGTACTACGCCCTCAACATCTTCCCTACCTTCACCTTTGTTGCTATATGGCATGATATTTCGCGGAAGTTGTTGACATGGGGGTGGTCGGTGTCGTTGTTCATATTGCCGGAGTATGTGCTGAGGATGGTATTTGCTAATGAGCGGGTAAGTGCGCGGGACGGGTGTGCAGAGTACTGGCCCATCCCTATATTCTGGCTTCACTCACGTTTGTGGTCGGTCCTCGATTTTCCTTGAAATTAGTGGCGCCAGAAGCTCGGCCCAACGACATACCGGCACATAACAGCCTCCGCAGCGGTGGTAAACATCATCCTGATGATGATTGCCAACCTCGTCGGTTTCGCGGTCGGCGTCGACGGCGTGAAGGAGATGTTGGGCCAGATCTTCAATGCAAATGGTGAGTTGGGGATTTGAGTTCGGGCCTATCCTGGGATTCAATGGAGAAGCGGCCAGAAGGGCGGGCGGAACAGTACCGCATAGAGGTGGACTCCTCAAACAAGACTGACTCTTCGCTCCCTCTGTCTCCATACTAATCATGCATCGGTTTCGTAGGCATCATCTTCGTGATCAGCACCTTTGTCGCCCTGTTCTCCGCCGTACAGCTCATGTTCGAGCTTCGGAATGAGGAAGAGCGGCGAGGGTGGCAGAAATGATTGAGACGGTTTTGGAAGTCAATGTCTCTTTGACGAACCGAGGTGGTCTGCCGAAAGACTTCCGAAGCGGGAATTACCTAGGACTTGGCAATCAAGTCGCCAGGAGGGTGGCATCATTATTCATCATGTTCAAGTAGTTATCAAACATTCTGTCGCCTATGCATCATCAATGTCTTCCCCTCTTTGTGGTGTTCCCTGCTTCGTATAACGCATTTTGACGGCGCCGCTCGCCGCTCTCTCTCAGTGGCTGTCAGTCTCCAGCTCCAGCTGCGTTGCTAAGCGATATCCTACTGCCATTATATGCAGATTGGCAAATGTGAGCCATCACCCTGATGCTCAGGAAGAATACAGCTTGGTTCTGGCGGGCAGAAGAGACCGTCGTCCTACCCCAGCTAAAGAATACGCTGGGATGCCAGAGTGGGCCCTGGGAGAGCATCATTCCATCGACTCATCAGTCTTCGAGTATCTTGAACCCCAATGGTTGGGATGTGTTCTGGATCCGATCGCATCGACTTGAGGAGCGGCTTCTCCTTCAAATGCACAGGTTTTGGACCCTCTGGCGTCTCGGGTATGACCTTCGTGATGCCTTGTATCCCAAAACTTAGCTCAAGAACCCCTCCTCGATAGGAGCGACCGTCGTTCCGGACAGCACGCCCGCTCAACTTATTCTTGAATACACAGTTATTGAACGCCTTTGTTTCGCGTCCGACATTGTAGCAGGTGGGGGAAGTTCATGTGCAGAAATTTCCAGCGCTGATTCCATTCCTTGTCGTACTTATCCTTCAGCTTCCACATCCTATTCCTGCGCGATATCCATACCCGAGTCGATCTCCCACCCACTTCCGGGAAGTCTTGATAACTTCCTCCCTCGTTCAACGCAATGGAAGGTACCATCCAGCGCACATCTTAAGCCCTCCGCCCCTCCTTCAGACACTGTTTCGGGTCCTGCATCTCCTTCTTGCACAGCACACAAGTGGTCGGTGTGCTCCGCAGTTCGAGGCGAATGGAACGCGACGGATTCCAGCGGCGCGGACGTGCAGCCCACTTCGGCAACAGAGGGAGGGATCTCGCTGGATAATGACGACTTTTCGACCCAGAGACCTTCGAGAAATGTCTTCGCGATGTGTTGTCGGATGCAGTGTCGGATGCTTTTAGTGATAGATATTCCGGTGCGCAACTGGAGCACTTGGGACGTCCTAGCCAGAATCCTGTAGCACAACGAAAGCAACGAACGCGCCTCAAGAGTCAACAGAGGTGAGCAAGCAGCTCAACCTGAGCTCAGACCTGAGCTCAACGTCTGAAAAGTTAAAACTCAAAGTTCTAGCTAGAGCTCCCAGCACATCCTCCTCGCAACCCTCTTGCTTTCTTGCCAACTGCACCGCATAGAGTACGAGAGAGGCGGAACGGCCGTCCCTATACTGCCCTAGATCTTTCGGTTACCGAGCCCTCAGCTTCCCACCGCCTTCTCCAGCCCACCCCAGCCAACATGGTCGTCCGGATTCGTCTAGCACAATGGGGCCAACGCCATAACCCATTCTACGGCATTGTCGTCACAAACCACCGTGCAGCACGGGACGGCAAATATCTCGAGCGGGTGGGGACATACAACCCTATCCCCGACGCAACAGGGATCAAGCGAATGGAGCTGAACGCGGACAGGATAAAGCATTGGTTGGGCGTTGGTGCCCAGCCAAGCGATAGGGTGGCTTGGTTGCTGGCAAAGGTGGGTGTGGTGGACTTGCTGTGGGGGGCTGTTTTGGTGGGTCTGCGACCTAGACCGATGTCTGACTTACACCTTTCTGCAGCTGGATCTCATGCCGCTAAAACCACGCCAACTTCAGAACCAAGGCACTGTCTCAGTAAACGACCCCAAGACATGGGAAATCCAAGTACGAAATGCATCCGGCGCCGCCATCACCCACCTGACCGCCTCCGAAGCTCGCAACTTGCTGTCGGATACGGAACTCGGGAAGGAACTGCCGAAAGACCACCCGCCCAAACCGCCAGCTACGTCGTCGATCACACATGAGACCCTTAAACTGGACGGAACTCCACCGGCGCAACCATTGACGGCCGCCGAGCGGTTGCTTGTGTTGCAGAAGTTGACGGGCATCCAGCGATGAGATAGTGGAAAGGATGAGCGTTACGAGAACGCAGGCACGCCAACACCTCCTTGTGCAATAGGGGCACTGTTTTGGAAAACTGCACTCACACTACATATACAAGCAGAACCACATAGAGTTCCCGATTTTGATGGGCATCACCGGTTACTAGCTCGTGGAGGTTGTTTGTTACATATTTATAGCCGAATAGAATCAGATACCAAGTATTACATTCAACAAATCCTTATTTACATGCGTCTTATCGATCAGCAGAGAAGTAGCCTCAAATGCGCCTATCAACTAGAAGGTAACTACGATCGACAATGTGATTTCGCTACATCTCGAAGCTACACTGGGAGACGATAATCGGCACTCAATGGCGAAGCTTTTCATGTTGCTCGCCCGCTCCTCGAATCATGTCCGCCCCGACCCGGCGTCGGCGGAACAGTACGCGCTTCAAACTTCCCACTAACATGGCAACGGACAGCGTGCGTGATATCCCGCCGAGAGGGAACACCGGAGCCCAAGTGCCGATGTTCGTTCGTTTGCTGGGCCTTCGCTGCCCCAAAAGGGTGCTAATTTCCCCCCTATTTCTACTATCGCACCAGCGTTGCGTCAATTTGAGTCAACTGGGGCAGCAACGTTTTCAACTTGAGTCTGTAGGTTGCCCTCGACGTGGTTTCCAGTGGGTTGCCCTCCAGATACACGGTCGTGAGCTCCTTCTTTTCTTTCAATTGGGCCTCCACTTCCTCAAAGGACGCGAATTTGTTCCCATTGGCCTAGAAGGATCAGAGAAGTGATCAGTATGGCATACCAACATGGGAGCGCGCTCAAATCTGCACCAGCATCTCCCTGAAAGCGCTACCAACCCAAAGCTCTTCCAAATGCTCAAGGGGCTCCAAGCCCTGCAAGTGTGTTATCCGATTCGAGCTGATGTCGAGCGTCTTCAGGTTCTTGTTGCTTTCCAGCCCTTCCACCGTCTCAATTGCGTTGTGACTCAAGTACAGCTCCTCCAAATTGCTCAACTCGGATAACCCTTCTATCTTCGTAAGCCGATTGCTCTGACAGTGTGTAAATGGATTTAGTACACGGCCTTCCAGAGTGGGTTGAGCGTAGGAGGAGCCCGCTCGGTGTACCTGCACGCTCAGGGATTTCAGGTTCTTCAGCTTACTCAGTCCCTGTAAGTAGACCACGGTGTGTGAGATAATAGACGTGCAAGGGCAGCAGCCGATCGAGCAAGCCCACCTGAAGCTTTGTGATCTTGTTCTTCCCCAGCCACAATTGCTCGAGGTTCACCAGAGTGTCCAGGTTCTCTATTACCTATATCCGAACGTAAGCCTCGGTAAGCACCCGCATGATAGCCCTACAGACGCAACTGCTTCCCTCAATGGGAAAACTTACCCGTATCCGGTTGGCGCCCAACTCCAAATTCTTCAAGTTGACCAACGTTTCCAACCCTTTGATTTGGGAGATCTTATTGGCGACAAAGAACAGATCGGTCAGATTTGTGAGATGGGCTATGTTTTCGATGTGTCGGATTTTGTTGAACGACAGGTCCAATGAACTGGCAAGATGCACATCTATCAGTTCGTTGCGAGCACCTCTTCGGATGACTTTTGGTGTCTCACGTCAAAGCTGAAACAGCTTCGAGATTCTCGATCTTGGAGAGCCGATTGTCATAGTAGTCGAGCTCGTCCAGGTGGGGCATGTGTGGGAACACCCCGATACGCGCAAGAAGGTTTTGTCGAAACCGGAGTCTCTGTCGTCGTAACATCACAAGTAAGCATTTGTTGCGGGGGCCTCGCCGCTCCACAATAATCATCCAACCTGTAGCTGCTTGAATCGTGTAAAATCTAGCCCTTCGAGTGTGTTCAGCCGTTGGTGGACAAGGTCCAGGTCCTACATAGTCATAGTGCTCAGTAATTGTCACCCCCCTAAAGCACTGAGAGCCAAGTAGGCGCACCTCCACATCGTCAGGCACATCATCCAGAAAGCCCTCTAGAGGATATCAGAAGGATAGTCAGTTTAGCTTGGCGAGAAAACACGTTGAATGCCGAAGATTGCGCATAAGATCACCTAAGGACCGCCCAACTTCCTGCTCAGGGGTCTCCTCTTCTGAATCAGAGTTCCCAGCGGCCCCGTTCACCTGCGGAGTGGCGTTTGCTGCTGAGGCGAGCTCTCCTTCCGTTGCCTGGTCGCTCATGATTAGCTTTTGTCAAAGTCCGCAAGCACCAATCTGTCGTCCAACGAAAGCAGAGGCCCTCATGATATAGGGGCGGCAATGGCTTGACTTGTTTGGCTTGACTATTACCGGGTGGTGGTGATCAAACCAAATCGTGGCCAGCCACGGCTAACCATTGGTTAACCATGGTTAAGCTCACATTAGACTTTGACAGTATTTGACAGATTCATATACAAAGGACTTACAGGGAGTGGCCTCATCCCTAACCATAACCCTAACCGTGCCAAATCATGTTGGGACCGGTGGTCAAGCCATGACTTGCCCATTTCTGGTCAAGTCAACTGATGGCTTCTACAGCCAAACCTTGTAGCCTAGTCGGACCGCGCCATGGCTTGCCTCATGACAGCGCGTACGGATTTCGACAGTATTTTTCAAAATGCCTTTCAATATTTATACGGCCCATAATATGAGGCATGGAGGAAGGGTTAAAGAGGAGTTGCCTGCTGCGCCTGCTCATCGCTTGAGATGTCGGAATGGACAGGACTTGCGGACGAACGTTCTGCAGGAGTTCATACCCTGCATTTGTATTGCACCGCGGTACGCCCATACCTGACGGTGACTCTTTCCTCTGATCTCTCACTAAAATGTAGGTGGGTAGCAACGTATCTCAAGCTTTCCGGGCGGAAAGCAATGGCCGTGCAGAGTCGTAATAAAGTCCTGTAAACACATCGTCTTGATCCGTGCCAGTGTAAGGAGAGGCTATAGGCGACCTTCAGAGGCCGCGTGCAGAATGTTAGACATCAACTGTGAACATATCATAGAATTCTTTCCCATACCCTGAGACGTTGCCGTTGACGGCCTTCCAATCTCTCCGGAAACGAAGAGCGGTCGGGGTTCCTGTGGCCGCCGGGTCTACCGTAATCGAAAACATATTTTGCTGACCTATCCAGTCAATGCTCGGCTTATCAATGCGCCTGTCACCAAGATTGTAGTTCGAGTCCATCGCCACAACACTGCATGTCAGGATATCAGCGAATATTTGGGAGGGTAATCCAGCTCAAAGATCTCTGGTGAGGAGCCAAACGTAGTCTACGGAGAAGGTATTAGATCCACTGCGATGGGTGACCGACGCCCGACAACTGAGCTTTGACTTACTGTCGAAAGCCGAGACGAGCAGCCTCAGCATGCTGGACAAACCACTTAGCGGGACTATTGACATTGTACCCGAAGGGAAGGATGATGGCGATTTTCAAAGTTCGAGGAGAGAGAGACAAGGCCGCGTCCGACAACGGTACGGAGACGGATAGGATCGCTACGATGACTACGGGTAGCCACATCGTGAAAGAAAGTTTATAGTATTGATCGAAAACGTATATATGACGTTCTTGGTTCTCGTCCGAAAGTCCAGGAATGAAACGAACCTTTTTCGCGCACTGCCTCCTCGTTTCTTCGCCAGACGTGACAACAACCTACCTTTAGACCCTGAGAATGATGAGGAAAACAATGGCACTGCATATCATATGTCTGCATGCGGAAAAACAGGGATTTTGAGGAAGAAGAGTCGGTGTGTACAAAGACAAAGCAAATGCTACAATAGCATGAGGACCAGAGGACCCTTCGTCGGAAATCTTGCTTACCCGACGTACTGACAGTGGACGAGGGAAGTGTCGAATTAGCAATGGCCACCTGCTAGAAGCCCTGAACTACCGTACCGAACGGTTTCACCGTCGGGAATCGTATTTTTTTGAACGCCATCTCAGCGGCAACCATAAACGACGGCGAGCTCCACAACATACCACCATGGCAGAACCAAAGCAATCCACGTCGTGGATCCCTCTGGAGTCCAATCCTCAGGCATGCCGACCCTCCTCTTCTCAAAATCGGCCACCGCATCATGATCTAACGCGAGTGGTCTCAGGTCATGAACACATACACCAACAAACTCGGAGTGACCTCGAAATGGGCTTTCACAGACGTATGGGGTAGGGCAGAACGTTTGTCTTGCGCAGTACTGTATCGGAGGAGCTGCTGTTGACAGCTTCTACTGTTCGGCAGGTCTGGACGAGGAGCTCTTGCAGTTCATCCCGCGGCCCGTGCTAGCGGTCGTTCTGCTGTTCCCGATCACCGAGAAGGTAACATCAGCAATCATTGGCTGTGGTATCAGCTCCATGATCGTGGCGTCTCAACATGGATCATTATAGTATGAGGATCATCGCAGGAGTGAAGAAGCCCAAATCAAGGAACGCGGGCAAACCGTCAGCAAGAATGTGTATTTCATCAGGCAGACCATAGGCAACGCGTGTGGGACGATTGGACTCTTGCATGCCCTTGCCAACAATGTGGAAAACTTCGAACTGGGTCAGTATACGCGTTGGGGCAGTGTAATCGGTTCATGGGTCAGTGTACCTGGGGGTGTTCGATCGACCTCACTGACCCCGCGAACGGCGCAACGCAGGCGACGGACCGTTGAAAAGGATCTTGGACGAGACTCTCCCGAAGTCTCCTGACGATCGCGCGAAAGTACTCGAGGGCTCTAACGAACTGGCGGCCGTTCACGAGGAGAGGTAGGTCAACCCTTCGCTCCCGGTTTGAGGGCCGAAGCGGCTCACCCCATCATGCCATGTCAGCTCTCAAGCTGGCCAGACCGCGGTAAGCATCCCATGTTATGCAGATTCGTGGGTCCGACGGACACTAAATCCTTGTTACAGGCCCCGTCTAGGGACCAAGATGTAGACCTACACTTCATCTGCTTCGTCCGCAAAGACGGGCATCTCTATGAGTTGGATGGTAACCCATTCTTGCTTCCTTTCAATACACATCGCACAAAAAATCCTAACGTCGCATCCCGCAAAAAAAAGGTCGCAAACCGTTCCCCATCAACCACGGACCAAGCGACGATGTCCTCAAAGATTCGGTGAAAATCGTCCAGCAGTTTATGGGGCGAGATCCCGACAACCTTAATTTCACGGTCATTGCCTTGGCTCCGGCTCAAGACTGAGCCGCGCAGGCAGATGGGTCGTTGTCGCTATACGAGTATCGGGCCCAGTGCGTAACTGATCAGGAAAAACGGCGTGTAAACTAATGGAAGCGGGCCTGCCTACATACTGTATCACCACGAATAGGTCTTGTATAGTTCTGTATCTAGCTTTTTGGAAGGGGGTCGGGCAAACAAACCCCCCAATGAGTGTACTTCAAAACATAACGGAAATGTAATATGTATGAGCTGAAAAGGAAGGAAGACGGTGGCAAAAGGCATGGGCTGACATGGAACCGGGCGCGGAAATCAAGAGCGGGAAGCTGACATGGAAAGCTGGCATGGAACCGGCGTAAAGGATAACAGCCAATGATCCACAGCCATGGTTTTACAAACCCCGTTACCTTCACAAAAACCCAGGGCCATCCGGACATCATCTCCCCACCGGTCTCATCTTGGATATCCAGCAAAACTCAAAAGAACTTGCAAAAAGGAAGTATATACTGCAAGGACCAAGCGACATACAATACATACAAACGCCTCAAACTGACGCAAGAAGAATCGTACGCCGATCGAATCAACTACAAACTACGCTAAAACAATCTACATGATGTGTGTTGTGGATGGTATGAATGCCATGTGATGTGATGTGATGTAATATGGTATGCTGGAGGGGGGGGGGGGTGGGGGGGGGGCAGCTAAAGCCTACGGTTCTAAAATTGCCCTACGCCGTGCATGTGAAATGATTGAATCAGATCGTGGTGTGGATGTTGAAATGCGGTGTTTGTGTGTGTTGCAAAATGTTGTGATGCCATGTTTGTGCGTGAGTGCGTGAATGTATGCGGAAAGATGTTGTAGTTCACCAACCCCCCAGCGACGCCGCCGACGAAGCCGACGACGCCCCGTCATCCCCCATCTCCGATACCGGTCTCTCCAGCCCGGTGCCGACCTTCCACCATGCCTCGGCGATATCCAGATCGCGTGGTGTCGGCGTGCGCTGCGATGGCGTCTCGTAGCCTGTTTCCATCTCCTCTCTGGTGGCGTAGGGGTGGGTGGAGGCTTCGGCTGCTGGTGCGGCGTGGTTCATGTGGTGGCGGTGGTGATTCCAGTCGATACTCCGGGGGGGTCGAATTTGGGCGTCTTCGATGGCTTGCACGACGTGTTTGATTGCTCTGCAGTGTTGCGGTGTTTGCTGTGTTGTTGCTGTTGCAGCAGCAGCAGCATTCCGTTCGGTGGGTGTCACCGAGTCGTCGAACCGGGTACAATCGCACGTGTCCAGAGTCAAATTTCCGATGCTCAGATGCGCCAGCCCCAGGAGTTCCAGGAATGTTGTTTTGGTCCGCATGTGGTGAGAGAACAGGGATGCAGGTGTCGCCGCGATGTTGAACAGGGCGCGGAGGTGCGGTTGCGGGAGGGGCGTGGAGGGGACGAAGGTGAGGATGTGCTCGATGAGTTCGACGGGGAGGGCGTGGATGCGCGCGACATGAGTGGGTGTGCGTGGCGGGGTCAGCAATAACCGTGCACGGGGTAGGAGATGGCAAGCCGCATGAGGCGCAAGCCTTACCGCGACCTCCTCACACCCGTTCTGCACGGCCAGGCGGTAATTATGCATTGCCAACGTCGCGTTCTGGGGGACGCCGAGGGCAAGTTCGTGGCATATCCCCAGGGAGAGTTGGGAGAGGCCGTGGTGCTGGTGTGCGGACTGGGTGAACCACAGGGACGCTTTGCTGTCGTCCCGCACGATCCCGAAGCCTTCGTGGTAGCACCGGCCGAGATTGTATTGCGCGTGCGGGTGGCCCATGCGTGCCGCGTCGATGTAGCAACGGACGGCGTGGAAGGGCATGTAGTGGTCGAGGCCGATGCCTTGTTCGTAGAAGATGCCGAGGGTGTTCATGGCATTGATGGAGCCGAAGCGGGCGGCACGCTCGTACCATGCAAAGGCTTGCGCCGTGTCTTCTTCGACGGCGATCCCGCGTTCGAAGAGCGTGCCGATGTTGTAAATGGCGGCGGCTTCGCGCTGCGCGGCCGCTTTGATGTACCACCCGAGTCCAATGGTTGGGTTGGTCTCGCAGCCTTGCCCTTCGACATACAGGTTCCCTAACACGTTCTGCGCGCCGGCGACACCATGTTGAGCTGCTTTCTCGCACCAATAGAACGCCTTGCTATTGTCCTCATCGGTAGCGATCCCGTTGAAATAGCACAGCGCAAGGCAGAACTCGGCGGTAGGCACACCAGCATCCGCAACGAACTGCAACCACTGCAATGCATCCGAGCCTTTCCCACCACCCAAGCCCACCGTCTTGCCATCTCCCGCACACGCCCGTCTCCACTTATCCGCCTCAGCATGGTTGATCTTGATCCCGACCCGTCCATGCGTCTTCAAAAACGCCAACCGCGCCATCGCCAGCCCACTGCCCCTCAACGCGGCCATCGTATACAGACTTTCCGCCGTCTCGTAATTCTCCTTTGTGGGCCGTAACCGCTCCCCATCCTCGTCCGTAGCCCCACCAAGGCCCATCCGAAACTCGCTGAAGAACCCAGACACGGCGGTACCGCTCGCGACGCCTTCTTCGCCCGCGCGCAGGAAATGGTCCAGGGCGTCGTCCTCGCGGCCTTTGATGAGGGCGAAGGTGCCCAGCGCGAAGTGAATATGGCCTTTGAGTGTCCCAGACGGGCGGGACCGGCCGCCGCGGGACATGGAGTCGTCGAGGACGCTGGAGCGGGGTTTGGGCGTGGGTGGAGAGGTCGTGAGCAGGCTGGTGGTTAATGCTGATAGGGAGTCCATTCGTCTGGTGTTTCTTCTTTCTACAGGTGACGGTCGTCGGTATATATGTATATGTGCTGTGTACAAGGGTCGGAGGTATATATATACAGTCCTCGGCCAGTTGCTTCAAATCACCTTTTCGTTCTCGTCTTCTTCAGATATCGTGCAAACCCCGGTTGATGGAAGTTGGCAAAGTGCGAACGGTTGAGTCGGCTCAGCAGACGGAGGAGGCAGTTAAGAGACAGCGGTTTTCCTCTTCAGGTTCGAAAGGGCGGGAATGAGTCCGGTGAAGGCTTCGGTTTCAGATAAGCTGTCGCTCCAAAAATAGGTACAGGCGAGCGGCCGGAAGTCCAAACAAGGTTGGCCGCATGTGGCAGCAAGGTCGACAATGCGGTTCAGTCCGTTCAGTCAGTAGAGCCAGGGGTGAGCTGAACAGAAGTGGAGTACATGCAGGTACATGCAGGTATATACATGCAGGTGGTAGTTTGGGAAGGGTGGGAATGTGGGTGGGAAGGTCTGGGGCGAGCGGTGCCCTCTCTGCCGTCATCACTTTGCGGACGAGGGCCAAAGACTCCAAAGAGGCCAAACCGCTCGCGTGTATCAAAGCAACGAGAAGCAAGGCAAGGAGACGCAAGGAGACGCAAGGAGCATCCCCATGGCAAGCTCCCCTCACTTTACCTACCCAGCACTGTACTGGGACTCTGCAACTTCCGCCTATCCGTCCGTCGGCCCCCAAAGTCACCATGTCTCAGTCTTCTCACTCGCACTCCGCTCCACACCATCACTCCTCCCAGCCCATCACAACACCCGCACAAAACCCTCCTCAGACCAAGCCAGAGGCTCCCCCCGCCCCCTCCCCACAACAACAGGCAGCCACCACCACCCTCCCACCCACCATCCCCGCCGCCCTCCAAAACGTCGACTACAACTTCAACTGGGAACGCCACGCAGACGACCCAACCCACGACCCATTCCTCGCCTCTTACTTCAACGTCGACCAGGCGTCGGTGGCGAAGAACCGCTGGATCTTCCTCTTCAAGCTCGCTGCCATCATAACCGCGGACAAGACAAACGGGCGGCCTGGACCCCCAGCGCCTTTGGAGTGGGATCGGATCGTGGGGCATAGCGATTGGTGAAGAGGGAAAAAGAGCAATCAAATGGAGAGAACTTACTGTATATACAGTATTTCGTTCGTTGATGTTGGCAAGTCTCAGTGAGACATCGAGTTACACCGACAGAAATAGATCCTACGGTGGTTGCGAGACGCTCATCCCATATGCAGGGGTGTTTCGCAACCACCCCAGGCTCGCTTCAATCATTAATCGTTGCAGACAAATGGATGTTCAGTTTCAAAAAGCAGCACCGACAAACGGGCCCGTTGGAATTGTGTATGCATATGTATACAGGTACCGCTTTCCCAAAACCCCCACTGTATCGATCGCTCTCACACCCGTGAAGGCATCCTGCACGTAGTAAAGAGCCTCCTGCCTCACCGTCTTCTCCCATGATACAAAAAATGCTCTCCATCACTCGCGCGCGATTCCCATCCCTATCAATCACTCACGACGTCTCCCTACTCACACCCTCTCCTCCAACCTCCTCCGGGGTAATCTTCCTCTCCTCCACCACCACAGTTTCACTCCCCGCCGGCGGCGCACTCCCCGTCTGCTGCTGCTGCTGCTGCTGCTGATACTGCTGCATATAATACGGCGGTATGCCCTGCTGTTGTCCGGCTTGCTGTGGCTGTTGTTGCTGTTGTTGTTGATGTTGATGTTGTATTTGCGCCACGCGAGGTTGTTGGGAACTGGATGATGGTTGAGATGGGGAATCGTCTGTGAGGTGCCGGATGCTGTTGGTGTCTGGTTGAGAGAGTTGCTGTGGGTGTGGTGGCGGGTGTTGTTGGGATTGTGGGGGTTGGGGGAGGTGTTGCGTGTGTGGGACTGGCTGCTGAGGGACATAAAAAGGCGTCAATCAAATTGGGGGCCAAATTGTAGGAAGCACTTATGTATTAAGTGGCCGTACCTGGTTCACCCGCATTTGATACGCGAGCAATTGCTGCTGTTGTTCTGGACTCAGTGACTAAATATGCATGAACGATAGCGGTGATCAGACAAATCTCAACGGAGAGAAACCGCTGTCGGCGATCTGTGGGCTTACCGAAAGGTACTGCACAGGATTCTGATAGTACGCATACGCCGCCGGAGGTTGCTCCTAAACCCCAAACCGCAAACGTCAGTCCCCACTCCAATACACGAACCCCACAGATGAACCCGCCTATAACATACCATCTTAGTCGGCGCAGCAGCCGGCTTATTCATCTCCTCCCTCGGCACAATATCTATCAAAACTGCACCCACAATCAGCCCCCCAGTCGCATCACACCATCCCCGCCACCCGACTCACAATCATACTGATCCGATTTCCCAATCGCCGTCGCGACATCGCTCTTCTGCAGCGTGCGCCGTTTGTGCTCCTCGGTGTGGATCCACGCCCGCATCGTCAGCTCGATGATGAAGATCTCGCAGGCCTTGGAGAAGATCATGGGTGCTTCGGCGCTTATCATCTGTGTGGGTCCCGTGGGTTAGACACCATTCACCCCCTCATTCAACCCTCGTGTTGCGGGATAATTACCATGGTCTGAGAATGGAAGATATTGTAAGTGACTTATCACTGCGACGTACCCGGGCTAGTCCAAAACATACCTTAGCATCCTCATCCGCCTTCATCACCTTCTTCACCCTCGCCAGCGGCAGTTGGTGATACTTGAAGTCCAACGGCCCGGTCTCCATCTCCATTTGGGTTTGCTAAGTTCAAAAAAAAAAGTCAGTGTATCCATTCGAAAGGGAGAGGGGACCGTGCATATAAACCCCACCTGCCAAAACGCCTGCATCATTTGCTGCACCTGCTGCTGCGTCACGAGATCTACATTCGGGGGTAGGGACTGTGGGGGACCCTGTACACTTGGAGCACTTTGAGCACTTTGAGAACCCTGGACATGAGTGTTGGGGAAGGGGGCATGTTGTTGTTGTTGTTGTTGTTGTTGTTGATGATATTGCTGTTGTTGGGGATGTTGTGATGTATGTTGCTGTTTCAGGTGCATGGCGGGGTGTGGATGTGGGGGGGATGGTGGGCCGGAGTGGTGCTGCTGCTGGTGGTGCTGCTGCTGGTGGTGTTGGTGTTGGTATGTGGGGTTTCTTGGGTCTGCCATTCCGTCGATGTTGGGTTTCATCAGAGCTCGAGAGGAAAGCGCCAACTGCGAAACGTTGAACTTTGATCAGAAGCGCGCGTTTCCCTTCAGAGGCTGCCATCGTAAGGACGCCGACTGACCCCACATATCTACCAACTCACATACACAACTACGACGTACAAGCTATGACTGGATCTTCAGGGTATGCATGGACAGAACTTCTATCTCTGATGCACATAGATCTCATTACACTACATCAACATCCAGTGAACGCAGATAGTGGCACTAAGCTGTGAAGCGAAACCAGAAACCCTTCCATGCTAAATGAGAGATATGCGTTCAATGGGGGAGGAACAAATCGCTTTCCCATGAAGAAGACCCTCTACTGCAGGGGTAGCACGTCCGGGGATGCGATGTGCTTGTCAAAGTGCGGTCGAGGAATCGTCTATGCAGAGGGGAACCCCGGCTCATCTCAGCATAGTGGAGTCCCAGCCAGATCGTAAGCGCTCCGCGTTCCATCCACCATTGCTCTGCTCGACCTCTTTGGGGTGTTCACAAGCCCCATGTTCCTTCTGCATGCCGACATCCACTGCATCATTAGCGATTTGGCGTCTGCAGTGCGGTAGAAAGCCCAATTCCCTCCTTCTAACTCTATCCAGTAACACCCCAAGACATCCAAGATCCCCCCGCTCAACTCTTCCCAGGAAATATCGGTCCTTTTGACCCATCTGGACCAGCTTCTGCATTCCCTATCGATGGCCGTTGTGTGTTGCTGTGCGTTGGTATCGGCCATTTTCCCGTCGCTCGCAGCTCTACACAATCCCAAATGACATATGTTTGAGTAACCATCCCGAGAGCGTCAGACTTTCGAATCCATCAATCACAGGACTGACCTTCCTCATCCTCCTTCGACAGCGCAAACATCTCCATCTTCTTCTGGTCATACCACCTCCTTGCCTAAACGCAGGAGATACATCAGCTTTCCACCCACTCCTTCCAAACAGCCCACAACATTCCAACTTTTCAACCGTACCCCGCTAAAGCAGTGCTCGCCATCCCCCCAGTCCGCCGATAAAACCATGAACGAGACCGCGGCGACGGTTGCAAACCGACCAAAGACTTTGAAGGCTTTGACTTTTGGCGGGGTTTCCAGGTTTCCTGTGGAAGGAAATTAGATCCTTCTTGGAGGGTAGGATTGAATAGGGTGAGGGACTTACGTGCGCTGAGAATGCGTCGACGGAATTTGAGGGCGCGGGCGTCTTCGGCGATTATTTTTGGGACGGAGGAGTCGTAGTGGGACATATTGGCGTAGAGGTACTGTAACGAGCTGAGTAGAAAGGGTCCTTTTCTTGGGAGTGTAGGAGCGCTTTGCGGTCGGCGTCCTATCCGAAGGTTCCTCAGGATGCATATGTCCGTGGGGGCAGTAGCAGGGCAGCAGTAGTGAGTGGAAAAGGCATAAAAGGAGAGCGCGCTTTTGAGGACTCCCGACATTTGACATTCAGGCCGGCAGACATTCCCGCCCAAGACTCGATAAGGATACCCGCCAACGGCACCCACCAGAACCCGCCTTTGACCTTGGGATACACACCTGCATAAGCCAGCGACTGAAAAAAATGCGGGCGGTACACATAGCGTAGTTTCTTCTATTTTGGCGAAGCAGTCCTTGTTTTGTACAGAAAACCTTCAGGATGTCATCTCTATACCACTTGTTTGGAAATGTTGACGAGAAGACTGGTCGTTTGCAAGAAGATGCCGACTTGCCGGAGGTGAGTGGGAAGACTCAAGTTGCCGCACTGAAACAGGCATGTAGTCGGACTCGGGACTAATTGCCATGCATTAGGAACTTCGAGAGACTCTGGAGGATTCCGGGGACTACCTGAGTGCTTTGTTGGGAGGCGACTTCGGGTTAGGAGGGGACAGCGATGGGCAGGATGGGGCACGAGCTGGCGGAGAAATCGTGCAGCCAAACCTGGACGCGGAGGACTTTTCCGGGATCGGCAACGAAGATCTAGCCGAAGATGACGTCCTCAAGGATATACCCTTGCCGCAGCCTGCCATACAGATGCCGTCTCAGCTTCCACCGACATTGATGACACCAAAGTCCATATCCTCAGAACCGCATCTGAATGGGGTAAACGGGCACATGGATCACGCCGCCGAACGACAACCCCATGCCGACGAGATATACGACGAAGCCCGACTGGCGAGGCTGTTTCCGGGTTACGATGCTTCGTTTATGCACTTCAGCACGATGTTTACTGCTAGCATGGCTAGGAAACCGAAGCCTGTGAAAAAGATGGGGCGGATGAAACAGTCGGTTCGGAACGTGCCGTATTTTGTAGCGCGCGATGACCGGGAGCTGTTCGATCAGCAGCTGCCATCACAGCTGCCACGGGCAGAAGGAAGGGTCCGTGAGGTGGCGTTGGAAAGTTTAGAGCCGGCATCACCAGACTCTGCAAAGGAGGAACCTGAACCTTGGCTCGAGGACTTGCATCCTGCCCTATATCCTGTGCTTCTGGAGACGTGGGAGGACCGGATATTGTGGGAGGATGACGAATCAGATCATGTATCTTCTGAGCGCGGTCCGCAAAAGAGCATTGTCGATAGATTCGCCCTGCGAAATTATGACTTGGAGGAGATGAATTGGGAGGACGATGTGCACTGGGACAGTCCAGATGACACTGCCGCTTCACCCCTCGAGCCAAACCCGTCCGAAACGCCTCACACTCCGGCGGTCGCGCAAAAGCAAACAACATCCCGATGGCGAGATAACCGAAGCGATGCATCAAATGCCTGGAAACTAAAACGATTCAACATCTCGCATGACCGGTACTACGAGAACGAAACAGCCGTTGGCGCCGATCGCGTGCGACAAACATACGGCCCAGCAACCCTGCAGCACGCACTGCCCGCTATCAAACTGCACCCACAGTGGTACAAGTACAACCTATCAAAAAAAGAGCTGCGCTCCTTCCATCGACCAGGTCTGCGATTCACGCAAGGCAATACGATTCGCTTCACACGGGTACGCCTAAAAAAGAAGAAATCGAAGGGCAAGGACACCTCGGATATGATGCGCAATCCGAGCGATATCACGTTAAAAGACGCGACTGGATACGCTTTACTAGAGTACTCGGAAGAATACCCCCCGATTCTGATGAACCCCGGGATGGCAACATTGATATACAACTACTACCGGAAGTCGAGCGCCAAGGACACCACGCTCCCGCAGATGGAGATGGGGACGCCATTCCTGTTGGAAGAAGTGGACGCATCACCGTTCCTCGGCTTCGGAGACGTCGAACCGGGGGAGACCTTGCAGGCCATCACCAATAACATGTTCCGCGCCCCCATCTTCGAGCACCGAGCGAGCGACACGGACTTCCTCGTCATCAAACAGACCTTCCACGGCGAAACAAAGTACTTCCTGCGCGAGATCCCCAACCTCTTCACCGTCGGGCAGACCTACCCCCTCCAAGAAGTTCCGCGCCCGCAATCGCGCAAGATCACACAAACGATCAAAGGCCGTTTGCAAGCGGTGACGTTCCGCAACATGCACAAAGACCCGTTCAAACGGCTGAAATACGACTCGATCGTGAAGCTGTTCCCGCATTTCACCGAGACGCAGCTGAAGCAGAGGTTGAAGGAGTTTGCGCAGTTTGCGAAGAAGGGGGAGAATACTGGGTGGTGGAAGTTGAAGCAGGGGGTCAGGTTGCCGAATGAGGAGGAGATTAGGCGGTTGGTTACGCCGGAGATGATCTGTTTACAGGAAAGCATGCAGACCGGCCAGCAGCGTTTGACAGACATCGGATACTCTGACATCGCCGCCATGGACGATGAGAACGACGAAGACGAAGCCACGGGCGACATCGAGGTGCAGCTCGCGCCATGGACGACGACCAAGAATTTCGTCTCGGCTAGCCAGAACAAAAGCATGATCAAGCTCTATGGCCCCGGCGACCCGTCCGGCCGCGGGGAAGCCTTCAGTTTCATCCGCGCGTCCATGAAGGAGCCGTTCCTGCGTTTTGGGGAGAGTGCGGAAGACCGCGCGGAACGGGAGAGTCTCAAACCCAAAGGATCGCATCGGTTCTCGTTTGCGGAACAGCAGCAGGTGTATCGCGAGGAGATCAAACGCATTTGGGCGGCCCAGCTTGCGTCGTTACGCGCTACGGACCCGCCTGTTGATGAAGGCGAGGAGACACAGTTTGACATCGAGGCGCTGAGTTCGCGACAACAGCAGATGGAGATGGCCGAGGAGGATGAGCGAAGGCGGCAGTACAGTGGCGGGTACAGCGATCAACGTCTCACGGACCCAGGTGCAGCAGGGCAGACCCGTCCCCCCGCCACGGCCTCCGAAGGCAACCACCTCGATTCGGACTCGGACATCTTCTCCGACGACGACAACCACCGCGCCCCTTCAACCACCCGCGACCGCGAACAAGACGACGCAACCTCCATCGCCGAAAGCGGCACCAGTTACGGCCAACAAGGCCGCAGCAAACGGCTCACCATCCGGCGGATCTACCGCAACCCGACCACCGGCGAAGAGGAGGAGAAATCGGAGGTCATCACAGATATGAAAATCATCAACGCGTACCTACGCCAGCGCGCGATTATTGAGAGCCAGGAGGCGGCCGAGAAGCAGCGCGGGGAGGACAACCCTGAGACGGAGCGACGGCGGAAACGGAAGAATGTGCAGGATCATGTGATGCAGATGAAGGAGGGGAAGAGGAGGCGGGCGTATAGGGAGGCGCATGAGGAGGAGCCGGCGCATGAGCCGTTGGTGTTGAGGATCCGGAATCCGTCTCGTGAGTCCTTACATCTCCGCATTTTTTTTTTGGGTTGAATCGTGAGCGTTTCGCGTCATGGGCCTCTGGATTTAACCATTCGCCTCCCCCCCCCCCCCCCCCCCCCCCATAGTCGCAAACGCCCAAGCCGGCCACCTCTGGCCCCCCGACCACTCCGACACCAACCCCACCCACCGCAAACGCGGCTCCGTCCACTACGCCCACCCATCCGTCGTCGAAGACTACCTCCTTCCCCACCACCCGAAATCTTACGGCGGCCGCCGCCGCGCCAACTCCGAAGTCGAGCTCTCATCCACCCTCGAGCGCATCATCACCGACCTCGTGGCCAACCCGGACGCGTATGAATTCTGTAGACCGGTTTCGGCGGTGCATGTGCCGGATTACTATGTGATTGTGAGGAAGCCGAAGACTTTGGAGCAGATTCGGGATGTAGGTTCCATCTTGCTTTGTTTCTTTTTACATCCCCTTTAGTTCTTTCACTCATCGTCTTGCTCTCGCAAAGGATGTGAAAAACTACCTCTACAAAACCCCCTCGGAATTCATGCGCGACCTGCACCTCGTCGCCAACAACTGCCGCCTGTACAACGGAGCCCACCACCCGCTCACGCTGATCGCCGATTCCCTCGTCGCGCGCGCCAATACGCTGTTGCTCAATGCGCCGGGGAGTGGGTGGACGGGGGTCATGGATCCGCAGGATGAGGAGGACTCGAGGGCGGCGTTGCCGCCGGGGGTCAGTGGGAGAGGGGCTGGGGCGGGAGTGGATGGGGGAGCGGTGAAGATGGAGGAAGGGGTGGTGAAGAGGGAGGAGGAGGGTGGGGAGGGTGGAGTGTAAGCAGGAGGGGTTTTGGGGCGCCTCCACCCTGCTGAAGGGGAATTTCCCTTCGTTTTTTCGTGCCTCCTACCTGCGATTTTTGGATTTCATATCGGCCTCTCTATATCTAGGCCTCTCCCCCGTTTCGACCGTCGAACGCCGTCGCCGAAAGGATGAACTGAATGCCTTCCCGTACCGAAAACGTTGGATCGAATGGTGTAGGCGGCCGTCCGCGTTCACGCAAACGATGAACATTGTTACATCTCCCAAGTGTACATAAGCAGCATCATCTTCCCCGCTATCGATAGTACTTCCTGTACATATGTCGTTCAAAAGATTCCTATGAATCCCACCACCATGACAACTGTAACAATCGATATTTCGAGTGATAGTATAAACGCCGTCGTTGAGAAAAGAGGGACTGGAAGGCTTTTATTTCTCAAAAGACAAAAAGGTGGGGAGGGCCTATAAACAAGAATGGGAGTCCCACATGATATGCGAGGGGGGCGATAGTCGTGGTATCTACAGACACCATTGCCACCTATAGCGACGACAACAAGCTCGACACAGAGCAGTGAGGGGGTGGGTAACAAAAAAGTAGAACAAGGCATGCGTCCGACGATTAGCACAGCCTAACCACCGAACCCGTACAAAGTACGGCCCTGGCGCTTGAGGGCATAGACCACGTCGAGCGAGGTGACTGTCTTGCGTTTGGCGTGTTCGGTGTAGGTCACTGCGTCGCGGATGACATTCTCGAGGAAGGATTTCAGGACGCCGCGGGTTTCCTCGTAGATTAGACCGCTGGGGTGGTGGAGAGTAGAGAACGGTGTGAGTGAGCTTCTATGAGTGAGGGCTTGAGGAAGGAGGTGCGCAGGTGGAACCGTACCTGATACGCTTGACTCCACCACGACGGGCGAGACGACGAATGGCGGGCTTGGTGATACCCTGCGGAATCACAATGCGGTGGGACGATGAGTTTGGAGCAGGTCAAAGAGATAGGAGGGTTGTCCAGCACACCCGACGAAGAATAGGAGAGAAGGAGAGGAAGGGACGAGAAGTGGTGTTTCGGAGGCTACCTGGATGTTATCCCTCAAGATCTTGCGATGACGCTTGGCGCCGCCCTTTCCGAGACCCTTTCCGCCCTTTCCGCGTCCGGTCATCTTGAAGAGTGTGTGGTGTGTGTGTGTAGGAGGAGGGGTGGTGTAGTGTGTTGTGGAGTTGGGGGGACGCTGTGGGTGGGCCGCTGAGGGAGCGGGCGGGCTATGGGTACGTGCTGATTGGAGGAAGCAGATTGGAAGTGGAAGGGAAGAAGCGAGGGTTCTTTTTATGCGCTGGGCGAAAGGGGGCTGGCGCTCAGCAAGTCACCCGTCTCCTAAGTGACTGTGGGGCCGAGAGAGGGCGAGAGATATTACGCGGTGTCGGACTTTATCGGACACTGTCACCGTCGCCGTCACTTGCTCCCCCTCACGCTTTCTCCCTTCCTTTTCTCACAGCTACTATGCATCACGACGAGACCGCTTTCAAGAGAACCCTCCTGGTATCCATCACATTCATGTTTTGTTTCCAGGCATACACAGCTTAGGCCATCACACCAGCGCTCAAAATTCCCTCAGCGGACCGTCCAGGGCGAGAAACCCGTAACCTCTCGAATGTTTTGAGAAACGGCCCTCGCGTACGCATGTTTGAGCAGATTGGCGAGTTCCAGCGATGATACCAGACCTAGTGGCCATACACCAAGGATGGCCATCCACGGCACTTTCTCCTGTACGTCAACTGCTTTGTGAAGGAAACGTATGCTATCAGCGCTGACAACTTCAGCCGGCCCAACGCTCCTCAAGTGGGTACGTACATGTGGGTGCATTGATGCCCGTTTGCCCTTTGTCACCTGACGTGCGTTGCTGACCGATGTGCATGTTCTGATGTGACAACCAAGTGCAATGCGGAGAACGGTCTGCCCGTATGTTGCGACGCCGAGATGGTGGCTCTGTTGCGCACATAGTTCGGAAGTCTCGATCGGAAACTGGGTGTCGCTATTCACCGACAAGCGGTCATGTTGAGGGCCAAATTTCTCTTCGGGAGAGGCGGTACGGGAGCATCATCGCTTGATCTCCGCAACGGCTTTGTAGGGTCGAAAGACACGCCCGACCGAGCCCGACGTCGAGTTGGTTTTCGATCCGTCGGTAAGATTCTGTTGGTTCTCCTCACGGTGCTTGCCTCGTCGCCGTTTAGAAGGTCGAAGCCGTCGCACGACGTAGGCGGATGAAAAGTATGGGTTCCAAACATCTTCTAGAATTGGCGAACTGGAGCCAAAAATTCTTCTTCCGCCTCTCGCAAGCCGCCAAAGATCTGGGTCGAACAATGCCCGAACAGCTCTATGGCGATATCACTGTTGTGATGGAGCCCTGTGGACTACATCCCAAATCGCTCGATCTTGCCTTTGGATCCTCGTGGTTGCCCGCGGGATGGATGCACCTCGAGCGCCCCTGGTGTGCGGTGATGGACAGGGACCCACAGTAGGGTAGGGTGTTTCCTGGCCTCCAGAACCCACAGTGCAGCCTTTCAGTCACGCGATCAAACCGTGCCGTCGGTCAGAAGCAGTCTGCGAATCACAGGGAGCGACCGACGCCTGTCAACCATGAAAGCGGCCATGGTATCTGCTGACGACAGCGTGCAACATCTGCGATGTGAGTTGAACGCACCGACGGCTATCGAAAAATAGCATGAGGTGGCCTTCCCTACAAAAAAGCCCGTGCATCACAAAACTTGCCGTTCCCTAGCTTGAGATGCATGTGCGTACACGGACAAGGGAAGAAGGGATCGTCGTATGACCGATGTGTGCTCCTTCCTCGTTTCCCAATAGGAGGGGCGAATTTAAACTCACATCCCTTCTTGGGTGGTGGCCGATAAGTGAGTCGAAACAACCCCAATAGGGGAACGCCCAGCATGTCGATTAAATCTTTCTCGCCCCGGTCCACGCACTGGTAATCCCGTCGTCGCTGCCTCCACGATGGGGGATTTGTGGAGAAGTTGGGGGGGTCTGACTGGTGCGACGACGCGCTGTCGCTTACCGTCAGTCGGTACAGAGAAGATCAGCAACAACTCTGGAAACTTCAAGTTGTCCCTAGCGTGGACCACCAACACGTCGGAGGCACTCCCCCCCTCAATTGCCGATTGCAGGTGTAGGATGTATGAATGGACAGTGGTCGGCCCCCGGCCCCCCCCCCGCGGAGCGACTCACGGTCCAGATAGAAAAGCAATGTGTCAAGGTATTCCATGCTCCCCCGCGTCTATTCCACACACCCACTGCCAAAGTCTATATATTTACAAAAGCAAGACGGAGCAAATGTCGGTATGACTGTGAACGAAAAGCGTCAGAAAAGGCCAACTGCAAGATGCCATAAAAAGGTATCGAGAGTTGCACCCCCCGGAGGCCTCAACCTACGCTCGTTCCGCTTTCCACCCCACCCCCGGGACAATCAACCCAAAAGCACCCCCTTCACAAACTCCACCTCCTCCCTATTCCCACAAACCAGCCCGCCCCTCTCCCCCGTCGCCTCCACCCTCCTCCCCAAAACCCTCTGCCCATCCTCATCCACCGCCGCGCCCCCGCAACACTCCACAACAAGCGCCACCGGCGTTAATTCATACAACCGGCGCAGTTTCGCTGTACTTGTTGCGGTCACGGGCGAGATGTAGATACCGTGACCCTTGACGAGCGAGTGCACGATGTCAGGGACCAGGCCGCCGCTGTACCGCAGGGTGTACGAGTCGGTGATGAAGCGGGATACAAGCGACATGTAAGCCGGGTGGGAGGCGGCTGCGCGGAGGTTGGCGGGGGCAAAGTAGCGGGTCCCGCCCAACCCTCCCTGTCGCAACGACACATTCGCGCGCACGACAACCATCTCATCCCCATCGTACCCGACCTCGAAACACGTCCCCTCACACCCCGGCAATCGGATGGCGACAAACGCGGTGGTGCGCGGGCCCTGCACGCCCAAAATCCCCGCGACCAGCGTCGCCCCCGGGTCCGGCCCGAGCGCCGTGCGGCCGTCCCAGAGCCCCATGATGGTCCCCACGGCCCAGTTCGGGGCGATGATCGAGCTCCCGTCCAGTGGATCGAACGCCAGTGTGTAGATCTCCCCATCGTCTGTTTCCGGGATCGGATTCACTCCACGTTCGACGGGGTCCTCTTCACTGCTCGCTGTAACGATACGTGGACAATCGTTGATGGCGGTTCGGATGATGGTCTCCGCGAGGACGTCGACGTTGAGCTGGGCGTCGCCGAATGCGTTTGCTGTGCCGATTTGGGAGACGTGGGAGGAGGTCCGGAGGGAGGCGGCGATGGAGGAGATGGTGTGCAGGAGGGTGGGGAGGATGCTGTCGCGGAGTGCGGGGCGGGAGGGGAGGAGAGTGTTGAGATGGGATTGGAGGGTGAGGAGGTGGGGGGAAGGCATGGTTGGAGGTATGATGGGCGATGGGAGGAGACTGCGGGCGTTTTGATCTATCTAAACTAGAGCCCGTTCCCAATGCTACGCCGGTTGGCCAAAGAGGGCGCCAATAGATACCCCGTCTATGGCGGCCTGTGCAAAGCAATGTCTGCTCGTCCCGCTTCAGTGTCCAACAAAGGCGCTTGGGGAAAGCCTTCCCATCGATGCGAGTGTGACTCATTGAGAGGCCATGTCGCTCCTTTTCGACAGCATGTGCCGGAGCCAACACGCATCAAGCGTCTCTTTCGCTGTTCAGAGTTCATACACACGCACGTAACCTGTCGCAGCCAAGCACAGACGCTCATGATGCACAATAGTGGCAAGGGAAAGTTGCCTAATGGGTTTATCGGGAGACGCCGTCTGGGAGCTCGTACATACCTCCAATCTCGCGGTCGAATGGGCCGGTATCCTCACACAACCGTCTTCACAAATTGCATCTCCAGCGGCCAATAGGTCTCCTCCACATTCATCAACGATGCAATACTTCCCAAGCCAGCTAGCATGTCCCCATTAAGAAACCAAAGGCGTCCCAATAATGAACAACCCAGCCCCCCATCTTCCGACATCACCGCACATCACAAGACCCTGAAAAGCTCAGAGCCGCGTGCCAAAGCCCAGGCCTCCGCTCTCCGCCGTACATACAGAAGAAGCTTAAATTGTGTCAAACGTTGCGGTCGTGAGGGCTGGTCCACCGGTCAAAGGTCCCTTCCATGTCGCAAACGTTTGCCGGGATGGCCATGTCGGAGAGGCCACGAAAGGGTATGCATGGATTACTAACATCCTCCAGTGCCATGAACTATTCAGTCGATGCGGTGGGTATCATGATGCACAACCATGTACACCCTTCAGGTTCTCTGTCCCCATGCTTCCGGGACCCTCCGTCCCCATGTCCACAAGGGAAGAACACTCTAAAATGGTCGTACTAAGCCCACGCGCCGTCGGTGGCTGCGCTTTTAATTCTTTCGTGGGGGGCGGACTTGGGACTTGCCCACCCCCAAATCTGTCAAATGTCCCCATGTCGTCCGCGTTGGAGGGGGTTCCCACGTTCCCTCCCACAAAAAAAGTAAGGGAAATGTGGCATAGGCCGTGGCTAGCCCACAGGGGTGGCATCGGGACTTGGAAGAGTAAAGGGCCGGATATAAAAGGGAGAGGGTGCGGTGGGGATTCCTTGTCTTTTGTCAGAGCAAGCAATTACATAGCAGCACAACACAACACAACACAGCAGCAAAGGCAAAAACATTGCACTATCCTCGAAAAACACATCCGAGAATACAGACAAACACGTCAAACGTTCGCAATATCGTACATTTAACAACGATGCCCCACCCACAACAACACTGGCACGCATCCCTCGAGCACTGCTCCGACGGGTTCAGCATCCTCTCGCAAAAAGCCGCACAAAAATCCTCCACCACCTCCGGAAAACCATCGCAGCCGAGAATCGTAGAGACCACGCACACCCTACCAACTTACTACGAAGCCACCAGCTCCCAAAACGAGCAGAAAAGCAAGCCGGAGAAGAAAAATGTGAAACCGTCACCGTTGTGGAATTTCCCCGTATGGTCTGCGAGGATATAAAATGCTGGCCGCGGACTTGGTCATATTTCATACACATCCCCGCCGGATTGAGTCGGTTTCGGTTGAATTTGGTGGTGGCGGTTTTTTTTGGACGGATTGCATACCCCCTTTCTTGTATATACACTTTTATTTGGTTTGGTTTTTTTGAAAAACGGAAAATAAAAACGAACTGTCTTTTGCTCTACAACGAACGCAGTCGTGCTTGTGAGTGGGTGTGTGGCCTGTCGGTTGATGTATTCGTATTCGTGCCAAAACCGCAATGCACGTTTCCAAAAAGGGTATGCATACATGACCTTCCCACCTACAGTATCTCCTACCCCAACTTCAGAAGGCCCCCCAATTCATCCCTTAACCTCACCTCCTCCTCAACAACCCCCTCCTCCCTCTCGACTCTGACACTAATCGTCGCGACCCTGCGTTTTAACCATGGGTACGGCGGCGGGCCGGAATCGTCCACGGGCGGGGTCGGCACGCCGTCGGAGTCCATATCCCTGCGTTCCTCTATTACATCATGTCTCGGTCGCGACGGCACGGCGTATGGCGTGTAAGCATACCCTGGCGAGGAGAGTGTATCCAAATGCGGGCGGGGATAGCCCATCTCGAGTTCCGGGCCCGTGATGATCGTATCCGGGCGACGTGGCGGGATGGAGGGGAGGGTATCGGTTGGGTGGACGGTAAAGTCGCCGCTTCCGTGGCCGTGTGGGGCCGAGGTGGAGGTTGTTGAGGAGAGGGTGAGGGTGCGACGCTGGGGTGGGGTTTTGAGGATGTGGGGTGATGGAGGTGAGAGTTTGGGGGAGGTGGGGAACAGGACTGATGAGGGCCGGGGTTTGAGTGGTGCTGTGCATATGTTGGTTGCTTTGGGAGAGAGATGATGGCGGGTAAGGCCCGCCCGGGCTGCAAGGCGGGGCTGGCGGAAGAGACGGGGCGACATTGTGTTTGCTGCGTTGTTGTGGTGGGTGGGCGGTTGCGGCTGAGCTGCCTGAGCTATGGGTACAGTATATACAGTAGTAGAGTACTAGAGGGGGGTTTAAGACGGGACGGGCTGTTGCAGCGTGTTTTCTGCAGCTGGTTGTGAGAGAGACTCAGCGAGAGAGAGAGGGAGAGAGTCGGTTACGTCATCATGAGTGCTATGACACAGGGAGTGTGCATGGAAACAAGCAGATAAGAGGCAGGTAAGAAGCAGCTGCTTGTGGGTGTTTCTGCGTGTGATATCACAGTGTGTTGACTGACACCAGTCCATCAGAGAGAGAGGGAGGGAGAGAGAGAGAGAGAGGGAGAGAAGTGACCCGTGGGAATCCCCACCTGCTCCCATAGACTCCCAACAGCCACCGCACTGCTGCCCTCTATAATAGTATTATACCCAAAGAAGGTGGCCCCTCCACTTGCTTGCTGTCCACCGCCACCCAAGAGCTGCTGCTGCCTCGGTCGTCCCTTGGAAACATACAGTAGAATAAATACACTCCGGCTGTAGTTTCCTGAGGTACTCCAAGCAAGCCACCTCGACCGACCGCCACCCCCACCCTCAATACCCACTCCCATCTTGGCATCCGACTTTCCCCACGAACCTTTTGGCTCGCAGTCGAGTCTTCGTCCACTCTCTCGCCGTGACGGTCTCGGACCCCGACTTGCAGCATCACGGCAACGCTCCGCCACCCAGCCAGGACTGCAGCAACTTCCGCCGGCGGCGAGGTTCGCTCAAAATGCCCAGAGTCCAAGCCACGGGCCTCCCCGCCAGCAGCCCAGGTCGTCCGCACAACAACGACGCAAACTCTCCTCCGGTATCCCCAATAACACGGTCATCGCACTCCTCCGGATCCACGAGCGAAATACCCGTCTCCCAGCCGCCACCGCGCTGGCAACGACTATGGTCGCGTCTTCCCACCCTCCCATTCTCACCCTCCACCCTCCTCCACCGACCGGCCTTCGGACTGCACAAACCATGGACGGCAGTGGTCAGCCACCCGCTCTTCAAAAGAACCGCGCAGACTGTGCTAATATGTCTCATCTTTCTCGCTTTCTGCTTGAGCGTCCGATGGAGTGCAGCGACAGTCAATATGCCGCGGAAAGTCGTCGCGATCAATAATACGGCGGCGTTCAGCGGTGGGCACGCGTGGGAGCATTTGGAGGCCATTGTACAATTTGGACCCAGGCCGTATAACTCGGACGCGAATCTGCGCACCTTGGCGTATCTGGAGCATGTTGTGAGAGAGGCGCGGGCGTTGGGAATCGCTTTGGGAAAGGATGATGATTGGATTGAGATCTCGGCACCGGACACCACAAACCTCAACGTGAACCTAGCGTATTACCAATCTTCCAACCTGGTCGTACGCATCAAGGGCTCGTCCAATACGCGGGAAGCGTTGCTCGTATCCGCGCATTACGACTCAGCACCCCTCTCATACGGTGTCACCGACGACGGGATCGGGATCGTCGCCATGCTCGACATCGTCAGGGCGCTTGTTCACGGCTCGACACTCGATCACGATGTTATTCTGAACTTTAACAATGGCGAGGAGATGTCCTTGTACGGCGGATACGCGCTACTGCAGCACCCGTGGTTCCAGGACATCAAGGGGTTCATCAACTTGGAAGGAACGGGAACGGCGGGGAAGACAAGATCGTTGCTGTTCAGAACCAACAGCTATGAGTTGGCGGATGTGTTTGCAAAGTCAGCGCCGTACCCGCATGCTTCGGTGCTTGCGGATGATTTGATGGGGATGGTGGGAAGGTGAGGGGGATGCTTGGCGTTCGAATATGCCCGCGGGTATTCAATACTGACGCTGTTTCTTCACACCCAGTGACACCGACTACCGACCGTACGCCGGCGCCGGCCAACTGCCCGGTATCGACATATCATTCTACGCCCATCGGTATCTCTACCACACCCTCCACGACGACCTCGCCCATGCGGACCCAACCGCCGTCCAACAGATGGGCGACAACGTCCTCTCCACCCTCCGCTCCGTCTGCAACTCAGACCTCCTCACCCGCATCTCCTCCACCATCGTCGAAAAGGAGGAGCAGGACTCCCTTCCCAACGGCGGGTTCGTCTACTATGATTTCTTGGGGAGGCGTATGGTCATGACCACCGCTGGACTGTACAAGGCGGGAATGTCGTTCTTGCTTGTTGCGATTGCCCTGGGGAGTGGGATGAAGGGGATGGCTGAGGCAAGGCGGTATGGCGTGAAGAGGGGGATGAGGCGGTATGTTAAGCCGATCGTGGAAGCGTACCTCCTCGTTGTGCTCAACCTGTTCACGACGTTGTTTGTCGTGCTGCTGCTGTCGAAATTAAAGTCGTTGTTGAATTACGGCGCGACGTACGGGAACCCGCACCTGAGCCTGGCGTGGATCGCCGCTGCCGTGGCGCTGGTCATATTGCAGATGCAGGCGGTATGGCCGTGGATCGCGCTCAGGTTAAAATTGCGGAAGGCGCCGGTGGTTGTTTACAACTTGCTGCCTACCACGACGGATCGGTTCGAGGAAGAAGATGAGGAAACCGGGGAACGGTACGAGGGGCTCGCCTACGACCCCGACGAACTGGACGGCCACTCCGACGACGATGAGGACGACGAAGATGAAGACGAGGACGACGACCCCACCACCCCCAACCCCTCAGCGCCCCTCCTCCACCCCACCACCCACACCCCCAACAACGGCATCACACGCCGCACCGGCCGCACCAAAGCCGAAGTCCCCGCCGGCCCCTCCCTCCACACCTGGATCCCCTACGGCCTCCTCTGCTTCTGGTGGTCCACTCTCTTCCTCGCCCTCGCCCTCTCCGACCGCAAAATAATGGGCGCCTACGTCCTCTACGACTACGCCTTCTTCTCCGCCCTTGCCGTCGCACTCAACGTCAGCCTAGGCGCCCTCATCCGCAAATGGTGGCGCGCGGATATAGCGGAGGATAACCCCCCGTTGCCCCAGTGGAAACAAACCGCGGTCCGAGCGTATGAGCGCTACGCGTGGGTGCTCGCCATGCTCGTCTCCTCACTTATACCCACCTTGGAGTTGTTCGACATACTGGATTTGGTCATCACAGCCATCCCCAGCCTTATCGCCGAATCCCTCCCTGAGACTGTAGTCGACCTCGCACTCACGCTCCTCATACTCCCCATCGCGCTCAACCTCATGCCCGCACTCAATAGGTCGCGGATACATCGCAAAGCGCTCGTCTACATCGCAGCGGCACTTTTCACACCGCTATACATATCCGCGCTCTGGCGGTTCCCGTTCTCACAAGATAGACCGCAGAAACTCGGGTTCATGGAGACCTGGGACGTGACTACACCGGCCCTCGCGCGAACATCCCAGGTCCAGATCGTCGTTGCCGGGACCATGAGAGCCTCCCACTGGGCCGCGTCGCTGAAAGAGGAATCGGAAATGGAGTGCGATGATTACTTCCCCACCCCTCCGCCCCCAACCCGCCCTTCGGCGCCAACGATAACACAGGGCGTGTGTTACCTCGCGGATACGGAGCCCCCCGTGGTTGTCGCTGCTGATGGGAGTGGGGCGGTACCCCCGGCGGATCTGATACGGGTTAAGGATCTCCGACGTGGGTGGGACGCGCAAAGTGGGGTGGGGTACGTTGAGGGGGTGTTTGAGGGGCCGCCGGGTGCGAGGGCTTGTACGGTTGATGTGGCGCATTCGTTGCCGGAGGGTGTCGTTGACGGGAGCATGGAGGTTGAGATCGGGGATACGGATGAGGGTGTCACGTGGGTGGATGTTGACGAGGTGCCGAGGGGCGGGAGTTCACCGCCGTCGCCAAAGTCGAAGGGGGGTAAATGGTGGAAATGGGCAACGCAAGACGCCTCCCCGCCGACATCAGGAACAACAACAACAACAACAGCAACCCACCAATCCGTCCTCCGAACACTCTACAGACGCGCGTTCACCGACCCCAAACAGACACGGGTCGTTGCGTCGTTCAAAGTCACTTACAACGCCACCCTGCATGCGTTGGGTGTGGGTGAGGAAGGCATGGTATCCGAACCCCCGCAAGCGCGTATATCATGCTTCTTGAACGAGTTGAACGTCTCGCGGGCATTCGAGATGCTGACCCGCGTCGACGACGACACCGGCCGCCCGACCGTCGACACCTGGGCCGCCTTTGGACACAGCTTCTGGCGCGCGACGGTGCCGTGGTTTGCCGGGACGAGGGGGATGAGTGGGGGCGTTGCTGTTGTTAGGAGGGTGTGATGTTCGTGTGTGTTGTATGGTGTTTGTGGGGTGGGGTGGGGTATCTCCCACACCGGTGGGGAGAAGTCGGGTTTGGCGTTCGGGACCCCCTCCCGTTTTAGAACATTCCACGTTTTTTTTTCCTGCATCTTTCGTATACCAATTTCTGATGCTTTCTGCTTGCATGCTTTTTCATGTGAAGACGGGGATACGGCGGCTCGCTTGGTTTTTCCAAAGCCTTTCTGTGAGGCCCCTGTCAGAAGTGTCGGTTTCCGCAAGGGCCAAGCCACGCTTCTTCCGCGTCGCTCCTTTCCTCCTTTTTCCCCCCAGAAGTCAACGCACACCGCCAGAACTCATCGGCGTCTTCCGTAAACCCCCACACTCCCCCGTTCCCGCAAAAGCTACCCCAGAGCGAAGATGTCGCTCGGCCTGCAGATCGCCGCCGCACAGGCTCTCTCCATAGTCTCCCTCTACGGCGTCTACACAGAGACCCAGCGGTTCCTCATCACGTCGCCGCTGCTCAACAAACCCTCTCCCACAACAACAACAACAACAACAACAACAGCAACGACGCCCTTCTCCACAACCGCAACCCCAAAGGGTGATACAACCAATGTATCCACAGTCGAACAACAGCGCATCTCAGGCCCAACCGCGCAAGTCATCGCCGGCGCCCTCTCCGGCCTCACCCTCGCGACCCTCTCCCACCTCCTCCACACCCCCACCTTCCCCGAAACCTCCGCCGAAACCCGCGCCGCCCTCCTCGCCGCGCAAGCGTCCGCCTCCCAACAACGCCACCTCGGCCGCCCATCCACCGTCGACACCGTGACCGCCGCCCCCTCCCGCACGGCCTTCTGGCGATCGGGGCTGAAGACCGCATCAGGTTACGCGTGCTTCTTCGCGGTCGCCGAGGGCCTCCGCACGGGGATCTACAAAGCGAGACTGGTCGCTGCCCACCGCGCGTTCCAATCCGCCACACAGAACGGTCCCCCGCCCCACATCCGCTCCCTCGCACCGACGGCAGCAGACCTCCTCCCCCCGCGCCAGAACGACCCCACGTGGCACCTCACCAACTTCTTCGCGGGCGGCGTGGCAGGGCTGGCGTACCGCGCCGCCACGTTGCCGTTCTACGCGGGCCCGGTCGAGAACCCGTTGCTGGCGAAGGGCGGGCTGGGGATCCTGGCGGGGACGTTTGTCGCCATGGGCATGTTGATGGTGGGCGTGGGCGTTGCGGATGAGGCGTGGGGGGAGGTCAGCCGGGAGAGGTGGGAGAGGGTGGGCGGGGTGGATGTCATTCAGGGGTAATGGCTGTCGGATGGATACTTGTATGTAGATAGGGGGAACTGCGAGGCCGGTGGGTGCGGTGGAAGGGGACTTGTGCAATATATTCCTGTGCATCGCAGCGGTCTGCAATTGCTCTTCTTCCGAAAAATCGTGACCTACTGCATTCAGGAGTTATCCCCCAGGTCACCATCTTGGAGAAACAACCGCGTCGGGGAAGTGGAGGAACCCCCAGTGTGTATGTGGGCATCTCGGCGTCCAGCAGGTCTGTGGCAAGTTACGACCCGAAAACGAGCGACGGATAAACGCAAAAAAAACCTCTCCTTAAAATGAGGCCAGCTATGCATTATCCGTTGATACGGGATTCCGCAGTGACAGTGAATACCAGCGCTACGAAAGGGGGGGTAAGAAATGGGATGAACTTTGAAAACAAAAGTTCCGCTAACCCTGCCAGATTGCTCAAACACGCTAAAAGATGGGAAGACAGAATCCTCGGTATCTCCGAAACAGCAGTATCGCTGAGTTCTTCGGAGGACCATTTGTGCATGTGGGATGGGGTGCACTGGCGCGAGGTGGGGGCGTTCATCGTGCGCGGGGCGGAACCGGCCCAAATCCAGCTCCCATCAACGCAGGAACGCGCGATGTGTGGAACTATCCTCCCCAACATCCTCATCCGTGTCGACATCTTCCATCTCCTCTACCCAGACCCGGTCCCATCGGACATGGGCAGGGGCGGTTTCGATATTGTGGGACAGCGGTAAACAGGCGCTGGGGGAGTGCTGCCCAGTGAACACGTCGCTGCGGTGCGGCGGGTGCAGGCTTGTCTTTGAAACTCGTATGGGGGTTTCGTGGGGAGTCGAGCGAACGAATGGATCCCGTGGTTCGCCGGTTAGTCCTTTCTACGGCGAAGGGTGGGGGGCTCTCGAGGATCTGCCGGCTTTGGGTCCAAGAACGGGGTGGCAAAACATCGTAAAGACAGACAGTGGTTTGCCACATCTCATAAGCGTCAACTTGTTGCTTTGTGTTCGAACTGGGGTGGGTCGTGATCTTGATGCACCCACGGCGATTTCGGGTGCGTCGTTGTTTGGACACCACTTCCCTTTCTTCGGTCGGCCTCCCTTATGTGTCATTGGCGGTTTATTGACGATCGTCCCCTCTGCGACGAGCTTGCTCCTGCGGGCGTCGAGGAGGAGTCTTGTACGATCACCTCGTTGGGTGTCTTGTACACGAGTACGCTGATCAGCGAGACCGGACTAGGTTCGACAGAGATCGAAGGGAGGGGGCTTGAACGGAGGCCTGTATGAGCGGTATGATCTCCCCTTCCAGCTTCAATCATCATAAAATGGCAAGCTCGCAATATCATCTCGTACAATCCAAGTCCCGGTGGATGGCGTTCCGTTCCCCACGATCGGATGGAGGGATAAAACGATCTGTCCGGACATGCGTGCGAGGAGTGGGGGGAGTCGGGGGTAATGTCCGATACTGTGTCATCCAATCGCGGTGATACAGTTTCGCCCGAGCGCTGATGTCTCGAACCACCTCCGACTCACCGTCCGCAAGCTCGTCCAATCCCCCATCTCGACTCCCGCTCGCCTTGCTGAACCCCCTCAACCCGTCGTCATACTCATCATGCCTTCATCCAAATCCGCGCCGGACCCCCCACGAGAGAACCCCCTTTCGTCAAGACAGTGCCGGAAAGCACACCGTCTGGACGAAAGGGGTTCCCTGTGAGTTTGCCACATTGTCGATTTTGTTCCGCCCACAGTCCGGGTGGTAGTCATGACACCGCGGTCGAGCGGATACCAACGCCCATGCCCGCATTTCTGGTTTCAGAGTGCAAATGCGCGCAACGATCCCTAGAATGGACCTCCCTGGGAGGGGACCAAATGTAGTCTTCCGCGAAGCGGTGCGTTGTGATAGACATGCCCACAACGAAACGGATACGATCTTCCAATTCACTTTGCGGTAACTCTCCATCTGCCTGTCTTTCGTTCCCCATCCGATGACCCCAAGATGCTTCTCGTTCTATACAAGCGTTCTTCGCTTTGGGAATGGTGTCTTTTGACCGCTAACGATAACAGGGGCCAGCCTTCGTATCCAATGCAAAGAGCGGCGGGCGATGGGATGCATAACAATGGTGCCGGGGCCGCAAGTGCCTTCCAGCATGTGCTTGACGTTGGTGGGGCAGTATCGCGGGCGTGCCGCCACCACTGATAGGATGCTTTCGGTGCATGGGCTTGTTGATTGGGTTTGGTGAGGACGAAGGTAAAGACGGAAGTTTGTTACCGGCCTCTGGCTAAAGCGTTCGTAAACCTTTTGATTCCGATGCTACCGGATCGAGAATGTGTACCTTGTCGGATAGGGGCCAGCGGAACGAGTTCAACAATGACTTTATCCACGACGGAAACGTCCGAAGGCGTAAACATTCGTAGGCCACACAATCGGTTCCTTGAATGGTCGAACCATATTCAGCGGAGCGCCACCACATGGATCCTCTGCCTTGAGATCATCTGTGAGCCATTTTTTGCAGTCTAAATCTGTGGCCAGATCTTATCTTCCCCTCGAGGGTGAATGCGAGCCCTTCCAATGGCCGTTTGTGAAAGACCCTTGCGCCGGCCAAGTTTGGCTTGCTGGTGCCTGGCTCAGCGGCAGACATCGGTGCACTCCCGCTGTGAGGGAGCGTACCCTCTGTCGTGACTGGTCGCAATCAAATCGGTTTGCCGAAGGAAGACCCCCGTTCGTGTAACACCTCAGCAACCGTCTTCCCATGACGATCGGTATGTTGCACAACGAAATCGATTACACAGTCATAACCGTCCCTGTCGTCATTGATCATGGGACACCGAAAATCGATTCGATGCTGTGACTTATAATCGCGACGTTTTTCTTCTAGAAAATCACGTATACGCGACTCGTGGGTCCCACCGCGAGGAGATCCCTCCGGGTAAAGATGCACCGACTGTTGGTGTCTCTACGAAGCCTTCGCCGCAGTCGTCGATATCGCAAATGTAGGGCCGCTCACCCGTGTGGTTTCTGAGGTGATGACGAAGACTGCTTTCGTAGAGATACTCGCAGGAACATCCCTCCTAGCTGCATTTAAAGGGCTTTAGGCCGGTGGGAGACCATCTAAAAGGGCGGGTGGCTGTGGTACCGTCGGCGCCACGAACAACGGTGAAGAATTGCCATCCTTCTCATCCACTCCGGTCGACCATCTACGGGCTCAGGGTGGAATGCCACACGGCCGGCATCGGAAACGCTTGCCTTGATACGTGAGCGCACCCATGAGACCTTCTCCCCAGTGCCTTTTTCGTTGCCGACTGGAAGAAATAGGGGGATTTCAACTCGCCGACAAGGAAATAGCTGCCAATAGCGCACGGCCATCATCGACCTAGACGTTGTAATGCCCACGTGTCCTCCCACACGTTTCGGGACATGCCGACTTGGGGAACGTGGTAGCGGCTGACATTGTCGGTAGGGCGATGACATTGATGGTGTTCTTAATCGAGCCACTGGCCGCCGTTTCCGATGGTGTCTGTTGTGGCGGCCGTCGTGCAGCCCCACATTCTTCGTCTCGGTTGCGCATTTGCGAATCGTTCTCGCGCTTAACTTTCTCCTTCTTTCGTCCTTCTCGTTCCCGCACACTATCTTCCGCTTCTGCATGCGCCTTCAACGCTACAGCTCTCTCTTTCAATATCTCCGCCTCCTTCTTCTCCGCCTCGGCAGTTTTCTGGCGAGCCACCGCTAGTTGCTGCTTGATCTCCTCTAAAGCCAGTTGCACGCAGCTCCTTGGCCTCGGTTTCCATCCGCGTCACTCGTTCGTTTTCACCATCTTACGACGGAGAGGCAATCAGAAACGCCAACCGGATATCCAAGCAATGAACCATAAATCTCTTACCGTTTCCATCACGGCACACGAGCTTCCGCCCCTCATCCTCGATATTCCGGATCTCCGCGTGTTCATCACCATATACCCCCGCGATAGTGACCTGCACCAAAGTATACAGTGAGAATCCTATTCAAAGAATGATTGACGAGGAACGAGACCTCCCGTCACTTGAGACCGACATGTCGACCGGAAAGTACGTCAAGAAGCCCAGAACTATCATCCTGAACGTCAGATAGACTGACAGGCGCTTTCTCCGACGCTACGCCTTCACTGCCTCCAACAGTAGCGGGGGTACACGACCCACAACCTTCCACTTCGGCCACAATCACATGCACAAGTTACCCGGTGAGAATCGCATCCTAAAGAATCCACGAGGGCGGAACTCAGCGCGAAGTTTGCGCGGCTTCGTATCGGGCGACTCGCTTGTCCCAACTTGAAGATAGCTGCTCTTCGCGCTAGACACTGCCAAATCTTCCGGTTTTAGACTACGACGGAGTGCGCGAGGATTGAGCTCAGAAGCCCGTCACGCATCAGGTATATGACGTGCCACCCCTTGTTTGCACTTTCTCCACTCCGGGAGCTGATAACCCAGTCCTTTGAATTGACCCGCAAAGCTTGCGCAACGGCACAAACGTTCGACATCGAGAAAACTTGGTCAGGACGTCGGCGGTGGAAAGCTCCTGGCGCTTGAACTGTACATTCTGTGAAGTGTGCCCTCGGTCTCCCAAGGGTTTGCCAAGTCAGAAGCGGCTATGTTGCACGCACTGCTCATCATAAATAAAGCCGGTGGGCTGATCTACAACAGAGACTTTACCGATGGTCTCGCAAAGCTCACCACCAACGAGTATCTCGTAATGGCAGGAACATTCCACGGGTAAGTCAAAGCGGCGAGTGTTGTCGACAGGGAAGTCCAATTAGGGCTGGCTCTGGACGCCGTAGGCTTCCAGTTGTCCAGTAGAGGCTACGATGGGCGCTGTGTTTTTGCGCCCTGCTCCTGTGAACCTGTACTTACTCGGGCTCTTAGGGTGCACGCTATTACGTCTCGAATATCACCAGTGCCAGGGTCAAGTGGGATGGAAGTGCTGGAAGCCGATACATTCAGGATTTTCTGCTTCCAAACATTAACAGGTTCGTAGATTGGAGATACTGGTCTTTCTGGTCATATGTAATGTGGGATACGGAAAGGCGTCGATGGGTGGTAGCTTTATACTCATCGTTCATGTTGCAAATCGATTGGCAATCCCCATGTAGGAGTAAAATTCCTCCTCATCACAGACCCATCACAACCGAATGCGGACAGCATGTCACGGAAAGTTTATGAGCTTTACGGCGATTTTGTGATGAAGAACCCATTCTACAACCCTGAAATGCCAATCCGGATAGAACTTTTTGATGCGAATGTACAGAAGCTGGCTAAACAGTTGAACGCTGGAGGTTGATGTGCCACACCCGGAGAGAGAGAAAGGTGAAGATTAGTTCTAGATCTGAGCTCAATGAAGGTATCTGGTTTCTCTAGCAAATACGGTTCCGCTTCGGTAGATGCCACTATTCGCCATGGTCTGATTGTACCTTACTTGTATGTAAAGGCTCATGAAATCTAGAACATTTTGGACGTAAATTCATTACCTGAGGAGCATGGGTCCATCACTCGCGGTCAGCAGCGCTTTTTGGAAATATTCGTCTGTCATGATGGTGTGGAGGCCCTAGCGCGCGAACCGCCAACTGGCAGAACAAGGGAAGACGAGCGGATGTTGAGATGCGGGGTGAGATCCCTGCGACTGTGAGCTATGGTTTATATCCAGAAGCAGCTACAGGTCTAAAACCTGTGCAAGAGATTAAAGTCCCGAGCGCCGAAGCAAAAAACTGGCCGAGTGGTTCAGCATACCACGGATGAACCACGGATTTTTGTTTACGATGGGTTTGCCGGTGCTTTGCGCCTTTGGTCCAACCGCGAACTGCCCTACGTGTGGCCTGGGAACAGCAGATGACCGTCTCTGCTGCGATCGACATTCAGGCACCTGTGGGTGCCATCTTCGGTAATATCGACGTCGACAACCTCGATCATCTGCTTCCCCCTTGTCTAAGCATCGCCATCCTTCCTAAAGGCCTTGCCTATTCGGGTGGCGACAACGTGCTTCCGTGAGCCGAACGAGTCCATGACCTCTTTTAGCAAATTCTTCATGCTAAGCTTGTGTTTTTCCGAGAATGTGTGATACTGAGGCACATTGCAGGATTAGGAGGAAGCTGTTCGTCCTTCCGAGTGTCCGACTGGCTTTTCGTCCTATTTGACATTCCCAGACTGCGGCAGATCCTGAAACACCGATTCTTCCATGCTCCATTTGGTTGTGCAGAACTTCTCCAAAGCACGGTGTTCGTCATTGTACTGAGCGCAATCCACGATGACATTGATGGCTATCCATGTACTGTACATATCGAAAACCCGGAGTTTGCCGCCTCTCCACCGTGTTGATGCAAAGCCGATGGATCGCGTTCTGGTGCTGCAAGATGGTTCGCGATTGCGTCTGCTCCCTGACCTGCTCCCTGACGGGAGAAGTCAACGACATCTTTCTCGAACAGCTCGGGTCGCTTCCCCCATTTGCCAGCAGGAACTAGCATTGGCCCTCTCTGCAGTGTGGCGGCCCTCCTCCGTGACAGCCGCTGTTCCCTTGCCTGAAACTGCTGTGTCGAGTGTCAACATTGCGGACGCGTCCTGACTCGCCTTGTTCATGACGATCCAGATGACGATCCTTTGACTTCCTTCGACGGAAACCCTCTTCATTTTACACCTCCAGCTGCAGCCCATCCCCTCCCAACCCATCAGGAATGTACTCCTCCACCGCCTCCTCCTCAGCAACTCCAATGGCAGGCCACGACCCAATACTAGACCACGTACGTACGTTTACTCCCGCGCGCTTCCAATTCACCCATATCGACCACCGCAACTCACACAACCCTGTAGGAAATCCGGCTCTACACCAACAACAAAGAGCGCGAAAAATACGACAACATGGCCGACTTGTACGGCATCATTGTCGCTACCGAACACCTCGAGAGGGCGTACATTAGGGATGCGATATCTGCTCAGGAGTAAGTCGCACTTGTTTCAAGAGGTGTGATGAGGATGGGATGGATGTTGGGCTGATATGGTTTCCCGGCAGATACACACCAGCATGCCTGAAACTGATAGCCCAGTACAAGACGGCGCTGAATCTGGTGGGGGACTGGGTACCCGATGTCAATGCGTTCATCAAGGAGTACCAGGTGGGGAGCTCGTCAGAGGACACACAACATTTGGCTTAGACAACGGGCAAAAAGGGTGATGACCGCGCTACTATCCGACAGTTATCATGTCCAGCAGCAACCCGACGCCTCCTCGAAATCGGCGTCCCCGCCACCATCGAGCACGCCACGACCGACACCACCGGGTCAGCCGGATCCGCCAAATTCGTCGCTGAGACCGTTCAGGTAACATCCTCCCCTCCGTCCACTTCCATCTGCCATCTCCCAACTCACATCCCCCTCTCTACCCTAGTCATTTATAACCCTAATGGACTCCCTGAAACTCAACTACGTCGCCGTCGACCAGATCCACCCACAGCTGTCTGACCTGATCCAGAGCTTGAATAAGGTACCCTCGTTGCCGAAAGATTATGAGGGGAAGGGGAAGATTAGGGATTGGTTGATTACGTTGAATAAGATGAAGTAGGTTTGGGAGAGAGAGCGGGAGTGTTTGTGTGAGGGTGGGAGGGACGGAGCGGGAATTGATGTTTTTGCGGTTTTTGTTAGGGCGTCAGAGGAGATTGATGCGGATCAGGTCCGGCAGTTGCTTTTTGATTTGGAGAGGTTGGTTTGCGTTTTCTTGGTTCGCATGTCTTCCATTGTCTTTCACTAACGATTCTTTCTTGTGTATGTAGCGCATTGACGGAGTTTCATCGGTCGCTGTCTAAATGAACCGCTGACGGAGGACAACTGTCACCATCACGAAACACACGCGCGCCTCCGGACAGTTGTTCGCCAGTTTGTTCGGAGGCCAACCCCCTCTGTCCCCACACACACGAACGACAGACATCCACATCTTCTCTCGTTTTATTTTTTTGGACTTTGACTGATGCAAGCACGGAAGATAGTATCCCTTTTTTGTTGCTATTTGGATGGGGGAGGGCTTGCGGCTTGCAATGTATATATCGTCTTTTCCTCGTATTGCTCATGAAGCATTCGGTTACCCGCTCAGCCGGCACATGGGATCAGCGCCTCACATGTCACATTATCGAACCTCTCGATGAATTTTATCGGGTAGTGTAATAGCTAGACCAAGGCGAGTTCCCAACGACCGATTCCCAACCCACCCAACCGTCCAAGATGTACGTAAGAGTGTACCAGCAATCTATTTCACATCTCAAGAGCCAATCCACGCCACGTTCATACACACAAACTGTTCATATTCTGCATACACGAAAAAGCACTCGATAGTCCTAAAATCACACCTCTATGAAATCCTGTCCAGATCCAGTCCAGGTTGTCCCCCATGTACTCTCACGTCCTGTCCGCGTCTTTAAGAGCCTGGCGCGAAGTCAAATTTCGCGTAAATCGGCCTGCAAAAAGAGACATGTTCTGCTGTTAGCAGGACAACGGTGCAAAAGGGCTCGTATTCGGGGTTCGGAACCTCACCAATGATCGGAATCCACAGTCCCACAGAAATTCTTATACTTATGTACCGGCCTCGACTCCATCAGTCTCCCTCTCAACCCTACGAACAAAAAAATCAGCATCGCCCCCGTGCCGCTCCCCACCACTCCGGCCCCACACCCCCGGCAACAAAGAGATGGGAACTCACCCGCACTGACAAGCACGTGATCAATCAACACATGCTCATCTCCCCCTCCATCCACACAATCCCCATTACGGTCGTACCAGTTCGTGTACCGCTCGGATTGGTTGTGCCAGGTGTGGGCGAGGTTAAAGAGGGGTGGGGAGGTTGTTGTGCGGAGATGGTTTAGTGCCTACGAAAAAAAAAAAGTAAATGTGTGATGTGGGATGTGGCGGACACAGGGGAGAAGGTGCGTACTTGAGAGATGGGAGTGTCGATGACACCGGCCGCGTCGATGATCTGGTCATCGTAGTCGTTGAAATCGCCCATGATGATGACTTCGTCGGAGGGGAACGAGGAGAGTTGCGCCTGGATGGCTTGGGAGAGGACTTGGGCTTGGGCTTCGCGCTAAAAAAAAATTCACAATGTCACAAGTAAGGTGCTGAACCGAATCCAAGAAGGGATTGCTCAATAAAGCATACCTTCTCACACCGATCCCGCTTATCCGGATACGCAATCAAATGCGTACCCCCCAGCGTGATCCCCACGCCATTAACGACGAACCGCGCAATGTAGTTCTTGCTGTTGCCCTGGAGGCGGGAGGGGGTGCCCGGTTTGGTGAACCCGCAAGTGGAGCCCGGGACGGGGTAGATGATGCGGTCGTCGGTGCGGGTGAGGTGATCGGTGGGGTCGATTTTTGTTATGAGGGCTACTTGTTGGCCTGGACGGGGGTGAGAGTTGAGTTGCGATAGAGTGGAAATGTGTGCAGTGGAGCATAGTCGGTCGTTCACGCACCTAAGGCGGTATCACGCCCGGGAACCAGGTATCCCCTGTACGTCCCTTGTCCAGCACCGTGATCGTTCTCCAATACTTTGATCAACTCGTCCAGCGCGTTGCAACCTTCTACTTCAGAGAGGTGTATAATGTCGGGTAATCCGAGACTTGCGATTGTTTGGGCTACATGGTTCATGTGGTCCAATGCCATCGCCTTGTTCTAAGAATCGAATTGGGGAGTGGGAGTCAGGTTTGGATCTCATGTGGAAGGTTCCTGATGTGCATCTCATGGATCGCTCGCCAAAGACAGAATGCTCGTTGTCGCTCGCAGTACAAGGACTAGGACTCGCTGCGGCTCGCCAGCACCCGTCACTGCTCGCTATCGCTCGCGGCCCCGCATTCGCTCCCACTGTCCCTCGTCCTCCTCCTCACCCTCCTTCTCCACCTCCTTCTCCACCTCCCCACCCTCATCTACCTCCCTCCAAATCTCACCTTCCAAGGACACGACCGTCCCGGACACCTCAACCCGCCCGTCCCACCGTCCAGAAACAACCACTCAGCATTAAAATTCCCAATCGTCAACACCGTTTTATCCTCCCTCCTATCACCAGGCGTCGTCGGGGCCTCGCTACATCCAGTTGGATGCGGTTGCGGGCGTGGTCGAAGATCATCGGAGTGGTCGGATTGGGAGGAAAGAGGGAGGGCTATGTGAGAGAGGTGTTTGATGGGGCCCGTTTGTTGGAGGATGAGGTTTTGCGGGAGGGAGGTGACCGGTGGGACGAGAGCGGTGACGAGGAGGGACAGGAGGAGGGAGATTGTGAAAGTAGGCATTTCGGCCGACAGAGAGAGTGGTGGGTTGCGGGTGGGTGGGTGGTGGACGCTGGTGAGAACTTGTGTGCGGACTGTTGACGTTTCTTGCTGTGCCGATGACCCCAGGTACTGTTACAAGGCTCAGCAACAGCAGCAGCAGCAGGGAGGCCCAGGAAGGCCATCGCGGAAACGTGCGCAATCTCATGACAAACGCGTCAGGGGCAAACAATCAGTCTCAGATAGGCCCACATCCCCAATGTCAAGTGTAACTATGACAGTAGCTATGACAGGCAGAGCGAGATGTTATTGGCGAACGCTTCTGGTTATGCGCCCGATTCTGGCTGGGCTAGGCGGGTGGGATTACAAGGCCAGGAGGAAGGTATCCCGGCTGCATACGGAGGACTGAGCTCGCACGATTCCTATCTTCGGTCCCTGTCGCCTGTTCTCCGATCTTATTCTCGTCCGCTAGCACTGCTACCAATCATGGCTATCGGCTCTATGTATTTTGTGTAAATGAGGTGTTATGCTACGTAATACCTGATCCTACAGAACTGAACTGTGAACTGTGTTCTAAGTTACGTGGGAGTGGGAAGCTGGGTTGCACGCGAGAGGACCTGTTACGAGGCTGCAACCTAACGAAATGCCCACATCTACACCACCACAGCAGTGATGTCGTAGTCCGGTTTTCAGTGCACAAATCGACAGTTTCCTCCCGAGCGCTGCATCCTCCACCCAACCCACAGCCCAATGTCCCTCCCCACCATGCCCACATCCATCTTCAATGAGACCCCTTAACAGCATCCTTAGCCGCCTCAGCAGCGAGTTTGGTATCTTCCGCAACTTTGTGGGCCGTTGCCGTCACAGGCTTGTTCTTCATATCTTGCCGGTATCTAATGCGGACGAAAAACAAAAGATCGAACCGTGGATGTTGTACAATCAGGGGGACCACCTCAAACAGTGCGAAAGAAGCAGACGAATGCGTTCCTCTCCTGGCCACCGGGACATACCTCCAAATTCTGCTCAACTGATAAATCCCCGTCGCCCCCACAAACATATTCACACCAAACAACGACCAGTTCTTCGGCTTGATCACCAACGAGTAGCGGGACCAGATCACGCCGGTTGCTGCAAGGGCAACTGTTTGCGTTACAGAGAGCTTCTCGACGGGGCGTTGAAGGTCGCTGAGGCCGGCTATTACTAGGCCCTGTGGGGGTGAGTTAATAGGAATATACAGTGAGATATGGGTGTGGGGATGTGGGCGGACAGAACAACGAGGGTACGGGAAGGAGGAACTTACCCATTTCATAGCTGGCGCCCAGAAGTGGATTGTTTTGGGACCTGTGGAAATTGCACATGCAGTTAGTTCAATCAGCGAACCGCGACGGGCGAAACAGTCAGAGCGGAGTACCATACCAGCAGGATGATTCCAAAACCGCGTGAAGGCGGTGCCTGCTTGTGATGACGCTGCTGCCATTCTCTTCGTTTGTTTGCTGTCTGTGCAAGTACTGGTGGGAACTGTGTGTTGAGATGAGGGGTGCTCGAGTGAGAGTGTTGAGAATGGGCGGTGATGTCAATCAAAAACATCGATCAACCAGCAATTCGGCACCGCGTCTGACATCTGACATGATTTACTGACAGTATCTGCCATGCCTGAGAGTCGGTGGAGTCGGTGGCCGGGGAAGTGGAGTCCTATCGCCGTTCTGTGGACCATGTGTCAGTGCTTCCCTGCCGAACTGCGGGAAGGGCAATGGATTCTTGCTTGTGTCAGTCAAGTTCCGGCGGACATGGAGCTCGGAAGGATCATAGGCAGTTCAGTTGAAGAGCTGCGGCACCTTAGCGCAGGTACGCCGTTGCGTATGGGACGTACGTAAAAGGGTAGACGATGTCGCGGGAGGCCGAGTAATCAAAAGCTGCAGCTATGCTGCTGCCAGGTGTTCAGGTCAACTTAGGGACGAAGTCCTCCCGCAGTGGTCCACGTAGCTGTGCATTCCGGCACGGGGGCGGGAAGGCACGAGGGAACGGAGATAGGGCAGACGAGCTGGACAGCTTTTGAATCTGGAAGGCTTGAAATTGAGGATAGGAGCGAGAATGACTCGATGTATTCAGGGAGGAGCTTCAATAGTCAGATCAACCATGCTTATTATTTGCAACGGCATGCATGTCCCCATCTCACTTCGCCCTTAACCGTCACTGTCTCCGTCGGATCAACTCTTTCCAAGAACTTCTTGAACTCTTGGCCTGTGCGGGTTGCCCCACTTCTCCGTCGGGTCAACTTCTTTCCAAGAACTTCCTCAACTCTCGCAAGGCTGGTCCAGCATTTTGTATCACCTTGGTCTCGGTTGCCATCCCGGCGGTAGGTTTGCCGTCTGCGGCTTTCTGCTCGTCCCAGTATTCGTCCAACACGGATGCCATTGTTTCAAAGACCTCCAAGGGACGCTCTCAAACAGCTGCAATCTGGTTTAGTGTGCCGTCGTTGCAGAAGTAGCTGACCCCTCTCCCAACCACTTTTATAGCGGCCGAGGCAGCCATTGCGGGCGGGAACTCAATGCCTCCCGCACTCGAAGCAAGCAAGCTTCATCAATTGTCCGAGAATCCGCAACGATGTCCGAGGCGCCGTGCCCTTGCCTCTCCCGACAGGGACCATGACGAAAAGGCGCGGCACCGTTACATCTGCGCAAGACATGATTTGCATCCTCAATGTCTCCACCTGCGCGAGTATTTCTTGAGTGTTTTGCTAGGATTTGTGATGTTTTGGAGTCGACGTTCGCAAGGGTTGCTTGGACCGTTGTGAATCGATTCTTTGATTCCATACAAATGCTCCCAAACCTGCTTCGTGTCCATCCGGGCTGATGAATCGAAATCCAAAAATCTCACTCTGGTTAGTAAAATAACGGAGCAAACCTTTGGCATATCTCACCTCTGATATAAGCCGATTGCAAAATATCGGCGGCATGGGTGCGCTGTAATGGTGACTTGGCGAGTAACTTGCTTGACAGTTCCTCGTATGGACATTTGGTAGCATTGAGACATTGACTTCAAACGAGTCCGAGCTGATCAGCTTCAAACATTCCTTGAGAACGTCGTCAGGACTGAATGCTTTCTGCCATGGCCAAGACGGAGTTGCAGAGTAGCCACCAAAGCCTCTCCTGTGATTGCGTCTTCGCAATGGAGCCTCCATGTTGCATTTCATCTCGCCTCAGATCGTCTCGAAGGCATTTTTGTGGTTGGCTGAAGGAAGTGAACCGAACATGAACCCACTCGGCGCTGATGTTTTCCTTTGCTGCTCACAAGCTCAGATGCGGCGTGGATATGGACACTGGATTCTGGAACATGAAAATGCGCATATGCGAGCATAAAACTCGGATGTCCCGTTCATAACACCCGGCGACAAGAGCCACCATATATATCTTTTTTACAAGAAAAACATCATCGGCCAGGCTCGCATCCACCTATATGACCCTGGATTCATTGCTCCTTCTCCGCACCAGCAGCTTCCCGCGCCGTGTTGATGTGAAGATCGCATTTGCCGCATAGGTGTGCGATTTTTGCAAGTATCCGCTGAACCCAGAAGCCGTCCTCTCATGCGTGCTGGTTGAGTATACCGCTATATCGGGGGTACATATACACGCCTCGCTATCGTTTCATAATGAGGTGCGCATCTTGCCAGCCCAGCGCATCCACGCTTCTGACCGGATGGGTAACGGGCGGGGCTACAGAACGGTCCGGCCAGGCTGATCGTCGCCATCGCCGTCTTCGGTTGTTATCGTGTCTGTGTATGGTATCTTCAGAATGAAAACGGTGAATGAGTAAGGAATTCGAATGGGGTTAGGGTGGAATGCGCAACGACGAGGAACGTACATCGGCCATGCAAGCTTCTACGGGGACGATGACGGCGTCGTCTGGCATTACCTAAACGAGGTCAACAACGCTGTCAACAACCCTAATCACTCAATCGGCAACAGCAAACCCCTACACCCCTAGCTTACATCAAAATACTTAATCAAATAGTAACTCCGTCCATAAAGATGCGTCTCGACCTCAAACTCCTGAAAGATGGCGCGGTGGTGGAACCACGTGTGCGCGAATATGCGGTGCAGGCGGCGGGTGATGTTGGCGAAGTGTTTCAGAGAGGATTGGGGGATTGATATTCTATTGAGGGATGGAGAGGGGGTGAATGGAGGGGGGGGGCGGAGGCGGGGAGGGTGGGGAACAAACCTGCTGGAGAAGGACTTTTGGCTGTTAAGGAGGGCGGTGGCGCTGTCAAGGGTGTGGACTATGTAGTCTAATGCCGGGCACTGCAACGAGATTGTAAGTACATTCCGGAAATGCCCTTCAGCCATGTCATTCGAAAGACACTGTATACCATACCCCTTGTGGACTCGGATGCCCTGCACATAGGTACAACCACTCGTGGGCTTTCATCTCCGGACAGGACTCGACCGTGCATTCGGGTTCGAGTAGGACTACTAGGCTGTTGAGTTGCAGGCATATCTGTCTGAGGAAACCGTTAAAGGGGCCGTCGTAAGTACAGGATGTTCGGCCATGCAAGAATGCAATGAACAATGAAGACGGATGGAAGCGACAGTTGAACGGGGCATCGGTAACGATATTCTGCTCGCTACGCTCGCGACATGGAAGTACGAGTGGCCTTACTGTCGCTCGACCTGATCCTCGCTAACCGCTCGCGTATCCTCGAACATTCTTGCGCCTAACGCACAACGAGGGCGCTCGCAGTCCCGCGCTCCCCATCCCGTCCGCGACCGCACACACGTCCTCCCTTCCATCGCATCTCTGCCCCTCCACTGATACTCTGACTCCCCTCTCCTCATCCCTACCTCAAATGCTCATACTGCCAAACATCCCTATCCTGCCCCGCCGGAACCTCCACAATCTTCTTCAAATCCGCCGGGTCCTTCCGAATCAGGTTCTGGATGTATTCCTGCGCGGGGAAGGTCGATTCGACTTGATCGATTGGTGTTATTGGCCATTGGGACCATGCCTACAGGGGAAGGCGGTGTGAGCAGGGGCGTGGGCGGACGCGACTGGGTGGGAGGATGGGATGAGATGTGTACCTCTTGCCTGATACCGGGGCGGTTGCGGTGCAGCTCTGCGGGTGGGAGTGCTACTGCTGCGGCCATTGTAGCTCTGGGTATTCAAGGGCGTAAGTGGGGACGATGAGGGGGATGCTGAACTTCGAGGGTGCGGATACGCGGAAAGGCGCCGTTTCGTCAGAGATCACGCAGGCCGGGCGACTTCCCTCTCTTGCAACTTTCCGACTCTCTAAACAACACAGACATCGGCCTCCATCCACCTTGCCAGAATAGTAGAAATACAGTCCTCATACACATATCATATAGACCCCTTACGTTCCACTCTCTGTGTCTGAAGCAATGCCTCCGAGAGTCCCGCCGCCGTCACTTCGCTCGGTCGTTACGCTATTCTTCCGCCGACAACGACAAACGGCGCACATCCACCGTCTGTCGTTGGAACACGGACTATCGGCACCATCGTATACCACAGTAGCGACTGCAGCAAATGCACGGAGCTCACCGTGTCTTACCTGTCGCAATAGTCTAGCAACGACGCATGCAACAGTACCGCCAATATTCCAGACGCGGCACTTCAGCGCATCTGCATCCAACCGTGCCCGTCATAAGAACCACTATGAGGTGTTGAGTGTGGGGAAAGGGGTGGATAAGAAGACGCTCAAGGCTCAGTTCTACAAGCTGTCCAAAAAGTATGTTCAAATCTACCCAGTTTACGTACCATATCCCTAGCGTGACATCGAAGCTAAAATCCCACCCCCATCCCCCACCTCACCACAGATACCACCCGGACCGCAACCCTGGCGACACAGCCAGCGCCGAAAAGTTCGTCGAAATCAACGAAGCCTACTCAACCCTCTCCGACGACTCCCTCCGCCGCGCCCACGACCGCGACATCGCCGCCCACGCCCCCATCCGCGGCGGGCCCTCCAACACCGGCCGCCGCTCCTCACCCTTCTCCCACAACCCCTTCAGCAACCGCACCGACGCCCCCGTCAACCCGAACGACTGGATCCTCTTCCGTCGTCGGCGGCCACAGCATCCATCCTCTGGCGCTCATCAACATCAGCAGCAACGACCGCCCGGTGCGTCCCGCATGTATGATTTCGACGCCCACCAGAAGGAGCACTATGGGTCAACTTTCAGCAGTACAAATGCGAGCGCGTTCCAGCGGCGGGAGGAGGAAAGGCAGCAGCGGTTGTTCAAGACGCTGTATTTCAGGGAGCTGCAGAGGGTGCAGAAGGCCGAGTCGAAGATGGTCACGATCACGGTTATTACGGGATTGACCATCTTTTTTGTGTTTCATTCGGGGTTGGTGCAGATGATTTGGTTGGATGATGCGGAGTATGAAGAGCAGGGTGGGACGTTGCGTACGCCTACAGACCTGCCGTCGACTTCCGATGCGAGTGTTCTCTATGACTGGAGGATACGATACCGGACCTGAGCGCCTTTCCCCATCGAGACGTCACAGTAAATCCTGCACCCCCAAATTTTGTATCTTGTACATATCTCCATATACCATCTTGCACTTACTCCCATCGAACAAATTCTTATGAGTGCCCTCGAATTGGGGAAACGTGTGGTGTGCTTCTCGTGCACTCTGCACCATCTTATGGTCTCGCGCGCTTACGTAACAGCCTTCGCGTCGTTGGGAGTTCACTTCGAGCGACGGCTGCGATTCTCCCATCCCCCCACTTCCAAACTCCCACCTAACGTCTTCCTGCCAAGCAACGCAACGCCCACGCTCTACGCGCACGCACGACTACAGGCACAGCAGCGTCCTCGAAGAAACACGAACGGCATTTCGAAACACGATTAGGCATCATGGAGGATTTTCAAGGGATGGAGGAGGTGGGTGTCCTTTCACTGTGTTGGCGAAAGGGTATGGAGTCTTCTCGGGGTTCGGCGGAGTAGCATGGTTCGCTGGTAGGACATCGGCTACAATATGCAACTCTATGGAGATGGCACCCCTCGAGTCGACGATCCGCCCCATCTTTCCCAAGCGTGTCTGAAACCCCCATTCCCATTCACACTTCACCATTCTAACCGACCCCCAATCTCCCACCCAGAAAGCATTCGTAGTCGAAGAAGTCAACAACGCCATCAAAGAATCCATCGAAGCCACTCTCCAAAACGCGGCGTACCACCACGGGAAAGTCGCGCAATGGAACTCGAATATCGTCGAGCAGTGCTTGAAGCGGTTGACGGGGCTCAACAAGCCTTTCAAGTATATCGGTTCGTATACCACAATATCGATTTTTGGGGGATATCGGTGGGGAATGGAGGGATTGAGGATTGAATGTGGTTGGGGTTTTTAGTGACGTGCACGATAATGCAGAAGAACGGCGCGGGTCTGCATGCGGCGTCGAGCTGCTATTGGGATAATTCGAGCGACGGTAAGGCCATCCCTCGCCTCTCCCCTGACGCTTTGATAACCTCATATGTGATGCAACAACTTAACGACCCATTTCATTGCCAGGAAGCACGACGTACAAGTACGAGTCAAAGACGATGTACGCAATCGTCAATGCTTTTGGGTTGGCTATTTGAGGGGGTATTGACTCGGCACCACCGTATGCCGGGGGACCTTTTTTGGGAGGAGAGGGGGGCACGCTGGACCGTTGCGGGGGGGGGGGTTCTCGCTCGATGTACATACAACAATAACGATCCCATGTGGGGTTGTGGAGGATAATTTAAGAAAACGCTCGTTCGTTTTCTCGCCGGTTTGCGGGTCGGGGTGAATGATTATGGGAGGCGCATGAGGGTTCGAGTTGTGAGGTCCGACAGGGAAGTGCATGCTGGCGGTGGTGCAATACCCGATATCAATGGTTTGATTGAGCCTTTCCTTGGTGGGCACAACGTCCCATGTGGGGTTGTGGAGGATAATTTAAGAAAATGCTCGTTCGTTTTCTCGCCGGTTTGCGGTTTCGGGGTGAATGATTATGGCAGGCGCATGAGGGCTCGAGTTGGGAGGTCCGGCAGGGATGTGCATGCTGGCGGTGGTGCAATACGCGATATCAATGGTTTGATTTGAGCCTTTCCTTGGTGGGCACAACGTCACAGAAGTTACATACAGTCGTCAGGTCGGTTGTCTCAGTACGCGCGCCATCAATCCATTCCTATTGTCGCAACCAAATGGGGGGGGGTATGGTATATGTACATACATATACAGGAGAAAAAGCGACGCCCCAACCAATAACTACACATTCAGAATGATCCCTCGCTCTCCAATCCCCATGCGTCGATTCGAGGCAAGCTGAAAAGCTCTCAATGGGGCGGGCGGATACAGGTGGAAGACAATACATCGCAATGAAGGGTACCAGGGGTACGGCCGGTGCGAAATCCGGACTGCACTCGGACCCGACTCAATCACTCTCCGATTCACTCCCCTCATCACTCCCATCACTCGTATCGCTCGCTCTACTCAACCCCACTACAAAAACAAAGTTCTATTAATCACCATCCGCCAAAATCCCCCGCCCCATCCCCCCCCCCCCCCCCCCCCCCCCCCCCAAAAAAAAACATCACAAAAACTTACTAGGCCTACTCGAACTCGTCAACGGCCTCGCCTTGGCTGCAGGAGTCTGTTTCTTGGTCGGCGTTTTCTTCTTTGTCACGAAATTGTACAGTTTCCAGAGGGTCGATTTGGACAGGAGTTCAATGTCCAGTTCCACTTCGCCTCCTAGGTTTGCGCTCTAAGAGTCACAAAAAATGTCAAATCATTCGACACACACAAAACACACAGACACTTGTAAAGAGAAAGGAGGACCGATTTTTTTTTATACATACCTCAGGCAAATCCGACCCAGCCCTAATGATCCCCATCACTATATCAATCTCATCCGCGCTCAGCTCGCCGACCAGCACGCTCAGCTCCTCTTTCTGCTCATACGTCATCGCAGGCAGATTTTCCTCTGCTTTGCTCCCCTTCGGTGCGCGTGGGCGTGGTGGTTTCTTGGGGTTCTTCTTTTGTGGTGGGACGGAGAGGGATTTGGATTTCTGTTTTTTGGGGGCGGTGGAGGACGTGGTGGTGGGAAGAGAGGATGTGGAGGCTTTCTTTTTGGCGTTTTTGCGGGATTGTTTTTCTTGGAGGATGGCCATTTGGGCTGTTATGGCTTGGAGTTGGTTGTTGAGGAGGGAGAGTTGCTTGGCGGTGTCTGTGCGGGAGACGAAAGGGAGGCCAGTCAACCTGTTGACCACAACGAGACAAACGGTGTCCATCCGAACCGGACTTACTATCATCATCCTCCTCATCAGAAGACTCCTCCCCCTCATGCTCATGCTGCACCTGCGCCACCGACTGCCGTTTCGCCTTCGCCTTCGCCGCCGGCCGTTTATCCGATCTCGGGGCCTGCGCCACCGCCGCCCCCTTCTCGGCCCACTTCCTATTGAACACCTCATGCAGGTGCTGCGCCGAGGTATGCACGTCCGTCCCCGGCGGATTGAACGTGTAGCAGTTATTCAGCATCAGCTTCATATCGGCCTCGAACTCGTCCGCGGAGGCGTATTCCCCACCATCCAGTTTCTTGCGCATCGTGCTGAGATCCATCGGGTGTTTGATGATGGTTGGGTAGTGCGGGATGTTGAGGGCGATGGGGTCGACGGGTTGGAGGAAGGGCCAGTTGTGTGGGTTGTGCGTTTTCTTGGTCAGTTCTTTTAGCACTTCGGAGCAGAATTTGAGTTCCGGGTCGCTTAGTTTTGCGCCGGTTAGGGAGCTGCTGCTAATGTCTTTTACTGGCGCGTGGATTTCTCGTTTAGGTCGTGTGTCCGAGGGCCCGCTTAGGGAGTATCGCGCCGCTGGATCTACGGTCGATGGGCGTTTCTTCTGTTTCTCTGATTTCACCTGAACCTAGCCTTGTTAATTTTGCATGAATGGGGGAAGAGAGACGCGGAAGATGCCCTATCGCTTACCTGTAATGGTAATTTCTCCATGTGCTTATCGAACGACTTCTCCAGGTTCAGCGCATTTTGCGAGACCAGAGACTCTCTCCCGTTGAACGTATAGCAGTTCTCGACCATGAGCTTAAAGTCGTCCACAAAGCCACGATATGTTGCGTACTGCGAAGTGCGCAACTTGGTTTCGATTGTCGATAGATCCATCGGATCTTTGATCACGTCCAGGTAATTCGGAATCCCTAACAGCACCGGGTCGACAGGTTGAAGGAACGGTGGAGCGTCTTTCAGTCTTTTTACGATCTTTAACACGTTTCCGCAAAATTTCAGCTGCTCCTGGACGAGATTTGGATCCTCAGGGATTCCTTCTGATTTCACTCCCTCCGATTTTACGCCGGGCTGAAATTGGGATGAGTCAGACATCGCCACACGATAATCGCACATAATAAATCGAAAGGTGTATATGTACCTGGTTAACAGAAGGTTCGTGGTTACTGTGATCGTGCCCATTCGTCACAGGCGGGGGTTGCGATCTCAACTGATCAGGATGTAACGTCGAAGCTTCCTCCGCATAACCTGCAGTAGCATTCTGCGAATGCAGCGCGCCCAGCTTGGCCCAAATGAGCGGATCGTGATTCGAGTCCGGCTGGTTATAATTCGCTACAGGCTGATCAAAATTTGTTCCGTCATATGCGTCGCTCGGTATCCCCGTCCCATATATCGACTCAGAGCTGTCCATGGATTGTGATGAACGCACTTTGTTCTCAACTTGCGGATTGTCTTCCGAACCCTGTGATCGCGGTCGCTTAGCGTCTGTCCATTCGTTATACCTTTTAACGGTTCTCGTTAATAAGGTTGAGAATGCAGACAAGCTTCTTCCGCTTCGGTCCTCACCTCACATCCCCTTCATGGTCGCCAGATATTTCTGAAACACTACGCTTCCTGGTTTCGATTCCGGTCGTCATTTCGAAGGTCGGACGCGCAATCGTCTCGGACGGAATATCCGAGAGTGCAATGTGCGACGCGTGATAGTCTCTGCTTCCACTGCAGGTGTGGTGACGCTATTGAGCACGACGTTATGCGTGATACCAGTCCAAGATCCTCCTCTCGATTCCGATCCTGTCTCGTGATGATCTCTGTCTCGCTGAACCCAAGTGCAGTGATTGAATCAGCAGCAAACACCCCGGACGTAGAGAGTGTATGCCAGGGAGCTCAAACAGAGTAAGGCGACCGTCGACGGTAGCTGGTGTAAGCGAAAGTGTATATGTTTGACCCAAAAATGCGAGAGATCGCGTTGAATAGATATTGGTTGAGGGGGTAGTTTTTTTCCCCGGGTTTTGTCCGAGACCTGTTGAGGCGGGCCGCAGTGACGCTCGGGTTGCTTTTATATTTCTGGCGCCGGGCGTCTGTCCTCTTCGCTGCGCTTTAGCCTGTCCTTTATGGCCGTTCGCAATAAGTGTGGTTATCCATCTCACGCTCCTCGCTGCGCTTTACAAACTTCCTAGTCACGTGAGCCGTGCTCAAAAGTTAATGTGGCTTGCAATGGCTTGCAAGTGGCGCATGCTCGCCCTTCAGTGTTTGGAAGCAGTCACGATCATTAGAAAAGGGCACCAATCTGATTAAGAAGAACGCCGAGGAGTGCCGCCCCAGGCCTAACCTTCCACAAGAACCACAAATCAAGCGCAGATCTATCAAGTTTGAATGAGCCAGGATGGGTGCGCCCCTATAATAATAACATCATTCCTGAACTAGGACGGCAGATCGGTCCACGCAGCCCAGCTACGTACGTAAAGTAAGCGCCGGTTTTATGATATGATGCTTCGGCGTTTGGGCAGCTCCCAGCATTTGGGCAGCTCCCAGAACCACCGCATGCTCGCATATTTGAGCTCCCCGTGGCACAAGTCATACTAATGCGCATCAACTCAAAGCGCGTAAAACAGCACGACCCGTCGGAGAGGTAAACACTTTTTTAGATACCTTATGCGATGGGGGCCCGATACTAACGTGGACCCTTGCTGTGCCGTGCTGTGCCAAAACATCATATCATAAGGGGGCTTCAGCACTCGACTTACCCATAGTAAGTCGAACTTGAAATAAGCTCGTATGCCCATGCCTTGCTGTCAGCGAGGAGGAAGGGGCGGGGGGCATAATAAGCTTGCCGGAGTAAGTGGAACTTGACCTTAGGACCCTGTGCTGCAAACAAAGAAAGGAAGGAAGGGTCGCAACCGTTTCCCGTTTTCTTGCAACCCTCCGCAACCATCATCCCCTCCCTCGTAAAGCGTTCTCCAGTGAACACTGAGCAGGAACTTCAAATTCACTTGAAACACCGTCCTGCATTTGCCTTTCGCATTTTATCCTGGCACAGCACCCCTCAAGGCATCTTCAACATCTTGCGCTCAGTAGGTGAGGGCCGAAGAGCATTGCAATGGTCTAAAGGCTGGTCCACTTTTGTCCTCAACGTATTCCGTCGTCAAGCAGGCACCTCACCCACCACAATACGATAAACTCCCCAGCACGCGAGTTTCAAAGCATCTCCTTCACCAACCTTGTGCATTCCGGCAATTCCAATTTGCAACCAAGCAAGCTTCGGCTATACCCATAACACACTCTCAACTATCAACGTCAACAAGAGACCACCCTTCCACAAAGACGCCTCACCGTCACTCCCTCTCGGCTCCTGTCTTCATATCACACAAGAGCGCAGACGTCCCCGAATGACGCTGTGACTTTCGAGCCCTTCATCGTGGACACTCAAGCATCGGCACTGTTGCCCGAAGCACCTACCGAGGGACGATCCTTAGCAAGACGAAGCGGCACCCTTCTTGTTCCGCATCCCATCCGATTCGATTGCTCAAGAAAAGATCCGTGACCCGACATCATCGGCATTCTCCCACCACGGCGAATTGCGGGGTTTAACGCTTCTCGTGCTTCTGAACGAAGAGAGACGCTAAGGCTGCATCTCTCGGACAGAGTAGAATGGCCTCAACCGACGATCATGTTAACGACTCTCGGGAAGCGGAGGTCGACTGCTCAGAGGTCGATATGTCGCTGGTAAGTTGCACGTTCCCCCCCCCCTTCCGTGCCCCTATCCCTCCGTTCTCCCCGCCTCCCGTGGCCCGTTTGCAAGCATGCATCGGAGAGGAATGCTCCCATGTGCTTTTGTTCCGCCATTTTTGGGCTGTGCTGTTCGGCATCTGGAATTCTGTGGGTTGGAATGCTGCTGAGCATTTCCGGAGAGGCACCGACAACTCAGCTGAGGCCGCAGTCAGAAAACTTCAACACGGGTCTCGGTACCGGTAGCATCATGCTGCGGGATGGCTTCCCATGAGCTTTTCATATTTGTTGGGGAAGTCCGTTGAACCGACGAAGATGCCTAGAGATCTTCGGGGCCTAGGGGGGGTGTTTGCGGAATGACGGGATGCGAGGGTGTCTTTTCTTCGAAGTGGTTCAAATTGTTTTGCGCGACGCGTGCCTGCGGACTTACGGACTTGTTGACCCCTTGACGCGTCGATTGACACCGCGGCGACTCAGACGAGTCATCCTGTCAGTCAGTCGCTCGCTGGGAAGTTGGAATTCCGAGAACACAGCCCCAGCACGCACACAGTCTCTGATGCAGCGGCTAACCTATCCCCATCCTTCGTCGCGCAGATTCAACGATTGCAGGAATTCTCACAAAATCCCAGCGCTCATCGGCCCAACCCCTATGTCAACATAGCAAAATTGAACTTTGCACCTTATTTAATGGAGATGTTCTCACATGAGGGCGTCGTATCCAGCGCGACATACACCGATGCTGATATACCCTCGGAGCTACAAGTACCGTCCGATAATTTCGGCTTTGCAACCCCACTGAAAAGGAAACCATCATCGGCTTCCTACTTACCCGCCATGGCCTTCTCAAGCCTCCTCTCGCCAATCTCTGGATACGGAAGCGAGGTGTCTTCAGCCACCAAGCAACATCAGAAAGATTCTGATAAGCGACGGACTGGAATGCAGAGTCCAGGGCAACCATACCTTCTCGCCGCAATGGCAGCGGGCCGCATGACGCCTCAACCCGCAGCGACGACATCGGCGTTGCCTGTCTGCGAAACACCGATGCGCTTCGTGAATGTGTTTGGAGGCTCGACACACTCTGACGAAGCTCTGCGGATCGGTCTGCACAAAGACCTGTCCTTTGACTCTGAAGCGACGTCCATCATCGCCACGCCCTCCCTCTACACCCGCACGATCTCCGACGACGACGATTTCTACAAAAATCTTACCTGCCCGTCGTCGGAACTCGCCAGCCAGGAACACTGCTTGTCCTCGTCACCTATCGTCTTTGACCCACCGTTCGGTGGGTTGCCTGCTTCCGCAGACGATTTCGGGATGGATACCAGCGGAGACTTTGACTCGTTTGCATTGGACATTCCGTTTACCCCGGCGGGGCGGCATGGCCAGCGAAGAGTCTCGGTCCTCAGTCTCGGCGGCCTGTCGGACTCTTCTGGAATCGCCTTGTTGGCTGCAGAAGTCAAGCCACGGAAGCGGAAGGCTGGCGAAATGGGCACGGCGCTCGGAAGGAGTCTTGCCGGCGGAGACGAGGGTGCGGGTGAGGTCGAGAAGGAGAACAGCAGACCGGCGCCCATTTTTGGAACACCGGCGCCTAAACGCGCGTCGTCGGCGGAAAGCGGGCGTGGCAAGACAGTTGCAGCTACTCCTCCGCCCGCCGCTTGTGAGTGTTGCAAGAAGCAAGGGAAGCGCTGTGAGAGTAGGGGGACGTCTAACCCTGGGATTAAAGTGGATCTGGCGGATTCGTTGAAATCCCCACGTCGGGGGCAATACGCACGACCAGCGAAGGTTGCTAAGACTTTCAACGATGCAGGTGCGCTTTCTCACCCGTCGGTCTTGCTCGGCTCCGCGACTCTAAGCTCATCCTTATCTGGTCCATTTCAATATAGACTCATCCTATGACGAATGGACCCACCTCGAGTTTGACGATCCGCCTTCACTGACCAGCGACATTTCCTCCGCCTCACCCGCAACTTTCAACCATCCAAACCTAAACGACAGCCAGCACAGCGACCAATCCAGCCCTCTCCCACCCACCTTCCGCACCGACGCAACCCTCAGCCTCAGCCCTCGCTTCCTCTATACCCGCTCACCGGCCCCCACAGCACGAACAGGTCCTACATCAACATCAGCAGCAGGAAAATCACCCGCCCGTCTCAACTCTATTTATCTCACCCCGCTGCACCATGCCGGCCGCACCGCTACCACGGCCGCTACTGGGAAGCTGTCGCCTGCGGGACTATCGAACGCGATGAAGAAACCGTCACCGGTTAGGCCGTCTGTTTCGCCGCTGAATATCTTTGCGGCGCCGGCGAGCAGACCGCCTTCGAGTCGGTGAGGGTTCGAACGATGAAACCACGCAAACATGGACGTGATAGGGATATGAGTACACGATAGGAAAATATGCGTGGCGCGAACTAGGAACGACCGGCTCGGTTTCGACAAACCACTTTCGGCCGCCGACATCTTTTCTCGGTCATTTTCCTCCCCTGTACGTTCTTCCCCGCTTGTCTGAATGTTTCGGTTTCACACGCTCTGCCGCCGACCTGCAAAACTCCTCGGCGATACAAACCTTTCCTTCCACGCGTACCTACTCCCCCCCGGTTATCCCTCCTCCATCCCCTCGATTAGTATAACCTGAGTGTGTGAACGTGTGTGGCTGTCTTTTGGGTCGTTCTTGACTTTTCCTTCCGGCCTTCTTTCCTTCTTGTTCCGGCGTTTGAGGTTTTTTCTTCCTTGATTTCTTTTCTTTGTTTTTTTCTTTGAGGATGCTTTTGTTTAGTGGTGTGGTGGGGACGAGTGTATGTGTTAGGAGGAATAGGATTTGGAAATAACTTAACGGAAAAACGATGTTCCGCAGAGGGGCTGGCAGAGGTGGAAGAAGGAGATGAAAACGCGAGAATGACAGCGGATTGGCGGAGGAAACGCGTGCTGCGCAATCCAACGCGCTGTCGGTTTGCGCTGTCATCACTTTTCATTGACGCGTTTTCGCGCTTTCCTCCAAAAACCCACCTCGAGCTCGAGATTCTTCGGCAACAGAGCCATGGTCGTCTCCTCCTTTTGACAATTATGTACAAACAACGAGCGCTCAAGGATCTCACAATCTTTCAACGTAACAGCCTTCCAGGCGTCCTCTACATCCACCCAAAAATGTCCTTCATCCCATCACCGTCCCCTGAACAAACACCCCACCCAAACCCAAACTCCCACAACCCCCGCCTCATACGCCCCACACCACACAGCACACGCAAACTCCGCCCCATCATCTTCACACACATGCACTTCCATCCCCCGGATGAAGTCCACAATCGTCGCGGTGTCGGTGTACCGGAACCAGAGAGGGGAGCCCCGGAGGCGGTAGATGTTGAGGAGGCGGGTTAGGTCGGGGAGGGTAGCGAGCGGGGAGGGTGGTATAGTGGTGGAGGAGGGGAGGGTCGGGGAGAGGGGGAGGGAGAGGAGGTGGTGTTCGAGGAGGGGGAGGGCGGTGGCGAGGGTGCGGGAGGCGAGTCTGTGTGGAAGATTCGAGTTAGTTTAGGAGGGGATTTGTCTCTGATGGTGTGGGGGTTGTGAGCACTGGAAGAAAAGACGCACCTGTTCCACCGCGTAACGGTGGTGCCGCGCCAGTTCTCTATCCCGTCGATCAGACTTCGCTCGATTCGGAGCTGGATCTCTGAGGCGCGGTTGGTGTCGATTGCCTTGTATAATGGGGCTTCCGACTGTATGAAGAAGGGCCCAGAGCGTATGTGAGATTTCAACAGACCTGAGATTTGCAAACTACTACAAACTCTCGCAATATTATGAGGCGTTTGTGGGTTGTATTACCTGAAAGGTGGTGAAACCGACGTCGCTTGTCCCTGCGGCGAAGAGCGGGCGCCAGTCGGCTGATATCATGAGGTCGAAGCGCATGCGGGGTGGGTCGGAGTACGTTTGCACGTTCGCCCAGACCTGAATTACCAAGAAGTTAGACAGCTGTGGGTGAAGAGAAGGCGCTGCGCTCATAAACCTTACATTCGTCCGGTCAAACACCAAAGCTATCTCCTTCAACACACACCTCGTATCATCCACCTTCCACGTCATCCCCTCCACCGGATCCCACAACACAACCCGTTCCGCCCCCGCACCCCCACCTCTCGTCAAAACCCATGCCGCGCTATTCCCAACCACATCCCTCCCCAAAACAAGAAACGCCACCACCTCCCCAAAACACCACCCAAAATAGTTACACAACAGAACCGCATGCTCCGCCGGCCCACCAGCCCCCACCGACAACATCTGGTCCGAGGTCGCCCACATCGGGTGCGCGTACATCAGCGTCGCGTCAACCCGCGGGATCAGCGACACGAACCGTAGTAGTGCGCCGGGGGTTACCGCTTCGAAGCCCGCGGGCGGTTTCTGTGGGCGGATGAAGCGGGTGATGAGCGCCGTGTGCCCGGAGACTGTATTCACACTCAATGGCGTAGAAGCCATCCGTGGTCGTGCGTGCCGGGGTAAGCTGCGCATGAAACTTGATGTGCGGCGGAGGGTCGCGGGGTCTTCCAAGGACTGGAAGTCGAGCGGGGCTTGTGGGAGCGGGGCGAGGAGGGGGTCGAGGGTTATGAAGAGATGGAGGAAAGAGATGGGATTGGATGGGGTTCTGGAGGTGGTTGTGGTGGGGTACTCGTAGGCGATGAGGGCGGGGGAGACGTGGAGGGGGAATTCGCCGGCTATGCGGGTTTGGGAGCGGAGGGTGGCGAAGGGAATGCGGAGGCTGCCGAGCCAGGCGCGGCCTTTGCGTTCGTAGGTAAGGTTTGCGCTTTGCTCTGCCTACATTGTTGCGTTGGAGAGATTTAGACAGCACGCAGCCGAACATGGGGCTGAGCTCAAGCGGAGATAAGCATCAAAGGAGGAAAGGGAGAAAGATGATATCCCACCTCGGTCATATCAACAACAACCTCATCAAACACATCGATGCGTAAGTCCTCTGCTTCAACGTCCAGAGCAGACGCCCCTCTCAACCCGCCCGACCCGAATGTCACGTCCACGGTGAGCGTGTCGTTCCATTGCGGGTTGGGGCCTTCCTCCGTCGACGTGCGTGCCTGGCTGTCTTGAAATCCGATTCGCACGTATGGGCGGACAACCTGTGTGATGCGAGATGATGGATCTATCAGAGGGGCTTTGTCTTGCTGTAGTACGTTGATTCGGGTATATATCACAATCACCATACATACCATAGCACCCTCCTCACCACCCCCGTTCCCATCCCTCCTCCCCACACTCTTCCTCACCGGCAAACCCGCCCCCCTCAAGACATGCACCAAGATCCGACAACCCCCCTCCGGCACCGCCTCAACCCTCTCCCTCTTCACCGCATCCCTTGCCGGCCTCAACGGTCTATGCGGCCGCAACCAGTCCATCATGAAGAACGTCGTCTGCGGCCGCGGGGGCATCTTCACCTCCCGTATATAGTCGTCATGCCCTTTTGCGCGCGGCTTGTAGCTGCTACGTAGAAGGTGGTGGCGCCGTAAGCGCCGCAGGAAAGGTTGTTCGACGCTGGTGAGTGGAGGTGGGTCGGCGGCGGGGCTGAGGAGGGACATGGCGGAGGAGCGGTGGGAGAGGGTGGTTGGTGCGGGTGTCGGTGTGGATGTGGAGAGTCGGAGCGGATCATCTTTGGGGGAAAACTCGTCCAGGAGCGTATCGGTGATTTCGTGGTCGAACAGGGGGATGGCGATGAGGGATTGAGAAGACTCGTCGCTTTCGGGGCGGATGAGGGCGCGTTTTTGGAGGAGGGTTAGGCGTTTGGTGGTGAAGTCTTCGTCTCTCTGGAGGGAAGATGCGTTCGCCTGTGAGTAACGTTTCTTTTCTCCCTAGGGGAGGGATATGCCTCTCGACTTCCCCGGTGACGGATAGACAATACTCACAGCAACACTAAACGCCGCCATCCTCATCCACCCCGGAATCGCCAACCGACAATACTTCCTCGCCGCATACCCCCCCAACACATCGCCCGTCGCCCCACTGCCCGCCGCCGCCGCAGCCCCCAACAACCTCTGCAATCGAAACACCTCAAAATTCGCCGGATTATTCGGATCAACCACCAAGCCCTGCGTCCACTCCAACAATTTCCACAGATCCAACCCGGCAGTCGGGTGCATCAATCGCCCGATGCTGAAGGTGGACCAGTCGGAGGTGATGGACCGTGTTGAAGTGAGGTAGCCACCGGGCCCCTGGACGTGCCCCCGGTAGTCGGCACCCCATGCGCACCCGAGCTTGAGCACGCCGGAGGTCCAGCGCTCGTCGCTGCTGAAGTGCCCGGAAAAGTCGAGGGAGTGGGGGGTGCGGTCCAGGGCTTGGGTGGTTTCGGTGGAGAGGGGGATGGGGATGGGGACGATGGCGCAGAGGATTTCGCCGAAATTTGTCTGATGGGATGTGCGATTAGGATTTAGCCGCCCGTATACTTTCGTGATTGCAGGGATGTGGTTACCTTCTCCAAAATTTCAGCCTCAATTGTCTCCGGCATCTCCGATACTCTCAAGCACAATCGATGCACCTGAGTCTCCACCATCTTTTCCGCGGCCTGCGTCCCAGCCACCGCTTTACTTTGCGCACTCCCACCAAAATGAAACTGCCCCGAAAGCGAGTCAAGCGGCTGCGGTGCCGTCTGCGTTATCATCTTTTTGTTATACAGCAGGCGGAGGTACAGCTGCGGTGGGGCGGCTGTGCGGCGGGTTTGCTCGTACTATACGAAATCAGAAGTGTCAGACATTTCCCAACGGGACGGAAAGAGAAACGAGAACTAACCAGCGGACACTCAGCCAACGGCGTTATACTCGCCGTGCGATAAAGCTTGAACCGAAATATCGGGGCGCCGGGAGGGCGGTGACTGCTTTCTAACCTCTATATCTACCGCGTATCAGTCTCATCAGATTCGCTCAACCATCCAATGAAGCAACAGAAAATCCGACCCTGTGGACATACTTTCGTAGCTTCTGCTTCGTACCGCCGGATTTTGGAAGGAATGGCTTTCCGTGCCGCGGCAGCTGCGTCATCAGTGATGTCCTTGACGTGCTCGTGTGTGGAGCCGCGGCGTTTTAATGGAGATGTAGCGTCGGTTATGCTCGCCGTTGCTGCCTTTTGCGAAAGGATGTGCGCCTCGAGGTTGAGCAGGTCGATGAACTCTTCGACGTCATTGGTGAGTTCTGTGCGGAGGCGGGCTATGTCCTTTTCCAGATCACGGAAACCAATACATCAATGGGGTGTCGCCAAGAATACAGAAGCCAAGACAACGATTTCACCCACCTGCACAGCATCCCCCTCCACTGCTTTCACCCCCACCATCACCGCCGACCCTACAAATCCCTGTTTCGCCCTTACCTCCCCCAACCGCTGCCACTCCCTCAAAACTCGAAACTCCACCTCCCGCTCCGTCTGCGTCTCGGCATCTCTCAACAGTCTGACCGCGCGCACTTTCTCCAACAATACCCGCCGCGCATGCAGGTCCCTCTGCACCTTCAACATCTGTTTCCGCCCTTTTGAGCGTGGGTGGTTCTCATTGCCATCAGCCGCGGCAGTGTTGTCATACTCGGGATGCGCAACAACCCACTCCCTCCACGCCTCCCTCGCCGCGCCTAACTGCCTACTCAACGTCTCCACCACCCCCCTCTTCCGCCTTCCGTTCAGCTCCCTAACCCCATTCTCAACACTCCTCGCGAGCGCCATCTCCTCCGTCATAAGCGGGTGATCGCGGAACTCGATCGCGCATAAATCAAGGACGAGGAGGTAGGTGCCGCTTGGGGTGTGCGTTATCGGCGTGTAGGTGGAGGGCTTGGTAAGGGGGGTGCGGAGGATTAGGAGATCCGGGGTGTCGATGTCCGAGGAGGAGGAGGGGGTTTCGATGTCGACGGGGTGGGTTTTAATGCCTTGGGACCATTGGTTGAGGATGGGGATGGGGTCGCGGAAGGGCCGGCGAGGGACGGTGCTGAGAGGAATGGGGGAGATGGCAAGGGTCTGGGTGGGTGTGAACCATTGTGCGGCGCTGCAAAGCATTTAGTTCATTAGAGATCTTGTCGCTGTTAATCGACGCCGGAGGGTGGGGACGGCGGCGGTGGGGAGCCCTGCACCTACCTATCCGGCTCACAGCACAGGATTCGCTTCTCCATCCGCTGCATATTCCGCAACGATACTGGTGGCGGGTCCGGGACATACAGCCCGGCGTCTGCAAGGAATGCTGGGGTCTACGTCATCCATGAGTGGATTTGCGTCAATCATGACAGCCAAACCTCCCACCAGTTCCGTTGCCGGTCAAGCTCCAAACCTACCCGTTGACCCCGATTCCTCGCTCCCGCTTGTGCCCCGGGTGAAACCCCTGCAGAGGGCGATACATAGTCGGGATGAAATAGCAGTCGGTCGATCTGCACAACGGCGTAAGTAAGATGAACCTGACATCTCCCGGTCCCAACGAGATGTGCATACTTACCAAACCTGGTAGGACTGCTGGCTCTTTCCCCTTTCGGAGCACATACGTCGTGATGGTCTCCACTTCTGCCTTTTCTTTCAGTTTCTTAAATGCTGTGAATGAACGAATGATTAGAGCATCCTTCTTCGCCTGCCCCACATCATGGCCCGGTGTTTCGATCCGGAGACGCCCATGTTCTCCAAAAATGACGATGAGAGCGCCACAGAAACTCACCACTCTCAGCCCACCGGCCCTCCTCATCACGGTCCGCATCGCTCCCATAAATCTCATGAAACTCATCTCTCTGCTTCGGTTTGGCCCGTTTGCGCTTCTGCTGGGCTGGCTGTGCGTTATGTGGGTGGGCGTGCGAAAGGTTGTGGCTGTGGATGTTGGTGATGGATCTGTGGGTGCCGGCTCGGTCGATGGATGCAGCACGGGGTGTGCGGTTTTCCAGGTCCTGGTTTGATTGAGGAGAATGGATACGGCAATTTTGGATGAGCAGTGCACCACCATGTCCTACTACCTTGCTAACACATATCCTAAAACCACGAACCGGGTCTTTGACTTCACAAATCAAACACAAACACATACATCGCCAAACGAAGCCGTGGACGCCGTGCGAAGCAGCGAGCGAGATTCAGAGCGGTACCGCAGCCGGGAGCGGTCGCGCTGGCGAGACATACTGTGCTTCCTGGTAAGATTGGCTTCGTTGGAAAACGCCTGCGTATGAAGTCAGATCTCTTCTCCCTTGCTATGACTGCGAAACGGGGCTTTCTGGGTCTACGCGTGCACGTCGCGTTCGAACTTCAAATTCACTTCAAAGACCACGCGTACTCTCGCGGCCTTGCTCTCTCCCAAACATACAGTACAGTGCGTATGTTTCATATACATGCATGCATGGACTGCAGATGTATCAGCAGATGAACAGCAGGGAAGGATGCATCGTATCGATATTCCCTTGAAGCCACTGATATTTTGCTGGCTGGAGTGGATCCATGGCGATCTTGGTCGGAATCCCGGCCAGATATGAAGCCTCACGCGTTCGTTCTGCTTCCCGTCAGTCTGCTGTCAATCGCTGTCATTCGGTCCTCTCCTTAGGCGTTCCATTGGCCAGTGGTTTCCCTACACCTTCCATTCTCACATTCTGCTACCCCAAAGTGCCACTGCTTTATTTCTGATATATTATCAATATGACCGTGGTAGCCTTAGGCCAACACATAGAGCAAAACCTGCGGGCATGTCCCACCTACTGGGCGTTCAAGAAACGGCTTCTGGTCTGTATGGAGTTTCTCTCTCAAGCAATGGGAACGGCCCCTCGCTCCCATGCATTAAGCGCCATATGCAATAGAATTAGATAAGGGCTCTTAGATGGCGGCGGAAAGCAGTCCGGAAGAATGAGGGGACTGGCTTGCGAAATCTTAGCTTCCGGCTCAGAAGCTGTATCTTGTCATCGAACCGTTTTTGACAATTATGATTCTCGTACCATCTCACGGCACATAGACCGAGCTATACGAAAGAAAAGCCGCCAGCTCCGCGAACCCAGACCCACCCACCACCCAATCGCTCGCCGAATCCATCTTCAACAAGCCAGGTGGTGTCGGTCAACTCATCCAAAACCACGTGCAGCTCAAATATGCCTCCGCTGCTGCTCCCCAACAGCCACAACCAGCAGACCGTCATCACGAATATGGTGCCGAAGCAAATCACACGGGTCGGCGAAGACAAAGTTCCCGACCCCGACAGTCCCGAATGGATGAGAAGATGGTTGAAGCGTTCAAAGCTGCCCAGACAAGCCTTGACGCGAAAGTTGCACGACAGTTGAGGAGGATCGGGCTCGATTGGGGCGTTCCGCTTGCTCGACGGGTATGTCCATGCCGTGACCAGACTCATTCGACTGTGTGGTGTGTCATGTTTCCAAATTCCACAGAGATCCAAACACGACGCAGCAATCTACCTCAAATCCGAACTCAGCCACGACCCGGACGAGGTCCCGACTAGTACCTCCAACGGGCTGCCGTCCCGTGGTGTGCGTGATCCAGACCGTGTTTGTCTGCTTGATGATCAGGATGTGTTCAAAGCTTTGATGGGGGTCAAAGTCCATGGGGATGAGGATGAGGACGATGAGGTTGTGTAGGTATTTCCGACCGACGACATTGATCTTGGTTTGGGGAGGGATGAAACTTATTGGTGCAGGTGATGTAGAAACACAGGCTTCAGAACCTTCTGGACCGACCTACCGTTCAATCTCCTCCCGCGGCCGGTAATGCTGGAGGAGCTGCGGTACCGCTTCCCGGAGCTGGATCCGTTGTTGGAGCGGACGGGCCCGGATGGGGTGGATGATCGGGATGCAGGTGAGTATCCACAAGGCTGAATAGAGTTTTGGGGCGTTTATTGATTGCGATGCAGATGCATTCATCAGATCGCGCATCACCCCCGGCGAAACAGTCCTGCAGGAAGCCAACCTGGACCGCGCAAGGGAGTTCGCCAAACAAGGGATTCCGCATTGTCTACGCCCGCGGATGTGGAATTTGTTGGTGCAGAGTGAGCTGGTGGATGATTTTGAGGGATATGTATGTGTTCGGGCGATGGCAGGGGATAGGGAGGATACCCACCGGCGAAGAGGTTATTGGGACATGCTGACATCCCCACCTCACTCACGCATCCCACTAGACCAAAAACCACTGCCGCACCCTCCTCACCTCCCTCGCCGACGAAGACCTCATCATCGACCGTCTCATCCGCATCGACGCCCGGCAATGCCGAAACGACGACACCTATTTTGTTTTCGAGGACGTCTTGAGGGATATCATGCTCCGTTGGGGCAGGGATGCCTGGGTGGCGGAGCAGATATCCCATAATCGAGATGGAGGCGGTGAGACAGAGGATGGGGAGGATGGATGTGGAACGTTGGCATTGACGACAACCCCGTACACCCCGCCCAACGGCGTGCTGCCATTCTGGGGCATCTCGTGCTATGCGATGCCGCTGTGCTTTTTGCATGCGGATGGGGATAGTGCGTATATGACTTTCAGGGAGCTTTATGTCCGGTAACGTGCCTCTGCTCCCTTGACCGCTTGAAATCCTGGGCAAACAGCTGACACGCCCCATTCCATCCGCTCCTTCAGCGTTTTCCGCCACCTCCAAACAATCAAGCCCACGCCCACGCCCATGGGCACACCCACCCTACCCACCCTCCTCACCCTCTTCGAGTCCCTCCTCAAACAATGTCTCCCCATCCTCTTCCACCACCTCTCGCACACCCTCCGCATTCCGCCCACATCCTATGCGTTCCGGTGGATCATGTTTGCGTTCGTCGGCGTACTAGACGTGGAACAGGTTCTGAATTTGTGGGACCGGGTGTTGGGATATGAGAGAGGGAAGGGGGAGGGGCTGGAGTTGTTTGCGGTTGCGGCTGTGGCGGTGTTTTGGGAGAGGAGGGGCGTTTTGATGGGGGCGAGGGGTGCGAGGGATGTTGAGGTAGGTGTTTTTTTGAGGATTTTGGAGATATGCGGGTGATATGTAGGACTTGGTTCTCATATCCTTCATACTTTGCTTCTGACATCACATCCAGCTCGCATTCGACAATGTATCCGGGATCAAGATCATCCCGCTTGTGCAATCCCTGATCTTCCCTCCCCCTAGCGAGTACTAGTCGTCCTTCAGCAGGCAATGCCGCACGCCATATCGCACGTACGCAATCGCAGGAAAGCACGCATCAATGGAGTCCCAGGCCGTTGATGCCGCCATTATTCATTACCTACGTTGAAGCGTTGGACTAACATTCGGACGATGATATCGTTCTGCATAATCTCTCCATGTATCTTCCCCTGCTACATACCAAATACATCTCTACATACCCTCCGGCGGGCATACTGATCGCCGTTGGTTCATCTCACAATGATCTCTCCTACGCGCCTCTCGGCAGCCATACTCCACTCATCATACGCCGGCAAGCTTTCAAAGCACATCGACCTCACGACAAGAAGCGAATTCGATCCACATCCCGTCACCCCCGGACATCTTCACTATGCTCGCCAAGCACCCACTAATCGCTCATGTACCCCTATACGTCGAGTAGCTGTACGGCGACAGCAGTAAGGGGATGTGGTAGTGCGGGTTGGGATCTTCCGGGACTTCGAATACGACCTGAAGGGGGTAATTGAGACAACCGATACATCAACGATCGGCCCTCGTTCCCACACATGCGCATACGGACGACGACAACATACATGAACAAAGGGGAAGAAGCTGGACCTCTCAAGCTTCTCAAAGTACTCCTTCACGTGAAACTCGAGGCGGTAGACTCCCGGGCGCAGCTGGTGTGGCCCGTCCGCAGCCGTCCCGGGTAGGAGGGTTGTGCATCGACCATCTTCGTTCGTTTCCCTATGAAGATGTATGTGAGGTCGCTGTTCCTGGAGAGTGAGAGGGTGTCTTCCAGAACCTACCCGTCTGCGAGGACTTCCCACGACTGACTGGAGGATGATGCGGTTTGGGAGAGCTGTTCCAGACGCACTTTGACGCCTCTTGCGGCTACGCCGTGGGTTGTGTCCAGAACGTGGGTGGTTATGGGACTCTTGTGGGCCATCGTTGTCGTCGGGGGGTGTGTCCTGGGAACGAGGAACGAAATGGGAAGCAGATGGGAAGTCCAAAAGGGATCGCACCGCGCCGAAGTCGTCCTGGGAAGTCCTTGGATTGCGAAACATCCCAGGCGTTCGCAGGCTCGCAGAGGTCCGCAAGACGGGGATTCACAGGGAACACTGCCACACTTAAGCTCCGCAATGGCCTCCTCAACGCTCGCTAAGCTTCTCAACAACAAGGAGGTCTCGCCCCTCCTCGTCATCGAAGACTCGGTTCAGCAGTCCGCATATCCACTCCTGCGTGAATGGGTATTGACGAAATCCTCGACGGCCGGGAGAGCAGCGAGGTCAGTAAAGGGAGGAAGCTGAGTCTGGGAACGTACTCGCTTACTCCGGTATTCGGAGGAGCATCCTGTTGGTGCGGGCTTTCTCACTCGGTGATGGGTTTCTGCTTCGCGTAGGCAAGAACTCGTTGTTTGCTGCGTGGAACATCCTCCAAAGATCGTGAGAGAGAAGATACTGGGCCAGGACGTCGAGTGAGTAAATTAGCCTCTTCATTAATAACGGAGGGAATGCGTCCTTGACAGAATACATATTTAATAGGAAAGCGTTCCCGTCGGCGACGTACATCGACGTCGGTTCGAGCTGGTTATGGGGGACACAGGTGCCGGCACAGGATGCGATCACGACGAGCTTTGAGAAGCTGGGTGATGTGCTGCATGAGCAACTGCGCGCTGGTGAGTGGATTTTTTCCGTCATTGGTGGCAGAGATTTGCCGTAGAACGAAAGCTGATGTATGGAATGTCCGTCTTCGTGTCCCATCTGACAGATGTCAAGACAACGGTAGTCTTTGAAGGAGTCACTGAGATTCTTTCGCATCAAACCTTGAGCGCCTTTGCAAGATTCATGAAGCGGATTGCCGCAATGGCGAATGGTTCGTGCACAGCGTCTGTAGAATGTGTGTTGCCTTGAGATGTCCGCTCGACTAATCCACGTTACATTTCGAATTGACCCCCAACAGAAACCCACACCTTCATCTTCCCCTTCCACAGCGACGCCGCCCTCTCCTCCTCCACCTCTCCCACCTCCCCAACCCTCACAACCCTCCTCTCCCAAGTCAGCACAACCTTCCTCACCATCCGCCCTGGCAAAGACTTCGGCGTGACCTTCGCCGACACGCCCGGCCCCGAACCCGACGTGTTCAAACCTGTCGACGCCCACTCCCACGCCGGCGTGCTGTGCGAGGTGCTGCATAAGAAGAAGAGTGGGAAGATATTGAGGGAGGTTGTGGGGGTAAGGTTTGTTGGGGTGGATGGTCGGGATGGTCCTGCTGGACGGACGGTGAGGGGGGATCATGCGAGGTGGAAGGTGATGACGATTGAGGAGTTGGGTGGATGGAGTGCGACGACGGCGCCGGCGCGCTTGGACCAGGCGGCGGCGAAACAGGCGGATGAGGTATGCCAAGGTTTTGCTTTGGGCGGTGCTTTGAACATCCCGTTGCACACTGACACATTGAAATACACATCAAATCAGCCGGACCCAACCGCCAACCTTTCCTTCAACCTCCGCCTCACCGACGAGCAGCGCTCAGCACGGTCCGAGGTCGTGCTTCCGTACCTGCACGCCCAACAGCTAGACAGCCCATTAACATCACACCAAACATCAAACTCGTCGGCAGCAGCCCCGCCATCTTCGACGGGGATGATCTACTATGACGATGATGACTATGATTCGGATGACCCGGATGCTGACCTGGATATTTGAACACGCCACTGCGGCCAATTCAGGACGGGCTTATCCTGTGCTTTTCAGGCGAAGAATCGTATTTATATGTAGAATGAAGGGGATGGTGCGATGTCTACCTACGCGGGGAAGACACACGCCGTTGATCAATCAGGCCACACCGCCGGTCTGCGTGGCTGAAAAGCCGCAGCCAAATACAACACCAATAGCTCAACGAAATGCCTGCCAGCTCACCCAAATCCGCCTATAGGCAGACATAAACCGAACGAAAATAGAACAAACAATCAAAAGCTATCAACAACTGAGACCAAGAACTACGCTCTCTTCTTGACACGACTCGCCTCCTCCACGACGACAACACTGGGCTCCAACAATCCCTGCCTCAGCTTCGTCTCCCTCCACGCCAAGAAGGCTGGCAACGTCACCGATACCCCCAACGGAAACACCGTCACCGCCAGCACAACTGTTCCAACAATCACAGCAACCCACGCCCTAACAACACCCCTCCTCACAGCCGTAACGAGCTCGGCAACGATGAAGAACGACGCGGTGAGGGTACAAAACACGAGATCGGCGGTGATACTTTTCTGGCACGGGTGCGAGGCGATGGCGTCCGCGAGGTCGATCCCAATCGCGCGGTGCCAATCGAGGTTGCGTGAGGCGACGGCGTGTGAGGCGAGGTTGGAGATGGCGAGGAACAGGTAGAGGGCTGACATGGCTTTTGGGGATGTGGAGGAGGTGGTGATGCCGGTCTTTTTGGCGCGAGGGGCTCGCGGATGGTAGATGAGGCCAGGCCCTGCCCCACCGAGGATGGGGAGCAGGAGGGCACCGTGAATTATGATGAGGGTCCAGGAGAAGATGGTGTAGTTGCTGGTCAAGGCGTAGGGGGTGTATGTGACTCCGGCGACGAAGACAGCTAATAGAATGAAGATGGTGATCGTGACGCGGGGGTATGAGCGTAGTGCGAGGTTTTCTGTGATTGGAGAAGACATCAACGGTTAGCGAATAGCGAATCGCGAAATAGATAGACATACGAAACTTCCGAATAAACGCAAATGTGTGGAAAAAAGAACCTAGAGCTCCCTCGCGAAACGGCAGAACTTACTCTCAGCAACCCTCCGCTGCACCAAAAACAGCGCAAACGCCACACTCATAGCTCCCAACAGTCCCGTCAACACATACGCCATCGCGCTCGCCATCCCCGCAAAGAACGCCGGCCCGCCCTTCCTCACGCTACTCTTCGCCCAGTGATGCGCGCCCTCCGCCCACACCAGCGCCACAATCACACTCGCAGTATTCAACAGCTGCGAGCTAAACCACCACCGGCTCGGGTCCTCCGCAACCGCCGCGTACGCCGCATCAAACCAATCGCTGACTTGCAGGTACGCCTCGATATCATTCCTCCCATTAGCGGGGATGGACGCATATGGCCCGCTGCGGTCAGTGAAATCAACGTAGTCGTCGTGCAGGAACCGGAAGATGTCCGACCAGGTGATGTACAGCGCGGTGATGGCGATCGGTGTGTAGATCCACGCGGCTTTCGTGTACGGCAATGCGCCGAGGCTGCGGGAGAAGGTGATGAGGAGACAGGTGCCGAGGAGGAGGAGGTAGCCGAGGATGTTGAAGATGGGGCGGAAGGACCAGAGCGCGGCCAGCGGGGCGGGGAGGGATAGGGAGACCATCTTTTTTGGAACGTGATGTGGGCCGATCTCGGGATAGGAGCTGTGATTTCGTACTATGAAGTGAGGATTAAACAGCGGTGGTAGCGCCTCGACTCTCCGAAGGTTTATGGAGAACGGCGATGTGTCCGTCGATGTTGTGAGGGGGACAGGGGGACCCCGATTCTCTCTATTGGAAGAAAAGTGTGAAAGAAAGAGGGGATTGCCGGCGCGTCTTCTTCAGGACTTCACACCTCCGTCCTCTTCGTCGGGACATGCCGATGACGCCTGTTGAGAACGTCACATCACCCCTGACCCAATTACCCCGACGCCTCCCGCACCACAGCAACACTGTTCAACTGCATAGCGAAGCCCATGCTGGATAAAGCGTCGGAATACAGGTGTGTTCTACATATCACTTGCGTCGAAACGGCAAGACAGAAACGACCACGCGACGACGACAAAAAGTGGGATATAATCTTGTTGTATCTGCTATCTATCTATTCTTGACCGTAGGGATATCTGTATGTGAATATGTTGGGTGGAAAGCGGCCCACCGTGTGCACTGCCGGAGGATATCCGGTCTGTGCGCCGAAGTTTCCATTTCCTCTCCAATGTTTCATGTGTCATGCGGTGAGCTCAGTGCTGGAGGTGCTATCCATCAAGCGTGCGGCGCAGAGAGCCTTCAGCACATCATCCCTTCACTCATCACTCTCAACCCCATCCAACTCCCTCGCAATCTCCTCACTACTCGGGCCCGGGTTCCTCAACACCTCCGCCTGTCGCAACGCGTCCGTCCATATCGGCCTGCCGGCGCCCGCGACGTTCACGGGCCAGCGGTGGATCTGTTTCGTGATTGCCGTGGTAGTGTGTGTGCTGGGTTGAGAGAGTGTCATGGCTGGAGCGGCGCGTGGCCGGGCGAGTTGGGCTGAAGGGTTGGGATGGGTTCGTTTGGATTCGGCTGTTGATGGAGAAAGAAAGTATAGTTAGGGTCTAGAATCGATCGTGCCGTCTCCCCAATGCCACCCTCCCCCATGTCGAGATTGTAGTGACACCTACCATCAATAGCCATCTCCTCAAAAATCGACTTCTTCTTCCTCCTCTGTTTCCTCCCCGCAAGCCTAACCTTCTGCTTGCTCGCCTTCCCTTTCTTCCCCGCAAACGCCCAATCCATCTCATCATCATCACTCCCCTCACTACTACTGCTATCATCCCCGGATGACGATCCACTACTCTCCGCACCATTCTCCTCATCATCCTCCTCATCCTCCTCATCGTCCGACGTAGCAGCCGGACTATGCTGCATCTGCGAATACGGCTTCGCAGGCTGCGAGAACGATTCGAGGCTGTTGGCAATTTCCGAGAGGGATTGCACGCGGTTGGCGGTCGGGCGGGTCAGGAGGCTCGTGCGGGGTTTAAGTGGCGGGGCGCGTTTGTGAAGGCTTATGTTGAGCGGTTGTGGTTGGGTTTTCGGGGCGGGGTTGAGGGGGATGAGAGTGTCGATGTCCATGGGTTTGGCGCCATCGGAGGTGGATTCGGTGGCGGCGGGGGAGAGGGGGCTTGTTATGGTTGGGCCGCGGGCTGCGCCTGCTTGCTTGTTAGGTGATCTGTCCGACATTGCAGGCGAGGAAGCAGCCGGATCTTCATCCATAGCACTTTCCGGCGTCGACGCACGTTCGGGCTGTGATGCCCTCCGCCGCTTGATGATCTGCGAGAGGGTTTGTTCGTCTTCGGTTTCACTAGCGTCCGATTCATCATCATCTTTCGGTTGAGTTATGGCTGCCTGGGCGTCCTCTGCTTCATCACCCTCATCTTCCGGCTCACTCCCGTCCGTCCCATCGTCCTGCTCTTGGGTCACAGGGAGGAAAATAGAGGGACTTTCCTCCTGTTCCTCATCTTCACTCTCACTACCGTTTCCTTCACCGCCGTCTGTTTGCACCGCGACGGCTGGTGAGGTAACATCGTGACCTTCATCTTCAGTCTCACTCCCCTCTGCGTCCGGTTGCGCCTCCGCTGACGACACGATATCCATCGGCACAACATCACCATTCACACCGCGATCGCCCGCCTCACCCTCGTCTTCCGTCTCGCTACCGTTCGGTTGCGAGACCTCGGGAACGGCTTCCTGGTGACCTTCATCTTCAGCCTCGCTACCAGGTGACGCAATGTCCATCTCAGGCGAAATATGCACCCTGTCGCTCGGCAAGGCCTGTCCCGTCCTTCTCTTCTTCCTAGGGCTTCCCTCCACCGCCTTCGTCGTCGCGGGTGAAATATCATTTTCGGCCGCGACGGTAGTAGTCTCACCAACTGACGCTCTCTTCGCCGCCTGTTTCCTCGTATTCGGCTTCGACGCGTCCAGTTTGGCTTCGGTCACAGGTTCAGCCGGCGGGGTCTGTCTAATGGCGGGGGTGTCGACCCATCGGGTCTTCATCCAGGTGGCTTTTACGAGTCGGTCTTTCAAGGCTGCCACCGCTTCGGGAGTGGCTGGTGGGTGGGGTTGTTGTTCGATTGCCGGTGGTGAGGGTTTCGCGGAGGCTAGTTGAGACGAAATGAGGGCTCCTAATGCTGAGGAGTCGGGGGTGTGGGGGTGCGGGAGTTTTTCGACTGCTGGAGAAGCTTGGTTTATGGCTTTTTTGCCGCGGGTTGGTTTCTTCTCGACGGGTTTCGCGGGCGCGGAAATAACCACCTCCTCAGCGGTGTCCTCCACAACATCCTCAGGAACGATTTCCGGCTCTGGTTGTGGCGTCTCTTTCAGTGCCTTCTTTCCCCTGGCTGCTCTGTTCTGTGCAGGCTTCACCGGGGCAGGAGTGGCGGTTATTACATCCTCGGCGGTGCTCTTCTCCACAGCATCATCAGCAACAGGCTCCAGCTCAGACGTAGGCTGTGGAGTCGCTTTCGGCTTCCTCCCTCGTGTCTTCTTCTCAACAGGCTTCACCGGGGTAGGAACAACCTCCTCGGCCGTGACCTCTTCCATATCTTCCTCCGCGACAATTTCCGGCTCAGACGTTGGCTGTGGAGTTTCCTGTACAGCCTTCTTTCCCCGTGTTGCTCTTTTCTGAACAGGCTTTACGGGCGCGGGCTTGATGGAGATAGCCTCCTCCTCCGCTGCACCATCTTCCACAACATCCTCAGCAACAGATTCCGGCTCAAGCAGCGGAGGAGCTTTCGGCTTCCTCCCCCGCGCCTTCTTCACAACAGGCTCCGCCACTAAAGAAGCCGCCTCCTCAACCGTGCTCCCTTCCAAACCCTCCTCCAATGCAACTTCCGGTTGCTCAGATGTAGCCTGTGGCGTTTCGTCCACACCCTTCTTTCCACGGGTCCTCTTCTGTACGGGCTTCACCGGCGCGGGCGTGATGAAGCTAGACTCCTCCTCGGCCGGCGACGCATCTTCCACAACATCCTCAGAAACAGGTTCCAGTGGCTCAGATGTAGGCTGTGGCGTTTCTTTCACAGCCTTCCTTCCCCGTGACTTCTTGACCACCGTTTCCGCGGGCGCGGGCGTGGACTGCTCTACAGTATCATCCTCCACATCCTCTGAGCCAACCTCCGGCTCAGGCACAACCACCTCCGGCTCAACCTCCTTCTTCTTCCTCCCCCTCACAGCCTTCCGCTTCACCGCCACAGGCGTGGCGATCAACTCCTCCTGGGACGTCGGGACGGTGTCCGTCGGCACCGGCGTTTCCGGTTGGAGTTGAGGTTGTGCTGGTTCCACTGACTTGTGCGGTCTGCCCAACTTCTTTCCGGTAGCAATTTCCACTGCAGATGGTGGAGGGATGACGTCGATAGCTGTTACAGTAGGCGCAGGTGCCGGTTTCTTGTTGATGGGTTTTGTCGCGGCTGCGGGTTTAGCGATGGTGGCGGTTATGTTCACTGCAGTAGCATCCAAGTCTTCACTAGGTCCAGCCGCTGTAGTCTGTGGAATCGGTACAGTGACTGTTGCTGCCGGGACTACCTTAGCCGGCCTTGCACGCTTCTTTGCAGGTACAGTTTCCACAGGCTTCTCAGGCGCCACGGTTTCGACGGGTGCCAAGTCAACTGGTTCCGCCGTGGTAGGCTTTGATGGCGCTGGGGCTGGTGTAGGCGTCTTTTTCACCGTTGTCTTCTTCAGCGTTTTCGATACCACCGGCGTAGTGATGGTGATGGGCTCCGAGACTGAGGCGGCGGGCGTAGGTACGGCTTCTTTCGTCGCCGCCGGTTTGGGAGTGCGTCCTTTAGGTTTTACGGGTACTGTTCCCACCGACTCCGCTGGTGGCACAAGTTTCACAGGCGGCAAGACGACGGGTTGGGCCGGGGCAGATTCCACCAACGCTGGAGCGGGTGTGTGTGCCTTCTTCCCTTTCCCTTTCGCCACAACCGGCGTAACAGCCTTCAAAGCCATCACATCAGCGGCCGCATTCGGCGTAGCCACAAGCGGTTTCGTCCCAGCAACCTTGGCAGCCTTTCCTTTCTTCTTGGTACTACTCCCCGCCGGCACAGGCGTTGCGACAACCACAGCCTCCTCCGCCTTCCGTTTCTTCGTCCCAGTAGCCCCAGCTGGAGCAACAGGTCCGTTTTCCACCGGTACAGCAGCGGGTTTGATGAATTGCGAAAGTATTGAGGCCGGGACGGGTGGGAGTGTGCTGCCTGGTCGTGCGGCCGACGGGGTGGTGATGGTGGGTTGAACTGCAGCTGCCGCAGCGGCCTTCTTTAACTTTCTGTGTTTAGCTGATTTGGAAGTCCCTGGTGCCGCTACGGGGCCGCCGCTGATCAGGCTTTGGAGGGTAGTGGGGGATAGGGTTGGAAGAGCAGTGGGTGCGACGATTGGTGTGGTGGTCGTGTTGACTGCGGGCGTGGGAGGTTTCGCGGGCGTTTGGCTCTTTTTTGCCGGTGTGGGTTTTAACACCGCGGGTGTGACCGGGTTTACTAGAACCATTGAGGCCGGCAGTGGCGTGGAAGGTCCTCCGAACCCATCGTTCAAGTCGACCCTGCCACTCTTACCCCGTTTCCTTCTATTCTTTCTAGCTGTCTTACTCAACCCGTTTCCCGCCTCAACCTCCTCCTCCAACACCTCCGCCTTCCTCTTCCCCGCCGGAGTCGCCCCAGTACCATTCACTGCAGCGACAGCTACGGCTTTGTGAACATACCCCGGCAGGACCTTTGCGACATCCTGCGGTTGCACGACGGCGACGACGTGGCTGGTTTTGTCGGGTTCGAGACCGTCGCTGACCGTGTAGATGTCGGCGACGGGGAAGCCGGCGTGGGTGAGAAACCTGACAGTGTGAATGTCGGAACTGTTGTGCGATAAGAAGGATATGAAGTCTCAGTATCAGGTTTCACGGCTCTTGCATAGGAAAAGAACAGAAAAACGGAATCCCTCCCATCTTGCACTGGTCAGCCTCAACCTTCACAATGCTACTTACACTTCAACGACCCTCCCCACGCCCTCCTCAACCGCCTTCCAAATATTCAACACATTCTTCTTGATATCCCTCACAGTCGTATTCGCAGGGTCTTTCACGACAAACAGGAATTTACTGGTGAGAATCAGAGACGAGGTCGTGAGCGTGCGGCCGTTGGAAGTCGAGGACGGTGTGTAGGAAGGCGAGGTGGTTAGATGCAGCTCGATGTTAAGGTGCATGGTTTCGGTTTCCGTTACGGTGTGGTGAAATGTGAGAAGAAGAATAAAACTCTCAAATTCGGGCAGTAGTGTTGCTGCCTGTCCGCAGAGGAGACGCAACCGTTTGTCCAAACCGGTGGAATGAACCTTGCCCCAATGCTCGAGTGTGCGGTTGACTCGAGTGAGCGGGGTTGGGCAACCTTGCGCTTGTGCCAGGACTTTGCAAGTCTCGATTGCGTTGGACAGCGCCGAACAGCAGAATTTGACGCAGATTTACTCGATTGGCCACCGCGCGCGTGGGAAACCTTACGACCACAGGCTTCAGAAGGCCTCAACCCCTCCAGAGCACACATGGACAACGCCGCACAGGGTAACCATATGGGTCAGTCTACGCCTCTGTAGTTTGGGAATATGCACAAGCAACAACGGGTATCAATATAGAACGGTATGCCATGGGACCTCGAGCAGAGGCACAACGGACGACAAGTCGTTGATGAAAATAGTTCATGCTTTCAAAACCTCCAATCAGTGTGAACAACTACACAATCGCAGTGCAAGCTTCAGACTCCCTCGGACGTTGCTCGACGTACAGTATATACAGTACATACATGAAACGCCCTTTGGGACGGCCCTCCATACATCTACGAATAGGCATGCACCCTATCAACACTATCGAAAACCCTCTGCGCCTCCGTCTGATCATACCCAGACTGAACCCTGAAATCCGCCCACGCCTCTGCCTTACTGCCTTCGCCCTCAACTTATGCATCCAGAGTGGTACAAAAGAGCACTTGGAGGATTTTTTCCATATTCCGGTCGAGTCTTGGTTCCGCCTAGCTTTTTTGTACTCTGCGTACATTTTGCCGTGGTCGTCGTCCATCCTTGCTGAAAGTATGGTGTTGACTTCGCTTGGTATCCAGGGAGCAGTATATATTTAGGGTGCGTGACAAAGGGGCGGCGACATGCACTCCAGATTGCAATTCAAAGGGTTGATGTTCGCATTGATAATCCCCTGAAACCATCGGCTACGGTGAAAGCAGAGCGGTGAGTATACCTCTACAACGATTGTACATCTGCGAATGTTGCCTCCCACTCCTCCATTATCGGCGTGCATCGGACCGAATCAAATTTCCCACTGGCGACAGCCTCGTTTTTGAATATTTCGACGCCCTGCATATGTTCCGCGCCCGTGTTCTCCCTGACCATGAGTTCCAACGTTCCGCCGCCATGGTAGCCTGCCAACTCCTCCGTCCACCTCGCTTCTGTTCTGTATCTCCTCCGACCTGGCGCGTATCGGATCACACGTGCGGGGTTCCACACATACCATGTTGGGAGCTTCAACATGAAGTGGCCGAAACTGACTTCGAGGGTAAGGATGGATTCGGGGAGGTCGGTGATATGGATCGTGACACGTTTATGCCGCATTCGGAGGCAGACGCGCGTTAGGGTAGGTATCTGTGCCCACTGATAGGCTTCAAATGTACAATGTACAATGTTCCAGATGTAGTGTCTGCAGCTGAGTGAACCCTCCAAAACCGTGGTCCACATGGCTGTCATATGGACAAGGGTTGTCGTCTCGGGCGCATAGATCCAGCGGAGGTTTTCGGCAAGAGCAAGGACCTCGGGACTGAGGGGGTCTTGTGAGTCCAGACAGAAGAAAGAGAGTCGGCCTCGTTCGAAACCACAGATGTAGCGACTTGGATAGTGGCACACTTCGGGGATGTAGACCGTGGTCACGCCGTTGAAGGTGAGTTCGACGCACTCAGGGTGGGCGATGGTGAGTATTGATACGAGTTTCATACACATGGGTTGAGTCCAGTCTTCCGTCACCGTGGCGGTTGCAGCAATCAATATGAACTCCTTGATCCACTGGAGACGCTCAGAGTGCTTGCACAGCGTAGCGAAAAGCACGTCGAATTGAGAGGGGTGGTGGAAGGAGATCCGAGAGTAGAGTGGTTTGACGAACATGCTGTGCCAAGTTCTGCAGGCGAGAAGCATTTGAAGACGGCTCTTTCGCTCGGCATAGTGGAAGATCTTGGTGATGAGCTCCAGTGGCAGGTGCATCTGTTCGACCCTATCGGCTGCCGCTTCCTTTGCGGTTGGCCTGTTCGCTGTGCTGTTGGCTTTGGTCCTTTTGCGGTGAGGCCCATCATTCTGTCGCGGCCGACGACTCCTTTGGGAGTGGTCAATAAGGTGTGTAACTGCGAAACTCAGTGGGTAAGATCCCCGAGCACTAATAAGGGCTTAAGGCGGAAGAGTCCTGGTAGTAGCAGTATACTTATACAGATGAGCCGAAAGACTACGGGTCAGTTGTTGCGGCTTCTGTCTCGGCGGTGGGGTTTTCCCGGCGTGCAAAAAGCGGAGAACAACCGAGCAGCCCGTTTTGACAGGATGACTTATGGCCAGAGTGACAGCGTTTTGCTCTTTCAACTTCGGAAACCCTCTTTTCTCGCCTCACAAAAACCCAAGAAGGCCGTTTACGCACATGCACTGATGCATATGTACTGTATTCCTATCGATATGCAAAGAAATGTCCTCCATCTTAAGCACGCCTCAAGGATGATCGCGATGGCCTCGAAGGCTTCTTTTCACGCCTTCACAAGATTTCACAGGACGATGCCTGATTCCAAGTACGCCAGACTTGTCACAAAAACCCCAAGCACTCCGGATTCTTACCGAAATACGAAGATTGTCCATGCTCTGGCAAATTCACCAAGCTGGAGTAGTCTTGAGACTCGAGTAGACACGAATAACCAGATTACTACCAGCGAGCAAAGCGACGAGTCATTGGAGCCTAACCCTAACCCGACGCGCCAGACCGAAGGAATCGATGGCCCAACGGAATCGGCGGAAGGGACACGGGCTGGGGAGATCGTCCCCTCACCCCTAGCGGCCTCCTGTCCGTGTTCGGAGCCCCAATCATCACCATCAGAAAAGAAGACAGAATCGTAAACAAAAGTTCTTTCGATGCAGCCTCAGGAGTCGGACTCACAGAAGGCGAAGGCAGGAGCTGGAACGCGTGCAGATGCCACGGAATCCATGGGACTCCGCACTGAGGCTTGCGGGCGCGCTATCGGACTATCGATTCCGTCTCAAGAACCACCAACCAACCTCCGCAACTCGCACCGGTTTCACCCTCCTCAGAAACAACGACAACACCTTCTCAAACCACACCCTCCACTATAACCCAGCCTCGCTCTCCGTCCAGGTACCTCAGCGGCAGTCCCGCAACCTTCTCCTGACATCCTCCAATTCCGGACGCGTTCGGTCTCTCGCCTCGCCGTCGCACTTTTAGAACACTCGACTTTACGCTTCAAAGGACACCTGTAACTCAACCCAGATATGCTGGTCCTCGGAATACCCCCTCCGTTGTTAACGGACTCATACAAGACTACCCACTTTCACCTCTATCCGGAGGCTCAGAAGGTAAGGTCTTTTTTTGGAGGTGGTGAAGTGTGAAATGGCGAGTTGTGGCATTCCAAGTGTGAAGTGTGAAAGCGAGAAACGCCTATGTAGCGGCAGCGCCAGCGAAAGCGACGTCCGCTGCTTGAGGAGTGCGATTGGTTGCATCGTTCTTTATGCCAACAAAGGCAAAACTACTCCTGCCAAGGACTCAGCGGAATTTTGGCGGAAGGGCCGTTCCGTGAGCAGCTTTCGGAACAACCACACCCCGTGAGCGTCTCACCCACTCTCTCACATTTGCATCCACTCATCCGACATCCCCCGCCCAAAGATGGTAGCATACGGCGAATTCCGCGCAGGTTTCAACAAAGACACCAACGACAGCCGCATGGTCTTCTACGGCATGCGTTACATCATCGAGAACTATGTCGCGGTCAAATGGACGAGAGAGGATGTCGAGATGGCGGAACAGTTCTTCAAAACGCATAATGCAGGTGTGTGTGGGGTGCGGATCGGGAGGGGGGGGGGGGGGGGGGAGGGGGGGATGGAACGCGAGATTGGCCACAGGCCGGATTTGCGTTAGGGCGTGCATGCGTGGACGATTGGACTGATGACCATCGTTTCCCATCTTACCAAATAGGATTCACAGAATTCCCCTTCCCAAAAGACCTCTTCCTCAAATTCGTCGACGAAAACGACGGTATGTACTTATCTCCCCACCCGAATGTCACAACTCGCCATCACCACCTGTCCATGTCTTCAAACCTTTGACCTCTACCGTATCTCGCAAAATAGGAGGCTTCCCAGTCCGCATCGACGCGTTGCCCGAAGGCACCGTCGTCTTCCCCCATTTGCCGGTTTATCAGATTACCGTACGAGGGTGCTTGATTCGCGGGGAGGGTGATGGGGGTGATGCTAATGAGACAATACCTTTTTCTTCGGCAGGCGGAGAATGAGTACGCTAGGCTAGTGACGTACCTGGAGACTGTGTTGACGATGATCTGGGTACGTACGCGGAGGTTGTGTCGCATCTCGAAGTATCAGCAGCACTGACGGTACGATGTCATGCAGTATCCGTCAACGGTCGCCACTCTTTCCCGCCGCTCGCGCGACCTGATAGAAGCCGCATATGAGAAATCGGTTGATGAGAAGGGATATTGGACGCTTGATTCGTGAGTGGCTTTTCAGAGACTATATCTTACTTTTATGGCGTTTACTGATGAAAAGTGGATGTTGATGCTGTAGCCGGTTACACGATTTCGGCTTCCGCGGCTGCACCTCTGTCGAGCAATCCATCATCGGCGGATGTGCGCATCTCGTACGTCCCACCCCACCCCATCCCATCTTCATCTCCCTCTTCCTAACACCCACCCCACACAGCTAAACTTCGAAGGCACCGACACAATGTCCGCCGCCTTCTACGCCCAATTCAAGCTCAACAACGGCCGCGCAGTCGCAACCTCCATCCCCGCCACCGAGCACTCCGTCATGACCTCCTACCCCACGGAAGTCGAAGCGATGTCGGTGCTGCTGGAGCGGTACGGCTCGGGCGTGTGCGCGTGCGTGATGGATTCCTATGATTATGTGGAGGCGCTGGAGACTGTTCTCCCCGCGATTGCGAAGCTGAAGTGCAAGAAGGGGGGGTTTTTGGTGTTGAGGCCGGATAGCGGGGATCCGGTGGAGGTTGTTTTGCAGGGGTTGAGGTAAATTTCCGGAGTCATGCAGAAGGTGGACACATGCGCCCCTGCGTCGGAAACTGATTTCGTTGTGTTTCTTCTTTTCTTTGTGTTTTCCAGAGCAATCGACAAAGTCTTTGGCTCCGACCTGAACGCCAAAGGCTACAAAGTGGTCCGCGGCGCCAGCGTCATCCAAGGCGACGCGGTCACCTACGACTCTCTCGGCAAGATGCTCGCGGCGGTGCTGGACGCCGGGTTTGCGGCGCAGACGGTCGGGTTTGGGATGGGCGGCGGGTTGCTGCAGAAGGTGAATCGCGATACGATGAGCTTTGCGACCAAGTTGAGTAAGGTTGTTAATAAGGATGGAAGTGAGAGGTGAGTTTCGGGAGAGGGTGAAAGGTCGGCCGCGGCCTTCAATTCTACGAACGGCTACGTTTTGGACCGCTGTCCGAGCCCCCCGCACACCCATACTGACTGTGATGTGGTTCCAGGGAAGTAATGAAAATGCCCAAAACCGGCGCCGACAAATTCAGTCTCCCGGGCGAATTCCACATCGTCCGCAACTCCCAAAGCGTAAGTCCCGTCCCATCCCCGCCTCCCCATCCCCCACTCCCCAACTCACACCCCCTCTTCCCTCACAGATCCCAATAGTCTACCCGTCCCCCCCGCCCCTCCCTCTCTCCTCCACCCCCTCCCTCCTCCAAACCGTCTACGACCACAACCGACCCCTACCCACCAAATGGGACGACTTCACCACCGTCCGCGAGCGAGTGAAACGCGAATGGACAGCCGTCCCGAAAGCGGTGGATGTGCTCAGCCCGGAGTTGCGGGCGAGGATCGAGGTGTTCAAGGAGTCGAGGGCGGGGACGCCGGTGCACAAGGTGAATGGGGTTTAGCAAAAACCCCCACGGGCTACCGTTTTGTTTTCGATATATATTACACCCGCATACGACACATTTTCGCATATTCAACAACAACCCCCCATTGCCATATAATCAAACCCCACGTAATGGATGCCCCCCCCCCCCCCCCTGTTAATGGGAGATGGGGGGAAAACATGTACATGTTTGTAGAGCTTTTTGTTTTGGCTTTTTCGTTTCATAGGGGCTGAATGGATTGCATTGGCCTCTGCTTGAATGGATTGCGTTGGTCTTCGAGGGTTTTGGATGTGAGCGGTGCGTTGACGAGCCACGCAGTGACGATGTCCACAGAATCCATGCCCTCAGGTTTCATGCCCCGAGAACAGAGGGAATGGTGTGTAGTCACATATGATGGAAATTGATGAAAGTTCGTAGTATTTACTGACATATCGGCCGACCCTCAAGGCCCGTACGGCCAACTGGCGAAAGTCGGGCGTGAGGGAGAATGTTAATGGTATACAATTCATGTATCTCGGAAAGAACACTAGTCTTCCCTCCGCGACAGGCCAGCTCCTCCGACCTCGCTCACTCGAGTCATCTCGCCACAACACACTCCAGTCGCGAAAAGCACGAACCGATGTTGGAATAGATGTATTATTCAAAATTATTATACAAAAACCCCCAAATCGCCAGTGTCTCCAAATCCAAGCGTCCCAAGTCCCCAAGTCCCATTAGTCCAAACGAGTGGTCCCGAGTCCCCATCCCCGTCTCAAAGATTGTATCATCAGTGTCTCCAAATGTCTTTGAACCGAAGTCTGTGTGGTCCCCAACTCGCCGTACGACAGTCCTGCGCATCGTCTCTGGCGGGATCATCGCGTCTTTGGTGAACTGCGAAGGGTGACTTGCGGTCAATGTCTTCGGTGAACTGCGATCGAACGCCGGCGATGTCTTCGGAGGCCCGCAACGTTTTTCGGTGATCTGCGCTCGAAAGACCGGTCACATCGTTTGTGAACCGATAGCAGCCGCTAACCTCTTCTCGAATTCCCTGTGGTTGTTCGCTTCTCCGAAGCTCGAAAACGTAACGCAGCGACGGGCCTCGCGAAGCGCAAATTCGGTTTCGTCGCGTTCTTTTTCAGCATGTTTCAACTTGGGTCCACGTTTCGCTTGCAGACGGGGTCAATCTATCTCTCCCTGAGCAGCCGCTAACCTCTCCTCGCATTCCCTGTGGTCGTTGCGCTTCCCGAAGCTCGAAACGTAAACGCAGCGACGGCCTCGCGAAGCGCAAACTCGGTTTCGTCGCGTTCTTTTGGGGGCAACACGTACGCGTTCTTCCCACAGCTTGCCGATCGCGGATCTCGGTTTGCGACCCTCATGGTCTCGCGCCTCGAATCGCAGCTGTTCTTGTCGTTCACGGTTCATTGCTCAGCGGCAACCCCGTTCACGATCCTCCCGTTCTCGCACTTTCCTTCGCATGCGCTTCGGCAGCAGCCCGCGGTGCAGCTACAACGGTCGGATTGTAAAACCACCACATCTCGGCACCCGGGTCTTCCATTGTAAAAAGCCCCTCTGCGCTCTGGATATCCTTGTTGAACGGAAGGTCTTCCTTCCATTGTGAAGAGCCTCTCTGCGCTCTCTAGATCCTTGTTGAACGGAAGGTCTTCCTTCCATCGTGAAAAGCTCTTTCGCGCTCTCTATATCCTTGTTGAACGCAAGGCACACATGGATCCTTGAACTCTTTCATCCAAGCATCCTGGCCTTGCGCCGCTAGCAGGTGCAATTGCTCTTCGATGGATAACCCTTCCGCCAGCCTTTCCTGTTGTAAGAAACGAGTAAGCGTGTCAGATTTTCGGTAAGTGAACATTCCCACGTCATCTCCCAAAGACACTCTATCGCAAATTAGAGTACTCACCCCGACAACGGCAAGGCTTCCCGTGTCCAGATTGTTTTACCTGACACTCTGCGAAATGTTTCCCGAACGCATTGCGGTAGGGTTGTCGTCGCTCCGGTATTTTCCTGCGCCAGTCAGAAGAGACAGAAAAGTTAGGGTGCTTGTCAGGTAACAGAGAGATTCACAAAAGCAAGGCACACATACATCCGTAAATTCTAGCATCCAATTATCCTGGCCTTCGGCAGCCAGTAGATGCAATTGATTCTCGATTGACAACCCTTTCTGTCTGAGCTGTGGTGTTGTCCTGCGCCAGCCAAACGCGAGAGTAATGTCAGGGTGCTTGTCAGGTGACAGAGAGAGCAATAGCCCTCAGGCGCGGGATATATCGCATACAAATCAAATGCAAGGCACACATACATCCGTGAAGTCTAGCATCCAGTCGTCCTTGCTTGCAGCTAACATCTGCAATTGTTCTTCGATAGAGAGGCCTTCCTATGTGAGCTGTAGTGTTGTCCTGTGCCAGCAAAACGAGAGAGCAAAGTCAGGGTGCTTGTCAGGCAACAGAGAGAAAGGAGAGAGATCAAAGCAAGGCACACGTACATCTGTGAAGTCTAGCATCCAGTCGTCCTTGCTTGCAGCTAACATCTGCAATTGTTCTTCGATGGAGAGGCCTTCCTATGTGAGCTGTAGTGTTGTCCTGCGCCAGCAAAACGAGAGAGCAAAGTCAGGGTGCTTGTCAGGCGACAGAGAGAGAAAGGAGAGAAATCAAAGCAAGGAACACTTACATATACATCCTCGAGATTGTTTCATCCACGTACGTATCTTTTGTCCGGGGTGTAAAGTTGCGCCGCTGTTTATCCCATTCTGCGCTCTCTACTTTTCGCAGGACGGATCGTTGACAAGCTGCTGGCGGTGCAGGCGTCGTTGTGGGCAAAATCCGTACTACAATCGGAGAGACGTACCCGTAGGAACTATCGTTTCCTTTTTATGTACGACTGGCAGCGTGCAGACCCCTCGCAAAAAGCTGGCTCCCGTTCGGGCCAGGCGCGATCCGAGCGTCACCTGTCAAAATTCGTCTTACTTAACGCGTTGCGCCTGTCAAAAACCGCGCTACGAAGACAGCATTCGGATTGGCAGACATTGCAGCAATCAATACCAACGGCTCGCATGATGGGCAGTTTTGCCCGTCCGTGCGGATCGCATTACATGAAATTGGCTCGGTCCGGCAAATCCTTGTCTTGGTCACGGCCATTGACAGGCTGTGGTATCTTCATCATCCATCCAGTACCGCATGAGCAAATCATGAGGGGGAGCGATGTTATGCCTCAAGCAATACGTAGTCTGCGGAGGCCGGATCTGCCGTTGCCTGTAGATTATGGCACACTCGCGCCGGCCCAAGCTGTTGCTTCATCGAATAAACCACGAGCCGGAAGGAACGAAACTCTTCCATGGAACTATGCTTTTTCACAAATCAAATAAATTCTCAAAAGTTATAATACATTTGCGGGGGGGGCGGGGGGGGGGGGGGGGGGGGGGGGGATTTCAAGAAAGCTTTTTGCTCGCCGCGGTAAGTTCTGTAATGCAAATGCAATGGATGAGGCAAATGAGCAATCAGAGTGCGACAACAGGGTCATATCGGCGGGACGATTTTACCTGACACTCTGCGAACTGTTTCCCGAACGCATTGCGGCAGGGCTGTCGCGGGACTCGGGGATATGTCCTGCGCCAGTCAGGAGTGACAGAAAAGTCAGGGTGCTTGTCAGGTTACAGAGAGATTCACAAAAGCAAGGCACATACATCCGTAAATTCTGACATCCAATCGTCCTTGCTTGCAGCTAACATCTGCAAGTTTTCTTCGATGGAGAGGCCTTCCGCCAGCCTCTCCTTGTAGAACAGGGCCTCGGCGTGTAGGTCTTCCAACCGGCGTCTCTCCGCCTCGTCGTCCGCCCGCCGCTCCCTGGCCCGCCTCTCTTCTGATCGGCGCTCCAGCGACCGTCGCTGCTCCTCCTCCAGTTGTTGCCTCACCCAAATTTCTTCAGCCAGTTTCTCCGCCGTCAGTCGCTCGTGCTCTGCTTGGCGTTTTTCCGCCAGTACAACCTCCGCACGGCGCTTCTCCGCCAGCGCAACCTCCGCTCGGCGTAGCTTGGCTAGTCTCGATTGGGCCCGCCGCTCCTCTTCCAAGCCTTTTTCCGTTGATTTGACATCCGCCCGCGGTACCCCCGCAGGTCGCTTTTCGACGCGTAGCTGCTTGGCACGGCGCTGTGCCACTCGGTGCTTTTCTGCTTCCTCCCAAGCTTCCGCCCGCTGATTCTCCGCTAGACGCACCCACTCAGCGTCTGGCAATTCGTCCTCTAGGGTCGGATTGTACAACCACCAAATCCCGGCATCCGGGTCTTCCATGGTGAAAAGCCCCTCTGCACTCTCTATGTCCTTGTTGAACAGCTGCTCTAGAAAAAGCTTCTCCTCGCGCGCGGCCTCGATCGCGGGATCCTCCATCTCCCACATCTCCATCGCTTGTTTGTATTCATCGTCGCGGCGAATCTCCTCAGCCAGTCGTTTCTGACGCTCCACCCGCGCAGCCTCCACTTTTGCAGCCCGTTCACGATCCTCCTGCTCCTTGACCGCAATCTCCTGCGCAGCTCGCTTCGCCACCTCCTCTTCCACCCGCTTGGCTTCCGCTTCAATCTCTTCCTGCCGTTCCGCCTCGATTCTCCTCCGCTCCTCCTCTTCCTTCATCACACGGTCGCTCTCCTCCCGCTCAGCCACCTCTTTTGCAACCCGTTCACGATCCTCCTGCTCCTTGAATCGTCTTGCTTGCACATCGGCAGCCTCCCGCTCAGCCTCCACCCTTTCTTTCTCGATTCGCTCAGCTTCCGCCGAAATCTTGGCTTGCCGTTCCTCCTCGATACTCCTCCGCTCCTCCTCCTCCTTCATCACACGATCCCTCTCCTCCCGCTCAGCCGCCTCTTTTGCAGCCCGTTCACGATCTTCCTGTTCCTTGAATTGTCTTGCCTGAACATCGGCAGCCTCCCGCTCAGCCTCCACCCTTTCTTTCTCGACTCTCTCAGCTTCCGCCTGCGCAGCCGCGGCAACACGCTGCTCCGCCTCACGCCGAGCCTGTTCGATCAGCAGTTTCTCCTGATTCTTTTGCTTTCCTTCGTCGCCACGTCGAGGCTTCTGAATCGCCCGCTGTGGCATATAGTGGATGGGATGCTCCAGCTCCTTTACAAGGAGTTCCGCGACTTGCTTCTCTACAGCACGACGCTTCGCCTGCGCCGCGAGTCGCTGCTCTTCAGCAAGTCTATCGCGTTCCGCCTGCTCCGCGAGAACTTCAAGGATGTCCTGCAATGCACGGGTCTCGCGATCCTTCGTCTAAACATCGAGCAAGACACTCATCAGCTACAGAAATCGAAAGTCTGTGGACAAAAGCACGAATGCGTACCGTATCCAACACCTCAATCGCGGTCCCATGCTTCTTCACTTCCTCTGCTTGGATAGCGAGTCCTTCGATGATGTCCTGCAAGGCACGGGCTTCGCGATCCTTCGTCTAAACATCGGAGCATGACACTCATTAGCTACACACATCGAAGGTCGGTGGGCAAAACTTCACAAGCACAAATGCGTACCCTATCCAACACCTCAATCGCGGTCCCATGCTTCTTCACTTCCTCCGCTTGGATAGCAAGTCCTTCAAGGATGTCTTTCAGGGCGCGGGCCTCGCGATCCTTTGTCTAAAGGGAACAAGATGATCATCAGGTCCATTCTCAAAATCGATGGTGTGTGGGCAAAAATTCATAAAGCAACAAATGCGTACCATGTCCCACACCTCAATTGCCTTCCCCTGGTTTTTCACCTCCTCCGCCTGAGCCGCAAGTCCTTCGCGGATGTCTTGCAGAGCGCGGGCCTCGCGATCCTTTGTCTAAAGGGAACAAGATGATCATCAGGTCCATTCTCAAAATCAAAGGTGTGTGGGCAAAAATTCATAAAGCAACAAATGCGTACCATGTCCCACACCTCAATCGCTTTCCCATGGTTTTTCACCTCCTCCGCCTGAGCCGCAAGTCGTTCGCGGATGTCTTGCAGAGCAAGGGCCTCGCGATCCTTTGTCTAAAGGGAACAAGATGATCATCAGGTCCATTCTCAAAATCAAAGGTGTGTGGGCAAAAATTCATAAAGCAACAAATGCGTACCATGTCCCACACCTCAATCGCTTTCCCATGGTTTTTCACCTCCTCCGCCTGAGCCGCAAGTCGTTCGCGGATGTCTTGCAGAGCAAGGGCCTCGCGATCCTTCATCTAAAAGACGGGAGCAAGATGATCATCAGGTCCATTCTCAAAATCGAAGGTGTGTGGGCAACAACTCATAAAACCACAAATGCGTACCCTGTCCCACACCTCAATCGCTGTCCCATGTGTCTTCACTTCCTCCAGGATGTCTTGCAAGGCACGGGCCTCGCGATCCTTTGTCTAAAGACGGGAGCAAGATGATCATTAGGTCCTTTCTCAAAAGCAAAGGTGTGTGGGCTGTTCAATTCATAAAACCACAAATTCGTACCCTATCCCACACCTCAATGGCTGTCCCGTGCGTCTTCACTTCCTCCAGGATGTCTTGCAAGGCACGGGCCTCGCGATCCTTTGTCTAAAGACGGGAGCAAGATGATCATCAGGTCCCTTTTCACAAGCAAAGGTGTGTGGGCTGTTCAATTCATAAAACCACAGATGCGTACCCTATCCAACACCTCTATTGCTGTCCCATACTTCTTCACCTTCTCCGCCTGGACCGCGAGTCCTTCGAGGATGCGATCCTTCGTCTAAAGATGGGAGCAAAATGATCATCAGGTACATTTGCAAAACCAAAGGTGGGACATCAACATAAGAGCATAAAATGCGTACCGTATCCAACACCTCAATCGCGGTCCCATGCGTCTGAACCTGGTCTGATAGCTTGCTATACCGCGTTTGAAGGACATGCTGGTCGTGACTCAATTGCTTCACTACCGTCGTCACGGTCGATAAATTGTTCACCAGTTCTGAATAGGTTAAGAAATTTTCAGTTTGGAAACTCCATTGATAGGATGCCGGAACAGGCAAATTGTGTATGCTGGAACGTGGGACTGTCTCTTACCTTTCGTCTGTTTCAGCACCATTTGCCCCATTTCCTGCGCCATCTGGAGTTCCGCCACAACAATCTCTTCTTCGTCGCATTGTTTTCGAGTTTCAGGTTGGTACTGCTGTCGAAAGGAAAGAAGGTTCAACTCCGCAACCCATGTGGGATTTCGAAGTTCGGCGCAAGAGACTTACGTCAATTACCCGGAACACTTCGAAGAAACTAATTGCGAGAAAGACGGCAAAGATGACGGGGGTCCAGCCCCATGAGTCTTCTTGATAATATTGGCCCATGCCGTATTGCAGCATCTTATCGCTGTAGAAGTAGTGTGCTCTGGGAATTACCCCGAAACGAGCAGAGAGACGTGTAGTAGCGCAACCGAGATGTAGTAAGACGAGAGTAGAGTAGAAGTAGTGTGCTCTGAGAATCACTCCGAAACGAGCAGAGAGACGTGTGGTATAGCAGCCGAGACGTAGTAAGACGAGCAAGAAGACGTGAATCGTAAACAAAACAGGTCGTTGATGTTGTGAGCAAGTGAACCTGTATCGGGATATGCTGTAACTCGACAACATCGGCGAGGAACTGAGTTGTCTGAGACGCAACTGAGTTTAAATAATCGGAGACGGGAACTTCAGAAACGAAGTGAAAGTGGTTGCTTGCGGGCCAAGCCAGGGCGGAGTTGGGCAGGCGGAGTTTGGTCGAAAATCCTGTCAGTCCGTGTTCTGGAAGTGTGACGTGATTGCACAGGAATAGCAGGTCCAACGTGGCTTACTCCAACTCCGACACAGACTCCGACAGCCTCCGCCCAAAGGAGGCTGGCCCGTCGTTAGCCAGCATATTCCCCCATCATTTGAACCATCGAAGAGGAGATTGAAAATGCCCATAGCCGGGCCTAGGGCTTGGCCTTTCGTGTCTGACTTCAACTCCGCTCCGACCCTCTCGAATTGGCAATTTGCTGTCCCAAACGACACTGGCCCGTCGTTAGCCAGCATATTCCGCCATCATTTGGACCATCGATGAGGAGATTGAGAATGACATAGCCGGGCCTAGGGCTTTGCCTTTTGTGTCTGACTTCAACTCCGCTCCAACCCTCTCGAATTGGCGATTTGCTGGTCCAACCGACACTGGCCCGTCGTTAGCCAGCATATTCCGCCATCATTTGGACCATCGTTGAGAAGATTGAGAATGAACATTGCCGGGCCTACTGGGGCATTGCCCCAAAAAGACACTGGCCCGTTGCTAGCCGCCATATTGCGGACTTCCTCCGCCATCTCTTGACCCATACTGAATTTGAAATGAGAATAGCCCGTAGCGCGCTCAAACGTGGGGTACGGCTTGCGTCTCAAACTCCGACCACTCCGACTCGCTCGTGGGTATTTAGGATTGTCCCACGTTCCTAGCCAGCCAAGCGGAGTCTCTTGCTTCGATGTTGTTGCGTCAGTGCCTTCAACCTAGAGTGGGCCGTCGCTAGCCAGATGGAGTCTCTTGATTTGTTTTGGTTGCGTCGGTGCCGTCAACCAAGGATGACAGATAGTCTGCCTGACCATGGCTAAACGATTCCCACATAACGTGTGTATGTGTAGCAGGGACATATGCAATGAGCGTTTCGCGATGTGACTAGGTATCAAATTCATTCAAATCTATATTTACAGCTCTGGGTCAACGATGATATGCCAGCTGGAGAAGGTTTGCTAGCTTGAGGGATGTGCGCCGAGTTGGTATACGTTCCGAATAGCGACATGTCCAAGCCAGGTCCTGCTTTCGCTGGTATAAAACTCCGGTATGTACACATGAACGGCTGTGCAATACGCCGCATCATCAGCTGGTACTATTTTGGTGGTTCGTAATAGCAGGTTCGTATGGTCTGGGATGTACCCCGGAACGAGCAGAGCGACAGTAGCTGCCGCATCGTAGAGTAGAAGGTTTCGTTTATGCCGGAATCCATCAGCGCTCACCGCCAGCCACGCCTTTGGCCTTCTTCATCCTCTCCACACTCTCCCTCAAATCCCGAACCTGCACCTCCAAAATCTCCAACCTCACATTCAAGCGTTTCCGATACTCCACATCAAACGCATTCAACAGCGGGCTGGCCCATTCGGGCAGATCCACGCTCCGATTCAGCGCGTCCCTCGCCCAAATGAACGCCGAGCCGATCGGATCTAGCTCTTTTTGCGCGCTGTGGTCATAGGGCAGGTGGCTGTCGGGGCGAAGAAGGTCGAGGGTGAGCAGGCGCCGCATTGACCAGGGTTGTGGGGGCTCGGCGGAGGGGTTTTGCTGTCGGATGTGCTGGGCGAGGCCTTGGCGGAGGCGGTATTGCCGGAAGAGGAGGTAGATGGTTTGGGTGCTGCAGGCTATGAGGGAGTACATGACTGAGCCTGCTATTATCGCCTTTGGGCCGCCTGAGAGTGAGAGTGTGTGGAGGTTGTTAGTCGACTAGTTATCTGATGACATTGTAGGAAGGTGGTGCGGCACCTGTCCAATCTGATACTCACGCCAAACGAAACCCAACCCGGCTCCAACAACCGCCCCAGACGCAATGCTCGCAACCAGCTCGTCCTTATTCCGCATCCGAAAACTATCTATCCCCTGGGCTGCATTACGTGCGTACCGATAATGCAGTATCCCCTCTCTCAAACCTATAAGGCCAAAACCAACGGTCAGTATCGTCCCAGCTGAACAATTGCGAGTTCGTCCTCTCCATACCAAAGAAGGGCAGGGACGCCGTGACCCAGTTCGCGCCCATCCCAAACCCCCACGCAACATGACTCTGCCCCTTGGCGACCGCAAATAGCGCTCCCAGCGAGGCGCCTGTTATTCCGGCCGCTGTGGTGGCTTGCAGCACGAAAGGGATGGAGTTGCGGGTTGGGTGGGTTAGGGCATTTTCGCGTTGTTGTGGTGCAGCTAACGGCGGTTGTGGTGCGAGTGGTGGGGGTAGCGAGTCTGGTGCTGCCGTTGCTGCTGCTGTTGTTGCCGACATTGTTCGGATGTCCTGCGTAATGTCGTTCAAGTTGCTTGCAATTGAGCGCAATGGGAGCTGCAATAAGAAAGTGCGAAATGCCGCTGGCCGGAGGAAACCGGATTGTGACATTGCAGACATCTTTCAGAGATCACCCCATAACCAAATACAGGACAACTACACATACACACTCACAGAGGGACAACAATGTCAGCAGTCGTACAGTCCGTAAATGGCTTCCTCGGCAGGAACCGGCGGAAGTTCTACTGGCTCGGGGGGACAGCCAGCGCAGGCTACATGCTCATAAAATATGCGCAATGGAAGTGGTCCGAGTACCAACAGCGACGGGAACTGGAGCAGACCGCAAAGTCAAAGTGCGTTCTCGCTTCCATTCACCGTCCATTTGTCGGGCGTTAACTAACCCTCCGTCTCTTCTATAGTGTGAAGAGACGGTTCGAGCAAAACCTCCAAGACTGCACCTTCGCCGTCGCGTCGCTTCTCCCAACGCTAGGGGAGCAACTGTTTGAGGGGCTGAATGTGGAGCTGATTACGGCGCAGCTGCAGCAGTGTCGGCAGGCGAAGAATGAGGCGGGGAGGGAGTCGCCCGATGGGTCGGTGGCGACGTCGGAGGAGGGGTCGTCGAGTAGGAAGACGAAGATTGAGCTGTGGGAGGAATTGAAGATATTGAGTACGTTTGATGTTCAATCTGCTGCGGATGAGACTCCGTGAAGGGTTGAAGGCTGATGCAGAAAACCTACCGATTCGCATCACTACAGGCTTCACACGAACAATATCCGCCGTCTACCTCGTCACCCTCCTCATCGTCTTCACCCACCTGCAACTCAACCTCCTCGGTCGCTTCTTCTACCTCGACAGCGTCGTCGCCTTTGCCCCGCAAGTCGACGACGACGCCGACACTCCCGGCGTGGTCGTCGCCGCGAAAAAGACGGTGACGGATGAGACCGAGCGCAAGTATTTGACATTTAGCTGGTTTGTTCTGAATGTTGGGTGGAAAGGGTGTGTGGAGAGGGTGAGAAGGGCGGTGGGGGAGGTTGTGGGGAGGTATGTGTGCTGTGGCTATGTTGAGTAGCGTTCGGTGGGGATGGAGGCTGATGAAGTGAATGTGACCACCCACACAGCATGTCGTTGAAGGAACCGATAACCTACGACGTGATGTTGAACATCATCAGCCAGATTAGGAGCCAAGTGGAGGGAGACGGGTTCAGGTAAAGCAAAGTCCACCCTCCTTCCTTCGTCTGGCTTGCTGTTCACAAGAGATCATGGACACTCATCACGGTCTTGCACCGCCTCCACAGTGAAAAGGTAGCATCGTACCTCCTCCCAGAAGAAGGGACAGAAGAAGAAGTCCTAAGCGCCAGCGGCGGCGACGACGAGGAGTTCACAATGGACGAGGAGCTGGACGTGCTACTGGACGAGACGCGTGATTTCGTCGAGAGGTAATCTCGAACCCCCTTCTTTTCCCAACCCATCCCGCAAAAAACCCGCTAACCACCTCAACGCAATATCTATCCCCCTCTTCTTAGCACGGACTTTTCCCACGTCCTCCACTCCTCCCTTGACGAAGCCTTCGACCTCCTCGCCAAACAGTTCCGCCCTACCTTCATCACCGACCAACACGCCCACTCATCTGTCACAGAACTAGCACCAGGTCAACAACAACTGGATGTGGGGCCGGTGAATAAGGGCAAGACGTTACTTTTGGCGGGCGCGATACCCGTCGTCAGCCGGGTTGCGCATAGTGTGTTGAACGGGGTGCCAAATATCTTCTTGGAGGTATGCGTGATTCAATATTTCCTGTGGATTGATGTCAGGATTCCTGACTATGTTTTTGATTTGATAGGCATTGTCAGCCCAACCGGAACTCAAGGCCTTCTCGGTTGTCATGTATACAGGGTGGGAGGATCGGGCACCATGAGTGAGCAACCCATGTGGCTCCTGCAGATAGTCCTCACCCCCGCCGTGTACATATATGGCTGCCTATTCTGCGATTTAATGGCGGTGTATAGCGGAGAACGACCTGTATTTCTGGGTCATACATATGCATAGGCCCGGTGGCCGGTGGTGCATGTTATATCATTTACCACATGTTCGATAATGTTTGTGGGCATGGATGGATTCACTCACTGCTTAGCTGTCGTTTTTGAAACCACGCGTAACCCACGCCTGCGAGCCCATCTGGATGCTGGATCTGGGGTCGGAAGATAGCACAGGTCTCGGTATGGGTTGGGAGGGTCGCGCATAGTCCCCTCGTAGCAGAACCACCCCCGCAGCGTCCATATCATCTGCACAGTCCGCAGGGAACGACGAGAACAGCGCGTGTGTCATCAAGCGACGCGTTCTGCTCCTTCCTGCCCACCTCCGCACTTCGAAGCGAACGTCCGCGGGCCCTCGGGAAGCGACAACCGACTACGCCCCAGGCACAACCTATTTGCATACTATCCATCCCCTCCCTCCACCGTCCACAAAGGGATGACCGGCTCCTGCCCCTGCTGGCCCGCCCGCATCCGCGCCCGCCGTCGCACCGCCCCGTCACTTCACGACCTTGGCAAAACGCATGTAGGCAAAAAGGGGTCCGCAAAGTCTTCTACCTCGTCGGTCAAGTCGACCACGAGGGTTCGAGGCGGTAGTAGTGGGGATGTCGACGAGGATGGGGAGAGGACGGATGGCGGTGGGGATGAGGATTTGCTTGGTGAGTAGGCGAGCCGCGACCGAGAGCGAGCCGGGGGTGTTGAACTGCAACGAGCGACGGCGAGGTGCAGGGTTGGGTTTGGTCTGGGAGACTGCTAGATCGACCAAAGCGAAAGCCTTGCGAGCGAAGCGAGCGCGAGCGGAGCGAGTTCCTTGCGCCAACGGCGCAATACCCCTGACCACCGCTCTTAGCGAGTGCGGTCCTGTCCACCGCATCCCAGCATCCTCGTCGCGAGCGGAGCGAACAGGATGTTGTATGTGGATAGTTAGTTGACGGATCATGGTTGATGGATGTCGATGGGTTGATGGCTTGATGGGTCTGACGGAAACATTGACACTAAAGAAAATGTTTCTTTTTGGGGTTAGCGCTGGAGAATGAGATTCCGTTTGCGATGAATGAGCAAGCATGGTTGGATGAGTTTAGAGAGCAGGCGAGTAGTTGATTTCATGCCGGCCGTTTCCAGTCGTAGCGGAAGGGAGGACTCCTGGAGATGCGAATTCGGGAAGAACAACCGCTCATTCCAGCACCCTATCAGTCGAATCTAGCGTTTTTAAAACACATAGAGGTACCCTCCACCTACGCCAACTCCATCAACACCACCCTCCCATCAAGTTCTCTGCAACTAGCGCACATTTATGGTAAGTGAGGTCAAACAGCACATGCAGGTTTGCGACACCCGTCACATCCAGCTCATGTTTGATTCCCATCCGACAGGCTACTCGTCGGAAGCGCAAAGATCCAACATCCATCATCTGTACCCACCATCTCACCCGCGAGGGCTGGTAACCGTCCACCCCGCCGGGAACCATCTAGTCATAACAGCTGCTGCCGGGTCACCAAGTCGCACCGCACCGATCCCAGAAACCCCAGACGTATCCCAGCCACCTATCGCCGCGGATGCAAGCCCACACCCCTCCTACTTCCGGCACCACGTAAAAGCCATAACTGCCATATGCATCCACCCCGACGGCGGGATCGGCGCGTCAGCCGAGCTGGGCCCGGCGCCGGTCGTCAAAGTATGGGCTGTCGAAACCCCCGGCCATCACGGTCCGTCATCGGGGCGCAAAATGACGAGAATGTCGATATCGGTCGGGCAGAGGGCCGTGTCGCCCGAGCCAGGCACGCCATTGGGGACGAGCTTCAGCGGGAAAGACCCTCGGGTGGGGTCTGACCAGCCGGACAGCGAGCTGCAGTTGACAGTGCTGGCGACCGCTGTCCTGCCGGAGCCCATCCACAGCGTGTCCGCCATGACGTTTGCAAAGGACGGGACCACGCTGGTGATTGCGGGGAACAGGGAGGATGAGGCGGAGGTGCTCGTGTACGAGTGGCGGAAACTTGCCCCGGGAACCCATTCCGCCGCCGCCGCCGGGTCGGCCGCAGAGCACCGCGCCCCCGCCGCCCGCGCCGTGATCCCCGCCCCCGTGTTTTCCCTCACGCTCAACCCCTGGTCGCGGCGGGAGTTCATCGTCGGCGGGCTGCGGCATCTCTCCTTCTGGACGATCGACGCGCCGCTGTTGTCGCAGACCCTGACGTTGACGTCTAGACCGGCCGGGTGGGCCAGGGACGGGGAGCAACATCACGGTGCCGCGACTGCTGCGTTGACGGTCCTGTGCGCGGCGTTCACGCTCGCGAAGGGGCAGAGGGTGCTTGCGGTCGGAACCGCGAACGGGGACGTGGTGTTTTGGAAAGGTGATCGGATCGAGAGCCATTCTCGGGCGGTCCACAAGGTACGACAGAGAAAACCAATGTTCCCCCCCCCCCCCCATTCCCATTTTGTCGGCTTACTGACCCCCCCCCCCCCCCCCCGCCCCCCTCCCCCACCCACGCAGGGCCAAACCCTAACCCTCACACCCCTCCTCCACCCCACCCTGACCCTCCTCACCGGCGGCTCCGACCACACCCTCCTCCTCTTCAACGATGTCCTCACGCCCATCTCCACCCTCACCCTCGACTCCCCCGTCCGCGCCGTCGACGCCGGCGGCTTGGGCGGGGTGTGGTATGGCTGGGGCGAGGCGATGAAACGGCGGGCGAGCCGGGCGTTGGGGTTGACGCCTTTGGAGACGGGATCGAAGGGGCTCGGGAGGGGTGGGGGGGAGAAGAAGAGGACGGGGGCGGGTGTGAGGGTTGGGTGTGGGGATGGGAGCTTATGGGTTGTGGAGATTGGAGAGGAGGGGACGCTGAATAAGAGTTTGCTGTCTGAGGTAACAGTTCATATTGGGTGTCTCTCACACAGTTTGGACGGATTTAAGAGGTGGTGACGGGCGGTTGGCTGATTAAGTTGCAACTACTACCCAAAAATGAACAAAAAAAAGTCGCACGCATCGCAAACGAATCCCGGCGTATGGGGTCTCGCCCCACACCCGACCAACCCGCGGCTTCTGCTGACGTGCGGGAATGATGGGTTCATCCGGCAGTGGGCTGTCGAGGAGCGGAAACAGGTTCGTTTTGGCGTTTCTCATTACCTCTTACCTTCCGGTGGCTGATCAGCTGGTGTACGTGGACCCGCCCAGATAACAAGCTGCAACCTCAAAATGCCCCTCCGCTCCTGCACCTACGACCCCTCCGCCCGCCAGATCGCCGTCGGGTCCGACCAAGGCACCGTACGTAAAAAACCAATGCCCCATCTCCGAAATCCCGACCTAACCCCCCGGCTCTCCCCGCGCAGATCTTCATCCTAACCCCGACGCTAACCTCCACCCTCTTCATCATCACCCAACGCCGCGACACCATCCACGCGGTCTCCTACTCGCCCGACGGGCGCCTCTTCGCCGCGGCCACCCAGGAAGCCATCATCGACGTGTACAGCGTCGCCGGCGCCGACGGGAGCGGGTACCAGCGCGTGATGTGTTGCCGCGGGCACTCGAATTTCGTGTCGGCGCTGGACTGGAGTGTGGACTCGAAACGGTTGCAGAGCAATAGTGGGAATAGCGAGATCATGTTTTGTGAGTGCCCCCGAAACAACCTTTTATTTTTTTTTTGAAACAATAGGTGTTTGATGCTGACGTGGGGTGGGGTGGGAATTTTGGGAAGGGACGATGGCAACGCACCCGCCGCCGCCGCCGACGCCCTTCGCCGAAGTCGACTGGGCCTCCGCCACATGTCCGCTCTCGTGGGCGACAAAAGGCGTGTACGTGTCGGGGGAAACAGCGCTCTCCTCTCCCGCCGCCCCCACCAACCCCACCACGCCCGACGACTGGAAGATCCAGCTCCGAGGCGTGCTGGACTCGGCCGAGGCGCGCGCGGACTTGTTTGCGAGCAAAGGGTGTGTGCTGGGGTTACGCGATGTGAGTCTGTCTGCCCCAGCGCCCCGTTCCCCTCTGGAAACTGATATTTGTTTTTACGCGTTGTGGCGTGAAGGTGGTATGCACGGCCCGCGGCACGCCCCCCTCACCGGCACCCGACCCCGACAAGGTCGTGGTCATGGGCACGACGCGCGGGGATGTGCTGCTGTTGCGGTATCCGGCCTGTGCCGAGGGGGTACGTGTTCATCAACTCAGACACCCTCACATATCCGCATGAGCTGACGCGGGGATGTGCGTATGATACAGGCACCGGCGTATACGTACACGGTGCACGCGGGCCCCGTCGGGCGCGTGGCGGTGTCTGTGGATGGACGGTGGGTGTTCTCGACGGGCGCCGGGGACGGGTGTGTGTTGCAGGTGGGTGTTTTTGACCGGCTTGAGGGTTTCCCCCCTTTTTTTTGTGTGTGTGTGGGGGATCTGATGATGGTTTTTTTTTTTCTTTTCGTGCGGGGGTGTGCAGCATAGGGTTGTTGATGGTCGGCGGTGAAACCCAAATCCCCACATGATTCGGCATCGTAGCGGGTTTGGGGGACTAACGCATAGACGATAAACAATACGACAAGATCATTTACATGTACAGCATCCATATAATACATCTACACACTACGAGGTACCTGTGTGGTGTGCATATCTCCCCAGCTTCACGGCAGTGTCACGAGGAGTGAGTTATCACGAATGCAGAACAGGTGTCTACGCTTGTGGCTCTACTGTAAAGTCTATAACAAAAGCGTCGAGAGGGGGAGCTGTCCGTACATCACCCACCTCCCACATCGAATCACAACTTCGACCCCCGCTCCCCACCGTTACAGACATGCCGAATCTCCACAAACCGGCCCCCCTCCACTCTGATTTTTACCCGATTCAGCGGCTTCCCGTCGGACCCCTCGCTCGAACATCCCGGGTACTCCCAATCGCCCGGCATCGCCATCGTCAGCAACCCGTCGGCACTCGAGAGCGGTTCAGGACATATGGGCGCGAGTTGCTGTGCCGTGCGGCGTGTTTCACCGGAGATGTAGGACCGCAGATCGGAGAGGTGCAGGTGGGAGAGTTCGAGGAGGGTTAGGTATTGCGGGACGATTAGGGAGATTTCTGAAAGAGAAATTGAACGTTGCCTGGGTGAGAAGGGGGGTAGCATACAAAAGGAGGGAGATGGATGGGATACACATGCACATGCACATGGACGTACGTACCTCCCCGCTGATAAGCCTCCAACGCTTCCCGTGGGGTCCACCACCTTGCCTCGGTACACTCGGTCCCATCCGCGCTGACATCGTGTCCCTCCGCCGAATCCAAAACAGTCAAATAAAAAAACGTATCAAACCTCGCCTTCTGCGCAACAGGCGTGATCCAGTTTGCCCACAATACAAGTGCGTTGACGCGTGGGGCCGCAGACAGGGATGTGCAGAGGGTGTGGAATTCGTGCCCGGAGGTGTGAATGAGGTGGCGCCAGTGGGTTGATGTTTGTGGGGGGAGGGGGAGGGGTGGGTGGGTGAGGAAGAGGCCGGTTTCTTCGAAGGTTTCGCGGAGGGCGGCGAGGCGGAGGGGGAGGGTGTCGGGTGGAATGCTTGGGGAGAGGGGGTTGGTAGGTGTTTGGTAGGAGTGGATGATGTAGGGACGTTACCGTTGGTTGGCTAATGTGCGGCCTGTGAGCTGTTCCCATTTGGCGTCGCTATCGCAGGAATCTACGACCCCGCCTGGAGGGAGAAGAGCACCGTGAGATCCAGCTCACTTGAAGACGGTTGACACATCTGCAAGAAGGTGCGCTCCTCAACTTACCAGGGTACGCGTGCATAGACCCGAACGATCCTCGCGCCTGTCTTCAAATACCCTCAATGGAAAAGGGAAAAGAGAGACCCCCAAATATCAGGTCCTCCGCGGAAATGGATTCGAATAGGCGGAACCAGCAAAAGCGCCAGTCTATCCTCCACCCCCTCCACCCAAGGACCACACACACCTCTTAACCATCAACACCTTGAAATCCGCTCCACCGTCACTCGGCTTCCTTATCGGCGCACATACCAGCAAGCTAGATAAGACGTAGAGAGCAACATGCGCGGGAGGTAAGTTTTTTGAAGATGCATAAGACGGGTGAGAGATGGACCCAGACCTGGATGCTGTGCGTAGCGGCTTAACTCCCGTCGCGGATGGGGAGGGGGAGATGGTAGATGTTGCGCCGGAGAGGAGACGGACGGAGCGTTTTACGCCGGTCATGGTTACTACGTAGTTCTTGGGTAGTACGTTTGTTGTGCTTGAAGGGGGAGTGCGCAAGTTGAAGCGGAAAAGCGCTCTGGTGACCCCCTCTGACAGCACCCGCGTGACTCACCGTGACTCACTGACGGCATTGCGCGTGTGGACTGGAGCATTTTCTACAGTACAAAGGCAATGTTACCGGTCCCCATCCCAATCCGTTTGTGCCAAGCATGAGAAAATATGTATGTATAATGCGGGATTTGAGTCTCAGATAATATGTCTATAATATGATAAATATCCTCCCCCCATTCAGTCCCATTACGATCCCCTCAGTCGTCTCAAAACAACTCATCCCCCCCCTCCCACGCCGCACTATCCCACATCGGCAACCCCTTCCCCCCCGGCAACACATCCCCCATCAGATCCAGATCCCCAACCCCACCCAAATCGATATTCCTCACCCCACCCCCAAGCACCCGCTCCCTGTTCTTTCCCAGCACCCACAGCAACCGCGCCAGTACGACGCCGTTGCGGACGACGAGGAGGATGTCTTCGAATTCCATCTCGTCGGTACGTGACGGCGAGCAGGGGGTTAGGAGGAGGAGGAAGAGGGTTACTAGGCAAATCGGCGTGAGGGCCAGGTCGAGCAGGTTCCAGGGGCTTGTCCAGAAGTGCTAAATCGAAGCGAGGCGAAAATGAAACAAAGCCAAGGTTGGTTAGAGGGTTGGATGGTTGAAGGGATGCCCAAGGAGATTGAACTACGTAGATGGGCCTTCGCTCGCGCCCATCGCTTACCTTCCCAAGTGCACAAAACCGTACTCCCACCTCAACCAACATCGCACCATTGACGCACACCTCCAACACATAAAACCAAGCCCCCGGACATGGCACATAATAAGCCCAGACGAGGCAAGTCACGCTCATGACCAGCATGGCGATATAGAACGCTTTCCAGAAGCGCGAGTGGAGCAGGCGGTTGGCGAACGAGTGCAGGAATGTAGCGTGGGAGGTGAGGGCGGCTCGTGGGCGAGTGTACATTTGGCTGAGGCTGAAGTTGGAGAGGAGGGAGGTGTGAGGTTATGTTTTGATGTGTGGGGCTCACAGTCGAGAGAGCAAACCGACATACTCCTGAGTCCCCCCATGGAGGGATGCTGTACTCACTTGGCCGAGAAATTCTGGGAACAAGTAGCCCCATATAAGTCGATTTCCAGAATTCAAAACGGGAGAGAATGAGCGTGTGCTGTGCTGTAGCGTTCCAGCCCGAAAAAGCCTGCGCCCATACGCAAAGCCTTTCCCCCTACTTCCAAATGCGCAACTCACATTCGTAGTCCCACTCATATCGCCCAGCAGCGGTCCTGACCGACTCCTATGCATTTCGCAGGTAGAAGAGTAGTGTCGCCAATGCACATTTCAAACCCCGCTCAGTTTTCGGGGCGGAGTTGTGTGGTCTGACTGAGTTTTGGGAGAGACCAACGACACTGTTCGTTGGGCGCACAAGCTGCTTCCTGAGTCGGTGACCAGTTCCTCTTGCCGCATGGACAGTGCCAGTATGTGCGGTTCTTTCCAGTCTATTGCGTTGTTCGTTGTTCGTTGTGCGTAGTGGAGTGCAGCAGGCGAGAGTGGCCGCTGCGCCGTCTGCCCGTCCGAAGCCACACCTCAACAGTCTCAGGGCTTGCGCGTCGCTCGAGGGACCCCAATGCGTTTGCATTTCTAATCCTCACTCGGCACTACCTGACCAATACAGCACTCAGGCGCACAGGGGAGGGAAGGTTCTGGAAGTCACAGGCAGTGTCGTCGGGTCCGTCGGCATATTTATATATGCGCGGGTTGAGACTTTGCTCCCCATTCACGCTAGATAGCTCAGCGGACATTGGAACACCGCCGCCAGCAATTCAAACGAAAGATCCCACACCAAGATGACTTCCCCCTGGACGCGGCTCCTCCGAGCTCAAACAGTCGAAACCCTTACCGGCGACCGAGTCAACCTCCCCGCCGACCTCCTCCATTCCCTCGTCGGCAACGACGACCGCCATGCCCACCCGCTCACCTTCCAACTCGTCAGCCCGCACACCAGTCTCAAAGTCTATGCCACAGTCCGCGAGTTTACAGCCGACGAAGGCACGATACAGCTCGGAAAACCACTAGCGGAATCACTTGGGTTGCTGAACCTTCCGCCCACCGATAACGATGATAATAAGGCGCTGGACGTTCGGTTGACGACAGTCACACTCCCGTGCGGCACGTACGCGAAACTGGCACCGCTGGATGCGGATTATCTGGAGATTGCCGATATCAGATCCACCCTCGAATCGCATCTGCGCAGGAACTACGCGACGCTGACGCAGGGGCAGATTCTGGCTATCACCGAGATCCATAGGTCGACGCGGCAGGCGCATGAGCATCGGTTTCTGGTTGCAGAGTTGAGGGCAGAGTCGAAGGATGTCGTCGATGATGATGATGATGATAGCAGCGATGAAGAGGATCGGGATGGGATGTCCGGTATGAATTCGAAGAATGGGAAGCCGGTGCATGTCGTCAAAGAGACGATCCCAGGCTGTCTCATCCTCGATCAGGATGTCGTGGTAGACATCGAACCTCTCGACATCGGCTTGGCAGAAGCGGCGGTACGCAAAAAGTTCACCCCGCAACAAGCTGGTGGCGGCGGCGGCGGACCAATCCAACTCTCCTGGGACGCAGAAGGGCGGACCGCGTCCTCATTGTCCCCATATTCAGTAAAAGCCGACGAGTACATATACTTCCAGATCCCGACAACACCTTCCCCATCGACATATACCATCGAAGTAGACCCACACCACGGCGACGCGGACGTGTTTCTGTCCACAACCTTGGAGAAACCTTCCATAATGGATCACTCAGCTTACAACGTCGACGTCGGCCGCTCCGTCGTCTCATTAGAGGTGCCGGATCCGACTCAGGCGCCGATCCTGCATATCGGCGTGCTGGGCGTCTCCCCAACGTCCGAGTTCCAATTACACGTCCGAGTCGACGACCTCTCCGCCAAGACCACCGACGAGCCCGTCCCCCCTCCGCCTGAGCCAACAACCGAACCACCACCCGGCACAACCCGCTGCACCAACTGCGGCGCCCACATACCTTCCCAAACCCTCCCCATGCACCTCGCCTTCTGCCTCCGCAACAACACCACCTGCCCCCACTGCCACACCACTCTCCTTAAATCCCAAGCCGCCGACCACTGGCACTGCGGTTTCTGCCCCTTCATCGGCACCATCTCCTCCGGGGCGCGCGACAAACACATGAGCAGGATACACACCCCCATGACATGCACGTGCGGCAAGGAGTTGTTTTTACCGGACGTGGCGACGCATAGAGGTGAACGGTGTCCTGATCGGCTGCACGTGTGCAGGTTCTGCCATTTGTTACTGCCCGCTGGCCCGCCGAGCTTTTTGCCGAAGGATCTGTTGTTGGGCGGGATGTCGAGCCATGAGAGCGAGTGTGGAGCACGAACGATCGTTTGTGCAAAGTGTAAGGCCGCTGTGCAGATGAAGGTAACGTAAACGTCTCACACCATTCGTCTCTCCCACCATTTACACCCTCATAACTCTTCATCCCCACTCTAATCTCCCACATCAGGACATCCAAACCCACGCAAAATTCCACGTCCACCTCACATCCCAATCTCTCGCTTCCCTTCCCCCACCACCCCCCCTCTGCACAAACACATCCTGCTCCAACCCCCTCTCCACCAAACCCACCGCCCGCGCCGCCGGCCTGTGCTCAACCTGCTACGGAACCTTCTGGTCACCCCGGCACGACCCGCAACATCAGAGATTTGCGCAGAAGCTGGTGCAGGTTCTGCATCGGCAGATGGTCGAGGGGTGTGGACGTGCGCTTTGTCGGAATCATGTACGTTCTGTGGGTCGTATCATCTCATACCCATTGATGACATTGCCTTGCTGATATCTATCTATCTGTTTCTTTTGATGTTGGTTTCCACAGTACTGCGCTACAGCAACCTCCCACCCGCTCGACCCAACAACAGCAGCCCTCACAGCCCTCTCCCTCCTCCCCCACGCCTTCATCCACCCCCCTCCCACCACACCCCCGCCCATTCCCCCCTCGTCCCCTCTACCACCCCTCCACCTCCCAACCCCACCCCCGCACCCCCTCTACTTCCTCTGCAGCATCGTCACAGACCCCGCCGTGCAGCTGCGGCGGTACGCCGCGGACCGGTTGGCGGAAAAGGGGTGGGATCTGAGCTGGGGCGTGCGGGCGTTGGCGGAGTGTGCGGGGGACGAGCAGGCGGCCGGGAGGTGGTTGGGGGAGGTAGGAGCTGTTGCGAGGCGGGTGTGAAAGTGTGTGTGTGTGGCCCCCTGATGTGCGTATGTTCTATGGCTGGCAAAGCAGACAGAGTCCTCCGGCGCTTTTAGCGGACTCTGTGCTCTGTGCCCGCTGCGGTCGGGGATATGCAAAAGGGATGGGGATAGGAACCCTTATGAATTATCGCAGGGCTTTGTACGCCATAGCAGCATCCCCGCCCGCCGGTTTATGGAGCGACTTCGGCTCCCGCCCCGTTCAGGATATTCCAGTCAACGGGGCGTCGTTCGAAAACGCGTCGTCCGGTGCTTATGTCATCCGTACACGTCCAATTCCGATTGGCGAAGTGGAGGAACCGCAGCGAGCGACCAAGAATCTTCTGGTTGCAATTTCAGCTTTTCAAAGATGCTAACATACTCCCGTCAATTGATACTTTGGGAGTTTTTTTTTCAAGCGATAGTGTGGGGCGCTTACAATATCTACAGCTTGGAAAGCCCTTGAAGCCTCGAAGCCTGATTCCCTTGCCCTGGTGGTCATTCCAGTGTGAAAGGAAGGAACTTGCACAGCAGTTGTGGGGGGGTGTTGGCTTGCTAGGACTTGAGACCCAGAGTGGTGACTATGCTTCCAGGCGGCTTGATCACTGCGCGCACACACCAATTGCTTCATGTAACGAACATTTCATTTTACATTTTCGCAAATAAATAATATGTAATTAGGTGACTCGGGAGTTTGTAGACAGCGCATACGGAAAATTGTGTGAGCATGACGATGACATCGCAATTCACGCCACGATGGCTTCTGGATCCGGCAGAACGATGTCTCCAGCGTCAGCGACAGATGCCAATCCCGCAGCCCCTTCGTACACACTGTTGCGCCCCGCCCACTGGGAGCACTGCGGATCTTGCCGTGCTTCTTCCAACAGCTGCAGGATCTTTTCCTCATAGTCCTCCACCGCGTCGACTGTGGTGAAGGCAAGGGCATTCTAGTTTGCACCGCGCCTTTTTCCTGCCAATTTGATGAAAAACAAAGCAAAGACGAGAACACACTTACCCCGTGTGACCAGATCTTGCAATTCGGCTTGCAGGCTCTCCACCGAAACCACAGAGTCCTGGTAGTGGCAGAGGGCCTGCCGGGCTCTTCGTGTGTTTCCAATGTACCCCGACGCTAATCGTTCGGAAATAAATGCCAGCGGAGTCAACATTGGGGGGGCATTGCGATAGAACGGGCTCTCTTCCTCCCGATTCACGTACCAAGTTCACGTAGCTCCAGTTGGCGCTCCGCAGATGGGTCACACCGTATCAACCGGTTGAGCTTGATCTGAGTGACATCGCTTGTGGCGACTGCGGGAATGTGAAGTCGTGGTCAGATCGGGACGGAAAGCTCCCCGGGTTTCCCCAGAAACATACGCAAACTCCACCTTTTGCCGCTTGGACTAATCGGAGCCGTGCGGCCTCCCAGGACGGATGGCTTGGACCGGCACACGGCTCGGTCGCGAGGTATTGCATGGTGGTCATGGTGCCGATTCCGCGAGAGTTAGTGTCGCTTGCTGATGCGATGTGCCCGCACGCCAATGTACACCAAGCGAGATAAACCGCGAGCAGATTCCAGCGGGACACCCGAACATGCTGTGAGCGATTTATGAAGATCATAGTGGCGCGCTTTTTCTGCTTTCTATTGTAGGTTCACATGTAGGTTCTTGTTGTCGCCAGGAACCGGGACGAGTTTTTCGACTTTTGCAACGGACGAAGCAAGGTAGGTTGACGAGGAGGCAGGGTAAGGACTGACCAGAAGTTAAATAAAATGTGTGGATGCGGACATTGCTCTCGCACAGCTTGTACTGGGTAGATTCTTCGCCAAAAGGATCGCAATTGCGAAAGGGATGTCGGGCCATCTAGGCTGTTATTTAGCCCATTGAGTAAGGACAGAAGCAGACGCGCGACACGTAAATAGTGTCAGTTGCTGTCAAACCACGGGCTGCGCGAGGCCGCCGAGACGAAGGCCATTCTGGCAATTCCGTGTCAAAAGAGTAGCGATCTGAACAAATTTCTCTTACTTTTTTTTTGTAGGAATTTTTGAAAGAATATGAATTTCCATTCGGGTATAGCGAGGATGTCTCCCCCCGGTCCGTCCCATGTCTTTATTACAATACACAACCAGTCATACGGAGAAAATTGTGTAGAGTTCATTCCCCCCCGAACCAAGGTAGCCAGATAGAAATAGAGTGTAGGGAACAAAGGAGCGCGATGTTGTCCTCACCCCACACCACTTCTACACTGGAGAACGTAAGGTGACCGGGGGGGGGATGTAATGTTTTTCAAAGGTGGATCGTTTGCGATATGGGAGCTAGGCCCACATGGTAGATTGATGGGGCTGCGGTTGCTTGTTTTCAAAATTGCTGTCAAAGAAAAGAAACCCGCCATTCAAAATCAGAAAAGTGACCCCAAGCTCCCAACGAACGTTTCAACACATACCCAATCAGCCCCATGCTTCTTAATATACGCCTCCGCCCACTTAAACTTCACCCTCAGCCCCTGCGGAAGCACCTTCGCGACGGGGACGCCGTGCTTGGAGCACCAGGCGAAGGTTATCCGCGGGTCCAGGTAGTTGGTTTTGGAAGTTCCCAGGGCTGTGTCTTTCGTCATGTCCTGTTGAATACGATGAATACATTTCGGTGAATATGTATGTTTAGGGAGCGGGGAGGGAGATATGGAATGCAACGTACTTTTCTCCGCACAATCTCCTCCTTCGCCTCCACCTGCTCATTCAACTTCACCAGCATCTTCTCCAGCCGCTCCACGGTCGGCGCGGGCGCTTCCTTCTTCACCTTCACCTCCTTGTTCTCCGCCTTCATCTTCTCCAGCTTCACTTTCTCCTTTTCCTCTTTCGCTGCCAGGTACGTCTTGATGAATTCGGGCGTGACCCCTTCCTCGGCTTCGCTCAGCTCCGGCCGTTTCTTCTTCGATTTCGCGTCTAGGAGGTCAAGAAGCTGGGCTTTGACTAACGACCGCTCGTATTTGACCCCAAGGACGGCATTCTGCGAGCGCGCCATCGCTTCTCCGAAATTCTTCGCGACGCCTTTTTGGTGGTTGCAGAGGACGGCGACGAGGCGGTTGGCTTCGGTGAAGGCGTAGAGTTTTTGGGAGATCGTGCCGTCGGCGGGGGTCAGCTCGTTGAGTTTGAGTTGGAAGGTTGCCGAGGCGTTGTGGGTGCGGAAAACTTTGGCGGTGAGGCCCGGCATGTATTTTGTGAGGTGTTTGTTGAGCGAGGCCGTCTGGAGAGAGAACGCGTTATGGAGAGGGTTAATCGCCAAGGTAATGATAGGGATTGGCAGATAGCCCCCAGACTTACAGTCAACCGATCAAACAAATCATCCCCCTCCTTCTTCGGCGGTTTCTTAAAAATCTTGATATTCTTAAACACATCCTCCTCCACCGTCAGACACTTCGAGAAGCGAATCGAGTCCTTGCCCAAGAAATCCAGATGGATCTTGTTAGGCGGTTCCAGGATAACGTGCTCGTATCGCAATGAGCAGCAACCGACGGTGTCGGCCTCGTCTTCGCCTTTTTCGTTGCCCGCTCGCAGGGCGAATTGGTCGATGAGGTACATGGCGGTTGCGCGCTGGCGGTTGCCCATTTCTTTGTCTTTCATTTCGCGCATGTAGTCTTTGCGGATTTCGTGCACTTTTTTCTGAAAGATCATAAAACTGCAAGTCAGCAAGGGGAGGGCCAAGCGAGACGCAAATGCAACAGAACACAGGGCGCAAAACACGAACCTTAAGCTCCCTCGCTTTGTCAAACTTCGCGCGATCACTCACAACCTTAAACCTCGAATTCACCGACAAGAAAACATACTTTGTATTATCATTCACATTCTCCTTCCACGTCGCCAGCCACGTCACCGTCGGGTCATGGATCACTTTGCCCCACTTGTGGCCGGCGGGCGGGTCGGGGACTTTGGCGTCCTCGCCGATGTTGATGGTGACCTGCTCGGGGAGGACGCGCGTTTTGAGGGATCCGGTTTTGGGGTGCTCGCCGCGCCCGCGGAAGAGGCCAGGGGGCTCGATACGGTAGTTGCCGACTTTCTCTTTGTGGGAGTCGACGTAGGCGATACCGTATTTTTCGTCTAAGGCGGCTTTTTCTTCTTTGATTTTCTGGATGGCGAGGATGCATCTGCGTCAGTTCCGACTATCTCTGATGGCAAGTCGTGGCAACTATCATTTGATGAGATTCCAACCGCGCACCTGTTTCTCCTCTTTGCTCATATTCTTCTTCCGTTCCTTCTCCTGTGCTAGATATTCGGCAAGCGGAGAGAAATCACACTTTTCAATCTTCTTGATTGGCGGTTTCTGTTTGGTAGAGATCGCGGTGAGAAACTTGACCACGAATCCAGGTGCACAAGATCCCATCTGTTGGGTTTACCTTCTTATCCTTTGCCAAAATCGCCAGAAAGTCTTTGAAAAAGTTCTGCCGAAACTTTGGATTCCGGTCCCAATCCGTGCCCATAACGCCCGCATAGAACGTCGCGACTTCTTCCGAATCCGGCGATAACTCCACCGGTTGGCCTGTCGAACCGCCTGCGTCAGCACTTCGCGCATCACCCACCCACCCACCCACAGAGGCCAGTGAACCACCCCGCTCACCATCATATTTCATCTGCACCCCATGCGGCTCATACGGCGGCGGAAACAGCGGGCCATTATGCTGCAGCGATTTCCACTTGATGCTGTTATCCGCGCTCATGTTGTCCAGCCAGCTGAAATCATCCTCCTCCTCTGCAGCCGGCGCATCTTCTTCATCCTTCGTTGCGGCCCCTTTCTTTCCTGCCTTTTTCTTTGCTGCGCCTGTCGCCGCTGGATCGCCGGCCGTGCCCTCTTTGACGACGACGGGTGTTATGGATGTGTCGATTTTGGACGCCTTCTTTTTGGTGCTTGCGCTGCTTTTCCGCGGTTTCTTTTCGGGAGTCGCTGCGTCGCTGGTGTCGGAGTCCACGTCGGCTTTTGTGCGTTTTCGGGACGTTGTCTTCATCGTTGGAAAAAAAGGAGTCAGTTTCTAAAGTTCAAGATATCAAGGCAACTCGGAAAAAGAACGTCTCACCTTCGCCGTCCCATTCGTCTTCGCTTTCGCCGCCGGTTCCTTCTTTAACCGCTTCGCCTATGAACACGAACACAGCACAGCAATGAGTAAAAGCACCACGCTGAATTGAACGTTGGAAATCGTCGGCAGTCTCACCAAAGGCACATCAGAATCACTGTCCGACTCAACCACCTTCTTCCCCCTCTTCGCTGTCGTCGTTTTCGCCCCTAAAACCAACCCCAGATCAATCACCGACTCCGAACCCCCCATTAGCTTCTCTCGCGACATACCACCACCACTCAAAGCCCTCTTCCGCTGCGCCAACGGAATCTCCGACTCCGATTCATCATCGTGCGCGGCGGCGGCGGCGGCGGGTTCGTCTTTCACGGGTTTGGCGGGTGATTGTGGATGGGAGTCGGAGGTGGTGGTGGTGGGTTTGTTTGCGCTGCGACGCGCGAGGAGGGGGACGTCGTCTTCGCTGTCTGACATTGTTTCTGTTTCGGGGATATAAGTTAGGGAGTTTGAGGGATGGTTGGGTACAGCGCTCTGTGCTGGGAGTGTTGCTGTGCGGATGGAGGGTGGGGAATGTCAATTGGTGAGGGGTGGGATTTTGGAGGAAAGCGGGGCGCGCTCAGCAACTTTCAAATAGCAAGGGCAATTATCGGACGCGCGCATTTGCATTTGGACGTTTTCCCTTCACCGGCGCCCGACACCTCCTATGTACATACTGTACACAGTTTATACTTCTCCTCAACCTTCTCTCCACAGCGCATGTGGCGATGCTAAATTGTTATTAAGCGCCTTTTCTTCGCGTGGGTCAATGGCCAAGGAAAGGAAACGGGGCATGAAAACCTTACTCAAATATGACCATCACAACCTCGTTTCGAGGGGGGCTACTTTCTGCCACCACATGTCCCTCAGGAAGCGTCACTTGGGAAGCTGGGGCGCATGATGCACATAAAATAGATACATGGGGCATGCAGAATCATGTACAGGCAAGAAGCATTGTTTGCGGGTAGATGCATATATTATACTTCAAATGACATAAACAACATGCAAAAAAACCCGTCTTCACATCCCCTCGCCTTGCCACCGCCCCATAGCTCCCGTCCCCCCACACCACCATCCCCCACGACATCCAATCCCAAACGGCTACTCTTACCCAAATCTCCACCCGAGTCCGTTTCCATAACGCCTTTCATTGGATCAACCTATATTCGAAGGAACAGCAAGAGTGAGCGAAACCAACTCTCACACTTCACAATCCTTCCCTCCAAACGGGTAGAACAACAATAATCTCAGAAAGTTTCTATGGTATGTTTTCAGTTTTCTCAGCCTCGACATCCGGGGATGTCCTAAGCGTGGTGCATGAAGGGTCTCATCCTAGATCGGTTTGCTGTTCTACCGGGCCGTGGGAGTGGGTGGTGGGAAGGCTTACCTGCTTGATGAGACTTCGTTCGCTTTCCGAGAGTTTTGAGACCGTAACCTAAAGAAACGTGAAGGCTGGAGAAGGGTACGTAAGGGTAAGTGACACATCCTCAACGTAGTGGTTCCAAGTCGGTGTGAAAAGAGAAAAACCATCTCTCCGTGACAAGGCATCAGACAAGTCAGAAATAACGCTTATGCTCTCGACACTATGGGTTCCGCCTGGGGCGGCAAAGCAGTCATCTTGCGCCGCTGTCACGGATGTTGTTTTTCCATGGACTTTCGGGAGGAAGGGAGAGACTTACCGAGAGGATTTGAACCCCCGCTGCTTCGCGGTGGGCGGGGTGTCGGACGGTGGATGTCGACGGCGATGAACCTAGAGTGACTTCCTCAGTTCTGATTTGGTTTGATGGACGCACGGGCCTGAGAAGCTGAAGAAGTGTCGCTGTAGGTTCTTCGCTGAGATGGGTGGTGGAGTAAACGACTTAGAGCTGGGAAGAAAAGCAGCGCCGAAAATGGAGCGACGTGCGATAATAAAAGCCTCGTAGTCACGCGTCTCACGTGATCCTAGTGCTATTGCAACATCGAAGGGAAGCCGGGTTCAAAATGGTTTATGTATGACCATCCGAGTCGTCCGATCTTATGCCAGCAATGAGCGCTGTGTCTAGCGGAATGACCGGCGAAGAGTGCCTGCTATTTGGAAGCACACGCAGCACATCTCTCATCTCTGATCCTACAGGCGGACTGCCTATCCCTTGCCCTACGTTAATCTGCGTACCGCTATATCCTTTCCATGCCTCCATCCCACATCCCCCACATCCCTCACATCTACTCCAACTTGCCCAAAATCTCGTCCTCCTTGTACAAAAAGAACTCCTGCTCCGCAATCTTAACCGTGTTCCCCCCGTACGGCGGCAACAGCACCCGCTCCCCTTGCTTGACGCTCATCGCGCGCAGGCTGCTACCGTCCTTTGATGGCGCGCCGGGGCCGACGGCGACGACTACGCCTTCGTTGAGGGTTGAGCGGGCCTGTTCGGGGATGAAGAGGCCTGAGGCGGTGCGCTGGGGGGTGGAGGGGGTTAGTGGGAGTGTGGGGTGACAGGGCAAGGGAAGTTGAGGCTTACCTCGGGAGCCTTGATCCGCTGGATGAGTACCCGGTCAAAGAGGGGGATTATCTTGCTGGCTTGTTTGTAGGCGGCGGACTGACGGAAGGAGGAAACGATGGTCAGGACTCCGATGTCAGGGAGTGGTAGTCGGACCAGATCACTTGTCGTCACCCAGGACCCTTCTCATCCTCCCAAAATCGATAGACAGGAGGATAGCCTGCTGCCACCGCCCTTATCTCCGGGTCCCTCGGAGCTCTATCTGTTCTCAGCTAGCAGGCCTTCCTGTTCCTTCGTCCTCCAACATGAACTCTCCGCGACAAAGGTGACCATGTCGACGAGTGAACCTCAAGCCGCTCTGTGTCCCACCCAACCGACGAAGTAACAACTGTCTCTTTAGGAAGGGTGGTTCAGGTACGTACCATGTCTGCAACTTGGGACAGGGAATCAAGTGACGACGGGAGTGGTGATTGAGAAGCAACCGACGTTTTTCGAAGCGCAACGCGCGCGATTGAGTCACGCTGGATGTTGCTGTCGGTTGCTGTCAGTCACCCCCTGCCTTTCTCGGGCATCTTCCCGTCCTCCTGCTGATTGTACGGCCTGCATGCACGGCGCACGTTTCGATCCTTTGAATCCACATATCCACATCGAGACGGATGGCCGGGGTCATCAGAATCCGAATGTTGAGGCTATGTTGGCAGCATCTGTTCGTTCCATGCAAATCGTTCATCAGACCCCATACCTTCCAATCTTTCGATGCCAACTTCCTATTCCTCCTAACGTATGCAAGTGAGCTTGTGCTAAATGAAGGAAGCATCGGCGTTATTTGGTACGAACGGTCTATAGGCGCCCATGCCCCTCTCATCATGCCGCCTGTTGGAGTTGATGAGATACTGTATAGTAGATGCGTTGCGCATGTGCATGAGCAACAACTGTCCGTGTTAGGGTTGACACAGGGCTGAGGGGATCCTCCCGATCGAGACCTGCTCCCAGACCAAAGCTTTCCACTTTCCCACGCCCGCGGAAGATCACCACGGCCAACAACCCCAGTGGGACAGCATTCGCAAACAAACACTCCCCTGGCAGCGGCCTCCCGTGGTCCATAGCATACTGTACTCGTTACACCTACCCTTTGCTGCATCTCTCTCTGGCTGACGCCCGCTTCAGTTCGTCCACCTTCGCAACCATAGATCAAATGTCCCAAGCTCACGCCGCGGCTGCGGTCGGGGGCGGCAAGGTCGTCATCCTTGGCGGCCAGGGGTACGTCCCGCAGTTCAAGCCTATTGCAACTGTACCCATGCACATCCTCATTCGTCCCCTTTCTTCCACAGCTTCATCGGAAGATCAGTCGCACGCGCCATCCTCTCTGCCTCACCCACCGTCCGCGTCCAGCTCGCCTCCCGTCGCATAAACCCCAAATCCCCACCCCTCCTAACCACCAAACAATCCGACCTAGCCTCCTTCCTCCCCCCCACATCCCCACCCTCCCTCCTCTCCCGCGTCCTCCCCCCCTGCCACGCCGACATCACCGACCCAGCCTCCCTCGCCAAAGCCTGCGCCGACGCCACGGGGATCGTCAACCTCGTTGGGATCATGCACGAGCAACACCCGAAATACACCTTCGACAGTGTTCATGAACATGGGCCTAGGAGTGTGGCGAAGGTGGCCAAGGAGGTTGGGGCGAGGTTGGTGCATGTGAGCGCGATTGGAGCGGATCCGGAGAGTGACATTCCGTATGCGAGGAGCAAAGGGAGGGGCGAGGATGCGGTGAGGAGTGTGTTGAGGGATGAGGTGACGATTATTCGGCCCAGTATTGTTTTTGGGCCCGACGATGATTTCTTCAATGTGAGTCCGATTGTCAGCGAGCCGCGAGCGGACCGAGCGATGGTAGTTGGCTGCGGCGGGCAAAGGGATTGCAGGTTGCAGACGCGAGTGAAGCGAGCGAGGGTGGTTGTCTGCAAGGAGCGATGCGAGGTGCAGGATTGGTTCGGTCTGGGAGACCGTGAAGTCTACCAGAGGGAACGAGAGCGGAGCGAGTTCCATGCGCCAAAGGCGCAATGCCCCTAATCACGGCTCTTAGCGTGCCCAGCGAGCGAAGCGAGCACCACACTGGCCCATAGCCCATCCTGTCCAATGTCCTCGTCGCGCGGGGAGTGAGCAGGGCATCCTTTAGTTTTCCAACCAACCAATCATCGAACGTATGTCATTAGAAAACGCTGCTGATTGAATCCTTTTGTTTACAGAGATTCGCAAAGCTGGCGACGATCCTACCGGTGGTACCAGTCTTTGGAGGAGGAGAGACACGATTCCAACCTGTCTACGTGGAAGACCTAGCCAAAGGGATCGCGGCATCAGTCCTCTCCCCCAAACCCATCGGCAAAACAATCGAAGCAGGGGGGCCCAACGTGTACACATACGCCGACATGATGAAACTCATGCTGCAGCAGGCCAACATGTGGCGACCCGTCGTTTCTGTGCCCTGGTTCGTGGGCAATGTCCAGGGGATGGTGTTTGAGAAACTGCCCCTGAACCTCTTCACGCTGACTCGAGACCAGGTCAGGCTGCTCAAGTTTGATAACGTGGTTGGCGAGGGCGCCGAGACGCTGGAAGCTTTGGGGGTCCATTTGACACCCGCGGAGGAGGTTCTTCATACCTATCTACGTAAACCGATGCTGGGGCACTTGATTCCAAGGGAAGAGGAGCCTAGCGCAACGTCGACGATTGCGGCCGCACCCCCAAAACCAACCCACTCTACAGAGCACGTCAATCTGGTGGACGGTACAAACCCGGCGTTACCACCGAGCGGCATCGCGGGAGTAGGAAATACTCCGCGCACAAGCACTTCCATCAAGCCGTCTTTGAACAACCCGAACCGTCCGCAAACCCGCTCATTCGCCTCCGTCGCCGGCCGGGATTCCACCCCCAGCTCCGACCCCACCACCGAAGGATTGTCAACCGATTCCGTCACACACGGAACAGCCCGACAAAACCCACTCGTCATCCACACCCTTGCAGAATACCGCACCCTCCGCACCCAATGGGCGCGCCAGGGCCTCACCGTCGGTTTCGTTCCAACAATGGGCGCCCTCCACTCCGGCCACATCAACCTCACCCACCGCGCCGCCTCCGAATGCGACGTCGTCGTCACCTCCATCTTCGTCAACCCGGCCCAATTCGCACCCACCGAAGACCTCGCCAAATACCCCCGCACCCTCCCCACCGATCTCGAACTCCTCGGCGAAGCAGCCACCACCGACGTCGTCTTTGCACCCACCGTGGACGAAATGTACCCCGCGGGTATCACGCTCGACGTCACGCAACAACAAGGAACATTCGTAACAGTCCTCGGCCTCTCCCACCAAATGGAAGGCGCCATCCGGCCTCATTTCTTCCGCGGCGTCGCGACGGTCGTTACCAAACTGTTCAACGCCGTCCAACCCACCCACGCGTACTTTGGACAAAAGGACGCCCAACAGTGCGCTGTGGTTAAGACTATGGTCCGTGACCTTCTCGTCCCGTTGAAAATCGTCGTGGTCCCCACTGTCAGGGAAAGTGATGGGTTGGCGATGAGCTCGCGGAATAGGTACCTATCCACCGCGGAACGGGCAAAAGCACCCCTGCTGTATAAAGCTCTCCTGGCTGCGCAGGGTGTGTATGAGACACAACGCGAGCGGGGAGTGAGCAGGGAGGAAGTTATCGGCGCTGCGAAAAAGGTGATTGAGGACGCCCTGGCGGAGAAAGAGAAGGGGGCGCCGAAAGTGGTGTTGGAGTATTTGAGTCTGGCGGATCCGTACTCGTTGAGAGAGGTTGACTGGATTGAGCCGGCTGCTGCTGCTGCGTCCGAGTCTTCTTCGCCAGCGGCGAAGGCGGAGGCGGGGACGGATGGGCAACATCCGGTCGTTACACCTGCACCTGCATCCGTCACGGACACCACCGCCACCGCCCAACAAAACGGAACCAGCAGCAAATCGAAAACGAAGTCCGCTGAGGGTACAGCAAGGAAAGTGGAGGCCACGAAAGAGGAGGTGACATCATCGAGTGCGATCCTCTCTGGCGCGGTCAAGATTGGGAACACGAGGATCATTGATAATCTGCTTTTGGGCGTTGATGTCGGGGGGTGGGTTTGAGGAGGTCTGATGCGGTGGGGATGGGATAGTGGATGGGATGGTGGATGACGGATATATGCGATGTCGGGTTTGTTGGGGATGGATATCCACGGGTTGTCACGCCATGGGAGCCAATGGTGTGATTTTCATTTGCATCATCAAGGAATGTACCATAAGCACAGCATATATGTGCAGTGAATAACCATTTGATGGCCAGACGTGCGCCCAATGCGAAAACGATGGGTATCTAACGTCGACCATATTCTCTGCAAAGCGAGCGTATCAAAACATTCCCATCCGCCCGCATCCATCCTCAAAAAACGAAAGACAAATCCACAGTCACATATATGCTACCAATTGCCTCCCTAACTACATCACTCTTTTCCCACGTACACCAAAAAAAAGATATAATCGAACAGAGACCGAAATCCCCCACGCCATGTTTTGTCGCGTTCGACTCCTCACGATAACTCAAACCCAGCCCCGGCGTTAATGGCGTACCGCAGTTTCCTAAAACAGAATATCCAGATGCGCAAAAACGTCAGTAAACGTATGGCGGGTGGGGGGAACCAGCAACGTGGCGGGTGGCACTTACGTGCGCATCGTCTCGATATCCGTGTACGGCGGGAGTTTGAGCAGATTCACACACGTCGACGCCGTCGCTGATCCCCCAAAAAAAAAGGCCATTCAGTTCCCCGAATCACATGCATCCCCGTCCTTCCAAATCAAAGATGACTCACGCAACCGCCCGACATCCTCCCCCGCGCAGCGCACACAGAACCCGGGCCTGAGTTCCCCAAACCCCATCAACGGCGGGCGTTCGCAGCTCGTGACGAACTTGACGAGGCCGCGTTTCTCCTCCTCGCTGAACTCGTTGGAGACGACGGACCAGAAGAGTTCGATGGTGCGGTGTTGCGCGGTGTAGCCGCCGGCGTAGGTGGTGTGGGCCTGCAAGTCCGGGATCGAGATCGGGTGCGTGGTGCCGCCGAGGAGGGATTGGAGTTCTTGCTGTTGGGCGGGGGGTGTGAGTTGAACAATCAGAAGAGCGGAGGATGAGAAAGGAAGGGGAAGGAGAGAGGAGGAACAGCCTTTACCTGATTGAAAACCCTCAACCATCCCGGATGGATCAGATCCGTCAACCCACTAAAGAAGGCGGCACACTGCCTCTGGATCTGCACATTCAGCTTATAGTTCGCGACCAGATAAATATACTGGATCCGATTCTCCCTCGTCACAGCGACGTTGCTCCCATCGGGTATCAAGTTCACCGTGCGCATGTTCCCAAACTCATCCTTATCCAATGAGAAAGTCAGCCCAAGATCGCGTTCCACATCCCCCGTGTAGTGTTTGAGGAACATGAGGCCGGCATACATCTCCGGGTCCAGGGAAGGTAGATCGTCGACGTAGCTGCGCTGGCCGAGCCATTTGGCGAGGAAGAAGTTTGCGAATGCCGCGTTTACGAGGACGCCTTCGTACAATGCCTTTCCCATGATCCGGCCCAGGAACTCGAGATGGTGTAATTGTGTCTCTTGCGCGGCGTATGAGTGTGGGGACGGGTATAGCAGGTTATCCGGTGTAGCTTGGAACAGGCCGTAGTTGATGTCGAAGGCTTGCGCCGAGAGGGAGGTGAGGAATTCCTTGAACACGCCGCCGCCGTCTATCCCGGCTTCGACCAGCCCCTGCTCGCTCACAAACGTGATTGCGACGCGCCGTTTGAGCTGTGACCCGAGAGCGTTGAGGTGCGTGTACCCGTCCTCGAAGACGCTACCGCGGCGGATGGTGGCGCGTGCCGCGGGGCGCATCCAGTTTTCGTCGAGCCGCTGGGATTTGCGGTCGTCGGCGATCCAGGTACGGAAGATGTTGACGCGGATGGCGAAGGGGATCACGAAAGGGATGTGGGTTAAAACATTCCTACACTGTATGACTTTACTTTGTTTGAGGGTTGCGGATGGGGTGGGGAAAAGCGGGGAGATGGCGGGTTGACGGGATGTCGGGCTGGTGAGGTGGTGGTTATCGCTTGCGTCGTGGGGTTCAGATTTGTGGTCGTGTTGAAGCGCGAGGTCGAGGAACGTGGATTCGTCGACGGGGAGGGAGGCGAGCAGCCAGTGGTCTTTTGGGCAGAAAGAACGTCGGGAGTCGCGCGCGTGGATCTGCCGTAACACTCGGGTGAAAAGCTCGACTGCAAACTCCGGCTGAAGGAACCGGGCCGAACCTCCCCTTTGGAATCCGGGCGCAGAATCGTTCCAGTACATATCAAACACGACGTTCTTCAACACGCCGGAGAGCTCAATCAGCACGTCCACCGCAACAGGTGGTTTGGCGCCCACCAGCTCGTCATCGCCGAGTGTCGTGAACACGCGGACAAAGAACTCGCAAAACAGGATCAGGATCGCCCATTGGCCCGCATACTTTTCGTCAGCGAGTACCCCCACCGCGTTCCTCCCGTTCCGCTTGAGAGCCGCCCACAACGGGCCGTTGACCACACACGTCCATAGCCTGCGCAGGAACGCGTTACCGGATTCGAGGCGGTACAGCAAGATGGTGGCGATCTCCGTCTTGGCCGCCGTCCACGCCGTCACCAGCGACAATAAGAAGGTCGCAACGGTCTCTGATATCGCCACCGACCCCGGATTTGATGGCAAGGAGGACGTGGAATCCGGTAACGCCTTAACGATCGCGTCCAACAGAGCCGGCTTGGTGAGCAGCAACAACCATTTGCGCAGTTGCGGGTGAATCGTTGCCGTGGAGGGTGACTTGCTTGACGATGAGGGTGCCGGGTCGATATCCATGTCGTCGTCATCGTCGGGGATGTGCGCGGCTGCGTTGTTGGTGGTAGATGGGTTGAGGGCGTTGAGGTAGTTTGATGGAAGGCGCTCGAGGAGGTTGCTGAGCACGGATATGTACGTTGACTGAAGGTTTTGAGATCGGATGTGTGAATCACTTGATGTTGAGGTGACAGAGAACGCCCAACGAGAACTCTTACCAATGCCTCGTCACCCATCTTCCCCACCGCCTGCTGTCCAAACGCCAACACATTCCCCAACAACGCCGCAAACATATCCCCCTCACCCGTCGCCCTCTCCCTCTCGACCCGCTCATACACCTCTCCCCCATTATTCAACGTGTCCACAATCGCGCTAAACCGCAATTTCTGCGAGAAGGCCTGCAGGGCGTCGATGCTGATGCGGTTGGGCAGGTACTCGATGGTGAGGATGTGAGTGATGACGAGGGCGATGATGTGGTCGCGGCGGGGGGACGGAGTAGGGAGAGATTCGAGGAGGGTTAGGGGCAGGGTTGTGAGGGCCATTAGGTGGGATGTGCTGGGGAGATCGCGCTGGTCGATTGTCTGGTGGGAGTCGCGAGCCGGGGATTTGCTTTAGCTTTTGGAATGGATGGCAGGGACACACTACGCCCGTAACACGCCGCCCTACTCAACTCACATGGCTGCTGATGTACGCTCTTATCTTGGCAAACATGTCATCTCCTATCACAAAGAACAGCTCCTGTACATAGTCCCAGCCGGGGGTGTATGTCGCAACCGCCGCAGATGCGTCTCGGTTCAGGATCGCTTCCAGAAGCAGTATGATGTTGCTTGGTTGCTTTGAGTCCGTTGTGCTTACTCTGCGGTGTTGGAAGTCATGGTAAGTAGCCGAAGACTGAGAAGGACAGTACGTTCACCCACCCGTCGTTGAAGAAGAGGTTGGCAAGACACACCCGGCAGAGTTTCACCAGTATGTACTGCCACTCTTTCGCATCCATACTCGGAAACGGCGCAATCACATTCCGCAGTGATGTCCCTGATCCTCCTCTCAACAACAACGGACAAAGCAACTCCACCAACCGCACCCTATCCATCATCAAAGGGCTATAGAAGAACAGAAAGCGGCGAACAAGCGAGGAAACCTTCGCTGGTGGTATTGCGTTCGATGTTGATGCTGCTGCAGACTTGATCTCGGTGTCCCATTGCTCCCGGATTGACGCGTAGAACCGCTTCATGTGTTTTCGGCCGCGCCAGAAGGCCTGTAAAATGATAAGAGAGATTGGTGGACTGAAGCGATGCGATGGTTGGCACGATGGTTGGAGAATATCCTGCTCGCTCCGCTCGCTACAGCGGTGTTGGGCTGGTGTGTGATCCGAAAAGCAGGCTCAAACATTCCTGGGTCTACGGCCCAATAGGGCTCGGCCTCGCTTCGCTCGGAGCCCTCAAGCATTCCTGCGCCTCGCTTCGTGGGGAACACGGACCAGTTGGGCTCGCTATCGCCCGCTCTCTCCTCGCGCCGCTCGCCGCCCCAAACCTTCCTCCGCTGGCCACAGACACCACGTTCGTTCGCTCCCGCTAGTGCCCCCCTCCTCGAATTTTACCTGAACATCAATCGCGGCCCTTTCCTTTGCCCTCTCCCTTTCCCTCTCCTTCCTCTCCGCCTGAGCCCTCCTGAGTAGTTCCTTCTTATCCTCCAGGTCCTTCTTTCGCCCGCCCAGGTTGATATTGCGACGAGACTTGAAGTCGCCTTCGAAAGTGAACATTTTAGGGAGATAATGCGAGCAGGAAAGAGGAGGGAGGTTGCTTGACTGGTATATGGGTATGAGACAGTAGTGCGATAGCACGTAAATGTATGTGCTGTAGTGGGAAGATGCCTGTGTGGCTGTCTAGATCTTGCAGCTTCTTTGGGGAAGTTGGAAGTTGCAGCGAGCGACGCGATGACAAACTTCTTCCTTCCAAACAGCCGGAGACCTTTTTCCACCTACGACCACGACAAGCAACACAGCGCACGTTCTCCAAAGTGGACGGGCAAGGAGGATAGGCAGTCGCTCCTTCATTTAGTCAGGGGCGCTCAGTTTGGTGACGCAACGTGAATCGACTCAGAGGACTGCGTCATCGCACGGCGATGGGTTGGAAATTCAACACTTCGCCTATCAACCCTCTTGAATCCACTGGGGACTGAAGCGATGGCGTCATGGGACCCCGAGACTGGATGTATAGCGTCGCTAGACCGAGCGGTATTACTGAGGGCTCGGTCGTTGGGCTGATATCAGCGGGATCTGATGTAGCAAACCAAACATCCTAAACTGTGACGACGCATCGGGGAACCGATCCAAGAAGTGGAACTGTCATTTCAATTGGTGCTGTCAGCTAGCGGGCTTACCTTTCAAACAGGGATCCCGAGACTACAACGTCCACTTTCTCGTCACCAGTAACCGGACGGCGCCATTGGAAACGGGAGGCGCCATTGTGAACGACATAGTCAGCGGCGTTGAGCAAGGCATAGATGCTTTTGATGCAACAATGATGGAGCCGGTGCTTGCCGGCGGGGTTGTTTTCTGTATGGAAGCTGATAATCCAATGGCGAACGAGCTGTGTTCGATGATCGACGTCAAGCGTGGGTAAGGTTTTGCAGGGTCTGTGATGTGACGGGAAAGATTGAGATAGTTGATCAGTTGCATGACTACCTGCAAATTGGAAATCTTCGACACTGGCAGGTGACGCGGCAGGAATTAGAAGGCCAGCTACGACGGTGTGGTGTAACTGCAAAGGCGGATTTAGCGAAATCTCAAACTCTGTTAGGGGAAAAAGTACCTTCGCGGCGCCGTTCATTGAGCGGATCCGGGCTTTTGCATCTATGGAAGGACGCACCAGTAAAGATTTGAACGATTTCTGTGCCTCTTTGGGGGGATACCAACGAATGATGAATCCACTCTTTCAACTTGATGCGTTCAACGCTCATATGGATACTCCGGTCGAGGTGTTGCATACCACCCTTCTGGGAACGCTAAAATGGCTTATGAGGGGTACAATCCCAACGCTGAATGATGAGCAAAAAGGCACTTTGGTGGTCCGGATCGATAACGCTTCCTATGCTGGATTCGTGATGTCTCTGCGGGGAAATGAGATTGTGAAGTACGTCGGGAGCCTCATTGGCCGAGATCTCAAAGTCTTTTTCCAAATCGCGCCGTTTCTCCTCCATGGACTCGTCGCAGAAGAGCTTATGAGCGTTTGGCAAGCAATGTCGGAATTATCTGCGCTGGCGTATGCGAGCGTTATACTGGATCTTGACGAGTATGTCGCTTCTCTGGAAACAGCGATTTTGAATGTCAATATCAAGTTATGTGCATACGATGTCACGTACTCCACGCATAGGAATTCCATATCCTTGCATTCTTTGGAAGGTGCCAGTCAACCATGCAGTCATACACTACGCTGTGCAAGTCGATTCAAAGCAACAGATCCCGTTTCTCCGCACCTGAAACAAGCCAACGGTACCCTAAATATTCACCATGACTGCACGATGCTTAGGAGGGGCTCTTCGATGTTATCAGACATACAGTTGCCCTGCGACGATGTGTATATGTGCACGTAGAGGATTTGCCAATGTAATGGAGGCGCGACGCGTACAATCGTTTGTCGAGTACCTCGGAACAGAGAGGATTTGCGATGTGGAGTATTGGGAATGACTAGGTGCTTGGCGGCAAATACAAGAACACCACAGGGGCAACTTTGAGTTGCTGTGTCTCTCCCGCCGCTCTCGGTGAAAGCTCTGGGGACAACTTTCGTCAGTCCACAGGTACTGTTCGTCGGAAACGGCGTGGTTTCATGGGCACACGCTGTGTCTAAATCACTGACGGGCGAAGAGAAGGCGTGCGTTGCTGTGCAACTGAAAACGTTCACGTCCTTGCGGACCGAACAGGCAAGTCGACAAGGGGGTTTGCGGCTGACACCAGCGACATGCCACAGTCGCCGTAGGGCTGGAGATCGAAAAGATGAAGGTTGGGCTTCTTTGAATTCTTGATTTGCTCAGATGGTCGGACCTTCGCTCTATGGACTGTCAGCGACCACAAACTTCGACTAAGTGCGGGTGGGCTCTTTTAGGGGAAGAGGTCAGGGCGAGCAGTTGGGAAGACTGGCCGGACGGGGTGAGCAGCAGAAATCACTGCGAGCTCAGGGTAGTGCTCAGGTCCCTCTTCGTGCAGGTGACCGACCATCGGTGATGTGAATCAGACGGGCCGGATTAAACCTGAGTCGATCCAAAGGATTTGGTCGCGTTCCACATATTTAGATGCTATCAAAAAACGGCAAATGATAGCTTAGCCTCCGCCAGCGTTGCGCTGTTAATGTCCCACCCGCCCAGGACAAGGTCATTGGGATGAACCATGGGAAGCATGGCGCCGAACGGAACGTAGACGTCGCGATGCTCATCGTCCGTGCCGAGAAGTATCGTCGACGACTGCGTCACGGAGCCAAAGTAGTTGGCGGTCTGTACACCATCCTTGGTCTCCCATGACAGGTTGTGACGATTGGCGAGGATACTGGCGGTGAGCGTCGACCCGTTATTACCACCCCAACGACCATCATCAGACTATGAAATGGTTGAGCATGATGGAAAACATGAACATACCCGAGGCGAGGCACACGCTTGTCTACCTGGAAGGTGTAGAGATCCTCCTGAACATTAACGTCGGCGGTGCATCCATCCTTTCCGAATGAGACCTTTGTCCGCTGATAGGCGTATTTGGAATGGATGAAGTCGGCTGTCTGTTCGGCATCACTCGTGCAGTCATGCATTTTCAAGCGCTTCTTCTGACCTGGATGAAGGATAACCCAAATTGGTCTGTACAATGTTTGACCCCGTCTAGAAGGGGTCTGACCAATTTGGTACGGTAAATATTGACAATTTGTGAGGGTAAATGTTTGTCATTTATTCGATCCACACGGGACATTTGTGTCCTTTTTGGATGGGGTCCATCGCACTACTAAATCAACATCCATTTATGACAGAATACTAGAGGGGCAGGCTGCAGTTCTTTGAATTCCTGCCAGTAACTCCAGCAATTCTCCTCGACATAGCCGTCAAGACCCACTAGCACTAGTAGCTTGTCATGGTACTTCGGTTGGTATGTCAGTCAGGCTTCAAGTTGCCGAAGTTTGGAATCCATACGTCTCATTATGAACAACCAATCCAAAGAAGAAACTCGTCGCGTCGATCACCGATAGTAGCTCCAGGGAAAACCTTGTTATAAAACTGTTCCAATGCGTTCAGGCGGGCGGCGCTGAGCTGCTTCGCGTCCCTAAGCGTGCGGGGAAACATTGGTTGGGCTCCAGCGGCGGGGGCGGGAGGAACGGCGTCGACAGGATTGGGGCCTCTAGCGTCCTCCACTCCTAGTGGTCGCAAAACAGCTTCCATGGTGAGACATTTCGAATTATGCAATCTGAGGGGAAGATTGTCGAGTTTCGCGTTTATTGCTGCTGCCCATGGTGGTTGAACTTGCTTGCCTGCGGCATCTGTGATAAAAGGGAGCGTCAAAAGGGTGGACGTAGAATATGTAGGACGCTCGGTTTCCTTTCCCTTACGAGCTGCCTCAACTAGGACTTTCCGCTTTTTGTATCGCTTGAACTCTGATCAGCCAACAGGTTTTCGTCTGGTGACATATTTGAGTTGGATATCGTGGTTCTGCTGGTGAGGTCCTGAGCTTGGCTATATTATATAGCGGTCAAACGGAGCACGGTCTCTTAGACCTCCTCCTCGCCTTCCTGTGGGAGCTCCGCCCTGGGGTGGAACGCGCCCGTCGCCTCCGTCGCCTCCCGGGCCCTCCACCCCGACGCCCTCGCACCCTCCCTCTCCCAAGTCTACGACCCCCTCCCCAAATCCGTGCCCCATGGTCGTCTCTCCCTCGACGACTTCACCCTCTACAAGCTCCTCGGCCAGGGTGCCTTTGGCAAGGTTGATATAACCCTCATCATCCACCAGGGCTGGCAGTCATCAGGTCTTGATCGTCAAGTATAATAGGGATGGCAGGATGTACTGTATGCGATGAGACGATGGACAAGGCCTCGCTCCACGTGAAGGAAGCACTGGCGCAGTACTGGGAGGAGTGGGACGTCATGGCCTAGGGTCATATCTGCAGCCGGGAGAAACGGCTCACCGACCCCGAGAAGTAAGCTGCCCGACCCCGTAGGTTCTTGATATTTACCGTTCCCTCCAAGATTAGCCAACATCCCCTCTTCGCTGGCGTGAATTGGTCCAACTTGGCCGCCGCCACCGCACCCCACATCCCCGCCCAAGTTCCCCGCAGAAACGGAAGCCGTCCCGGACCGAGAAGGCGTTTGTGGAGAAGATGCGGAAGGATTATGCCGCCGCCTCCAAGGCCGTCCTCTCCCTCACCGCTGACGCGGAGAAGCTCCGCAAGGGCCGTTCTCTCTTCTCTGCTACCTAATTCTCTGTGCAGATCCCGGACATCGGAAGGGATGAGGCCAGGGCATGCAGCCAGCCTCCGGAGTCTACCAGTACATTTTCCCGTGCCTGCAAGAAACCAGACTGTCAGGTCTCAGCTCGAACCCGCTGAGTGTAAGCAGGTTCATTCGAGCGGAACATTTTTCGATGCAAGTTCGCAGCAGGGAAGGACGTGCGGTGACTTGATGGGCCGCGGCGGGATCAGCAACGCTAGGACGGTCCATGGCGAGACCCACATTGCTTGATGGACTATGCTGGGATGGGCCATGGCGGGATCCGCATTGTCTAATTCCAACGCTGGGATGAACCATGGCGGCTTCCTGGAGGTTGAATCTGCCAGAAGATCGCGGGTGGGAGTTGGGACGTGTTGCGTCATACTCCAGAAAAGGTCAATGAGAGCAGTGAATACGCCTGATGAAATATGCGTTCATGCAGGAATCCAGTACCGGGAGCACTGTCGCCATGTTCCATTCCCGCCGCATCACATAGCGCATGTGGCAACTGGTCGTCCGCTAATCGCCGGTGGGCTTTTGTGATGCCAACATGGCAAAGGAGTCCGCTTTGATGGAACGCAATCGTCACGCTTTCGATCCCGACGTACTTCCTTGCGCAAACAGTAACATCGCCACAACATCCTTCCGCACCCTATCGCTCTCCTCTTCGCTTAAGTTCACGAACCTCCTAGTAGTTGACATGGTTCCAAGACGCAAAAGACTCAGATCAACAGAAAAGTTTGAACGGAGTTTGCGGAGTATCAAATTGAAAGCAAATCACTGAATGCAACGTCTTTCCTGAAGCAAACTCTCGGCTGCGGCTGCGGCTGCGGCCGCGTTGGTGGAGGAGGGTTCGGTGCTGGAGGCGGTGGTGAAGGTAAACTTGACGCCATTCTACACAGTACTTGCTGCTCGGTAACATCCGGTGAGTTTTGTTCCTTTGCACTGCTGTGCTTTATGTTCGTTGGGCACAGGAAGTAGTCTCGAACAGCACAGAACCCTACCTGTACCTGCACAGAGACTCCCGCTTGCTGTCAACGATATGTCGATTTGTCCCCTCAGACCGGGACGCCAGGGCTAGCACGTTGTCCATCCAGAGTCCAGACCTTCGATGATGAAGATAATGTTGCCGGATCGTAGCGCTCCTGATGGTACGAAAGATTGTCCGCATTGTGGTACAGGGCCGTTGATGATGGTTTGGGAACATCTCGTGCTTCCTCTTCGGCCCTCGTAGTCGCGACTTTTCTCTATGTAGCCTTACATGTACAGTACGTACGCGTCGGTGTGCCCTCATCACCTCATGTGACACAAATTGCCGGCATACTGTAATGAAAACGCAAAGTCCCCACTGCCACTCCGCAATGAGATGGGACGACGCCTGCAATGTCTACTGTCTCTACGTTGCCGCCGCAATGCTGTATAAAACGGGTTGGGGGAGAGGGGTCTCGGCTGCTGAATCAACGGTTAAATGAGACGAGTCGGCGTCCCATCAGAGCCGCCCGTCCTACGAAAGCCAAAAAGAAAAGCTGTGTCCCATCTCACCCAGTCAGTCCTTCCATCCCGGCATCGATTCATCAGAGATCTGAGTGCCCCATCGCTCTGATCAGCTCCTCACCACACTCAAACCCGCCCACCACCACAACACCATGCTAGCCGACGAAGGCTGCTTCAGCAAATGCTACAACTGCATCTGCAGCTGCACCACCTACGCCCGCAACGTCGACCAGCGGATGGATGCGAGTGTCGCCATGGACTACAAAGAAGGCCGGACGGTGTATGAGAAGACCGCGTATATGACCAATCAGCCGCCGCCGATTGATCTGGAGCTGCCGGCGGGTGATGTGTCGAAACCGGCGGCTGGCGAGAAGACGGCCCAGAAGCCGTTGTAGTGTATCCCCTCTATCGCTATCTACCCACCTCTGTAGCATGTGTGCCAGAAACATACATCCCTCAAATACTCAGGCAACTGGATTGTCGACGAATGAAGTATGTAGTATACCCCAATCATGAACGTGCAATACGGCCTGAAGGCGATCGCCCGTAGAGTTATCGGCGGCCGATATAAGTGCCCAGAGGCCGTTGTAGTCATGCCCCTAGCTAAGATAGCAACACACGAATATAAGAGCTTAATGTGAAAGATGATATAACTGCATGGATTCCTCCTTCATCATATGCCGCCTGATGAAGCGGAAGCAGTACTGTTCACAACCACACGCACCCGACCCGACCCCATCTCATTTGCTCGTATCCAAAACCACCCTGCCCTGCAACTTTCCCTCCTTCATCTTCCCCAATACCTCCTTCAAGTTCTCCCACCCCACAACCTCCACCTCCACCTTCACATCCCCCCTCGCCGCAAACTCCATCGCCTCCCGCGCATCCTTCCTATCCCCCACAATGCTTCCCCGCACCGTCAACCGCCGCATCACCGTGTCAAAGATATCAACAGGGATCTGCGACCCGCGTTTCGGGAGACCCAGCGTGACGAGTGTGCCCCACGAGCGGAGGTAGGTGAGGGCAGTGGCGTATGGCTCAGGTGAGGCGACGGCGAGGAGGGCACCGTGGGCACCGCCGTTGGTGATGGATTTGATCTTTTGGGTGAGTTCGTCGGGTTTGAGGGTGAAGGGGACGAATGCTTCGGCTTTGAGTTTGGAGCAGAAGGATTCTTTGGAGGGGTGGTCGATGGCGATTACCCGCATTCCCCTGGCGACCGATAAGATGTCAGTTGGCGTGCCAGTCAAACATTCCCCTGGTACTTGTCTGATGTGACTTACATGGCGCGAGCGTATTGAACGGCCAGATGTCCCAACCCTCCTCCCGCGCCAGATACCACCACCCACTGTCCAGGCTTCACTTCTGTCTCCTTCAAGCCTTTGTAGACTGTCACGCCAGCGCAGAGGATGGGAGCTGCTTGATCGTTGCTCAAACCTTCGGGAATGGGAATGACGTGGGCGGCGCTTGCAACTGCGACGGGTAGAAAAAACACGATTAGCGTTGGAAGATGCATTCCTCAATACGTTATCCACCGACATGAACCCAAAAAGCGGTACTCACCAGCATACTCCTGAAACGTTCCATCGCAGCTGAATCCCGTACGCTGCTGGTTGGAACAAACCGTCTCCTTCCCATCCAAACAAAACTCACACTGCCCACACGTGCTCTGCAACCACTTCACCCCTACACGGTCACCCTCCTGCAAGAAATCCACATTCTCCCCAACCTTCACAACCACACCCGCACCCTCATGCCCCGCAATCACAGGCAGTTTGCTTTTGACCTCCCAGTCCCCATCGAGCGCGTGCAGGTCCGTGTGGCAGACACCTGTGCGAATGATGTGCACGAGAACGTCGTTGGGGCCGGGGGTAGGCACGGGATGGTCGGATTTGAGCTCGACGCCGGCGCCGTGCGAGGTGGCGATGGCGACTCGTTGGGTTTTGGGGAGCGATTTTGGGACGCCGGATTCGTCGCGGGAGGGGGCGATGACGGATTCGAGTTTTGCGGGCATGTTTTGGGGACTTTCGAGTTCTTCGTTGTGTTGCACAGGTTGATGCTTTCGGAGCGGACTTCAGTTGAAGAGGCCGTTCTTTTACTCCCTGAGAGACTTATATTCCGTATCGCCGCAAAGCGAACCGTGGGGTCATGCCGCCCCACTCATTATTACCGATGCTCCCTCGTGCAATCTTTTTGTTCCTGTCCCGTCGGATATTCCGCTTGCCCCAAATGACGTTTTGGCGCTGGATTTACGTCACAGATAGGCGCGCTGTCAAAACCCTTGACAGCGTCTTTGGCGCGCTGTCGAATTTATGTCATTTCGTGGTGTCCTAAGGGTTTCACCCCCGCTCCGTCTCCACAGATGATATCCTGCGTACGTGGCATGACAGACGGGCTTAGCATAAGCGCAGACTTCCCCACCATACGGAATTTAGCTGTCGAACCCGCAGCAATCGATACAAAAAGCGATTAAATGGGCCCTCAAACTTCCTGCCTTTGCGGTTTGTTGCTAGTCGGCCTTATCTCACACCGGTTTCACTCGCAAAGCAGACACAGCTATTGATTCGGTGCCTGGATCTGGACAAGGCTCGCTCGCAAGCACACAGACTTACTACTCTCGGTGCCTGGACAAGGCTCAGATATCATTGAAAGATGTCATCCTTGCAGCCCGATAATAGCGGCAACACCCCGCCCGCTGACGCTGCAGCACAGAACGTTTCCGACACGGGGTACACACCGATGGATACCAATCTCCCCACACCCACTTCTAACGACACAGAGCTTAACAGAGCAACCACCGCTGACGCCGCAGCAAAGAACGCTCCCGACACCGAGCACACGCCCATGGACACAACCATCCCGAACTCCACTTCCAAAGACACAGAGCTTAACAGAGCGACCACAGACCCCGAAGACCCCGAAGACCCCGAAATGGTCTACTTCGACATCCAAGGGCACCGGCTCGGCGTCCGTCATTCCCTCCTTAGCCGCATCCCCTACTTCTCCACCCTTGCCGGCGGCAGGTGGCGCATCGCGATGACCGCGTCCGAGGAAAGTCCTCGCGGCAAAAGCAGCACGGCCGACCACGACTCTCCAAAGGCGCCCGCGTACGTCGTCACACTCCTTGACCCCGAGATCCAAGCGGTCATGACCCCACCCATCCTCGAGACCATCAAACGCGCGCTGACCGCCAATCGATTCTACTACCTGTTTGTGTTCCTCCCTCTGGACGTCCGCGTCGCTGATCTGTTCAGGTGCCTCAGCTTCCTGGCCGTCGTCAGAGACTACTTCTCTATCCGCAGCCGCGGCGCCGATGGGGAGGATACGTACCCAGGTCAGGACCGTATCCTGGGCGTTGGCATGGATGTAGCCGCGCCGATGGAAGGAAGGAAGAAGAAGGATGCAGTGGATCCGGTGAAGAAAGAGAGGGAGAGGCAGACGATCAAGGCCAATGCGGATGCGGATAGGGTGTGTGCGTGCGACGACGTGTGGGGGACGCTGGATGACGACTTTGGGTTTGCGGAAGCGAACGCCCGAGCGGCGCGTGAGACGCCCGCCGCGACCAACACAACCCCAGCCCACGGCATCGCCAACCCACCCTCGTCTACTTTCACCCTCGGCACGGCTCCCGACACGGGTGACGACGGCGGATGGGGAAACGACCCAGAGCCCGCCACCCCCGCGGATCCCACACCGATCGTCAAGCTCTTCGCGTACCGCCTCGCGCCCCAACCGCTCACCGTCTCCCCCTCGCCCAAACCCCGCACGGGGATCATGAAAACCGACGCAGACGCCTTCCTCACCGAAGACGCCAAAGCGATCAGCCACGCGATCCGCCGCGGGCCGCCGCAGTACGCCAAGCAGGAGAAGCTCAAAGCCGAGTACAACCGCGCCATGCACGAGCACCGCAACCGTGAACAGCAGCTTGCGCGGGGCTGGGACGGCGCGCACGGCCCCCCGCCCGGGTGGGCCGCGCTGCAGAAGACCGCGCCCAGGGCACCCCCGCCCGCGTTGAACTCCCACGACCTGCATCGGCTGGCCCTCGACGCCGCCGTCGCGCTGTGCCACCACTTCCACCCGCACCGCGCCCTGCTCAAGGTCCGTCCGTGGTTATCTGACCCGTGGGTTTTTTCTGATGGTTTTTGGCGGTTGCAGTACCAAACCCCGAACCCCGGCGCCCCGTCCCGCCCCCGACACACCCACCAACACCTCTACAACCTCGTCAAGTTCGTCGCCGCCCACCCGCAAACCTTCTACACCCCCGTCCGCCGCCACGTCGTCCTGTGGTTCCTCGCCCACGCCGCCGGCTCCGCAAGGCAGGTCGCGGATCTCCGCCGCGCGGACATGTGCGCCGCAAAGCTCACGGACCCGGAGGAGCGGCTCGTGCTTCCCTGTGATCGCGGCCGCCCGGACGTGATGGAGGCGATCGCGGAGGCGAGGGCGTTTGTGTGGCCCGCGAGCGGGTTTAGGAGGGGAAGGAAAGGGGGAATGGTGAGGATGGGCGATGCGATGGTGCTGACGGGAAAGCAGGCGAAGAAGGACGGTTGCAGGGATGGGGACGCGGGCAAGAGGGTGCGCGGCGGGTAACATGGACATATGTCCTCGCCCCGAAAACGAGAAGTGCGTCGTCGAACAACAACATCGTCCCGACGAGTCTGCACGATTTCAATCAGCTGCCACAGGCGACAGGAGGAATGGCAGAAACGGTACCAAAAAAACCCCCAACAGTGCATATCTGCACCGAGGCGATCCCCAACTCGACTCGTGGGCGGGCTACACTCAAATCCCTTCTCAGCTCACAAATGTGTGCTTGTTGGTATTTTCAAATCCCCCCCACAACTTTTTCGATCTCGGGAATGTAAACAATTACGGGGAACAGTCCCCCGGATCCCCATATATCTTTTTCTGTATATACACCAAAAGGTTAGGCGACAAACTGAAAAAAAAAACAGCACAAAAAGTTGCAAGTAAACCTAAAGCGGCATCGATCGTGTACATTGCAGGGGTTGGTGATGGGGTGGCTGTATGCGGAAACGGGGCGCAGAAGAATAGGGGGGGTGGGAGTATAAGTACACCTACAGGTGGGATGACAAGATGCTACATCTACAAATGCTCGCAGGGCTATCTACACTCGATCCCCCCATTGTGTGTGTACAAACCCCCCCTACATGGTCAACCTCCTCGCCAACTTCTCCTCCTTCAACTCCTTGGCATTGAAGCTCTTCTTCAGCAGCGGCAGGAGCACATCGAACGGCACCCCGCCGAGGGTGATCATGCTCCCGCCGGCGCCAAGCGTGGGCTCCGTCAACGGGGTCGGGGGCGGTGTCGTCGGTGAGGTCGGTGTCACGACGGCGGGGGAGGAGTTGATGCGTGGGACGGGGGCGGGTGAGGCGGTGACTGTAGTGGGTGAGACCGGGGTGGTGATGGACTCCGGTGGCGTGGAAGCTTCTGCAGCGTGGGCGACTTGGGTCTCCGCGGCGGCCGCGACAGCTACCGCGGGGGGTAACGGGACCGCCACCGGCACATCGGCGTTGTGCACGACCGCTTTCAAATCCGGGCTGGTCTTCTTCCCGGCAGCATTCGTGTTCATGTTCATGAGCTTCAGGAACTCGGGCGTGAGCTTCAGACTCTCGTCGCGGATGATGATCCCCGTCTGCTTCTGCAGCTTCTTGGCAATGTCTTTGATCCGCCCCGGGATCGACTCGACGACGCGGCGGAGTTGCGGAACCGTGAAGCCGCTGAAGGTGGTGTGCATGGCTTCGCCCATGGCGCGCATCTCGGAGAGCGTTTGTTGGAGTTGGTGGTGCGTGCTTTGCACTATCAGTGAGGTGGCCATCTGCCCGCGCGAGATCACAGAAAAATCAGAAAATCGACATCCCACCCCCTCATCAATCACCACCTCAAACGAAAATGAAGCCAAAAAAAAAACACTCACCAACTTATTATAGATCAACTCAAACTGCGGCCAATCACTCTGAAAATACGCCAGTTTCTTCTCATTCCACTTCTCCCACCTATTCCGATTCTCCAAGCTCGCGTCCTGCGGCGGTTCGGGGTCATCGAACGGCTTCGTTCGCTTCGGGAACGTCTTGGTCGCCACAAGCGCAATCTCATCCACCACATGCTGTTTGCTCTTTTCGTCCAGGCGGTACATGTAGATCCGGCCGACCTCGCCTTTGCGTTTGACGATGACCTTCGCGTCGGCCGCGGGGTCGTCCGAGTCGTTGGGGGTGGTCTTGCCCAGTTTGGCCATCAACTCCGCCTCAGTCAGGTCCGCAAGCTCAATACACGTCATCACCTCCCGGCCAAGCCACACCTTCACCGGCACCCGGGGCGTCGCCTTCTTCCCCTTCTCGGCAACCTCCGGTAAGTTGTCCGTGACGCGGTACCCGACCACCCACCCCTTGCGCATGAGCGTGAACGCGAAACTCCGGACGAGGTTCGTCTGCGTCTTGGCTTTGTCGCAGAGCTCTTCGATGTTGCCGTTCGGCGCTTCCATGTACCCGAGCAGCTCGATGAACAACTCCTGCCGTTCAGACTCTTCCTGGAGTTTACGGGCTTCTTTCTCTTTTTCCTCGTTGGCTTCGGTTGTTGCGGCCGTAGGGGTTGAGGAAGGGCGCGCGGCGGGCGTGTGTGCCACTTTGCGGAGCTTTTTGCGGCGGTTGGGGTCCCGGAGCTCGGCCAGGAAGGCGGAGCTGTCGCCCGGGGCTGCCGGGGCTGGTGCTGGCGCGGCTGGGGCGGGAGGGAGGCTGCCGGGTGGTGGGGGTGGCGGGGGTGGACCTCCCATGGGTGGAGGGGGCGGTGGAGGTGGAGGGCCTCCGGGCCCTCCCATAGGAGGGGGTGGTGGTGGAGGCGGTGGTCCACCACCCATAACAGGTGGCGGAGGAGGTGGAGGCGGCGGTCCACCACCCATAACAGGTGGCGGAGGAGGTGGAGGCGGCGGTCCCCCACCCATCACAGGCGGGGGCGGCGGCGGAGGCGGCGGTCCCCCACCCATCACAGGCGGGGGCGGTGGTGGGGGTGGTGGTGGAGCTCCTCCAGTGAACTGCATGACCGGGGGAGGCGGCGGTGGAGGCGGGGGCGGGACCGAGGCGACGGGTTCGACTTGCATGATGGGTGGTGGGGGCGGTGGAGGAGGTATGCTGGTCTGCGTTGCGGTGGCAGGGTGTGGATCGCTGGCGGGGGTTGGGCTCGCATCCGTTGCTGCCAGCGTGTCGGTGACGGTCTCATCCGCTTCCTTCTCTGCGGCAGGCGTGATCCCGATCCGCTCCTCGCCGTCCTTCTCTCCCACGGGCATCTCAGCAGCGGGCGTCTTATCCACCTCCTGCCCCACTTTCCTCTCCTTCCCCTTGGCCATACCGTGCTCACACCCGTCCTCCCTAACCGCCGCCGGAACAACAGGCGCAAGCACAACAACCACCCCTCTCCCTCTCTCCTCCCCACCCTCCCCAACGGGCGGCGTCGGCGCCGGCGTCGGTAGAATCGCATCCAACGAGCTGGTCGAGCTGTGATGGTGTAATGTCGGCTGTTGTTGTTGTTGTGGCGGGGGATTGGACGAGGGGGAGGGGTAAGAGCGGCTAGCCCTCCTCGGCCGCCTTCCCGGCCCCTGCGCCTTCTTCGGCGGGCCGCGGAGGAGGATGCGGATATCTTCCTTTGGCGGCAACGCGGCGGCCGCTGCAGTATTCCCATTCACAGTCGTATTCGCCGGCGGAGCGGGTGAGATCATCGCATCCTCGACATCGTCCGGCTCCTGCGGGGTGTCAGAGTCGGAGTCGGACTCGTGATCCGATGCGTGGATGCTGCTGATAACCTCCAAAGCCGACGCGCGCGAGATCCTGCTCACGCGACGGGCGGCGGCCGTTTCCGCGTCTGGGGTTTTCAACTGCTGGTTGGAGGGTTGGTCCGTTGCGGATGATTCGTCTTGTAATTGTTGTTCTGCAGGACGGGAAGAACAAAATACTTGTGAGTCCACCCGCAGACAATAGAAACGATATGTTATACGATGCGTTGTGACGTACCCAAAGCGGTATATATATCCAACGCACTAGCCCTGGAAATCCTCGTCAGGCGTTTATTCCTCGCGGCTCGTTTCTTCGGGCTTTCATCCATTTCCATATCGTCCGGATCCACAGGCGTCGAAGGCGGCGCGTCCACCGCCGTCGGGGAGAGCACACCCAAAGCATCATCCACCTCCATCCCAATCTCATTCAACACTTCCGTCAACTTCCTATCCACACTACTTCGGTGTGTTGGCGGTACGGGTGTGCCGGTGCGGGAGATGTTGATGGCTAGTGGTGACGTTCGTTTACTCTTCGATGTCGTCGTGTGGGTCGGTTCCTGGACCATCCCATCACCCAACATCCCCTCATTTGACGCAGACGTAGAGGTGGTAGGACGAGGGAGAGTGGCATCCCACGGGTTTCCGTCGACGTCCACCATCTTCGCCAAATCCTCCATCACGCTGTCCAGGCCGGACATGCGTGACGCCGTGCGTGTCGGTCTCGCGGTCATACCTAGATCCCCACTATTCCTACCCGACGACGATGAGAGCAGCTCTTCCCTACTCTGCCGTGACGAGACCACCGAGGAGCGGTATGGATCTGATAGGTCAGTGGGCTCGCCCCGGCTCGTCCGGCGGGAAACGTCGCTGCTAAGTCTGGATGGCATATACTCACTCCCCGTCCCGCTTCCGTACGTATCCCGCCGGTCGTCGCGGCTTCGACGGCCGCGGGAGGTGTCGGAGCTGCTTCTGCTGCTGTTGATGTAGTCGTCGGTTGTGGTTGAGGACAGGAGGTGGAGGTCGCGGCTAGTGCGGGAAGGGAGGTCACGGCGTAAGGGCGAGACGGGGCGGTCGTCGGGGGAGTCTGGGAGGAGGCTGGGGCGGCGGCGGGAGGTAGATGGTGGTGGGAGGGGTGGTGGGGAGTCTTCGAAGAGGGTCCGTGAGGAAGTTGACAATCTGTGATGATCAGGGTGTGTGTTACTGTTACTACCCCGTCGCTCTTTCAGCCGGCCGGTGCTTGTGAATCTGCGGGCTTCGTCGCCTTCGTTGCCAACGGAAATGCGGCGTTCGGTTAGGGCAGTTGTGGAGCGGTCGCTGCCGCCGGCGCGGGAGGTGAGGTAGTCGAGGGCGACGCTTTCGCGTTTGTTACGGATGTAACCGGAGGGTGAGTCGAGCGAGGCGCGACCTGTGTAATCGGGGGTTGCTACTGTTGCCACCAGAATCTACGGGAGAGGGTGAGGGTGTGAGTACGTATGTCGTAAGCGCAAGCTTTTGCAAAGACGAGGTATGACGTTGGGCGCAAACGATCGCGACGAGGATGTTGGGCTGCGGTGGGCGGGCAGTAGCGTAGCGAGCGAAGTCACAAAGGCCACCATCGCTCGCTTCGCTCACGGCTCCCCTTCTCCTCGCTCCGGTCGGAACTCCCTCAAAATTACCTTATTCGCCCCACAAACATCAAGCACCTTCTCCCCCACCCCGGCCCTCCTCCCATCCGGCGCCCTAATCTCCACCAACTCGGCATGATCCTTCGGCAGCTTCTTTGCCGTCTCCTCCAACAACCACTGCACGGTATTATACCGATCGCAGCTGATGATGTACATGGGGCCGGTGGATGTGACGACGACTACGTCTGTTGTGTTTTTTGTCGTTGTGGAAGGGACGGTGGGGGTGGAGGGGCGGGAGGAGAGGTTGAAGAGGGCGTCCCAGGAGTCGGTGGTGGTGGTGGTGGTGGAGGAGAGGTTTTCGAGGGAGGGGCGTGGGAGGGGTTTGCCGTAGCCTTGTCTAAGAAGCGAGGGAGATGGATCAGTCAAGACGAACCAACTCTCAAGCGTTCCTGGGCCTACAGCCCGGTCCCTCGAGCATTCCTCCTTGCTCCGCTTGGAACTCGCTCGGAACGCTTCATTCGCGGGGCCTTACCTAGAATGATCATTCCTCCCTTGCCTCCCCCTATCCGCGTCCGCACTATAACTATTCGCACTCCCACTCCCTCTGGACGGACTGCTCGACGGCGACGGAGTCCCCTTCCTCGAACCCAGTCCAAAGAAGCTCCTGGGCGGGGGCATGAGGTGCTCGGCGTGCCTGTAGCTGTCAGGAGGCGGAGTGGTGGCCCTGTTGCGCTTCTTGCTCTTTGAGCGAGACTTTGAGCGGTTCCAGAAGGGCATAGTTGTGTTGGTTGTGGGTGGGGTATAAGTGTCGTCGTTTCTTTGGAGGAGTGGTGGTGGGTGAGTTCCCAAAGTATGTATGCAGTGCCGAGTTGCTTGAGAGAAAAGCGGCCAGCGCTCTCTACTACTAAGCTCAGCTGCGGGCGGGCGGGGCGGGCGAGGGACTGTCTGACTGTCAGTGACACTTCCGGTAGCGCACGGATATGGAGGTATGCCGATAGGGGAGCGAGCACTCGGGGGGGGGTGGCCAGCCGCTTGTGTGCGTGAGTGTAATAAGAGTCCGTCCCACCTGCGAGAGAGCGAAAACGACAAGCGCACTTTCCCTGCGTAGGCGCTGATGAGGGAGTGAGTAGTAGTAGTAGTAGGAGTAGTAGTGGTAGGTGGTAGTGGTTGAGTGGCACTACTATGAATCCAACATCCCTCATGAACTCTAATCAAACAACCGATGGAAACATTCTCAAGATGTCTAAATCAATCGCGCGCGCTCTTCTTTCTCTCGCAAAAGGGGAGTCACTCTCACTCTCACTCTCACGCGGATTAAACCCGACGTGCGCAGGGAGCGTGACTGCACGTGATTCTGACTCACTCTGTTCAACTGGCCTTCCTTTTCTCCCTTTCAGAAGCATCAAAAAGTGTCAACCAACCCCCGTCAATTTTCCATCACAGAAACAAATACTGCAAATATCCTACTCTCTCATGTTCCTGCCTATCGAACTATCTAACTAACCCTCCTCAACGTGATCCCCCACCGTCAACCTCCAAACAAAACACCTTGTCGCATAATAGGCGCATAAGGGGGCACCATCAACGCCCTCCACATCACACCCCGCCCACAACCCTCACCCTCCCCCCATTCCCATCCACCCCGCGCACCCCCCCATACACCACCCCCGCCGCACCCACCCTCCCCCCCTTGCCCGCCACATCCACGCCAAACGCCTCGCCGTCGTGGGCGAGCGCCAACAACGCATACCCTCGATACCGCGGCGAAATGCGCCTGTGCGCACGCCCCGTGAGGACCGCGTGGAAGGCGGCGCACGCCGACGGGAGGAGGATGTACACGGGCGGCGGCAACAACACGCCCTGGTCGTGCGTTTGACGGCTGTGCGAGTCCCGCGCGGCCAGAATACGCGTTATGGTATCGACGAGGTGGCGTGTCCGCTTTTGCACGAGATCGTCACCGTCACCGTCATCGGATTCTGCTGTGGAGGTTTGCGTGCCGCGACATACACCCGTGGGAGGGGGCGGGGTTTGCGTCCCCACCGTGCGTGTGGTGCGTACAGGCGCGGTCAAGTCGGCCGAGGGTTCCGAGACGATCATATGCTGCGCGATGTCGGCCTCCACAAGAGGGCGGGTGGCGGGGTCGGTGGAGGAGGTGTGGGCGCAGAGGGTGGGTGTGTCGGGGAGGATGTAGAACGTGGCGGTGAAGTGGGCGTAGGGGTTCTCTTTATGGGCGGTGCACGGCTGCGAAGGGGGGGTGATGGGTGTGGGGCCTTGTGCGGTGGTTTGCCCGGGGGTGGAGGCGCGGGGGGTGGAGCTAGTCTGTGTGCTTTTGTCAGTCGGCGCGGATTCGTCGGATCCCGGTGGAGAGACGGCCGGGAGACTTCCTCGCCGGTGAAGGTGAACCGAGCTTGGTGCGAGATCCGGTAACGGCGGGACGAGGGAGGGTAACGGCGGAAGCTGGAAACACATGGATGAGATTCATATACAAGACGCGAGACGCCAAAACATGGAGAGCGGATATGGGGGCTTACCACTGCGAAAAGGTACCGCGGCGCCGTCCGGTCGTCCGATCGTGGGATCAGGAACCGGGACAGGGCCTGCAGTCCCGCATCGCTGCCGATGATCAGACCCGCCATGGCGTACGGCGAAACAGCTGGATGTCCATCCTCGGCGGGAGCGCACGACGACGGCCCGGGCACAGAGTGACCCGCTCGTAGTCGGGTATACCAATCCCGCTCACCGCCCTCCCGGGTTTCGTCCTCGCTCGCAGCGCCCACGGCGCCCACGTACCTCCCCTCCCTACCCCACACCCCCACATCATGTCTCCACCCAACCGCATCCTCACCCGCGCATTCCCACCACTCCCTGGCCACCCCTCCTCCCCCCGTCGTCAATGCATCATCCCCACCGGTCGTCGGGAGGGTATACCCCCGAACACAATGCTGGTGTATTCCCCCCCGCTGTGTGTTGGGGACGGCGGGAACCAGCTCGGCGATCTCTGAAGCCCGGAGCGCGAGACATTGCGAAACGACCTCGGCGCCGTGGAAGAACAGCGTGTTTTCCGCGTCGTCCTCCGCGTCTGACTCGGCTGCCATCAACGTCGCGTCGCTGTCGGTGTCGGGTACATCGAATGGGATGTCTTCATCCTCCTCTACCGTTTCCTTGCCGTCTCCCTCGGGTGTGTGCGCAGCCATCCAGTCCGCGCTGCTCATCAACCGTCCCGGAGTATTATCGCCCATCCATCGTTCTCGAAGACGCCGGTCGTCGGTCCGGATTCGGCCCATGCGGCGTAGCGCGGCTTGGAGGGACTCGAGGCCCGAGCTGCCGTCGAGGAAGACGACATGGGAGTCGGACGGTGTGGTGGAGGTGCGGGTGTGGTAGCTGAGGAGGGCGCCGCCGTGTTGGGTGGGGTGGAGCATCTACAAGACAGCGAGGGGTTAGCCATCATCTATACCCCATGTGGAAGAACCAGCGGTAAAGTATCCGAGACCACCAGCAAGTAGGTGGTAGCCGACGCAGCTCGCCTTGCGCGCATATGTAACTCACCAGCCTCACAACAAAATCCCCCTCCGCCTCCCCACCCCCCACGCCCACCGCCACCCCCCTCGCACCCGTACACCCCAAATCAAACACCCCCTCCCTCCCCGTCACACGCCCCCACCCATCGCGCACCCCCCGCAGAGGTCTCTCCCACACCCAGTCAACCGCCGCCCTCCACCCGCGGCACACTCGCCGACACGTGTCGAGGGTCGCGGGGTGGTGCGGCGGCGTGCGGTACATGTAGGAGAAGAGGTGCAGGAGGATGTCGTGCGGGAGCGGGCGTGGCGGCGACGACATCGTGGGTGGACTGTATGTGTCCCGGTGTTCGTTCAGAGGAAGGGATGGGTTGCAGGTGTTGGGAAACACGAACTGTTCGTCGACGCACGGCCCTTGTGTGTTGGAGATGAGAGCCTCCACGATCTCGAGAAGCTGCCGGAAACAACATGGGCAGCTGCCCTGCTTTGGGGTTCTGCCCCATAGCCGGGCGCCCACCTGAAACATTCTGGCGAGAGAAATTTGCATGTCTGTTGAGTGAGAACCCGGCGACTTCTCACTTCCACCCGCACTGATGTGAGAGAGAGAGCAGGGGGGCGGAGGGAGCGCGTTTGATGCTCACGTAAGCATCCGTCACGTGGCCTGTGAATATAACTTCGATATTATAAACGGAGGGCTGTGCAGATCGTCCCAGTTGCGGTCAACGCGGTCCAGAAGCCCAAGCCCTCTTGACGGCGCGCCGTTGGAGATCGTCGACCGCAGGCAGATTCAGGGATCGACTGGAGAACACGCTCAGAGGGAAGCCTCCCCGCCGAACGCGAAGAACTATCCCCCACGCGTCTTGGCCTGCTGGGTGTTGCATCGCGCAAAATGCTGCACTCGCTGGGAAGGACGGAAACTCGGGCTGTGTTGTTGAGGCCGGCAAACGGTCTGCCGCACGAAAAACGGTCAACCCCCCGTCGCCCGGAGGGAACCCACCCTCCGTTCGCTACATCTACACACTGTACATCAAGCGCAGCAGGAGCGCAAAAAAAGTAGTGTTCGATACCCGCGGGCACCTGGGGTAATACAGTAGACGTGGCTGAATGTTCACCGCAGCGAGGCTCCGAAGGGGTTCGTTCCTTCGCACAAAGTTCGCAACTTTGCGTGCATGGGAGCAACCAACCTCATGCTGTGGGACACTGGACCTGCCGCGAGCAGCAGCAGCGAGGGAGGGTCCAGGCCTTGAGCGACCCAGATGCTGATCCTCGGGATATAAAAGCAGGCAGGGTAGTCCTCCATCCCCTCCTCTCATCACCCACCCAACTACCACCGCTCAACAGCAACAGCATCCAGCAGCTTCTACATCCAGCAACCCATCATCACATCAATCCCTAATACTATCTCCTAATACCATCCCCTAAGCAACACCCAATAATGCACACAACCACCCTCGCCCTCCTCGGCCTCGCCCTCGCCGGCACCGCCCTCGCCGCACCTTCCTACAACCCCCCCAGCTCCGACTACGGATCCAAGCCCTACGGCGGGGACGACTGGAAGAAGGACGACGGCTACAAACAGAACTACGACGTGAAGAAGTACGAGGGCTCCGGCTACGGCAAGGAGAACTCGTACGGGAAGGAGAATTCATATGGCAGGGAGAATTCCTATGGCAAGGAGAACTCCTACGGTAAGGAGAACTCATACGGTAAGGAGAACTCCTACGGCAAAGAGAACTCCTACGGAGGCTCGTACAGCAAAGGCCCCACCGCAACCATCACGCTCGCGCCCGCAAAAGACTCCTACGGCGCATCGTCCTCGTACACCTCCAAGCCCGTGCAAACCCTCGGCGACGGCAACATCAACATGCAAGGCTGCTTCAACATCGAGGACAACCCGGACCCCAAACTCCAAGCCGGCGTCATCAAGGCCTCCATCGACTCCGTCGCGGGCTCCTCATACGGAGGCAACGACAACGTGAAACTGTTCTTCTACACCGCCCAGGACTGCGTCCGCGCAACTCGCATCTTCAAGAACCCCGTCGCCACCGCCGCGTTCGAGAACCCCGTGCTTGCGCGGTCCATCCGCATCGTGGATATGTCCAAGCAGCAGCCCGAGAAGGGGGAGTACAAGAAGGAGGAGTACAAGAAGGAGGGGAAGAAGTACTATGGGTCGTTTGCGGCCGCGCCCTATACGCCGTGGAGTGGGGGGGACGATTATAAGAAGGGGGATAACTACAAGAAGGAGGACTGGAAGAAGGATGATTACAAGAAGGAGGGTTGGGGTTACAAAAAGGATGATTACAAGAAGGACGATTACAAGAAGGACGACTACAAAAAGGACGACTACTACAAGAAGGACGACTACAACAAAAAGGACGACTACTACAAAAAGGACGACTACAAGAAGGACGACTACAAAAAAGACGACTACTCGTACACCTCCCCCTCCTCCTACGGCGGCAATAACAAAGACTACTCCTACTCCGACAAATGCTCCTCCGCCAAATCCCACTTCTACTCCACCCACTCGGCCACCCTCAAGCAATGCATCTCCATCGCCTGCGCCCCCGGCCAGAGCTCCGGTTACACCCGCAGGGCCATCGAACAGTGCTACGAGCTCGAGAAGGCCGCGAGGAGGAATAATGGCGGCGAGTTGCCTTATGGGTGGTAGATTGCTCTCTAACGAATACTGAACTCTTACCACAAAGCACACTTTGAACTCTTCCCCGTTTCATCCCATCTCTTCCTCCTTTCGGGTCTTCTTTACGTTATATATTCCCCCGCACATTCTTTGCATCTGTACAAACGAGCTTTGCTTTTTCGTCTCCCCTTTCCCCTTTCCTTACGTCCTTGTACATAATGCTTTACGCTTTCTCAGAGCAAAAACCATATCTCTACGTACGTGAAACGTGAACATTGTGGGCCGGGGTTTTCTTCGCAACGGGGGACATGTTGAGCGGGCGCGAAATTCGGAGATTTTACCGTCTCCGGGCCATCTTTTCTCATCCGATGTACGCCTCCCGAATCTAGGCGGGTAGATGGGTCGGGGTGACACTCCGGGATTCAGATCTCCCAGCGCTGCGGCAATCCACGCACCACTCCCATCCATCAGGGTCACAGAAGGTGGGTCGGAGCACCGTAGTGACCAGCGGTCCGCGTCCGACAAGCCCTGTAGAGGGGCACAGCGTGCGGGACAGACACCAACCAGCCCGCCATGTGCAAGTGTGGCCCCCGTCTTCACAACTGTAAACGGTCGCGGTTCTATGGTCCTCTCTTGCGGCGAACGCATGTGGGAATAGGAGATCGCGCATCGGATGCATGATGTTCTGGTAGAGAGGGTATCAGTCCCCCCTTTGGGTTTTGGGGAAATGACCTCTCTAGTGACGATCCCCAGGCGAATAAACCTCCCCTGTCGGTTTTGCCAACTTGGCCGTCTCTTCCTGTTACGCACTGATGGGGAAGCTCTCATACATTTTTATGGGTATAGGGCCGGGAATGCAACCGTTCGGAGGACAGAATGCAGAAGGCTTTTGTCTTGGTCGGTTGAGGACCAATGGGGTTCGTGAGACCTGCGAACCGTCCAGAAGTTGTCAAAACGCTGTCAGTGGCGCAGCACCGGTCGGGGTTCAAGATGGCCACGATCGTGTTGGACACTGCAGACCAACGGTTAGGCTTCTGGGCAGCAAAAGGGGAGCTCTGCGGGAATCTTGACCGATGCAAGCTGCAGGGTAGTCATGGGTTACTATTCCTGGCCGGCGGGTCGCAGGACATGAGAAGGCCGCGACGCAGAACGAGTTGGATGCGTTGGGCATGAGGTTGGGAGAGTTCGCATGGATCGAGCATAGAAAATATCAGTTTCGCCATATGGGGTGCAAGAGCCCGGCTTTCCCGACCACATTCGTTTATTCACACCGATAGCTAGGAGGGCTACCCTAGTTTTCTTCCTGGAGATGTTCAACAGCCCGCTACAATAGAGGGTCTAGTCCGAAATTGCAGACATCCTCCATCGCGTCGTATCTCCACCTCCATCCGTCGTCTCTTTGACGTCCTGTGCTGAAGGGGTTTTCGTTCATTTTGCCGTACTACACCCAATCCTGCAACGTCTTGGTCGATATGTCGTCGAAAAACTCTCCGACACTAAGACCGGTCGCTCATCACGATCCACACCGGAAGTCTCTTGACGGGGAGCTTCCCAAATTGCCCACGCGAACGTCACGTGACACATGGATTTTTCACACCTCCGAGCGGCGCCAGGCCAAATTTGACCACCTTTTCTTACACATTTGCATTTTTAGTGAATGTATTTACAACAAAACATGCGGATATCGAACGGTTCTATGGCCCAATGGTCAAGGCGCCTGTCTACGGAACAGGAGATTCCAGGTTCGACTCCTGGTAGAATCGTTTTTGTTTTGGATGGGTCTCGGATTGCCCGAGTTTTGAAGTTGGGCTAAGCATAACTGCGTAGTTCTCGAATAGGTAGGTTTGCTCGCTGACCGACCTTCGGGTCCTGTCAAAATGCTCTTCTATGAAACTGTCAATATGCTCGCTTGTCCACAGCGGCAGAGGCTGAGGCCGCCAAGGCTTCAGGCATTGTGAGGAGGAGAAGCCTCCATCGCGCGCGCACCTCTCTGGCGGTAGTCTGGCCGTCTGCCGTGCGCCAGGGCTGGAGAATCTCAATAGCGCATATGTTCTCAAAGTCTTTGGTTCCGCCCTCCCACCTCATAGCCCTGGGACACGACGCCAGAAGCAACACCCAAACGATCCTCCATCGTCACATACTATACCCGTCTGCGATGGACCCCGACTGCACCCGCGACACCCGCGCCGCCTCAAACCTGTCCCACATCCACGGTCGCCAACACCGCGACTCGCTCCTGTACGCTGTCGTGAGCGCTTGCTTCCACGCAGACCAGCCATGGCGCAAGTTCCCCGGCTGCAGCGATAAGTGCAGGCGTGAGAGGACAGTTGACAGAAAGGAAACGAGGAAGCGGAAGAGCAGGGAACTTCGGCGAGACGCACAGCATTGGTGGTCGTTGGTGGTGGAGAGGAGGGGCGATTTTGGGGCTTAGGAAAGAGGGCTTAGTCAAAGATTGCTGTTGAGCTTGCAATATGGATGTACTCCAAGTCGAAGGACAGCGACGACGCGTAAGGGCCCGAGGGGAAGGCCCGAGTGCAGGGGTCTCGCTGTGCTCCAAGCGGAACCCGAGCAAGACATCGTCGCACACCGAAAGCAATGGCCGTCGCAAGCGAAAGGATCCAAAACGTTCTGGCGAACGAAAACCTCTCGAGTGATCAGGCAATCCCAAAGCGAGACGAGTCCGCGTGCCATGTCCATGAATGTACACCCTATCCGACTCCCTGTTCTCCACCCGAGAGGGAGATTCGCAACCTTGATCGCTGCATTGACGCCCAACAACGTGAATCGGAGGCCTTACGCCACCCCACCATGTTATATCATCCGCACCCTTCTCGTGATGTGAACTACTTGTTTGCATCCCGAGCGAGATCCGTACCCAGGGCCGCTTCTCAATTTCGCCTTCCGCTGGTATCAGCGTCCCAAGAAGACCCGTCACGGTGGTCACAAACATATGCTTATTCGGTCGGCGGATTCACCTATTAAAGACTGAAGCATTGGCATCTTTGAGACGGGGATCGCTTCGAGATCCTCGCCAACTGGGGTCACCATCCACTCCGCGTACCAATAGATACGCAAGCCGCTCATGCTCAGAGCGCCACCACCTAGTAGAGTGTACTGTCGACTTTTTTTGGCCTAACACAGTAGAGTACCCTCAAGCCCGCACTGCAGCGGACAAGCATGACATCCTGCTGGCATGTAACATACCGCTTTTAGATGAAATGGATTAGATGCCGGAGATTCAGAGGATATAAAGTGCATAACGGAGAACATGTAAACTGACTTGTGTTGTTCTTCTCGATGTTGCTGTTGTTGCTATTGATTGAAGCTGTATTGCAAGGTACGTTGCAGTCCCCATACGACGACTTGTGAAAGCTTTTAGATATACTTAGCGCCTGCGTTGCATTGTCCGTATGCAACCTCGGGTGTGACGAGTGGAGGAAAGTGTCGGTTTCTGTCAGAACGTGGCTTCGAGTCTGAAAGTTGGTTGTACAGTATATGGAGTGTGGGGTTCCTTGCGACGGAAGTTCAGGCGTCGAGACATCTGGCAAGTGGGAAGGACATCGACCCATTCTCGAGGGGGGCCACTCACCTGGAGGACTGGCCGGCTATGCTTGCAAGAATGAGTAGGCCGCTGCTCTTGCAGACGCTCTTTGCTCGAATGCACCCCTTCTGTTTGGCTTTTGGGAGGAGGAGTGACTCGAATGTCCGCTGGGTACGGCGTACTATGGCCTCCGCTAGCAGGCCGGAGAAGAAGGAAGAAAGGTATGTGCAACTCATGATGTACCGTCAAGATAGCCGGTTCACGGGACAGGAGCGATATGGTCGAAAGTGCAGTGGCACAGTGCAAGATTATTTGCGGACAGGCATCACTTCACCCAACGGAGAAGTATGCGGAGATGAGCGAGCACACGCACGACTCGAGCCTTCTCAAGAATGAGGTGTGAGGGCGACAGCGACCAGAAAAGCCCCACCTCATATGTATTTCGATTCCAACGTTCATATTGTCAGGAACGCTGCAACACCGACGACCGATACCACAAATTCCGAAGAAACAGGCCCATCGATGTTCTCGATGACCCTTCCCCCAAACTGCCCGTCGATCATTCACTCCGCCACCCCGCTCGTTGACCGCAAAAGCGTCTTTGTCGCCCACGTCGCCCGCATCACGCAGCCTTCGCAAGTCTCACTAATACTCGGAGCCCTGCTAACGAACAAGCGCATCAGACGCGCCACACACAACAGCTCCGCTTATCGCGTCGTGGAAGCCGACGGGAACATCAAAGAAGGGTGTGATGATGACGGGGAGACGGCGGCGGGTGCCCGGCTGCTGCATCTGATGAAAGCGCTAGAGGTGAAGAATGCGATGGTAGTTGTGACGAGATGGTACGGTGGTGTGAAATTGGGCGCTGCGAGGTTCAAATGTATCAACAACTGTGCGAAGGATTTGTTGGAGGCCGAGGGGTTCGGCTCAACCCACCGTGGCTCGAAGCGACAAAAAGGGCGCGGCTGAGCTAGCCAGAGCGTGGTTCAATCAGCCTGGAGTGCGATGGGGGATTCGCGTCGCTATTGAAGCCGGCTCGCCGACCCGACCACTCGACGACGCGCTATCACCGGCTAGATTCTGACAATACGAGAGCCCATCAGCGGATTCTCATGTACCGAAATCGGACCGGTGAAAGCCATACAGACATGGCTATGACTACTGAGGCGCTTGTGCTGAATGGGCCAAATGACTCTCGGCTGTGAAAGGCTAGGAGCCAGATCATGGGCCTGGGCGTGGGAATAGCCAAGCTTGCATCACGCCTCTCGAGAGCTAAGATGCGGGGTGCGACACGCCATATCCGACACGACGCGCATGCGCTTGTAAATCAGTCAGAACGATGCGACAAGCGCTAGCTGACAGTAGCCGACGGCCAGGGTGCATGAGAGTCCGTATGCGGAAGACCGTTCCGATGCTTTTTAGCCCGGTTCACGATCCCGTTGACAGCGGCAGCACCTCATGACGGGAAACAGCAGATTCGGCATTGACTGCATGGTGCAAAGATTTGAAAACCCACTACAACGACAAGTGAGCCGCCATCGGGTAACGAACGCTGATTGACTAGCTTGAATTTTGCCGCGCAGACTCGGAACTGATTTCGCTGTCGTTATGTTTTCGTCCGACGGAAGCAGACTGGACTGCGCACAAAGGCAGCCAGCGTCTTTCCTTTTCCGTCTTGTGCGGCGAATCCTGTTCAGGCTTATACATTTGGGCGATTTTGAATAAAAGCAAAGCCAGATCTTTCGGATTTCGACCAAAAACGCCCCACTATTACATCGACGGGAAACCCACTGCTTCATCGTACAAAATGCCATCGTACAGAAGCATTTCGTCCGCCAATGCCTGCCTGCTATGTTTCCGCCGTCCCTTCACCTTCTTGAGCGCCTTGTTACGAGGTTTGAATGAACATAGCGTGCACCCACAGCATTGATTCGCAGAGTATGCCTCATGACGCTTATCACAAGTAATCTCCTTCACGTCGGTGGACTGTCGACGTTTGGGAGCATTGCGCGCCTGACCGACACACTCGACACAAATCAGTTTGTCCCCGCTCCGACGCAACTCCGCTTTGATGGTCTTCGGGTAATCAACGACGCGGGTATTGAAAACAGTGTACGCCTTGTACCAGAGGAGACGGTCTCTGTCAAGCAGCCAAGCAGGGTCGGGTTGGCAGTTGTCCGCCCATTTCCAGCGGGCCTGTTTCTTGAGCGACAGGGCGACCGGGCTGTCGGGGAGGTTGATCTCGCCTATGCAGCCTTTGAGGTCTTGGAAGGGCACGAGGGCGTATTTTAGGGAGCGGTTGGTCGGTGGGAGGCCGTAGCGGGAACCTCGTCGGCGCATGATTTTGCAGAGCAGTTTTTCCAATCGAATCAGTGGAGGCGATTCGGAAGCAGTGAAGATCGTTGTGGGCGGAAGTGTCGAGTGTTGTACTGCCAACCCGCCGACCCAAGCTTGAGGTCTCACCACTAGCCGCGACTACTCAGAGCGGCGCCGTCGAACACTATCGTAATGTTATCCGTGGCGTTAAGTGTTGGCGGTTGATGTGTGGACGATACGACCCTTTCGTAGCCGCCAAGATTGTACGGGTGTAGAGTTCGGGAGGCTGCCTACCTCCACAGAGCGCCATCGATCCTGACATCTGTCTTTGTACCGAGATGTGCAGGAAGTAACGTACCCGCGACCATATTCACCCCTTTTCGGGGTTTCATGAAAATAGAAGAGTGCAAATCTCGCCAAGTGTGGAGAGGGCCGTTTGTCGTGAAACAATCTAGTTCCACTCCGCTTGTCCACCTGGTCTCCAGACCACACGATCATCCAGTGTATCGATATGCATCTGCTGACCAAAGGCGGCCTCCGCAAGCGGCGCCTAGAGTAACATCACACTTGGGCGCTTGCCCTACTTTGTGAAGATTTGGAGCGCGGAGGGCTCGCGAGGGACTGTGACTTCCCCACTAATTGTTCGCCGCTCGTCGCCCATCCAGTTCCACGGATTTCCCAAGCTTCCCCACTTCGTCCATAAAAGATCCAAGGCCCCCGCGCTTCCCCGTTGAAAGTCATACTTACACGCTCACGGCTCCGAGTGCTCATAAACCTCAGGGCCGGACTGAGGCCCATCGGCATCGCACAACCGTTCGATGGGGCTTGGTTCACCCGCCCCACAAGGGCGGGTGGGAGGCTAATTTTTGACTGGTGTTGGGTTTGGGGTCTCCCCATTTCCTAGAAAACACGATTTTTGAAGTGAAGGGAGAAAAACATGCTTTACGGTTTGCGACGAGGGACCCGGTGCTCGCTTGCATGTCCGGTTTTGAGCTTGGAATCCAGTATTGGCAGCCCGGCCAGTCAATGCTGGAACTTTATAGGGGCAGAAGAGACACCATGTCCCACCTTTGCTGTACATCACATATCTATCGTGCATTGTTGTCTGGCTGCGAAAAGTACAGTTGTCCGACAGCACATTACTGTACGGTACAATCCTACGCGTTCAATCCTTACGCGTTGGAACCTGCAGTTGCTGAAAATGGTATAAACGTGGCTTTCACTACGTACCCACCAAATAAGGCCACTCTTTGGAACCGGAAGGCGGCCAAAGAGGAGGCAGCGACAAGATAAAATGGCGGTGGTGCCCGGGAACTCCGCGTGTACTGTCCGTGCACGATTCGACATGAATCTGATCCCATTCGACGAAAACATGCCTCGCACCGAACACGAAACCGCTATGATTACTAGCGCCGATACCCAAAATACCGATCTCGCCAACAGCAACGACAATGCCATCAGTGCCGGTGGAGTCAAGAAGCGCAAACGCTCAATCTCAGATACGGAAACCGACCACGACGACGAAACAGCACCACCCAAAGCCAAACGCCTGAAACCAACCGAGCTGCTCCCCGCGGAGATCTGGCTGGAGATCTTTCTGATAGGAGGCGTGCTGCCGTCGACGATCGGAGCGTTGTCGACCTACCATCGCCGGTTGATGAGGATACCGGGCGCGAAGAGTCGGTTGGAGAGGAATATTCTGCGTGCGTATTATCCGCCGGGTGATGCAGAATTGTTACCCAGATTGCGTGTCATTTCCGATTGGCACCGACAGCATTTTCTGCATTCACGCCTGCGCAACGCCGTGCACAATTTCCACATCGACAAACACGTTCTCCTACGTCTCATAGTGGAAGAGCAATTCCCAGTTTCGCAAGTCTTCGAGACATTGGAACAGGTGTATCGCAGATCTTGGTACGATTTATGGCCGGGGAAGTTATTGCCAGAGCAAGATCTAGCCCGCGCTCGCCAGAATCTGTGCCGGACTGCCATGGCATACATCTGCCGTGATCTCGCAGACCGGGATTCTACCCTACTGAAGGACTGGATGCTGACTCCCTTCAGTCCGGTACATGAAGAGCGGCTCTTTAGCCTCCACCGCTCGCGGGCCAATAGGCTGACTCGAGCAGCGCAGCGGGTGCAGGAGGGTGCGAGAAATATGATTTCGGAGCGGCGGGAGTCTGTCACGCAAGCATGATAGCCAGTACACCCAAGAAGTCATGGGAGCATCAACTCGCGGGGCTTGCCGCCCATTCCGGACTTTATCTAGCCTCTTATCTCAACAAGTACGCTAAGAAACTGGGCGACGTAGCGGGGTCGGCTGGAGATTTAGCACTGTTCGCGATCAAGTTGGGATTGGGGAACGTTTTGGGGAACGTCTACGAACAGGATATACTAGCAGACCCGTCCTTGTTCAACACTCTATTGCTGACTATCGGCGCGGAAGTCTCCTTCGCGGCGCTGATGGTAGCTGTCCAGCTCGCACATCCATTTGCCGTCAACTTTCTGCACCGTAGATACGAGTCTGAGAAAGCGCAAATGCTACGCCATCTCGGCGAGGAAGCCATGAGACCTGGAAAAGCACCCGTGGCGGAGCTGTTTCGGAAATATAACCCAGATGAACCAAGTCCTTAGTTCATAGACGGCCAATGTAGTTCTAGATCCCTTTCAGCGATGTTGCGTAGGTAGCGTAGTTCTCCATCGAGTGAAATCGTAGTAGAGCGAGCTCATATTCATCGAATTAAAGGTGGGCGTGTGCATTTCTGTGCTTTTCCGACTCCGACGTGCGACGTTCCGCGATTCCCAGTGGGCATACCTGTCTTCCCAGGCGCACCAATCCAAACTTCACGAATATGTCCAAAAACAATCTGAGGCAGGGACACAGGACGGTAGTCTACCGAGCGATTCACCCTCATTGACTCGAAGCTCTCCACTTTGGAAAGCGAAACACAGGAACGAGAACTCGCCCGTGAACCAACGGGTCACGGTGAAGTATACAAGACTTTCCACCCTCCATGCCCATTCTACAGGTCAATCCAATGCCTTGGGAACGAGAATTGCCTCCGCCCGGGAGCATACACCAAACATTTCATGGACACGAGGGTCTCTACTGTACACCAATTTCAGCAAGAAGTGGACACTCTGAAAGAAAGCCAGGCGTGTGTAGCCGGCATTGACGCGGTATCCTGTCTTTGCTTCCTCCCGCATTTATGAGTCGCATCGTAACCGCCTTCTCAAAAACGCCGCTGCGAGATCGCTGTGCATCGGCATGTTCAAGGACGTAACGCTCGATATCAGCCTATTGCGCAAACTGGCGAAAGTAACGACCGGCATGTCACAGCCCGGGATCTACGCCCACATTGCGCAATCGATGTGATACTCTTGCATACGTCAAATAATCATCGTCTTCCCCTAATGTCTTTCACTTTTTGACAAGGGGGGCCGCGTAAGTACTTACGACGGGTCAACGGCCATTCAAATGGGCCAGGATGAGATCATCCATCAAGCCGAATTCATGAAGAAAGACATGTTACTTGATGCGTTTCTGCATGAGACTACCAGTCCAACCACGGAGGAGCTAGGCAAACGGGCCATCTGCGCCGGAACGATGAAACTTGGACCGCAGAAGCAGAATGATACATTGCGATCGTGTTCGCTGCTTCGGAACCATTCAGCGGAATGCATGACATGCGGATTCATAACAAAGCCAGACAACGTCGACCCCTATGCGTTCGAACGCACGCGTTGTGGGGAAACATACCGCTAGTGAAGAGGCATTCGCAACACGCAGGTTCTGTAATACCCACACGCGGGCACGGACGCCGATAGATCCAATGTGCAATGTGCGAGAACACACACGCAGACCGATGCCAGGAATTTGTTGTTGGAGGATCTAAGATATCGGTGTCGTAGAAATTCTACCGATGTGACATACCCATTGCTCTCGCAAATCCCTGTGGAATCAGCGCGATAGGAAAGCAAGGTGACCTTACTGTTTCGACAGGGGCGCATCAATGGTTCGACAGGGGTGACGTGGCGCGCTGCTGTCAATCGGATGCCAGTTGTGGCTGGACAGGAATACAGCAACAAGTTTTCGCGTTTTTATCAGTAGCCATGTGTTTTTCTCGTGGCACCCACCCGGTGAATTCACAAGGCTCCTCCTCGGTCGCTGCTTTGCGCGAGATGGGCGGCATTGGGTGGGCTGTGAGGGAGCCGCAAAAGAGGCTGCAAAAGGAGAGAGAGAGACAGGAGATCGGGTGGAACAGCCAAGCGGCCAAGCTGGGGAATCGCATTTTGCCACCGCAGGCGTTTTTCGTTCATAAACTCCCCTGGTTTCCCCACGGCCCATTGGCAGCCGAGAGCAGAACAGAGCAGAGCAGAACCCCTTGACCTACTCTCACCAACCCTCACGCCAACATGCTCCTCGCCGTGTGTTCCGCTGCGCTTGTCCTGGGGTCCACCGTCGCCGCCCAGCAGGCCGCTGCCCCCGCCGACCCTATCCTCGCCGGAAAATGGAAGACCCTGTACGTATTCACCTGGTTCAACTTGTTTCTTGTTACCTCTCTCGTTGCCAGAGCGGATACGATCCGAGAGAGAGGACGGAGGGCGAGGACGACCCATTCATCCCCCATTTTCCCACGCAAATTCTAAATGCTTGACCACATACAGGACACCAAACGCTGGTGTAGTTCCAATCCATGCCTTGTACCACTATGACGATAAGATGTACATGGGGTTCGTACACACAACATTCTCTCAAAGTCACCAGTGATAATTCAGGGAATGCTGATTTGGTTTTCCTTGTAGTGAACGTCTCCACATGTTCGACACCGCCCCGGCGTCCGGATGGACTGGCGACCAAATTGCGCGTATGCAGTCCGCCCCTCTTAACCAGTGGTTCAACGGAAACCCCAACTTTGTCGGACAACCCTGGTTCACCGATGCCGCGGAATTCGACTTTACGACGCTCCAACCCAAATACATCAACCGCAACTTTGAGGACGACAAATTCGGCCAATTGCACGGTTATGCTTTCTGCTCTGGGCACGCTCAGCTGGCAAATGGATCTTATCTCGTTGCTGGAGGTAGGTCTTGAGAGAGGGAGCGACTTGATTGCGATGGGAACCCGAGCGAACCGGAGGCGCAATGTTTGATTTACTAACTAACAATTGCGATCCACTCACATCCACCCAGGTGACGAATTCTGGTACAAGCAATTCAACAACAAGAGCTACACTTCCAACGGACGCTCGGACATTCGTGTATTCAACCCGTCGACTGCGGCAAAAACCGAACCGGAACTGACCTATGTCGCCTCCATGTACCGTCCTCCAGACATGCAACCCAACGCTGTTGGGGGATCATCCTACACATACTGGGGTCGTTGGTACCCTTCTCTGCTTGCGCTGCCAAACGAGGAAATCATGTTGATTGGAGGTCAGCACTACTTCTTCAACGCCACCGATACCCTTGCAGACTCTCCCACGTTCGAGAAGTGGAGTCCTATCAGCGGTCCGATGGGACCTTCCAAGCCCATCGCACTCCTCGGAAAGTACTTCCCCATCAACATGTACCCCATCGCATACGTGCTGCCCAGCTCCGGCAAGGTCTGGGTTTTCGCACACTCCGAATCCGCCATCGTTGACCCCGACACCGGCCTCGAAACGCCTCACGCCGCCTTGGACTTGACGAAGGCCAACGGTCAGCTTCCCCTGTCTTTCCCATTCGCAGGTACCAACTTTGTCCCCATGATGTCCTACCGCGACAACTACCGCATGGAGTCCTGGATTTGCGGTGGTGTCAACGGCACCGCCGCCGATGGCAATCCGACTCCCCGTGCCAACAACGGCAAGGACGCCTGGTCCAACTGCCCCAACTGCACTCCCGTCAAAGTTTGCCACTGGACCACATTGGAAGACAAGGGTGCTACCTTGACCACAAATGTTCAATTTACCCAGGAAGACATGCCCATTGCCCGTTCGCAGCCCGCCGCCGTCAACTTGCCCGATGGAACCGTCGCCATCGTCTCCGGCTCTGGACTTGGACACCAAGGTGGTGTGTACGGTCAGCCCCAGGCTAGCAAGGGTGTCAAAGAGGTCGTCATCTTTGACCCGACCTACCCGCCCTCGGACCCCACCAACCGATGGAAGGTTGGCGCTGCCGCTCCCACTGGTCGTCACTACCACAACATTGCTTTGCTTCGTTCTGACGGTACCGTCGTCACTGGAGGAGGTGATGCGCAGAACGGAGACGACTTTGCCAACAACCGTCCCGATGACATGTCTTTGGGTAGGTGTTCGTTTACGCTACATCCGTCAAACTCCAAAGTCATTGCCGTTTCTCACTTACCGCATCTCCATGTTTCTTTGCAGACATCTACTACCCGCCATACAAGTTCATTGCCAACCCCCCCAAGCTTGTCCTGCCTTTCCCTACTGCCCAAGCGACATACGGTCAACAGATCGAGGTTCCCTTCGTTGACGCGATCGCCGAGACCATCGTTTCCGTCAGCATCATTCGCCAGGCCTCGATGACACACACCGTCAACCTCGACCAGCGTCACATTGAGCTGCAGATCCTGAAGTACGGCAAGCAAAAGCTCCTTGTCCAGCTTCCCGCCACCCCTAGCATCGCGCCCCCCGGTAACTGGATGCTCTTTGCGACGGACAACAAGGGTGCCGTTGTCGAGCGCTCTGGTCTCGTCAACATCAGGGCTACCAACCCCAACACACCGCCAAAGTGGACTGACGCCGACACCGTGCCTACTCCCCAGACGCCCGTCAAGAACCGTGACTCGCGCGTCAACACCGCCAGCGCCGCCGGTGCCGTCCGTGCCTCGGTTGCCGCTGTTGCCGGTGTCTCCGCCCTTGTCGCCAGCCTCATGTTCTAAACGCCCACCGTTTAGAAAACATCGGCGTCGCCCGTTGAAGCCGGTCGAGCGGAGTAACCTCTGCGGTCCCGTCCCGTTTAGACTCGTCGATAGAACGGCGTATGCTCGTAGCTATACATACACCTTTCCATAGAGCATATATCATCCCTCACAATGTTGTGCCGATTAGAACTCTGCATATCTCGAGACACGGCGTGTTGCTTTACATAGAGCCTTTTGTATTAATATCATTCATCTATTTCGCATTTGAGTTCGCGTTTCCCAATTCAGGTTTCGACACCACTTCGTGATGTCCACCGGTGGTGTCCCCAGGCCAGAGCCCTACCAAGATTGTATATGGTGTGCGCTCCATAAGATGTGAGAGGTTCTAGGTACAGCGTCGAGGTATAAACAAACCCATCCGACGGATGTAAAGTCCGCCAGAATAGATGGTCCCAGGGGGATGGATCGCAACATATGCACAACATATAGTTTTAGGGTATCATATTATAGTTTTCTTTCGGTCCTTATACCAAAGTTTTGCTCAACAAAAACAACACCTCTCTCCCCATTTCCCCCGTTGATTTACGCCCCAGTGCCAAAGCGGTCGAGGCTCCCTATAGACCTCGCCGCTTCGCAATATGCTGAGGTTGTTGTGTGCACATTAGAAAACATTACTATACGTTGTTGGTATGATCGAAAAGTATGTCGAAGGTAGAAGGATGTCGTATGTGTGTTCTATCATCTTCTGCTTGTCGATATCTCCTTTTCTTAAACTGCGGTGACTTGCGGTTGACGAGGTCGGCGGGCTCTGACGATCAACACACCAGCGACCGCAATAACCGCCGCTCCGACAACGGAACCGACCGCGATACCCGCAATCGCACCGCCGGACAACTTGGAGCTGCTACCAGTGCCCGGGCCGCCAGGGGGACCCGTAGGCGTACTCGTGGGTTCGCCGGTGGAAGTTGTGACAGTGGTGGTACCGCCGGGAGGCGCGATAACGTCGGCTGCAACCCGGCTAATCGCAAAGTCGGCGCTGGTGAACCCGTTGGCCGTAGCGTCCGAGAATGCCCGACGGCGCAAAGCACCCGGGGGCCTGAACGCGCAGTTGCAGTGGACGAGGTTGACCTCCTGGCCGGTCGCTACCACCGTCTCGACCGTGCTCTCGAGCGTCTTGCATCCCGCCGCACTGAACGCACTTCCATTCCACACGCGACATTCGGGTTTGGTTGTCTGGGACGTGTACGCGGACGTTTCTTCGGGGATCCAGATGTCGATGTTGACGCCGCCCAGGCCGTTGTAGATGATCTCGGATGGACGCGCGTAGGAAACGGAAAGAACCTGACTGCTGTAGTTCTGCGACGCGACCGCACCGTGCAGGGAGGGGATAACGACGGAGGTGGACGAGATGCACCCTCGGAAGGACGAGCGGGATGCCGCGGGCTGCTCGTCGATTTTGGACTGATCGTTGTTGGATACCTCTGGACCGATGAGCGGGTGAATCACGCGGGCGTTCTTGTACCCGATGGCCGTGGCGCTGCCGTTGAGGAACAGCGGGACCACATTGGAGGCGAGCGAGGTCGCGCCCGAGACGGTGATAGGGACGCTGGCGGTGTCACAGCTTTGGCCTTTAACCATTGCCGCGCCGCTTTGGTGGACCGCGGCCAGGGCTGAGGTTTGTACGGTGTCGTCGGGGAGAGCCGTTGCGCCGAATTTGGGTGGGTAGGTGATCGCGCCGGAGCTGGGGGTGTCCGCACGTCTGCGGAGGGTGTTGCGGCTGGAGGAAAACCTAGGGAAGATGTTGCCGAGGGTGTTGCAGGTCGAACCAACGACGCCGCGGTCCAACGGCTTAGCGGTCGGAGATGTGTCGGCCAACAAGTTGGCAGCGAAGGTACCCAAAGCCCCGAGAGCGCTCGCTTGCGCTGTACTATAGAATAATAAGAGCGTAGGGGTGGGGTGAGTATGAAGTCTCTTACAAGACGAAGAAGAAACTAGAACTGTGAACTGTGAAAGTACTTACGTTGACATAATAGAGATGTCGTTCCTCAACAAGGCTTTGGCACCTTGAGTACAAGCGTCGGCGGTCTTGGCGCTCGCAGCGAAACTAACCATAGCGTCGACAACCACCGTCTGCCTTTCTGCCGCTCGCTTTTCCGCGGCATCGTCGGCGTAACCAGCCGCGTTGGACTGACCAACCAAAGCAGCGCTCGCGAAACTTGCAGCCAAAAGCGCCGAGATATCACCGCTCGCCAAAGCGGCCGTGACAGCGAGAGCCTGACTGGCCACGGCATTGTCGATCTGGACGTCGCTGATCTGGCCGGCGGTGATGCCAGGCAAGTTGCTAATGGTCTGTGAGCCGAACTCGTCTGTGACGTACACGCGAACGATGAGGTTGTCTCCAATAGCCGGGATAGAGGTAAGGATGGTGCTGACCGACGAACTAGTGCCCAAGGGATACTCGGAACCAGCAGCATCGACGATAACGAAAAGGTAGGTGAGGGATGAGTCATCACCAGCGCTGGACACCCATCCGGGAGCGGAGATACTGAACTCGTCCACGAAGGCGGTTCCAGAACTCGGGTTGCAGTTCGTGCGTCCACCGGACGGAGCACCCAAAACAGAGATCTGGTCGCTGTCCGAAGCCGTTTTGCCTGTGTTGGTCGTTGCCGTCACGGTGAAGTTGTAGTCTCCACCGCTGCTCAAGATGCCGGGGTTGAGGTAGATGTAGGGCTGGTTCTGGCCACCGGCGGCGAACACGCCAGCCGCCTGGAGGTTAACATCGGGGTCGTCGATGGTCCAGGTGTAGGTTGCGGAAGCCTTCTCAGCGGCCTCAACTCCGAAGCAGTTGACGAAGAAGCCGACGACGGAGTTCCTGGTTATGGCGTTACGAGGAGTATTGGTAGCGTCGTAAAACAACCAGCATCCAAACTTTGCCTCGTCGCTGACCGTAATAACCGTGCTCTTGCTGACCGAGGCAGACGGGTTTGTCTCGGAGACAGTGACGGTAATATTGTAAGTCGAGCCGGCCTTGAATGTGCCCGGATTGACGTAGATGTGGTCAGCAGTCGACTGCGTAATGTCAGTAGGACAATCGCCGATGGTCGCGGTGCAAGTCCACAAGAAGCTTAGGCGAGCGCCGGGGTAAGCCGCATCGGAGCTGGAAGAGGCGTCAAGCAGCAAAGGTTGGGTTGCACCGATGGTGGCATCGCCGCTGGGAGATACGACAACACGAAGACGAGGGGCAATAGGTAGCAATGGGATCGTAGTACTCGCAGTCAATCCTCCGCTGGTCGTCACGGTGGCAGTGACGGTCTGGTTGCTTGTCAAGGTGATACCGCTAGGCACGTACAGCTGGGCGGTGTTGGTGACGCTCCCCGACGGGAAACCTCCTGGTACACTCGTGGTCCACCGGTACGTCAGAGTATTGCTGCTGTTATCCGTGCAGGACGTGAAGGCGCCTTTAGCGATGAGGGTAAGGGCGGTACCGGCACCCGTATATGCGACGGTGGCGCCGATGGAGATGGATGGCTGAGCAGTAGAGACCACAGAGACGCTGATGGATGTGGACGCATTGTAGCTCGTGATGGTGTCCTGGCGCTTGCTGAGGCGGCCCACCTTGTTCGTCTCCCAGAGTCCCAGACGCCCCCGCCGACGGAAAGGTGCGGGCGACACAGGACTTGGCTCTTCGGTAGCTGAGCTTGTAGTTGTTTCTTCGGTCGAGGTAGTTGACGGTTCCTCAGTCGAACTTGTCTCCTCGGTCGAGCTTGTAGACGACTCCTCAGTCGAGGTAGACGACTCCTCAGTCGATGTAGTGGTAGGCTCTTCCGTCGAGCTGGTTGGTTCCTCAGACGAGCTTGTGGACGGCTCGTCGGTCGAACTTGTGGACGACTCCTCAGTCGAGGTAGTGGTAGGCTCTTCGGTCGAGGTAGACGACTCCTCAGTCGAGGTAGACGGCTCCTCGGTCGAACTTGTGGACGACTCCTCAGTCGAGGTTGTGGTAGGCTCCTCGGTCGAGCTGGTTGATGGTTCCTCAGACGAGCTTGTGGATGGCTCCTCGGTCGAACTTGTGGACGACTCCTCAGTCGAGGTTGTGGTAGGCTCCTCGGTCGAGCTAGTTGACGGTTCTTCAGTCGAGCTTGTGGACGGCTCCTCGGTTGAGCTTGTGGACGGCTCCTCGGTCGAGCTTGTGGACGCCTCAGTAGTGGAACTGTCCGTGCTCGTGGTGGTGGGTTCATCGGCGGTGGAGCTGACCGTGGAACTATCGGTGGAACTATCAGTGCTGCTGGCTTCAGTTGTCGAAGTGTCTGTGCTCGTCGTCGTTGCAATGTTAGAATCGGTGCTCGACGACACATCGGTACTCGAGGAGGTCCCCGCTTCAGTGCTTGACGAAGCCTCGGTGCCCGAGGTGGTGGTCGCCTCGGCGCTGGAGCTCGAGCTTGTCGTCACATCGGTGTTGGACGTCGCCAAAGATGAAGTCGACACGTCAGTGGCGCTGCTGCTGCTGCTATCATTATTGGTGCTGCTCGAGGACGTTGTGGCCGCCGCGCTCGTGCTCGTATCAGAAGAGCTCGTAGGAGCAGCACTGCTGCTGCTGCTGGTGTCCGCGCTGCTAGAGGACGTCGTGGCCTCCGCGCTGCTGCTCGTCGCAGCGGAGCTAGTAGCGGTGGCACTGCTGCTCACTGTGTCCGTGCTGCTCAACGAGGATGTAACTGAAGCGGTGTTGCTCGTGACAGCGGGACTGGTAGTAGTGACACTGGCGCTGCCGGTGTTTGTGCTGCTCGAGGAGGGTGTAGTCGCAGAGGACGTCACTGCAGTGCTGGTACTCGCAGCCGAAATCGTGGCGGTTGTAGAAGAGGTAACAGCACTGGGCGTAGAAGTCGCAGTAGTCGCGCTCGTGGCAGCGGAGCTGGTCGTGGCCGCGCTGGTCGCAGAGGGCGTCACTGCAGTGCTGGTACTCGCAGCCGAAATCGTGGCGGTTGTAGAAGAGGTAACAGCACTGGGCGTAGAAGTCGCAGTAGTCGCGCTCGTGGCAGCGGAGCTGGTCGTGGCCGCGCTGGTTGCAGAGGGCGTCACTGCAGTGCTGGTACTCGCAGCCGAAATCGTGGCGGTTGTAGAAGAGGTAACAGCACTGGGCGTAGAAGTCGCAGTAGTCGCGCTCGTGGCAGCGGAGCTGGTCGTGGCCGCGCTGGTCGCAGAGGGCGTCACTGCAGTACTGGTACTCGAAACAGAATTGCTGATTGTCGCAGAGGAGGTAGGAGCACTGGTCGTCGACGTCGCACTAGTAGCGCCCGTGGCACTGGCACCCGCGGATGTCGAGCTGGTGCTCCCGCTCGCAACAGCGCCGGAACTGGTCGAAGAGGTGGAGGCCGAAGTGGCACTAGCAGTAGCGGAATTGCCTGAAGTCGTGGGCGCGGTCGATATCGTGGCGGAGGCCGGTGTTCCAGTGGTGGTCGCACTGATGTCTGTGATGGTTGACCAAGGAGTTGAAATAGCGGAAACGGAGGTAGAAGTGGAAGATGCCACCTTGGAAGTGGACGATTGGACGGGAGCCTTGCTCGTCACATTGTACTGGATCGTAAGGTCGACGAGAAGTGTTCCGTTGTTTTTCTCCGCGCTCCGGGCTAGTAGTGAAACCAAACAGGCGAAAGCGTGGAGATTAACAATGTGGTGTGGATAGAAAGTCATACAGAGGACGAACGAATTTTCGACGAAAGCGCGGACATAAATGACAATTCATAGCATACCATTCGGTGGAATCCTCACAAAAGCGTTACCGTAAAGACCAGCAGTCAGGTTGGCAACACCCTCAGGGGTGAGCTGGACCTGCGATGCAGGGTCTACCGTCCATCTAGAAAATAATGTCATTAGTTACAAAATGTGGGCTGAAGACAAACATCCCCGGTGAGATGATATGGGAAGGGAAGACATACATGTATCGAACATTGGCCGGGACATTGGCCGGAAGATTGTTTGGTTGCAGAAGAATGTAGTCGCAAGTAGAACTGTGCACATGAGAAGGTAACAGAAACGGAACCAATCAGCAACTAGAGGATTGGCGGTTGCATTTCTCCTGCAGTAATCTCCATCGCTGCTCAGGTGGAGAGACTCACCTAGAGCTAGGTCCGGTAAGGCCCAAGCTGTTAGGCGACGTCTGTGCCGATGCCAAGCCGGCCAAAGCCAGCGCGGCAAAGCACCATGCCGACTTGGCCACGGCGCTGGGGTACAACAATTGCATCGCGAAAAATATCCTTGGGCACTGTTTGCTACCTCTCGCGGTTCCGTTTTCGTTTCTGCGTCTGAGTATGTCGCCCACTTTATAATTTCGTGTCTCCTCCGACGAATCACTCGCTGATGCCGGACTCGTCTCACGCAGAAGAGGACGCGTGGAATCGAAGAGTGTCGGGCTTCGTTTTGCGAGAACGACGGATCTGCAAGAGTCGCTGAAAACCAGGGCAGGGACAACCAAGCAAAAGAAAGAATCAGGAAAAGAGGAGGATAGCCCGAATATCCGCACAGGTCTTTTATGCGGACTTCAAGCCTGGGGTCGCTGGAGCTCGCTGTCAAATCTGTGGGCTCGCGCAGGGCCCGGTAGTGTCAAACCATATCCAAACTCCGCTCCGGGAAAGATTGCAAATACTGTTGCGTGCTAGGACTATCACCCATTATCCGACCTCAAGCGCCGGCAAAACAAACGAGCATTTGCAGATGTTCTCGAATTCCACACGGAGTCGCAGTCAGGGGCACACTCCCTTTTCTTTCTGGTTGCTTCCATTGAGCCCGCACACATGAACTCAGCCGAAGAAAACTCCATCCCTACTCCCTAGAAGCTCATCTCTTTCGAAAGCGCATGTGCGGCGCGAAAGGGACGTCTCTTTGCTTTTTTCCAGAAGAAAGTCAGGGGGAGCTAGGGCGTGGTCTATCAGTTGACAGCGCTGCCGGTCGTGCCAGAATCAAGGATCACGGCCGTGCACAGCCGCAATTTGGAGCGCTTCTAACATCCCACGGTAGATGAGGGTTTTCGAAGGAGATGTATACGATGATGTTCGTTGCGTCTTTTGTGGTCCTCGACAGTGCGAGAGTCACTGTGCGATTCGGGGGATAGACTTCCTGTCAATTTCTTTATCTTCAAAGTAACTGTCGAAGTGAGCGGAGTTAGCGCGTCGCTGCTTACCTAAGAGTGCCTAGCACGTTTACCAGGGGTCCGACTCCGCCCAGGACTCCGCCCAAGGACTTCTAACCCAGTGCTCCGGGCTTTTGTCAGGCCCGGCACGATGCAGAGCCCCAATAAGTAAGAATACTGTACAATGCTGAGGGGCATGCCCGGGTAAAGACCCGGCAACCGAGACAGTATTCAGTCGATAATTCGAAGATCATTCACGAATACATGTTTCTGACGCAGATGATGAACTCCCGGCCATTCAATTACATGCCAACCATCACTTCCACCCGCAGGCAAAGCAGGCTAACCGACTCGGTGGCCCGTCAACTCCATGCTCGACCGAGGCAAATTACGACATGCTTCCACATGCCAGCTCTATGTTCAATTCAACTGTACAGTCTGTTGCCATAAAGCAGGTCGCGCCTGAAATTAAGTCACTGTCCTCGCGGCTGATCATGGTCCCGACTCCCTAATCACGGTATTAGGACCCCTAATCTAAAACTCGATCTGGGTTCCTAATCACGGTATTGGGACCTCTAATCTAAACTAGATCTGGGTTCCTAATATTTTGTAAGTCCCCCGTTTGCGGCAATGACAGCGGCCATGCGTCCAGGCATTCAACCAATAAGTCTCTCTAAATGAACATCCATTGTCTGCCAGACATTCTGCACAATCCAGTTCAGCGTTGCGAAGTTCAGCAAGCTCGTCTGCTGAGGGTTGATACTTAACTGGTCTGCTCCTGGGTTTTGTTGACTTGAATGCGTTGGGGTTGTCGCAATTTGCATTCTGGAACCTCCTCAGGGTTCTCTGAACGGTTCTGCAGGGACAGACTCTTGCTCTGCAATCTCTCTGGGTGTCTTGCCAGCGTTGCTCAACGCAACAATGGCTGCCCTCTTTTGGGGGGTGAGGGGTTTCGGCATTGTCGGTGTGGGAATGGGGAAGATGATCTCGCAATTGCGGCACTGTGAAGGGCTGTCCAGTGTGTCCGAAGCACCCGAGGGGCCGACTGCGCACGGCCAGGCGCGACCTGCTTTATGGCAACAGACTGTACTCATAATGGTAAAGGCTTTCATGGCCGTCGAAATCTGCGTCACATGAGCCCACGGGCCCTGGGGAGGGGAATAAACCGCACGAAAAAATCCGATAAGCAGCAGGATATGTAATCCGACCCTTCATATGATTGGCTGCCGTCTGCGCTTAAAAACGCGTCCGGCTCTTCGCTTCCTCGGATCCCCTTGACGTTGACATGGACATGGATTTGAAAAAGAACAGGTCAAAGAGAGATACAGTATCTGCCAGGCGAGAGCCCACACAGACAGACAGACCAGAGTGAGGAACAAGAGGAACAGCAACGGCGAAGACAGATCCAACCATCACATCCATCGATTCTGCGCTCACCACTGTGCATGCGCGAAGAGAGAGGCTGCGCGCGAAAAGGTGTCAAAAAGGGCAATCGAGAAGGTTTTGGTTGAGCCGGCGTCAGTAACTCGGTTGGGTCCAAGTTCCAACAAGGGCTTGGCGAAAACGCCGAAAAGCGTGGGAGAAAGTGGAAAAGCCTCGCCTGCCCAAGTGCCCGCAACCGGGCTTCGTCATCAAAGGTTTACGCCGGTTTTTGTGCGCCCACTTAGTCAGTTACGCGGGAGTTCCGTGAAGCGAGCGGAGAAAGCCAACCCACACGGTCAACAACTCACGGGAAAAAGACATACTGTAATTAAACGAGCCCTCGGAAAGGCGAAGGCTCTGACGCAGTTCGTAAAGTGCACTGGAATCGTCGGTAACCAATATAACCAACAGTCCCACCAACACCCCCGCAACTGGCATTCCCAGAGGAGAGAGCAGAAAGCCAAAGCTTGCACTCGGCCGAGCAGTCTGTATCACTGCCGAGACACTCCTTCAAGCCTTCACCGCATCGCATTCCTCGCTGTCACTCACCCAAGCCAACGACGCAATGGAAGGCTATCCTCCCAACCTCCATCACCACGCAGCATCAGGGACAGCTGCCGCTCGCTTGCTCGCCGACTTCCCTTTCGGCCTCGCCACGCTGTGTGCAAAGTGGTTCACGAGCACCGCTACCGACTTCACAATGTCCTCCCCGACAACAACACAAAACTCCGACTCCCCTGCGAATTACACTTGCGATAACGTCAATGCGCTTTCCCACCCGTTCCTATACCTGCAATGCACATACGACGCACTTCCGACGCTCTCAACAGCCGATTGGTGCATGATAGTCCTCCCTATCGCAGTCTACTGGATATACTCCACGTTCCTGTTCGTGCTGTCGTACATGAAGATAACGACCATCGAGCTGCACAAGATACCCACGGACCAGAAAATGAGACCGAAAAACAAAATTACCGTCAGCCATGTTTTGAAACAGGTTGCGGTGCAACATGCGTTGCAAGCGCTTGTTGCGTACGTGCTTGCGATCTTGACGACGGAGGATGGGGAGGGAGGGGCGAGAAAGATGGAGAGCGTACCGGTCGTCGTAATGAAACTCGTAGCAGCCGCGCTCATGCTGGATTCCTATCAGGTGAGGGCTCGGCAATTTCGAGTCAAACAGTTTGCAATTGCTCCATGAGCTTATTGTCGATCTCTGTTACCCTACAGTACTGGATGCATAGGTGGATGCACACAAACCGATGGCTGTACAGGACCTTCCACAGCGTCCATCACGAGCTCACCGTTCTCTACGCATACGGAGCGCTTTACAACCACCCCGTCGAAGGCTTCCTGATGGACTCGATCGGTTCAGGTGTTCCTGCCTTGATCTTGGACATGCACCCGTGGACGGCAACGATCTTTTTCTGTCTCGCGACATTGAAGACGGTGGATGACCACTGCGGATATGCATTACCTTGGGACCCTTTCCAGAGGTTCTTCAGGAACAATGCTGTGTATCATGACATCCATCACTGGGGAAAAGGGCGATTGTACAACTTCTCTCAGGTGACTGTCTTTTCTGCATCATGTTGAGAGGTAGGACGACCTCGAACCTAATCAAATCCATTCAGCCATTCTTCACGTTCTGGGATGTCTGGATGGGCACGGACTACGAAATGGCAATGCAGAAGAAAGCCCTCGCAAAAGCCCAACAATCCTCGCCATCATCTTCACCCGAGCTCGGTCCCATCACTGACATTGTGGATCTCATCGAGCCCGAGTCCATCTCCTCGACGGTACAGACGTCCTCGCACTCGTTGAAGACAACGGCAGTCCGACGCCGTGCACGCTCAGGCACCGTGACGTTGGTAAATACTCCCCCAGGGGGAACCACCACACTGAAACGTGCCGAGTCGACCGAATGGCATTCGGACTCGGCCCTGGGGAGCAGTTGTGGGGATTCGAACGATGAGGAGGAGGAGTAAGGGAACTCATCGTCGACCTCAGCTCGCCCTGCACGACCAAAAACATCGTCACATCCCACTGCTACGACAACATGCGTTACAGCCATCGCTTACGCGACACAGTAGCTCTTTCGCATTGCATCATTCTTTTGGACCGCAAAACCTAGTGGCTTCTTCTCCCCTTTTACCTACTTCGGACGCTCGATACTTGGATAGAAATCTGTGGAGATGGCAGTGTTGGGGCGGAGTTTGTGGATAGTTGTGATGTGGGGGAGGCCACAGGGGCGAGATGGGTAGCAATTTGGATGACGGACATTTGTGAATATGTGGATACAAATCGATTTCGCAAGGACAAGGTTGCTCTACCGGGCGCTGTTACCCTCTGCACAGAAATTCGCTGCGCGACACACGTTACGGGCAGCCGTTTTCAGTCTTTCCACGGTTCCGGGCACGGCGGCACAGCACAGGTTCGTCTATGACCATGCGATGTCATCTACGAATAAACGTGTTTTGAGGCACGGTCTGGCGGCTTGCACACAAACAACTTGCACATAGACACGATCGCTCTCTTTGCATTGCCACCATCATCGTCAATCTGTTCCATCTTACCACCTTGTAGTATCTAGTAGTACTCACGTATCCGATCCGCCCGTCAATGCGGATGGATGGAATGTTTAGTTCCTGTTCCTTTTATTTATATCCGTTGCCATCCCTTAATTTCCAACACACATCCGGAGTGGTTTAATAGTCATTTTGTTGGGTTCCAGCCTGAATGTTTAAACGCTCGGGCAGCTTTGATTTGGGAAAAACCAAAACCGTTTAGTCACATGACGTGGGATAAACCCAAAGATAGCTCTTCGGGATGGCTCGGTTGCTTCCCCGCCAGGAATAGCCCACGTAGCCCACCACAAACTTGCCCACTTACTCGGTTCCTCACGCAAGCCCCATAATTAGCGTCGCAATAGATAGGACAGACGATAGTACTAGGAGAAGGAAGAGTATAAAAGGAAGACGGGAGGTGTTGCGGGCCTATCGCGTTTGGAGAAGTGATTTACCCGCTTCGAAAGAATTGAAACCAATAGATAGATAACAGTCACAAAACACGTTCCCACCGATACTGTATGTATCTTCCCGCTTCGGAGTGGCGAATCCCTCAAGATCGACGACGTTGAGCGCACACGCAATCTCGCAACAACAGAACACAAACGATCACAATCCCCCAGGTCACCGTACCCTCTTCTTCACCTATAACCAACCCAAGACGCCCCGTTAAATTCGATATGATGGCCGCCACAACCCCCGCCGCCAACCAGCGTCTCGACGGTCTGCTCGACATGTCCTTGGATCAAATTGTACGTCGTCGCGCATAACAAACAAATAAGTACCCCTTCTTGATCCGTTGAGTACCCCCCCCTCGCACACGGGCTGTTCCCGGTGTTGCCAAACGGCGAGGAACCTGCCTGGGTATCGAGGGAGCAGAGGAGACCCAGCATGTCTCCCTCTTGGCGAGGAAGGGACAACGGACTCAGAACGCGGATCCGGCGTGCAGGCTGGCGGAATGGCAACGTGTCATACTCGCGAGAGATCAAGTCGCCTTCAGGACTTCGGCCCGGATGGAAGGCGAGGACGGCACAATTGTCTGAGGGGCCTTTACTGGTCTTTCACATCATTGTCCCTCTCGCGGGCCGTACGATCTCCTCCGCAAACCGTTTCCCTGGGTCTCTGTGGGAAACAGGCACCGTTCCTTTCCTGGATGCTGCACTCTGAGCTCCCTCTGTGATATCCCGCGCCCGACTATTTCGAAAAACATTCGCTGATCGCACAACTGCCCCCCTCCTTCTCCCTCTTATTTTCCCTCACGCACGCGCTCGCCAACCCGCACCTTGTTCTTATACCTGACGTCCCTCGCTTTCGCCAAATCTTTCCTCTGACACAACAGATTGAAGCCAAGCCCCGGGGTGGAAGGCGCAACGGTGGTGGTGGTGGTGGAGCTGATCGTAGCCGTCGCCCAGGTGGACGGGGAAACCGTCCTAGCCCGTACGGATCTACAGGATCGAGGAATACCGGTGGAACAGCACAGCAAACGCCTGCCGCACTCTCCGACAAAATCGTTGTCTCCAACCTCGCAAAGGGGGTGACTCAGGAAGATGTGCATGAATTGTTCACGCGGATTGGTGAGTTTTTTACGTACTTCGCTTTCATCGATATCGGGAGCAACTCCTGATACGTAGTTTTCTCACAATCTGCCAGGTCCCGTCAGATCAGCGCAACTCAACTACGACGCTCAAGGACGCTCGAAAGGTGTCGCCACAGTCATCTTCAACCGTGCGCGAGACGCCGCCACTGCCATCCGCGAATACCACAACCGCGCTCTCGATAACAAGCCAATGAAGATTGAGCTCATCGTCCGGGCTGACGCTGCCGCTGCGCCCATCGCTCGTCAAGCTGGTGGCACGGGAAACCCACCTCGTCGTCAGGGAGGAGCTGGAAATGGAACGCCAAGAGCGGGGTATGTGTTCACCGGGGCGTTAATGCCATCATTGTCGTAAACTTACCATGTCCATCGGAATCAGTCGTAACGGAACCCCTAGTGGACGCCGAGGAGACCGCCGTCGTGGCGCGGGGGGTGTTGGAGCTACCCACAAGAAGGCGCCCAAGACGCAAGATGAACTTGATGCGGAGATGGAAGCTTACATGAAAGATGATGTAAGGATAATCTATGCGCAATGGCAATTGGTCCTCAAGTCGCCTCACTCACACTTGGCATCGATCATCACAGGGCGGCATGGACATTGATACACAGCCAGGACAGGCCGCCGCACTACCAGTCCCCGCCACCAACGGCGTGAACTTGGCCCTCGCCAACGCCCTCGGTTAGATAGACGCCCGAAGAGTGACGGGGAACTTGCCGACCACAATAGTCTTGGGAGCCGATAAAGCAAAACCGAACGAAAAATGCCAGTGAAGCGAATGGGGGCGGGAACGTTGCGGAGAGGGAATAGCGCCCCGTTCGTCGTTGAGATTCTTTCCCTTTTGTAGTGCTTGTGTGTGTTTTTAATTTTCCTTTCTCATGGGTTGTCTTACGTTGGGGTGGGGGTTTCCAGTGTTTCTAAATAGCAAAAAACCCGCGAAATCAATGAATGATGTGAAGCGATGATTCCCCAGTGATGTCCATGAAATGAATTAATTTGATCGATAGGCCACACGTGCGCCTTCAGCCAGACATAACGGATAGGCCTTTCCGTCTGTGGCCAAGCCGAACCATTGATATGAGCGTCACAACTGACCAGGACCACATCAGAGCGACAATTGACAGGACCTTCTCAGTCATAAGTTTTCCGCTACAAGGCCTAAATAAAGCCCTTTTGGCTCAAGGATTCAGGAATCAGGACGGTGGATCAGGACCCAGCATATCTTCCATTCGAAACAGTAAAATGCTGAAACTGTGGAAATAGAAGTGACAGTGCTTTGCCGATCACGCCGCTGTCAAAGATCTGCGGTCCCCATCACCGCCTCAGATTTTCGGCCGCAATTTTTTTAAGGAAAAGACAACGGCAACTTTGGGCACTTGGCCATGGAGGTCAGCATCCGACGTCTGGAAATACAGTACTGTAGGGACAGGCACAACCCTCTCACTCGAGGAGATCTACTTAAACCTACGGCGGGAAGGCGTTGTCTCTTTCAGTTTCCACCAGTACAACGACCGACTGCATCACTCGGCTTTTTTTCCACTTCCAACCACCCACCAATGACAAAGGAAACACTTCCCTCGTACCAAGACGTCGAAGCGATTTCGCTCCACAGCGCCGGCGGGAGAGCTTCACCTGCGTCCGCATCACACGCTCCTGCAGTTCCTTCCCGTCCCGATCCCCCGTTTAACCCGGCACCAGCACCGGTACCCCGCCTCATCCCGGTTCAAATCAAAATCAACGGCGGCCCCGACCTGAAGTTCGTCAACCGGAGCCAAATCTCCAGTGTGCAAAACGACCGTCGAATCAGCATGCCAACCGTCGGCTACCACGGCGCCATGTGCTTAATCCCCAAGGGCCTCACCTTCCACCAGTTCGTTCCGCGCTACCTCCCCTCCTTCCGCATCCTACCGCTCGCAACCCCGCCTGTTAACGGCATCCCACGAGTTGTGGCTGTCAACCCGGAGCTGGTTGTGCAGATAAGCACGGACACGATTGAGCCGGCCACTTGCACGGTTGTCGAGGTGGAGGGCGCGCTGTACTACGAGCACAATTCGATCCTGCCTGATGATGTCCGGAAGAAGAATACTAAGCTTGTTGTGAGGTTGAAGATGGCGGAAGTGATCAAGATTTTGGATCCGGCTGCGTTCGCGTATTCCGTGAATGACTTTGTGGACTCGGGGTTGGGCGGTGGGCAGTTCCTGACGGATGCACTTGTATAGTGACTGGAGTGGAGTTATGGAAGGCACGCTCTGGGAGCAATGTTCAATTGGACACGGCGTACTGTACTTTTTGGGTGTAGTAATAGACTAGATAATGAAATTCAGATGCCTCTGTTGTATTTTGTGCGTACCGTAGGCTGAATATTCGAGCAGGACTTTGGTGGTTCCGGAGACATGCTAACAAATAGAGGGTCAGACGGGTATGCCATCGCAATTCATAGCCCGTGCGGGTGGTGGATGGACATGGCACGGGTAATAACATGGCGCTCGCCCTCAGCGCGAGTGATAAGATAGTCCTACTAGCGACATCGCGGCCACGTTTCAGCCCTTCTGTGGCCCCGTGTCCGTGAGATTGCTTTGTTGGAGGTATCATCCTCCCGAGTCCCCGGTTAGGGGTTCCCATAGTTTATTTCCTCACGTGACTTCACTTCCGCTTACGCCATGCTTCCGCGTATGTGACTTCTCCCTTTTCTTACTGCCCCGGACCTTGCGTCCTCCTTTCGGTCTTCAGACAAGACTGTATACACTTCATACAATATAGGGCTTCGTCTTCCCTACACGGGTTCCATTCTCGATCTATATTCCTTTGCCAACTATGGCTAACAGGTTATGAGCCCTGGCTTCGCCCCCTATTCGCATATGAATCTAGAATAGAGAGCTGGGTATCCCCTTGCCGGTTCCTTCAGAAAGCACCATGCAGCCGAAGGATTCAACAAACCAAAATCAGAAAGCATGCTCTGCCGCCTTAGCAGCTGGCAAGCCCTCCAAGCCACCAGTTGAGGATTGCTGCAGGCGCGGTGGAGTCGGGGAGAGGGATGATGTCCTTGTACCAGAGGAGTTGCTGCAAGGAGAGTTTAATGTTGGCCTTGAGCGTAGGAGGATGTGGGTGTGGGGGTAAGTCCGGGGGGGTGGTAGGGTATCTGGCGACAATTGCGTCAAGAATGTTGTCTAGGGTGCAGTTGTGGTGTGGTAGGGAGCCGAGTCATATTTCCGCAACCCTAGCTCTCTACGGTAACCCTAGCTCCCAGCGGTAACCCTAACCCACTAGCTAGTTTATATCCCTCAGTCACATGACTTGTTGTTGTGTTTTGATACTTGTACATATCCGCGCGCAACTGGCGCCGGCTTCCTCTTTTCTTCTTCACCCAATGTACATCTATATAACCCTGCCTACCTCATTCTGGGGAAGAATGGGAAGTACATAGGTGTTTTGGGAACACACACACCGTCGTCACAACCGCAAGAGTATCCCCCCCCCCAGCGTCCGTCCGCTTCGTCCATGCGTGGTGTACCACTTTTGAGCATTCTGCACCATTCCCACAACTTTCCGCGTGGCTATAGCGATTTCCCTAGTTACCGGTGGCAACCCCCGGCATCCATCCATCCATCAGTTTCTGTAATGAGGTGCTGCAGGTGTCACCATAGCGCGGGGAAACGCGTAGGGCATGAGATCATGTGTAGCATAGATTATATTGGAGTCCTACGCTCTGGGGTGACTCCCAAAGGGAAGAAAAGCCTTCGGGCGGCGCCCCGGGAGGTAGAAACTCTAGAATTCTTTCAATACATTGAGCGGAGACAGAACTAGCCTCTGGCAACGGACCTAGCATTTTTACATGGTAGCACCACCCTTCAAGATCTCTCCGGCAACCTACAATGAGCAACTCTCAGGCGGGTGCTAATACCGCCGTCAGATATGCGATAGTCAACAATGACCGCTTAGAACTTGATCCATTTGAACACCCGCATCGAAGGGCGCAATGGCTCGACGGCGACCAACGCCAAGGCAACGGCCCCGAACAGCGTAACCGCCCCTTGCACAGGCGCAGGGAGTCACCCCGTGGTCGCCACCTGGAAGGAGGCACTCCTGCTCATGCTCACCTCGTCGACGTCAAAGCCCGGACCCCCGACGCCGGAATCGGATGCCAGAGCGATACAGGCGCGGACGACAAGGTCGCAGGAGCATCTCCCCACCCTGTCAAAGGGGCCGCTCAGCAAGCCGCTACCGCAGCCGCTCCCTGGCAAGGACCCGAAGCCGCTCCCCGATGCGGCGCAGGAGCCGTACCCCAGCCTGACAAGAGAACGGACAGGCAACAATCCTCCAAATCCTAGCCCAGCTGGCCAACACCAACGCCCAACTCCAGCAGCGATTCGAGCGCCTGGAGAGGGACCGCCCAGATGACAGCCCCTTTGCTGGAGTACATGTTAGCCGCGAGGACCATTTGGCGGCTAGCGAAGAGCGTAAGCGCAAGGCGGCCGCCGAGAAGGAGTTCCGAACCACCTTGGCTAAGATGCTGACCAAGTTCGACGGTAAGGCTAACGGTAAAGACATGGTCGCCAAACTGGACAAGTTCGTCGTCGCCCACCTACGCTATCTGGAAGCCACCGAATTCAGAACGGAGGACGGGGACGTGAAACACTTCGTAGCCCACTTGTCGGGAGACGCCGCTGAGTGGTGGAAGCTCGAGGCTCGCTCTGGAGAGCCTCCCGCCACCCAGGAACGGTTCCTGAAAGCGCTCAGGCGCAGGTTCTACCCCGCCAACCTCCGTAATTCAGTCGAGGCGAAACTGGCCGCCCTGAAGTTCAAAGACAGCATGTCAGACCACGTTTTGGCCTTCAACGCACTGACCACACAGATCGCTATCCTCCCCAAAAAGGAACATCTCACGCCGCGACAGGAACGTGAGTACTTCCTGAACGGGCTGACCTTCCACCAGGTCGGACGTCGCATCCGTGAGCAGTGTTACCAGTTCATCCTACAACAGGGCAACGAGGACGAAGACACCGCCATCAAGACCCTTCAGGAAGCCGCCCAGAGGGCCTTCCGCATCGGGGGTTATGCCGACGGGATCGCCCGCATTTCGTAAGATGGCAAACGGATCCAACCCGCTACGGCCACTCCGTCCCAGGCTCGCGACAAGCGCGATACGCCCCGCACCTTCAACTCCAACCGAGTACCCCTTGGGAAGGAGAGGAAAACTCAGCGAGGCAAATGTCACACTTGCGGCAGCAAGGACCACTACGCCCGAGCGTGCCCTAAGAACCCGGACCGACTCAAGATCTCGGCAGCGCCCGCCGAGGCCTTCGACGATGACAATGACGAGTTCCATTTGGCCGCGGAGGAGCCCCCGAGCCCCGCATACTCCGTCCACAGTCAGGATTTTCTCCCCAGGGCCTGACCGCCTGCAGCGCCTCAGCGTCCAGACAACCCGAGGGACCTACTGGACCCTGACTGCAGGACACCATTCCGGAATACCGCCCGGGGCCCGTCATCGACAAGCACACGTTCATGGTCCATGGACGTGTTGGCGGTATCTTCTGCCGCATCCTCATAGACACTGGTTGCAATACCATGCTCATCAGCGACTCATTCGCCCATCGCCATGATATTAACACGTACGACTGTCCCACGCCGCTTGAGGTGCGCTGGGGTGACAAAGCCGGATCATACGGCGCCACACAAATGATTTGTGCCGACCTCTCCGTCTTCACGGAGGAACGAATACCTCATAAGACCCCTTGGGTCCCGTTCGTCGTGGCCCCAATCCGCGCGGATGTTAATCTAGGGCTACCCTACATCCTGGACCTTGACCTCATACGCTTATGGCGCGACAATGGATTCCCGGCGCCTCAATTCGAGGCTAATGCAACCGTACTAACTTTCCGAGCTCAACCTACCACCCGCCGATGGCAACAACCCAGCGCTTGCGCAGCCCGGTTACTCGAACCTCATACGGCCCTTGCCCCTGCCATTTCTACCCAAAGCGCGTGGCCTTGAATGAGGAGGGCTTCCTCACGGCCAAACAATTCAAGCGAGCGATCAAGAGGGATAAGACCACCGAAGACTATACTGCATGGGTCTCACGCACGGACACGGGGGTGGACCTGGCCACAGACGACGCCCTCACGGACGTCGCCGAAGCCGAGGCTAACTTTGTTTGCACGGTCAAGGCGAAGAAACGTGCGATCCTTGCGGACCGAAAGGCAACGCCCACTCTGGATACCACCCCACAGGATCCACTCGCGTCGGTCGCCGCCAACCACCCTCTTCGCCCCACGTTGGAACAGTTTACAGAAACCCTCTTCACGGAACAGACCGGCCTCCCGCCGGACCGCGGCAACGACAACTTCAGCATTAATCTGAAGCCCGGCTCCAAGCCTGTCATGCTCCCACTCCGCCACTTGGCCCCCGATGAACTTGACAAGCTACGGCAGCAACTCGAGCGCCTATCATCCCGCGGGTGGATCTCCCACTCTAAGAGCCCCTTGGGGGCACCCATACTGTTTGCCCTGAAGAAGGACGGTGGCCTCCGCTGCTGCATCAACTACCGGGCCGCCTCAACAAGATGACCCATAAGGACGCCACACCCCTCCCAAACCTCAACGAGCTTCGGGACCGCCTCGTCGGCATGAAGGTCTTCACCGCTATCGACATCCACGATGCCTACCACTGCATCCTCATTTGGGAGGAAGACCGTGAGAAGACTGCCTTCCGGACGCGCTTCGGCCACTTCCAGTACAACGTATTACCCTTTGGGCTGACGAACGCGCCCGCGACGTTCCAACGCCTCACGAACAAACTCCTGGGTGACAAGTACGATTCATACCTCATCTCTTACCTTAATGACATCCTTATTTTCAGCCCCAACATGGACTCACACAGCGGGCATGTCAGTGAAGTGCTCAAGACCCTCTCGTCTCACCGCCTCCACGTGAAACCGTCCAAATGTCAGTGGGCAGTGGACCAGGTCGAGTTCTGCAGGCACATGGTCGGTAAGGACGGCCTCTCCATCGCCCCGTCCAAGGTCGAGGCTGTCTGCGCTCGACCCGAACCCACCAGCACCCTCGAGCTCCTCTCCGTTATGGGGCTAGTCAACTATGTCAAGGAATACATTCCGCATTATGCTGACACAGCCCTCCCACTGACCAACCTTCAATCCGGCACCCGCCCGTGGCAGTGGGGCGCCGAGGAACAAGCAGCATTCGACACCATCAAGGCGCGCGTCGCCGATGCCCCTTGCCTGGCGTTGTTTGACCCCGATAAGTTCCCCTACGTCTTCTCTGACGCGTCGGGCTTCGCCGTAGGGGGCTGGAATCGTCAGGGCAGGGACGGCAACTTTCCCATGCCGAATCCACTGCCCACCACAAAAAAGGGCCTCAATAACCTTCCGCGCCTCCGCGTCATCTCATATTACTCACGCAAGATGGCTCCGGCCGAAACCCGATACCCCGTGCACGAACAGGGGCTCCTCGCATTGGTCAAAGTGATCCGCGCT